AACGTGGCTCGAGCATCAGCACACAACATCGTGGAAGATCCCAACAGAAGGACGCTGCTAGCATTCGGTAGAGCCTTGGGTATACTTTGAACTTGTACCGGAGCTTCGATCCGCCTGTCAATCTCCGTACGTGGCCACCACCTCGATTCCTCTAAGACTGGATTCTGCCGAGGTCGCTCGCGCCCATCATGAACTCGAACAATCCACCGAACCGTCTCCACTTGAACTTCGGCTTCAACAATAACAACAACGAGCGAAACTTTGCAGCAGAACAAGGCAGAGCCTACCCCACCACGCCCTCCACCTTTCCTCAGCCAGTCTTCCCGAACCAGGCCGGCCATCAAGAGGTTTGGGGCACGCAGCAGACCAACAATGGCTACGGCGCGGGATACTTTATGCCCAACCAGTACCAACCCAAGTACCAGCAACAGGCCAATATTGCCGCGCCCAACGCCGCGTACCGTGCAACCGGCTACAACGATGGCCTGAATGGCCTTAACAACCAGTTCTCACACCAGAATTTGGGCGGCAACGCGCGCTCCGCGAGCCCGTACGGACGACAGCCGTCTCCGGGCCAGCGGCCTAGGACAGGCGGCGCTACCGGTCAGCAACAATATGGCAACTATCTCAGTGCGCCATCGTCGACGCCTGATCAGCACGCTCCGTCACTCAATGACGAGGCTCCACCGCCAAAGAATCCAGACAAGTATGCGGAGAGTGTACAGAGGAAAGCCAAGGTGTCGATCGGCACGGTCAGCACATTCTTCAAGGACAACGTGCAGCGGGCGCGAGACCGGAACGCGAGGCATGTATACGATACCTCCTTAGCCTGCAGCAAGCTGACTGAGTACTTCTTAGGGCTTTGGAGCTTGAGCAGATCATGAAGGACCCTAATATCTCGGATTCTCGCAAGGAGCAGAAACGCAACAACATGCGCCGAGCAGAGGCACAGTATCTCCGCTTCTTGCGGACGAAAGAGAAGCCTGAGAACTTTGCAACCCTGAAGATTATTGGAAAGGGCGCGTTCGGTGAGGTAAAACTAGTCCAGAGAAAGAACGATGGCAAGATCTACGCTCTAAAGTCACTCGTCAAGTCCGAGATGGTAAGTCAACCCGCTGTATCTCTAGAAGTTAAGGTTGTAATTTGTACCATAGTTCAAGAAAGACCAGCTAGCACACGTCCGTTCAGAACGTGACATCCTAGCTGAGTCAGACAGCCCATGGGTGGTAAAGTTGCATACAACTTTCCAGGATAACACCTTCCTGTACATGTTGATGGAGTTCTTACCGGGCGGTGACCTTATGACTATGCTCATCAAGTATGAGATTTTTACGGAAGACATTACTCGTTTCTACATGGCAGAGATTACCTTGGCTATCGAAGCCGTTCACAAACTGGGGTTCATACATCGGTAAGCAGAGCCACTCCACTCCAAGCGTGTTGAACCCGTTCAAGCTTCCTAGCAAAGACTGACATGTAAAAGCGATATAAAACCTGACAACATCCTCCTTGATCGCGGTGGGCATATCAAGCTCACCGATTTCGGTCTTTCAACTGGGTTCCACAAGGAGCATGAGGCGTCATACTACCAGCAACTTCTCTCTGGCGGCAAACACAAGTCCAACCGGGACAACCGCCAATCGATCAATTTTGACCAGATCCAGCTCACTGTCAGCAACCGCACTCAGATCAACACCTGGCGCAAGTCACGAAGACAGCTGGCCTACTCCACCGTAGGTACACCGGACTACATCGCGCCGGAGATCTTCAGCGGTAAAGGCTACGACTACGGCTGTGACTGGTGGTCTGTCGGTACCATCATGTTCGAGTGCCTGATCGGCTGGCCACCGTTCTGCGCCGAGGAACCGCATGACACCTACCGTAAGATTGTGGACTGGCCGCGTAACCTGCACTTCCCGCCTGACCAGCAACTTGGCCCGGAGGCCGAGGACTTCATTCGGAGGTGAGCCAACCCTCTGCTACAGCGCGTTCGATCTATCTGCCAGAAATGCTAACGAACCACAGTCTAATCTGCGACGCCGAAGAACGTCTCGGCCGCATCGGGGGGGCTCACCAGATCAAGCAGCATCCCTTCTTCCGCGGTGTCGAGTGGGACAGCCTGCGAAGGATACGGGCCCCCTTCGAGCCCAAGCTGCAGTCCAACGTCGACACGCAGTACTTCCCGATCGACGAGATTGACCAAAATGACACCAGCGCCGCGCTCCGAGCGCAAACTGCCCAGGCGGGCGACGACCTTGCGGCCGAGATGAGCTTGCCCTTCATCGGCTATACGTATAAGAGGTTCGATGCTTTCAGAGGGTCGTAGTGCATGTGTTACGACGGGGTCACGATGGTTCCGAGATATGAATTGACTAGAAGGCTTTGCAAATGAACAGAATATCCGCGTTGGTGGGCGATGATGGGAATGCTGTATGCGTCGAGCTGGCTTGGAATCCTGCCGGAATGGAGCTGTCTTAGACACCGACCTGATTGTTCTTCACACGTGGCGTTGAGTTTTTGCGGCTTTCGTCGCTGATGGGGAAGTGAAGGTCAAGATAAGTGGCTGGCGCGCATTGCCATACCTATTCGCGGGCTGGCTTCGCCAGTTAGAAATCCAAATCTGCTGAAACTTAGAGCATTGACCAACGTTTCTGACCTGACGTTGTGAACAAACGGAAGTGCGGATTGAACTTCAGGACACATTGAGTTGCACAATCAAGTTAAGTTCGCGCATTGAAGAGCATCATAATCTAAAATTGTCTCGGCCAGTAGTGTAGCATAATTGTCCTTGCTGCCATCTCTATAAATTCCAGCGCCCAACAAAGAGGCTTACGAAAGAAGCCAGACGAGTTGAGTTTGTCAATAAGCAAGCGAGCTTGATAGACTAACTGCTCGATCTAAACATTCCAGTCTGGCGGTAACTGAAGTAACCCTTTCCTTAATCCCTCCTAACAACCCAGCGCGCCGTGCCCTTTAGTCACACTACCCTCACGGCAGCTTTTGAGAGATGAAAGTCACACTACCAAGCATACTGCTTATAAGTCGAATATGTCGCCGGACGCCGTGCTCTTCTCCGCATTTCGAAGCTGTCGTCCTTAGTCCTCGCCATGCGACCTCTTTCTATTTGAATCTTGTGGCGCATGCGCTGCTTCGTCGTTTTACCCAGAAAGGTCTACCGGCATTCAAACTGCACCATCCTACTCTCCCGTCAGCTCGATATCCTATTCCTCCCAGGCAGCCCAGCAGCCCCCTCCCGCCCCTCCCTCCTTGGCAACATCCACCCACTCCAACCCCATCAAGACCTCAGACACACTCACCTGTTCGTCCGCTCCTTGTACAGCACACGATGTCCGCAGTCCTTGCACCGCACGTTCGACTCCCCGCTCTTGAGCGTCACCTTGGCGTCACAGTCGCCGCATATGTAGCGCACGGCCCTGTCCTGGGTCACGACATCGCCGGTAGAGATGACGGTTGGGCCGCGCGAGCTGCCGGCTGCGGCGGAGGGGGGCTGGTAGGCTTGCGACATTCTGCGGTGGGAGAGGATGAGGTCTGCGGCGCCTGGGTGGCTGTGGGCGAGTATGGAGGTATGGAAGGTGAAGACAGAGGCGCGTGGAGTTGGTGGTAGTGGCGTGGGAGGTAGGAAGAGGAGCTGTACGGGGATGCTGGTGGTTGAGTGTGCGTACAGTGTGTACAGGACTCGGTAGTGAAAGAAGCTCAAAGCCAAAGGCAGAAAGCTTGCGGTCGGAGCGGTCAGAGCGGTAAGCAGCGGCAGAATATGCCGCGGAGGTTTAGAAATCAACCGGCTTCTATCGATAAGTCGCGCTCGCCACCAAAAAGTTCAAGTGGTTGACTTTTGGTCATTCGCTGGTCGTTTCCATCAGTCTTGTCGCTACTGCTCTGCTGTCCGTTTTTCTTGTCCAGTCCTAGCCGAGGTCCTTGCCGTTTCGTTTGTTCGTGATACCCAGCGCTGGCGCACTTCCTCGCAGATTCATTAATCCTTCGTCTTCCGTCAATCTCGTACCCCCACCATGAGCGCCATCCTCTCAGCAGACGACCTGAACGACTTCATATCCCCAGGTGTAGCGTGCATCAAGCCGATTGAAACTTTGCCCGAGAAGGCAGACGGCCCGGTAAGATGCAAACCATCATGACCTGCTTGGCGCATAGCGATTGACTGTGACAGAATCCATACGAAGTCACTACTGAAGACAAGGCCGCGGCCTCCAAACCTCCACCCGCCTCGATATCCCTCACGGACTGCCTCGCCTGTTCCGGCTGCGTCACGTCCGCTGAGGCCGTCCTCGTATCTCTTCAGTCACACAATGAGGTCCTGAACACGCTTGATGCGCACCCTCCGCTGCAATTACCGTGGGCGCCATATGCATACAAGAATGTTGCAACCAACAGCACACACGGAGGTCTTGACGAAGGGATGGAGGGATTCGATGACGAGACTCTACGAGGCAAGCTCTTCGTTGCCAGCGTTAGCCCTCAAGTTCGAGCCAGTGTAGCCTCCACCTACAACGTCAGCGAGGGCGAAGCTGGTAACATGATCTCGCACCTCCTCAGCGGACCTACAGGCCTTCGGTCGGGCGGCGTGTATCGAAACGGCTTCACCTGGATCATCGACGCAAATACCCTGCGCTCTGCGGCCCTCGTAGCCGCGGCCGAGGAAGTCGATTCCGCGCTCGCTAACCCTTCCGCTGCTGCTGCAGGCGCAGAAGGTTCGATGGATACGAAACCGAAGAAACCGATCCTTACATCCGCATGCCCAGGCTGGATATGCTACGCCGAGAAGACCCATCCACACGTCCTCCCACATCTTTCCCGCCTCAAATCTCCTCAAGCCCTCACAGGAACCCTCGTCAAATCCGTCTTGGCCCAGCGCTACGGCATCCCGCCCTCCAGCGTCTGGCATCTCGCCCTGATGCCCTGTTTCGACAAGAAGCTCGAAGCGAGCCGCTCAGAGCTGACCTCCTCATCCTGGATATCCTCAACTTCATCTCCTGCGGAAAGCGAGGGTGGGGTAAGAGACACAGACTGCGTAATCACAGCCCGCGAACTGCTCCATCTCGCCTCCGCGCGGAACATTGACTTCGGCTCGCTACCACGCACACCCCTTCCCTCATCATCCCGCATACCATTCCCAGACCCCCTCCTCGACGCCTTTCTATTTCCCCGCCGGAAACGACCTGGCAACGGCGACCCCGACGGCGGTTCCAGCGGCGGCTACCTCTGGCACATCCTCCAAACCCACCGCGCCGCGCACCCCGGCTCCAGCATTAAAATCGAGCGGGGCAGAAACGCCGACGTGGTCGACTACCTCCTGCTCAGCTCCACCGGCGCCGTGATCCTGCGCATGGCGCGCTACTACGGCTTCCGCAACATCCAGAACCTGGTGCGGCGGCTCAAGCCGGCCAAGGGGAGTCGCATGGGTGGTGCGCGGGCTGTGGGTGGTGCGAGAAGGGCGAATGGCACGGCGGGGAAGGAGGAGGAGTACAGTTATGTAGAAGTCATGGCGTGTCCTGGGGGTTGCACGAATGGTGGAGGGCAGATCAAGGTGCAGGAGGTTGCAGAGATAAGAGGGCTCGAGGTGATTAGTACGGAAGAGGGGTCGATGGGACAGCCGGTTAAGCTGGGTCCGAAGGAGCAGAGGGAGTGGCTGAGACGGGTGGACGAGGCGTATTTCTCTGCTGAGAGCGAGAGTGATGGGGACGAAGAATTGGAGCCGGATGGTGGCGATGTGGACGCAATGGATGTCGATCAAAGAGATGGGCGCGGGGAAGTGGTGAATGGTATCGATACGGGATACGTGAGGGAGATGATGCAGCATTGGGCTCAGTTGACGGGAGCTGACTTGCAGACGCTCCTGTTTACGAGCTACAGAAAGGTGGAGAGTGATGTGGGGAAGAAGGTGGGAGACGTAGAGAGAGTTGCTGGATTGGCGAGCAGCATCGGTGGTGGATGGTAGCAAAATGGCGGCTATGGTGAATTGATTTTGAAGCATGACACTACGAGCATGAAGTCGGCGTTCAACAGCGTAGCTGAGTGAGAAGTCGGACTCGGCTATCCAGAGGGCATCTTTGTGGGCGTTGGCCATTGTGTAAGGGGTTTGGATGACATTGAGCGGTTGATGCACTCTGTGGAGTTCTGGCCGTCGACATTTGTAGATTGCCATCAACTGAATGGATTGAAGAAATTCCGAAGCTACATTCTAGACGACTTAGTACATTGGGCTTCACCGATAAACATACTCTTGCATAACCAGTCAGGGCGAGTTTGATGGGAACGAGTCAGAAGCAGGACACGACGAGCATGAATTGGACTTGGTCGTCTAGAGGTGCAAATTTGGAGATTGGCCATTCCACAACAGCATCTGCGATAATGATGATTTCAAGAGCAATGCCCGCAGACATGTAATGCTCTGCGTACTCTTGACCAAAGGTATCTGTGAGAAAGCATGCAAGGAATGAGGTGACGAGATAACTCAAATATAAAGGCTGTTCTCTATATGACCTACTTTATACAGGTTTCAAGTCTAAGTAGAATCTGGCGCCAAATGCGTAACGGAAGAATTACTTCGCTACCATTGAGAAAAAGATCGGGGAGAGATTGTGCTTACCGTTTAGATATGCTCGCCTATTCAATTTTTACTTCCGTGACGTGACACGCCACTGAGGGCAACAGGTTGATAGCGGGAAGAAAAGACAAAGAGCACCGTCATAGCGTGAAATGCAATTAGGAACTCACGCCCATCGGGCCACTGTTCGGCCTGGCGGCGCTGTTTGTGCCTGATGAAACTCTCTTGAGCGACATTGTTTGCAAGGTTTTCTGAAAGGCAAAGGGGAAAAGGAGGTGCCAAGGAGGAACTTCAATCAGCACGACGAGCCCGTCGCGCTCAACGCGCCGGCGCCAGCCACCCAACCACAAGGAGCGATCCTGTATGCAGATGCGGACGGGTTGATCTGATGGCCGTGGACATTGCGCTACTGCATTGATCCTCGCACGGGATCCAATGGGCTCGGGCGCGGTGTGCGGAGCACATCTCTTGGTTCCGCGCTCGACGGTCTCTACAAGCGTCGAGTCTCCCATCGCGTTGGCAGAGGAACACTAACTCGCGAAAGCGGTTGATGGAGACGCGGTGAAGCGATGTACGTCGAGTACCATCGTCTCGCGGTAGGAATTGACTCAAAGATTTGCAAGAGCGGAAGACAGGTTGTCTGTGATGCCGAGTCCGGGCACGCCCTGTTGACCTTGACTGCAGCCCTGTGGGGGGAGATTGTCACTGACGCCTCGCAGCAGATATCCCCAGGCGAGCCCAGAATCCCTGCCCATCGGACTCCTGATGGGAAATTCCACAATGCTTCGCTGGAGGAGCCGTGGACGGTCCTGTTGTCGTAACAGCGTTGAGCGTTTGTGGGTATTCCAGCCTCAAGAGCCGGAGATTTCAACGGTTCGAATGGCGACTGTCCGTTTGAAGGCTGTCCGAGGTGCGCAATTCCAGCAGCTGAGGAGAGTTATCTTAGCACGGTCGATTACAGCGGGAATGCCGTTTGCAAGGGTGGCTGCCGGCTCACAGCATCCTTCTCCTGAAGCCGCCCGTGCCTGAATCTGACCACGCGAGTCCCAGCACACGGTCTGCAGCTGCAGGGAAAACGGCTGCCCACAAGCCGTGGCTTGGTTGGTGTGATTCTTGTTGCATACAAAGAAAGTATTGCTCCAGAACAAGAACGGAGAAGGTCACGATGGCGGTGAGACGTGAGGTCTCCCAGTCAACAGAGCAGGCTGCAGTTCGATCGACCGTCTGTTGTCTGCACCTGCACCAGCACCAGTGAGCTTCAAAACTCGGTGTCAACAAACAACAAGCTGCCGTGTCGAAGGTCGAGTCTGGCCTGCCCCAGTCTACCTACCTACCTAGGTATCTTCAAGCATGCCTGCCCGATCTGAATCGTATGGCTGAGGAACGCCCCCGTCAGATGCGAGGATGCCCTGCCGGCTTAGAGCAGGGGGACCCTGGCAGGACGGAAAGCGCATCCTGGCGAGTTGGGCCGATCCACGCGGCCGGAGTCGGCTCAGCCCGTGGAAGCCACGCAGCCAATTGGAAATACCCCGGCCCAGTCCGCCAATTAAGCCTGGAGATTTTCAGGAACTGAGACGGAAACAGGTTTCGGAGATGCGCCACCACCGCGCTACGCACAATGTCGTGGGTGCTCCAGGCACCGTGGCAGCTCTTGACTTTTAGCCTGTCTCTCGCTGCGAGCGACCGAGTCAGATGGAAAAAGGGGTTTCCTGTTAACTGATTTCACCGTGGTGGGGTTCGGTTTTGCGACTGAGAACATACGCCCGGCAAACCTGACACAAATGCCGATCAGGCAAGGCTCCGTCTCGTGCGGCACTGACCATCGCCCATGGCCCCAGCAGCGAGGAAGCTGAAGGATGCAGCGGATGGGGGCGGATGCCACCCCTCGCAAACGCCCCGCCGATGCTGTCGACGGGACGCAGCCAAACTGCAGGCTGCCAGTGCAGACTGCAAGCCCGGCGTTTGCGAACAGACGGCCACCGAGCGCAATCACAACGCTCGCATGGCACTGACGTCTGCAATGTAGATGCATGAGCGAAGGAAATGAAGCAACAAAATTCAAAACTTAATCGGGTTCAATTGCCTTCTCCCGCCCAATCGAAGCCCGCGGGCGTGCACTATTGCTACTGACTAGCCAACAAATCCACAACCACCCGCGGCTGGCTCCTCCCGGCTTCCGGTTCGTGCGGACCTCAGCCTCGTCCTGAGTCTCCTCTGGCCTCTCCCTCTCTCGCACATGCGACCGAGCGACGCTACAGACAGGTCAAGGCCGCCCCGTCACCACTCCTTTTCACTGTCCGCTCCACCGTCACAATCACAATCACCGCTCATTCATTTCACCCTTCTGTCATGCTCCCGCGGCATCCAGCCTCGCGCATTGCTCGCAGCATAGACAGCCCGGTAGCAGCCGCCATCTAAGACAGCAAGACGCTCTGCAGCCCTCACACCGCTTCGGGTCGAACCTCTGGATGCTGCCGGTCAATCAGTAGTCTGCAACTGTTTCGCGCTTGCGCCAGACCGCAGCATCGCTGTCCGCTTAAGCTTCAACCTGCCAGCGCGACGGGCATCCGGCCCATTCACTTGACGAAGAACTCTAGACCAGGCCTGACCCCCCCCATCCGCCGGTCCTGTCTGCACTGTCTCCTCAAGGATCAGCAAATCTTGAACCTCAATACTGCGTCGCTTAGTATCACTATTACCATTTTTATTCCCTTCTTAATCCCTCCCCGACCTGTGGCTGCCAAACGGACCCCGGTAGTCCCAATTTCCTCCGAGATTGAGTCGAACGACTTCTACCCTGTCCCTTCAATTCCACAGCCGATCTTCGAAAGGATTGCCAGTCCGAGCTTCACTGTCGTCGCAGCCAAGTCCGTCACGGACGCAGCAGAGTACCCAGTGTCGTTGATCACACGAAGCTACTCTGCCATCAGACCTTGGCCAAGAACGGAAAGCAGATCTGCCTCCTTTCCTAAGATCTAGCTTCATCCGTCTTCTCCGGGATTAGACGACCAGCCTTGGGTACCGAGCATCCACAAGCCGGTAGACCGCTTGGAGCTGTGGCTCAGAACCTTTCCGTGGATTGCTTAGTCCCGACGCACTCACTTGAGGGCCGTCTTCCCGTCTACCGTGGTCCTAGTCTGCTCTCCACGTCGACATCAAGCTTCGCCTCCACCGCTGCCTCTCTTTTCTTCCTTGAACCCGCACCGACTTGGACCCTGATCCTCCGCTCTCCCGTCACTGGACCAAGGCACGAAGCGCGTTGAAGTGAAACCATCTCTCCTACTTGGATCTTCCTTACATTCCGCCTGTTCCACCGGCACTCTGTCCATCAACTCGTTCAGTGTAAAGTCCGTTGTGATCGTTCTGGCGAGCTGGCACAACCCGAAAACATCCCTCGATTGGTGTACACAGTGGTGAGTGCTGTAGTGTACCTTCAAAAAAGTCAAGCTCTCAGAGTCCTAACCTTCCCGCCAGGCTCTTGAATACTTCTAAATAAACCCGGGATATCTCACTGCACCCTCGGGTGTACCTCCGACGCCAGGATGACTGTGGCTTACGAAACCTATCGTGGTCTTCCTCATCTCTCACAGCATTTGGTGTGCCTGGACGACAAGTTCGAGGTGTTGAAGGATATAGGGGATGGTAGCTTTGGGAGTGTTGCGCTGGCACGCGTGCGAAGCGCCGGCGCCTACTTGGCGAAAAGAGGCACACTGGTAACCGCTGCTCCCCTGTGCACTGTGTAGCAAGGCTTACTCCAAGCAGGTCGCGATCAAAACGATGAAGAAGTCGTTCGATAACTTCGCACAATGCCAGGAGCTAAGGGAGGTTATCTTCCTCAAATCACTACCGCCTCACCCGCACTTAGTGCCAGCGCTTGACATCTTCTTGGATCCTATCAGCAAGAGACTCCACATCGCAATGGAATACATGGACGGCAACCTGTATCAGCTCATGAAAGCTAGAGACCACAAGCGTCTGGACGGTGCAAGCGTCAAGACGATTTTATTCCAGATAATGTCCGGTCTGGAGCACATACACGAGCATAGCTTCTTCCACCGCGACATCAAACCGGAGAATATTCTCGTATCCACCTCGTCCCCACAAGACTCTTCCAATGCGTTCCGGAGGTATTCGGCGCTAGCAACACCGCCGTCAACGCCGCCAGCCTACACGATCAAGATTGCGGATTTTGGCCTAGCCCGCGAGACGCACTCAAAGCTTCCGTACACTACGTACGTGTCAACCAGGTGGTATCGTGCCCCGGAGGTATTACTTCGAGCCGGCGAGTATTCCGCTCCCGTTGACATTTGGGCGATCGGCGCCATGGCTGTGGAAATCGCAACATTGAAGCCGCTCTTCCCTGGTGGAAACGAGGTAGATCAGGTCTGGAGGGTATGCGACATCATGGGTAGTCCTGGCAGCTGGGTCAACAAACATGGAGTAAGAGTAGGTGGGGGCGAGTGGAAAGATGGTGTCCGTCTGGCACAAAAGCTGGGCTTCTCATTTCCGAAGGTGAGTGATGACCGAACGCCCAACCATGAACCGTGTATTGACGGAATGCTAGATGGCGCCCCACTCTATGGATTCCATTCTCCAGGCACCGGAATGGCCTGCTAGTCTAGCGAACTTTGTCACGTGGTGTCTGATGTGGGACCCTAAGTGCCGGCCGACATCCTCGCAGGCACTGGCACATGAGTATTTCGCCGACGCAGTCGACCCGTTGCGACCGAAATCGTCCGCTTCGAGGTTCCTAGCCAGCAAGCAGTCGGACTTGAGCGGCGGTACGCTAAAGGATCCCACCGAAGCCAATCCGACTCTATCTTCCAAGACGTCCTCGTGGTTCAGAAAGTCCCTAGTAGCTCGAGAAAGCGCACCAGCCGTACCTCAGCATGTTGCTGCCGTGCGTCCGTTGTCCCCGCGACCTTCGCCGATACATTCAAACAGCACGGGAATGGATGCTACTGCACCGGCGAAGATTAGGCCTAGTGCAAACAAACGATCAACGTGGACGAACGGATTACCTTCGAACGCTGCTCCCATACCGATATTGCCGTCTATCCGACCAATATCCCCTCTGTCCGACGCAGTGACCGCCCAGGCTAGCGTCAGAGCGACTGAAGCTGAGAACGCCACAAAGAAGATCGGTCGACAGCTTTCAGTGGCCTCTAACGGTAACCACTACACAGACTTCCATCGCCAGGAGGCAGAAAGGGCGCTTACTGGTCAAAGGGAGAGCTTTTTCTCGCACTTGCGGAAACGGGCGAGACGTCTATCAGGTCGCAATCAGGCGCCATTGTCTCCCAACTCGGACGACATTGAGGCTAACGCTGGATGTACACCTTGGGTAAGCAATCGTCAGTCTACCATCGTGGATCCGCCTCCAGCAGTGCGCTCCCCACGTCAATCGGAACTCGCCGACTTGGACAGAGCAATCCAGAACGTTAGGTACAGTCTGGATGCCTCCTCGCAAGCCAGCAATGCACAGACTGTGTTGAAAAGCAAGGCAAGCAATCCATTACTGAAGCGGCACCATTCGCTTCCTTGCGGCCAAGAACCTCTCCCCAACGAGAACAGCGCTGCCGGCTTGACCACTGGTGGTCCGATATCTAGTCGCACTCGTCGAGCAATCCAGAAACAGGCCATGCCCACTCATCGCTACGAGACTCCCGATGAGGAAGACGAGCTTCTGGACGAGGCTTTAACTTCAGCTCATCAAGCAGTCAAACGCCTAGACAGCCACGCGCAGCGGCAAGCGGCAACACAGCAGGATGCTTCTGCTGTGCAGTGTCGCCCTTCAATGCAGCATTTTGCTACCGACCTGGGTCCATCGATGGCGTACCTTACCCCGTCCTCGTCAGCCAACTGCGACGGTGTTAAATTCGGGCTCGACGGTCACTACGTGCCCTCCCAGCCTGTGAATATCGTCAAGCCCCGAGATGCTCGACAGGATCTACAGCCCAAATGGCCGACGCCTCCGTACGAAGAACATGATTGGGCTGCTTCCGTCATCCAAGCAGCCTGGCGCTGATGCCAAAGGACAATGCGACGCTCGGCTCTCTCATACGTCCTCCATGAGTCCTCTTGTACCAGTCTGTAACCTGGCCGTATCCCTTCGATTGTCTTACACGTAATCGTCTCATCATATCTGCCCATGAGCTTCGTCGGACACGGCCTCAGACTAGAGATCATCTGCATTTGATCGGAGTTTCCGGCGTCTGAATACTTCTTACTCTCATTAGATATCTTTCATCTTTCGACTTGGCGGCATATTCTTCGGTGTTAGTCGTGCTACATACCCCTGGGCTTGAGTTCCACTCTCATGGATGGCTGCTTTCTTCCACTTCTACCTAGACATTTGTTCGTTTCGCTCGCGCAATACCCTAGCAATGTTGCTACTTATCTAGACCACTAGCTCGCACAGCTTTCACTTTGTATCTATCTTATACCCATTTGTCATCTGTAACCACATTCGCTTTCGTGGGAGCCTCTGGCTGCACCCGGCGTATATCTTCTTACCTGTTGTAGTGTCTCCTGTAATATATTAATGAGCCGCACGTAGAGCGCGGGATGGCGTCTGTGGAAATTGTTCTGTATAGCGGCGGAAAGCGCGGGCTCTGGCGATAACTTCGGCTGAGCCCTGAGACGCGCTGCTCATAACAAGTCCTAACAATATCCTCTGTTGTGCATTCAAGTTATTGGTGATGAGCTGCTCGTCACGTCCGTGCATCTGTGATGTTCTGTATGGCCCTTCATAACTTCAGTCGCCGTTGATCTAGCTGGCTTACGAATACAGCCTGCATTTTGGGGATCTCTTAACGGTGGGCAGTCATACCTGACTCCAAGACCCAGCTGCATGCAGCTGTTTGCGTCGAACAGAGCTTTCGCACGCTGATATATGCCTCATACTCCTCACGCCAGCGCTCCCATAAACCGGGCCTCATATCTCAGCTGCGACCATTGCTGACTATTCGAACTTAATCTAATTAAATTGCCCGCGGCTGCTGTCCGCGACACTGGGTACCCAAGTCTAGTATGCTTGGATCACCTGTCCACCACGTAAACGTACACTTCACATCGAGCAGCCAGTATTGTCTGTTTACAAAGCTGTCGCTACCTTCATGTTCTCCAAATCAATAGCAAAAGCAAGAATTTCGGTATATCTTTCCGGCTAGCAAGCGGAGACCAGGCTTCAGGCAAGAGAGGATTAGAAAGCATGAGAGATTTGGAGCCCTTCGAGGAATGTGCGGCGGCTCAATAGAAAACTGTTAATAGTAGCGTTTTGGAGGCGATGATAGTGGCTATAGCAAGGGAGTAAGCCTTATGTATTGCTCTTAATAATAATAACGTCCTGCTTCTTCAACATAAACCTGGAGCAGCCTGTGCGAATGATGAATCAATCGGAGACACATGAAGATGGTTCTGTAGCGATCCTGAGCCGAGCCACCTGAACTACAGAAATAATGCGGCAGACTGAAAAGACTGAAACCTCTCCTGTTGTTTTACGGAGACATGTTATCTAGGTATGCTATAGTTGCCGTCTTGCTTGATGTTATGGCTTTCTTTGAATCCCATGAGGAAAAGGTTACGGCTACCGGCCTGTGCCACATGCGAAAAACCTCTACCTTTCTCCGAGAACATTTATCACCATCTCTGCCGCCGCATCCCAGACGCTCCCTGCACACGCATCCGAGATGGCATCAGCACCGGTACCACGTTTCCTCCTCCCACGGCCCTATCTGCCGCTACTCCGCCATCAGCGAGCGCTACAGCGGCAGCCCGCGCTTCCAATCACATCCCGCAACGCCTCTTCCAAATCCACTCGCAATGAGAGACCTATCGTGCTTGAGAAGCCAGACAAGTTCCGGCCACCATCGCACGGAGCGCGATTACCGCCCCGCAAGCAACCACAGTACACATACGGTGCACGACTCACCGATGAACAGATTGCGGAGCAGAAGACCAAGCAGTACCCCCACATGATGCCGCCGGAGGGAAGCTTCACGCACTGGATCTTGACGAACAGGATGCTGCATACCTGGATATCACTTGTACGGCTCGCTCCCTCCGCATAGCCCCCGCCTCAACCCACAGCTAAACTACACCGAGCATCGACTAATGCTTACATTGACCGCAGTCCGTTCTCTTCTCCCTCGCCCTCTTCACAATGCTCACGAATTTCACCAACTCAACCCCCTACGCCGACCTCCTTCCCCCGCGGGACATGCTCCTCAAGCATCCCATTCAGTATTTGACACAATTCAAGGAGGTCTACAAGATGCACACCGCCTATATAACCGCCGAGACGCAGGAGCGGCGGCGGAGGAAGGTTGAGGATGTGCAGAAGCGGGCGGAGTACCGCAAAGCGCATGGGCTGGAGGGCGAACAGGGGCTGGGTGGGTGGACGGCTAAGACGGAGGGCGAGGGGATGGGGCCGGCGTTGGCGGATGACAGGGATACGTATACGGATTTTGAGGGGAAGAAGCGGCCGGTCAAGAAGTGGTTGGGCATCTGGTGAGGTGAAAAGTGTTCAAGTAATCAGTGAAGATCTGCGTGCGTGTCATGCGTTTGACGTTACAGCGGCATTAGTTGGCGTAAGGCTCTGGCGCGCTACGCCCTGTATATTGGTAGAGAAGTTTGTAGGATAAGCCTCACTACTGTGTTCAGCAAATGATAAGTTGAGTTTGGGAACCGCGACGCTGCAGATTGAGGCGCTGCTATTGAAGAGAGTTGGCTCTTTTTTTTTAGTGTTTGAGGCACAGTTCTGGCCGTGATAAAGGTTCTAGATATAGCGTTGTTGATATAAATCTCCAACCATCTGCTCCTCTGAAACTTTCGTGCACCTTACCGGTGGATACAGCGCTACCGCTAGGGTGCCACCAAGCGCGTGTCTGGTGATTTGCCGCGCTCTACCGTATTTTGGACATGTTCGGAATGGCACCGAGGGATGTTCAGCTGTTGCTGCTGCTGCTTGGCAGTTGCCAGGGTCGGGAGAGGCTTGTAGGGGTGTTCTTAAACCCTTCGCTGCCATTCATCTCTCCAGGAGTGGTGGTAACCGTTGATGCGTCAAGTCTCCACGTTGGCTAGTCCTTCCATGATCTCTTCGCCAACACCGCCTTTCTCAAGAGCCATCTTTACTATCCGCCCTATCAAGCTTCTCTTGATCCCACCCCTCGGCGGCCTCCACACCCCGCCAGCATCTGACACCTCCTGCTGGGTGACGGCGTCTTGATTGCTTGTTGGCGCGATGCCGCCTGTAGTGCTGTTCATGCTGTTCGGTATTCCCGGCGGCGTGAGACGAGATGGCGGGTCAATGGTTCGGATCGCTAGTAGTTTCAAGCCTTCCCCAGTCTCCAAGTGGCCGACTGACACAGCAACCACGGCTTCTGCTACTGCTAACTCCTCTTTTGAGGGATCAAAGATTATGTTCTGGCCGACAGCGATGACCAGCAGTGTTATGGGCGGTCTGTTAGTCCTGGCGGTAGACTTCGTGGGATTACCCGAAGCTAACGGGTAGAGGAAGGTTGAGGCATCCCAATCGTCGTCGAACAACGGGTCTTCGTCAAGCTCAGATTTCAGGCGCGGAAGGCGGGAAGAGAGAAGGGCGAGGTGTGTTGTCAGGGAGAGGAGAGGCAGCGGATATGAGAACGTTGATGAGAGGAGCAAAATCTAGTCGGAACCATTAACGGTGTTCCATATGCACGGCGCATGTTGTTTGTCCTCACGTCGATATACAGCTTCCAGTGAAACCGCCGGTTGATGTACAGCCGGTCCTTCAGCTTCCCGCTCGCAAGCAACGCCTCTGTGAGCATAGCCGACAGGAACACAGGTAGCTGATCATCGTCTCTGAAGCCAGGAATATCGGTGCTCATCTCCACCCATGCATTCTCCCCCTTCCCTTCTATCTCTGTGTTTCCGTTATCTGCATCCTCATCATCGCCTAGGATCTCGATGTCTCCTCCCCCAGTCCCCAGATGCGCGCCATGCTCCGGTCGCCATTGGCTCTTCTCAACTTCAGCTTTGATGCCGACAACAGCTTCAGTACCATCAGCGAAGCATACGCGGGCGCTGCCGTTCGCAGAAGCAAGAATGTCGGTTTCGGCGATTAACGGGCGGAGCTGCGTGGGTGTACGGCCATCAGGGCGGATCGGCGGCGAAAGCGAGAGGGAGGAATGTAGATAGGAAAGCTCGGCCGGAGATAGTGGGAGGAATTGAGTGCTGGATGCTGGCGCCATTGGAGAGAGATCGCTCTGAAATATTTATCGAGGGCTGTGATGCTATGGCGCGACCCTTGCACACCGGGAATTGTGCGAAGAGCCGCAACACCATGACATCATCGTCTGGTTAGACAATCTCATCGCTACTTGCAAAACAAAACCCGTAGGACTGTCCACGGCATTAAGATTCCCGTACCACCATTTTGCAGATTGTCAATGCACCAACAGGACTAATAAATCGGGTGGGGTTCCTTTGCCGTGAACAAACACGCCTGGGCGGAGAAGTTACGATAAAGCGCAGTAATGATGAGGTTGCAGTACGGGAACGCACAGCACCGTGCAATTTAATGAGACTGGTCAAGCAGTACGTAAGTTTCGTCGCCGCCAGCTGAATGGCGGGTCCTTCGGTCAGTTCAGGTCCACGAGCAGTCAGGGCACCGCCGTTGAAACAATAGAATATTGCCAGAGTAACTACTCGCCATCACCCAAGAGTGCTAAGTATTTCATGAGCAAGCCTGTTTCCACCTCATTTCCGTCTTTGGTGCGCTCCTTCCACTTTGTCATCTGGATATACAGGAAGGTCACCACCCCCGTGGGTTCCTTTTATACTATGGCCTACTCCGTTAGTCATTCTCTCTCCACGTACATGAGTAAGGGCGGTCGAGCTTGACTGCGCAAACTGAGAAGTACGCGGAGCCATCGTCGTTTTGCTGGTTTGGAGACAGCTTCGGGTTCGACGGGCATCAGATGCATTACGGAAGGAATCCATGTGCACTGAAGTGCGTAAGTTGCAGCTCGATGTCACTGGTCTGCCAACCTCTGGCTTCTCGCGTCATATTAAAGCATCCAGGTCCATATTTAGACAATTCCTCCGGGAGGCCTTCGCCGCATCTCAGCAGCTCCTATCACAGAAAGCGTCAGCGTTGTTATGTAGACGCCGAGGACTAGTCGTACGGTTGGAGATCTGCGGAAGCACTGAGCCAGCTTGTGCTGAAGACAAACGGCTGTTCAGCTGCGGTCAATGGCAGCATGTCCAAGACGTCGTGCTTCGAGGGGCCGCTCCTGGATCGAGAGCAAGCTGGTGATCCGGAGAATGCTACGGATGATGAGTTCCAACGGCACTGGCAGGCTCCACTTCGTTGTCCCGATATACACTACACTCCGTGTCTTAGAGGAGTTTATCCAGTTGCGACAGAATCGAGTATACCTCCGATACCGGCGCCATGGATACTTCGGAGGAGTACTTGATGACCAACATGCCTCCAAGGCTCAGTTCGCTCTGTGCTCCGGTCCTGGCGGTTCGACCCAGCGCGGCGGACAAAGCCTAGAGGAAGTCTTATAAGTGTCAAAGACATACTAGACCCTAGGGCCATGGGCCTCCTGCGAGCGTGATAGATCGTATGCAGTGTAAAAAGCGTTATTCGCTCGGCGACCCCGCTGGGCATGGCATTATATCATTTACACTCACCTACAACGGATATTCTTCCAGGAATGCTTAGGTCCCCGCGCAAACCAGATCTACACAGCGCCTTGAGGCCGTTGTTAGCTTGCGGAGCTCCCCTTGGACGCCGACGCAGTTGCAGGGTGGACCAGATCTCATCATCTGAGGTTGAGGGGTAGCCACATCGTGCTAACAGATGGGTAAGTCTGGGCCCTAAGCCCGAAGGACTCGAGGTAACCAAAACCCTATGCAGACGCCCGTAGACTCGTCATAATCTTGGATACAGTCGGGTAACGATTGAAAAATCAGAGGTGTTTCGACTGATATTGTAGCAGAATTTACACTTGATACTCCCCTTACTGCCTGTCAGTAGCAGCTCTCCAACCAACTTACGACCCAGAAAACGGTTGCTTGCACACCGTACATGCAGCTGCTCCCGCTATCGCGTGATCCTGCCTACCAAATGTTGGCAGGAGTTCCCTGAAACCGGCCGATGGTGACACAAACCACACATTCCTGGCGTAGCGGGCATTCCGAATGGGGACCGTCCCAGAGGCCGTCCGGAAGCAACCGATACGCCATCAGCTGCGCGCAAGTCGACTGGCTCCTCATGCAATACAGCCTCAAGGTTTGGCGCCGCCCAGACGGCACAACAGTCGCCCAACAGGGGTCTCCGCATCAGCAGCGCTTGAAGGGCTTGACGCACATCACATCAGAGACACGGGCAAGCTAGCGTGTCAGCCGTTCGCCATACAGCGGCGCTCACACTTACCTCGTCCTGCGATCTAGCCTTACCGAATCTAAAGATCTAGTAACCCACATCGACAGTTTCGAACAGATATGTACAGTCTAGCACAGCAGACTGGTCTTAAGACACGGAGTCTTTTTGCGTGGGCCATCGAAGGGACCACGGGCCCAGGACATGCACGTAGCCGCTGTAATCTGAACACTGGCCATCAAGCATGCACCAGATCTGACTCTGCACGAGACATTTTGCTTCCCGGTCTGCACGTCTTTTGCGAACGTGAAACTGTGGATAGAGCCAATCTCTCCAACCGCACGGTTGGGTGGGCAGCTGGAAAAGATCACTGGCGTGAGGAATGTGACCCTCGAGGCGTTTGTGCAACGGCGCCTCCTTGCGGCCCACTCACGCAACGGCGGCTCGATCCATGGTTCCTGCAGGACGCTCCGCTGGGTATTCAGGCTATCTGAATGCTGCAGGTCACTGAGCTTCGCGACGAACTGGTGGGACCGGAGATCTACAAACACATTCGTTTGCAGGCTGCCTTCGATCGGCTGACGGTGGCAGCTTCGGCGTGGACTTCATGTCTGCTTTCGGTATGGCAGGTACACCGTCCAAGAGTGGCGCGGAAAGGCTCGATTCCCTCAACTAGCAGACTCGTATGGCCGTTTTCGATCCGAATCGAGCTCTAGCAGACTCCACTCTACCTGGAGAGGAGGGCAGGTTGACACATTATAGAAGACCTGACGATTCGCACTTGCGAGACACCAGCTGGTTGTTCTTCCCAAAACAGCCGCAGTGTTCCAGAGGTGGTGACCGATCCAGACTACTACGAATCCGGATCACGTTGTCCGTCTTCAGCCGTGTGATTCTCCCCTTCTACGTGTGCGGTCAACTCGACGATCACTTGTCGGTACAAAAACCTACTCTGAGTACCCAACACTGTTGGACAAAGAATTGCTGCCACAGCGCTGGGGCGATTGCTTCTTACTGCTCGCTCGCTGCTGTTCGGCTTCTCGACAAAGAAATTGTCAAGACGTCGGCGCCTCAGAAACACTGTACTTCTCCTGACAGCGTGTGTTTTGCTTGCCGCTCGTGCTATTGCGACAGTTTGTCTGAGGAGTCCTTTGGAGATTTCTGCGGCTGCATCGCGCAGACGTAGCGTCGTTGTCGACGGGTATCCGCAAGAGAGGTACGTCCGCAGAGATCCGTTTCTAGTAATTATGCGATGAAGCGTGGAACACCTTACACAAACTCCTTCTCTTGCAGATAATGGAAGAACAAGAGTACATCTGATATCGATCAGTCAGATTATTTCCACGAAAGCCAGGGAACACTCCGATTAACAGAATTTCCAGAACCTTGTGCAAAGAGCTACTGTTCGCCAAAAGATAAACCCCTATCCGATCTCTGGCACGAGTCTACCGCACAAACCGGATCCTGCATGCACTTTGTTGTCAGCAATCGCCCGCTCTCGGATCGTGAAGCACGTCGCCGTAACGTGGATATGTTGATAGCAGAAACAATGATCCAGCAACAACCGCCAACTCCACGAGGAAGCTCTGAACTCGAATACGGCCTTCACCACCTAGTACAACACAACACCAGTGCTAGCTTCCAGCATGGAATGGAGGACTACCTGCACGCCAGACAGCCATCTGGTTATGGTTCGCCCGGACAGATGCAGTATCCAGACCTACATGACCCCGCCGAGGTTGGCTTGGGCATCCAATTCGTAAGGAGAAAAGATTACGCTCATTATGACCAGGCTGACTCGGAAGCAGGAAGGACAAGGAGGCCCAGGACCTGCCTACTACGATAGCCAAACAATGCATGGCTTACCTGTAAGCCATCACGGGCCCCTGCTCGGTCATGCCCTGAGCTGCAATGCTGACCAGTCATATTTACAGTACATGCGGCACGACACCTACACGGATCCTCCGACTCCCCAGTCGGCCCATAGCGAAAAAGGACAAAGGACGAGAAGCGGCCGCTCAACTGTGCCAAATCTATCTCGCTCAAACAGCCGGACCCGGGTATCCAAGTCACCAAAGCCAAAAAAATCTAAAGCTGCCAAGAACAAGTCTAACATGCCGAAGCTCGAAGCACCCCTCAGCGAGCTGACGAAGGACATGGCGCATATTCCGCTCAAAGACATGAATGAGTGGGTCAACCGATCTCCCGAAGTGCGGAGGCAGGAGGTTGAGAAACGAAATGGCTACGTCACCAGACCGATGAACTCCTTCATGCTGTATCGATCGGCCTATGCGGAACGAACCAAGGAATGGTGCTCTCAGAACAACCATCAGGTTGTATCGTCCGTCTCAGGCGAAAGCTGGCCGCTTGAGCCCCCAGAGATCCGCGAGATGTACAACGAGTACGCGCGAATTGAGAGGAACAACCACCAAAACGCGCATCCTACATACAAATTTTCTCCAAGCAAGGTCGGCTCAGCGAGGAAGCGAAAAGGAACCGAGTCAGACGAGGAGGAGGAAGAATCGAGCGACATCGATGATCCAGACGCCGACTGGGGTCCACCGGGCCATAGAAGCAGAAGGAACAGGCCCAGCAAGCGGCAAGGAAAGGAGCTTCCATACCCAGCCTACAACACCGTGCCGTCTAACTACGCTCCGTATGGATACGTGCAGAATGATGGAATGAACCCGTCAGCATGGGAGGCGACCAACGAAGGCAGACCGCCACCCGCCGCCATCGGCTCTGCAAACATGTACAACCAGTACTATCAGACAACCGTCCATCAGAACGCTTCAGCGCCGGGCTGGGAGGACGTCCGGATGCGCGCGATGGAGGCTCCGAGTATGCAACACTACACTGCACCTGGTGGACAGTCTCTTATCGGCCTCCCTGGCGGACAACATCACGATCTTCTTCAGGGGTACTCCCACAACGGCACGCCGATGCAGTTTGGGGAACACGTCGACCCAATGCTCCTTCCGTTAGACAGCAACGCTTTTGGAGAGCAAGTAGATGGAATGCAGTTCGGCGGCTCCTATGGAGTACCGCTTGATAATGGCGGCCTCGGGGAGTACGATTATCGCTCTGGAGCCTGGCCGGTCGACCCTACACTTGGTCCTCCCCTAGGGGAGGGTTCGGAATTGGACCAGTTGGATGGGTGAATACTGTGAGCGGATGTGGCTGTCGAGAGCGCATAGCAGATCATTGTCGAGTCGCTCGTTGACCATACCATGCATTGGAGGGCGTTCCGTTCTGCTTTCAGTCCATCGGTTCCGGATCGCCTAGACGAAGATACCTAGCGGGAGAGCAGCTTTTGGATTGGGGTTTTCGGGCTCGGGCGGCGTCTTCTGATTCTATCCCCTTGGAGCCACATCACTGTTCTCTTTGTCTTGCGCCTTTGCTGCATGTAGAAGTAACCTGCTTCCACCGTTGGTGACACGAACTGCGTAGATAGCAAACACTTCCGTAACTAGACTCGGGTAACAATCGCCTTGTGTGCTGGCTTTCCCCCCCAAGCCCCTGAAATCACGCGCCATAGACGGAGCAGCTAAATCTGTCTGTAAAACGTTTGACCAACGGATCGCAAACCAGCAGAGCATGTGGCACACGTGATGGTCAAGCTGATGGTGCAGGTGAGGTTCGAGCGAGCAGAGTATCCGCCGTCCTTGAGAACTGACTCGGGAAAGCTCCCTGCAGACAAGGATCAAGCCCGACGCCTGACGCCATCGCATGTGAAAGACGCGGTCTGCAGCAATACTCGACGCGCCCGCTTCAACTCCAGCGAACATGTACGGCGAGCTTGGAAACAAGCTGGTAAGCAATCCTACGCCCATCCAACTGAACAATCGGCTTATTATCCAGGTCCAACACGCCAAACGCACCCAATCCCTCGCCCACCTTCCACCCTACCAGACTGAAATCGTCCGCGCTTTGACGCGCGAAGTCCGCGACCTCGACAAAGATGTCGCCGCGCTGCTCGAGCCCTTCCAAGGCTCCTTCAATCCCTCGGCGGACCCCTCGACCGCCTGCGCTCTGCTGGTCAACCACCTCTGCATGCGCCGCAACAAGCGCTGCCTGCTCGCCTACCACCGTGTCCGCGCCGACAAGCTGGAGGAAATGTGCTGGGCAGGCGTGGATGTGCTTGAGCGGCAGCAGCAGCAACAGCAGCAGGAGCAAAGTGTGGCAGGCAGGCCGAGAGTAGAGGGCGCGTTGGGCGGGGATGTGGGCAACGAGAGTAGCTTGAGTCCTGAAGAGGAGGAATATGTGAGGCAGTATGGCGACCTGTTGGCTGCGTACAAGGGGCAGTGGACGGATATAGACCTTACGGGGAGCTTGGAGCCGCCGCGAGACTTGTTCATTGATGTTAGGGTGCTGAGAGATGCTGGGGAAATCCAGACAGAATATGGGTATGTACTTAATGCGGGTTCTGGTGATTAGCTGGGCTTGAAGGCTGACGTGCATGTAGGGCTATCAACTTGACGAAAAACAGTCAATTCTACGTCCGGCAGGGAGACGTCGAAAGATTGATCGCACAGGGCTATCTGCAACGCCTCGGCTGATTCCGACCACGCGGTACGAACGAAGTTAAGAAGCAAGGTTGGAGTCAAGCGGCGTCGCAAAGCGTGCTGTGGACGGCACGCGACACTCGGCAGAAACCTAATCGGAGGCTTGAAGCATCTCACAGCGGTTCAAGATGCGTGAGATCAGCTGGCTCCTTCAGTCTTCCTGGCATTGGTGGACTCCTCCTGAGCAGGGCTGCGGCCCGAGTACCGTTAATTTGTATCTATTTCACTGAGGTCATCAGTCGGAGAACTGCAGGCGTGAAGTTTCCTGGCAGGACACGGCTTGGAAGATGCCAGGGACTTTGCGCGAGAAGCGAAGCGAAGCGAATGGGAGCAAAACAGGGGCTGTGGGGGAGCCGGCATGCTGATGCGCCCTGAGAATGCAAATCTTTCGTGCAACCTGCTGAAGATGGGAGTCAGTACCTGATTGCAGAGGTTAGCACTCCTCGTGGCACTCTAGAGTAGTTAGGAGAAATCGAATTGGCGGGCCAAAAACCTGATATCGTCTTGGAAACTTTCCGTGAACAGGTTGTTGGAAAGTTCAAGGTGGAAAGGCTTTAAGGCGATCCTGCACCCTTCAGGCAAATCACTGCGTGGCCTCGGGTCGAATTCCTCTGGAACTGCCCAATGCCAGGGGGGAGCTGAGACTGATCTCGCGTCACCCTGCAGACGTCGTCGTCGTCGTCGTCGAAACTTTTTCACGGCGTCACCTGGGCAGACAACGGGAATCCAAGCATCGGACAATCCAGGTCAATCCAGGTCAAGCCTTTTTGCGCTCGGGACCAGTGGGACTCTTTCCACGCTTCATGCAAGCGCAGACACATCCATGGATGGTCAGCTTCCGGGCCGTTTCCCATACCCCCACCGATAATCGGACCTTGCTGGTCCTTCGCCTCCACCATGTATGATAGCGACTTAGTTACAGCAAAATAGTTCTCCAATACCATTTAATATCCTTCTAGTCACATGTCTTCCTGACCAAGATGACATAGCACCTGGCAGTACCCCAGGAATATCCCAGCTCGCCATTGGATACCTAGTCCCTTTATCGAATCGACCGTCGCCCGGCATAGCTTGAGCATCGCGCCCTCAGGATGTCAAGAAGCCCGCCCGACAGATCTGAGGCGATCGCCAGCTCCAGCTCGTCTCAGCAGCAGAACCGGCAACAGCAGCTCCCATTCACCAACGACGCCGTGGACCAATCCGACTTCTCCCAGCTCGAAGCTGGCACATCCTACGCGAACAACGACCCCAGTTCCACTCGACCACGGTCCTCCACACTGGGTGCCAACCTGTCGACGTCGTACAGCAAGACTCCAGCAAGATCGTTTTTTCACCATGCCTCCCACGGCTCCCTCGGTACACCTCCCCACAAACGCAAAGATGGGAAAGATAGGCACTGACGCTTGAATTTTTCAGATCGCGCACACTACGCCTCGGATGGCGTGCGCGACAGAACACAGCAGCTGGCATCAATGGCACTTGAAGACTCGGATTCCTTCCGTTCCGGTACCCCCGTCCCTCGACGCTACGCAGCGCCAGGTTCTGATGCGACTTTGGCGAGTCACATAGATTCGTCTCTGGCAGACCGAAGCACCAACGAGCCGCGACAACCTTTGGAATCTTATCTACGTGATGATGTTATAGAGGAGGTTTCAGAACCAGTATCACCCGAGGAGGAAAGTTTTATACCCGCGGCTCGAGACATGCCCAGAGGGTCTCTCATTTCGCATTTGATCCGCACTTCGCCGCCCAAGGAAAGCGAGGACAACGTAATACGCACAGAACCGGACAATGTTCATGCTCGTGGTCGAAGGGACGTTCCGGAAGTCGTGGTGGGAGATGGCGCTCTGGAAGCAGACGAGACCGCAGCACTGCTCCCGAAAACTCATCCAGCTGATCAGGACAAGAAGCGTCAATATGGCTCAACTGGAGAGGTGGATGAATGTTCTGGACAGGGACAAAGCAGATGGGTGGGGTCTCAACGAGCGCTGTTAAGAGTCAAGAGCCGTGCAGCTGCAACGCTTTCAACCGTAAAAAATCCTAAAAGCTGGGACAAGAGAGTTATCAAGAGGGCTGCCCTTGGACAAGTGAAAACCCTCCCTGCTGTGTTCCTTGGTTTATTGTTGAACATCCTGGATGCCCTCTCATACGGTAAGCAATGCCTTACTGCCGCCATAGCGTCTGTATTCATTTTGATTTAGGAATGATTTTGTTTCCACTTGGGGAGCAGATATTTGCGCAGACAGCAGCCGACGGTATCTCTATGTTCTTCGTCAGCTGCATCATATCTCAGCTTACTTACTCCTGCGGACTATCCATATTTGCAGGCGGCGTTGGCTCAGAAATGGTACGTCTCATCTTTGCAACGACTCCTAAATCTTGCAATCCGCCTGACACCTGCCAGATCGAAGTTGTCCCTTTCTTCCACAAAATGACCTACCTGATCATGGGTCAAATGGGCGATGCCGATCCCAAGGCCATCATGGCTACGGTGATCTTGTCTTACGCCATGAGCTCCGTGTTAACAGGCATCATTTTCTTTGTACTGGGGTTCTTCAAGCTAGGGCGTCTAGTGAGCTTCTTCCCTCATAGTATTCTGCTCGGCGCAATCGGCGGTGTTGGATTCTTTCTCTTCGTTACTGGTATCGAGGTTTCCGCGAGATTACCCGGAAATCTTGAGTATAACATGGCTACTCTTCGAGAGCTTCTCCGGTCCGATACTATCACACTATGGGTGCTGCCACTCGTTCTCGCAATAGTTTTGTTCGCATTGCAGCGCTTCTTCAAGAACCCGTTCGTTATGCCCGCGTATTTCGTCTTCATCACTGCGGTCTTCTATTTCTTTGTTGCCGTAGTTCCGAGTCTAAACCTTGAGCTATTACGGGCCAAAGGCTGGGTTTTCGAGAAGCCCCCATCTGGAGTTCCATTCTACCGCTTCTACAGCTACTACAGTGAGTTTCATGCTCCACCCGTAACCTGCGACTAACCTGACGGACATCCAGACTTTGGACTGACCGACTGGAACGCCATCGTCAGATGTATTCCCACGATGTTCGCGTTGTCCTTCTTCGGCATCATACACGTCCCGATCAATGTTCCAGCATTGGGCTTGCAAGCCGAAGAGGACAATGTTGACATCAACAGAGAGCTGATAGCGCATGGCTTCTCTAACACACTTTCTGGATTTGCTGGCAGTATTCAGGTATGTCTGTTAAACACCGATCTGTATTTGGGTTGTGCTAATGTTTCCAGAACTATCTAGTTTATGCCAACAGCGCTCTCTTCATCAACAACGGTGGCAACAGTCGGTGGGCGGGTATCGAGCTAGCCATGGCCACGTTCGCTGTATGGCTTGCCGGACCAGGAATGATTGGATATATCCCAGTCTTGGTCGTCGGGACTCTCATATATTATCTGGGTATAGATCTACTTCAAGAGGCACTATGGACAACATTCGGAACTCTGCAATGGCTTGAGTATTTCACCGTAGGATTCCCTCTCTGCAAAACTTTCTCCGCGCTAACCACTGATGATGTTAGATCGTTGCGGTAGTGCTCATCATGGGCATGTATGACTTTGTCGTCGGCGTCGTTACAGGTATCGTTCTTGCCTGTCTTGTATACGTCATTCAGACCTCACGAGCACCGGCCATTCGTGCAACTTATGATGGGCGAGTCGCCGAGTCAACCGTACGCCGGCATTTGGTCCAGCGCCGCTATCTGCACGAAGCCGGCCGGCAGATCTATGTCGCCAAGCTAGCTGGGTACCTGTTCTTCGGCTCGATCGTTTCTGTAGAGACGAAAGTCCGGGCTCTGATCGATGACGAAGAGTTCAAGAAATGTCCTATCCGATATTTCATAATCGATCTCTCGCACGTCGATGGCTTGGACTTCTCGGCTGCTGGGGCGTTCAAGACGATGCAGCGTCTGCTTCGTCGTAGGAAGATCGAGATGCTCTTGTCTGGTGTGACTTTGAGCGACGATGTCGGCAAAGGGTTGACAAGAGCTGGGATTCTGGATGAAGAGGCTGCAGATCAGAAGAATCCACCACCGAAGGTATTCGAGAACCTGAACAAGGCTCTGGAGTACTGTGAAAACGCGCTCTTGACGGCTTTCATTCAGCGCACGAAGTCGCTCACGCAGCCGGAGCAGTCAAAATCTATGGGTAGGTACTCTTTCTCGTCCAAATCCCACTTATTCCAGCTGGCTGACGTTCTCTAGCTGTTCCGAGGCCGAGCGCGCCATCACATCCTTCCGAAGGCTCATTCAATTCACCCCGACGTCACCTTCTTCATGAGGCCGCCAATACTGCGCTTACCGATCACAGAAACACGACCGTTGACGAGCATAACATCATCTCTCCATCCAAGTGGAAAAACTTTGCGCAGCCAGTACTGCTCATGCTTCAAACGTTCCAGGATCTGACGGACAAAAACGAAGACTTCTGGCACCGAGCAGCACCTTTCTTTCAAAGAAAAGAGTTTCCAGCGGGCACGGTGCTCTACTCCCGCGGCGACGAACCGGACGGCTTCTATCTGCTTGAGAAAGGCGTACTGCGTGCTGAATACCAGCTGGAGCAAGGGACATACTACGAGTCCATTATGCCTGGCACCACATGTGGCGAGCTGCCGTTCTTCTCCGAGACCGACAGAACGGGCACGGTGGCGGCTGAGGCGGACTGCGTTGCTTGGCTCCTGACGCGCGAGAAGTGGAAGGAATTGGAGCAGAAGCAGCCGGATGTCGCGTCGGAGCTTCTGAGGATCAGTCTGAAGCTGACGAGCGAGAGGATGAGCGCCATCACGTCCTATGTGCTTGTTACTGCGAGCTGATGTGGTGCAGCACTGTATATACATGTACATAAAAGGTCCGCATAGGTTTCTTCTTCGCGAGCGCCTTCGCTGTGTCTGATATTTGTAGGAGTCATTTGGATCCATCACACGATAAGGCTGGGCATGGGCTTTTACATGGCGTGTTGCGTCTACAAGACTTGTAATACGGCTACCTGTTAGATACGCCGCCGCTGATATTGACTGCGGGATGCTCTGCAGGCCCAACCAGTTATTAGGGCCAGGCCTATGAAGGCTGTTGACAACTGTCAGAGCCCGCACCTTATTGTGGATTATCATTTATTACACTTCATGTCCTCTGAGACTATAGCATATCCCAAATCAAAGGGGTTTCAGGCTGATAGCAGTCGGTGTTACCGTAGTCCCTGCTGGGGGTGCTGCTACTTGTCGTCAGAGCTTGATTGCTCCGAGTCTTAATGTGGTCCGGGCAGACACGAAAGTCCAGAACACCCATTTGGCAGATATAAGCAGTATTTCCGAGCTACGCCAACCCTGAGGAGCGTTACAGGGTCACTGCGCGGCTCTGAAATCCGGAGTCTTTCCCGTTTTTCCCACTTTTAATATTCAATAAAACGGGCCTCATCTCACGGAGACCACAGGACGAGGGTCCCCTGGAGTGAGCGCTTGTCGCCGCTTTTCCCACTCGGTGACTAGCGCGTCACGCGAAGACTCAAGGGTCTCCTGCCCTCAAACGGAGATCCATGCAGTGAGTCGCCGCAAAGTGGAGACACTAAAACCGCCCGCAGAGCCGGCCGACGTGGTCGGTTTGCTTAGCGCCTCAGGAGATAAACAGCCATTGGTGCTTGATCCAACCTGTGCATCGTTGTGCTAGTTTCGAGGTGAGCTCCAACGAAAGATTGACACTCGTTCTATGCGCGGCGACTGTCTCGTTGGTCAAGTCAGTGATAGGAGGCTCTGCTGCGTTGGAGAGTGCGCACGAAACGGACAAGAGACGACAATCGAGAGAGTGCAGACGGCATGCGTGGCAGGAAACCTTGCAACATGCGGATAGAGACGGCGACAGATGCTGACAGCATGTGACACCCAACGGATGGCCTATCAGAGGCACTGGCGTCTAACCTTGGCCCTTCCAGCAGCGGGCTGCATCGTCGTCGAATATGGCCAAGTCGCGATGATGGAGGGATGGAGGGTCATGCGACTGCGACAGCTTTGCGGATCTCGGCAGCTCTCAGTTGGTGCTGTCAGTTCATGAGGAAGATAAATCGCCGTGACACGCAGCTTTGCACAGCGCGCCTGGAGCACCCTTAGCCTTTGACAGTTTACGTGACACCTGCCAGCCACCCGACCTCTCGTGAGCATCAAGCGTCCAGTGCGTCCGAGGAGCGAGATTAGCTTAGCGCCAAGCCCAAACACCCCAAACACTCAAACCACCCCTTCCGTGCTCGCAGCACAAAACTCGTGCGCCCCTTCTCCGCCGACTTTTTCTCTCACCACTTCTGTATTCACAGCCTTTTCTTCGCTCGACTTCATTGCTTGAGCATCCTTGCAACGAGAAGGCAGAGATCAGATTCTATTGCTTCTCCTGCTCCAGCCATTGTTTGTAATACTGCGGCCTCCCTCGCTGCTTCCTGACTTCTGATACCCTTATCTTTGTTCTCAAAGACCCGGAAGAGCCGCTTTCCCCGCACAAATTCAGTTGGGCATTCTTCGTATTCTCAGCTTCGTCCTACACCATGTCTGCAGAAGCACCAAAGTCTACCATCGCCGGGACGCCTGCCGTCTCTGAGCCAGTCACCCTTCAGCCTGCTGAGACCACAATCGGCGGATCCAGCACCTCGACTGCACCGGCAGTGGACGGAGCAACTTCCACCGATGCCGCAAACGATACCGGGGCATTGCAGGGCGAGGCGGCTGCCACCGAGGCAACCAAGAACACTGTGGAGCCCATCTACTCGGGTGCACTGAAGTATAAAGCACCAGGTCTTGTCAAGTGAGTCGGTCTAAGATGGTCGGAGTTTGCCGTTGAGCGTGCACTAATGACAACCGATTGCAGCAGCTTCCTTGGCTCGAAGAAGTACTTCTGGCTCGGCGACGAGGCGGTCTCCGCACAGAACCTCAGCTCGTACCTCCGCGGCGAGAAGGCAGAGGTCGCACACCCGACTGCCGCATGGTCAAGCCAGACTGGCAAGGGCCTCCTTTACTTTGCTAAGCATCCCACTGACAAGGCAACCCCGGCTGGTGTTCTCAACTTGGTAGGGCACACTGTTGCACACCTATCTCGAGCGGAGCTGACACTTCTGGACAACAGGCGGACGCGTCCGATCTCATAAAGGAAGGGTTTGAAAGCTTCTCCTTCAGGATTCATGGGCAGAAGCACACTTTCGAAACCAAGACGATTATCGAGCGTGATGGCTGGCTCCTCGCCATGGAGAAGACCATGGAGGAGGCAAAGGCTTCCAAGGACGGCATCCTGAGCAGTGAAGGATACAAGGAGAGCGTCTCGCAGCTTGGTAAGTTTGACGCGTCGCGCAATTTTCGCGCAACTTTCGCTTGCACGACCCTGCGTCTTCGCTTCATCCCGTGTCAAAGCTCACATGCAACTAGGCAAGCCGGCCGCGCTAGCGGGTGCGTCCCATGCTGCCGCCAGCTCCACCCCGAGGAAGAGCATCGACGCTCTGAAGCCTACCGACGGTCCCGCTCGCCGGGGATCCGCCAGCAGCAGCTCGTCTTCGGACGTCAATGGCACGAAGAAGTCTAAGAAGTCCAAGAGCAAGAGCCGCTCCGTCTCTCGTGGCAAGCGTGCTAGCATCTTCGGTTCCTTGATGGGCAAGAAGGAAGAGCACGATGTGAAGAAGGCGGAGAAGCACGAGGACGCGCCTGCCATGCCTGCTGTCGTGGATACGACAAGGACAGATGCGCCGGTCGTCGCAGGAACTACTGCACCTATTGACGCCCACGCCATTGGTAAGTAGCATCGCTGCACAAGCAATCGTGTGTTCTAACACACGGCAGCCGAACGTGTCCTGGAAGCTCCGGCAGTCACCATTGAGCCTTCGGCGACTACCGCGACTGCTCCTGTAGCCACGACTACAACCGAGGGCATCACCGAGGCCACCGAACCGAAAAGCACTACAACCGCTCCAAAGCCGACCAAGCGTGGATCCGTCTTTGGGACATTCTTTGAAAAGGTTCGCAGCCCGGTTCATGAGAAGAAGGAGAGCGAGGTTGCTCCCACGGTTCCACCCAAGGATACCGAAACATCAGCCACCGCTCCCACTACGGAGACCAGCGAGCCTCTCACCTCGGCTGCTCCTCTCAGTGCCCCGACCGAGACCACGACTGCGACCTCGGCAGCGGCGACCACACCCCACAAGGAGAGGGAGAACTTCTTTGGGAAGTTCCTGGGCAAGAAGGAGGCCAAGTCGCCAGCCACCGAGGCTCCTCCTGCCATGCCAACCACCGAGAAGGCTACAGAGACTCCGGCTGCTGCCCCAATGGTCTCGCCTGCGGCCGAAGAGAGGATCACCGACGTTCCCGCCAACGGCGCTGCCACCACTGTTCATTCCACTGCCACGCCCGAGCCGAAGGACAAGCGCCGCACTTCCTTCTTTGGAAACCTTACCGGCAGCGTCAAGAAGGACAAGAAGCCAGAAAACCATGTTGAGGGTGAGTTGCCTGTTGAGACTGAGCACAAGCAGTCGGGCGTCTCCAAGCTCGGTGGTCTTTTCCGCAACCCCAGCAAGGCTATGAAGTCCAACAAAGAGACGAAGAAGGATATCACTCCTCCGTCGACGGTTGAGGAAGGCAGCGAGGCGCCTGTGCTCCCTGCCCCGACATCAGAGACCGCTGCTCATGTCGGCACTGATGGTCCCCTCGGCACAGACGAGATCACCCCAGCCGGCCAGACATCCCTTGGCAATGTTAGTGGAAATGGCATTCACAATGGCCAGACGCCGCCCCAAAGCACTCCTGCAGTCCATGCCACCGCATAAATTCGGAAACGTTTGCTGGTCTTGGAGGGGTCTTTACATACGGCAACCGCAAGATGACATGGAGGGCATCCCAGAACATGATGAGGAGGCACCAATCATCAAAACTCGTCTGTGTATCGACCTCTCCTCGGCCAGTTCACGCCTGGCGGCGATTTACCACCATTGCCCACCGTCCCCAGCAAGATGGCCTCCATGCTGCTGAATTCTAAAGGGTTCGCTTTCGCTTAATGTCCATCACCCAGGTCACGGTTGTGGGAACTGCAAACCCTTGGTTTTTCCTTTACTGTCTAGATTGATACCACTGCCGCACCGGTCGGTCTGTTGTTCTGGTTGTCTCTCATTATCGTCGTTTATCGCGAATACCCAGATATCCCCTCGATACCCTGCGTACTGCCTTATCAGGTATTGTACAAGCGGCCATTAGGGCACCACTATCGTAATAACTAGTCAAAATATGCTCGTTCTGCTCTCATGACTCGTAGAACTGGTGATGATTTGGATCCAAGATTAGATGGCACAGTCGAACCATGCCTCAATTTTGCATTGCGACGGCCTGCTGGCGTGGTGAAAGCCGAAGACTTGTGCTGGCGCTTCCCAGCATGGACACGAACAGTCGTACAGGACGCGTGCCTCAAAGTTGGGATCAAATCAGGCTCGAATCAATTCCAGCCTGTCCGCCCTTGATGCGTGTGCAAACTTGACCAGCACTGCGTTTTGCAACTCAGGCTTGGCTGTCCGCGCTTGGAGGTTTGGCGAAGCTTGAGCCAAAAGGCCCAGGCTCGGGGTGCAGCCGCCGAAGCGGGCGATCAAGCGGAGAAGCATGGCCGAACAGCCCATCGCTATTTCAGGGCTCGATTGCCTCACCACCAGATCCTTATGCTCTTGCGCTCTCCGCACAAACCCTCCAGTGCGCCTCCGTCGCTCGTTTGGAAGTAGCTCTTGCGTGCTCAGTTTGGCCTTGAGAGGAGAGCAGCAGTGGCCGCAGCTCGACACCATGGTAAGCCAGCCCGATCTCTAGTCTATGTCATCGACTCTCGCAGCGCACCAACTGCGCCTGCTGTACCACCTCAGCGCACTTTCTCCGGCAGGCACGACGATGGCGCCGACTGCATTCTGCATCCCCAACACGCTTTCCGCAGCCTACTAACCCGCTCGACTTCGCAGGGCTGCTGTACCTCCACCCCGCGCCACTCCCCGTACCCCAACACCTCAGCGACCTCCCCCCACACGCCCGCCACAGCCGTCGACTCGTCCCGCGCAGCCATAACATCGCACCCCTCGTCGCCGCCATCCCACCACACGCACTCCTTCGCCTCGACGCCGCGCCCCTCGCACGCCTCGCACCGCGGCCCCTTCACCACCTCCAACAAACCAAACACCCCGCTGCGTCTCCCGCCCCCGAACCTCGCCGTCCACACCCCGCACCGCGAGAGATGGACGCGGAGACGGCTGGCCCGCGAGCGCGAGGCCTTCTTCGACACGCGCGTCTCCGGGCGCGCCGAGGTCTGGGGCGTCGTGCGCATGCTGGTTGAGCTGCTGCAGGCTGGACAGATCGGGTCCGCGCAGGGGGTGCTGGATGCGGCCGGGTGCACGTGTCCGACGGGGGAGCTGTGGAGGGGGGGCGTGTGGGATGAGATGGGCGGGTTGTATGAGGTGCCTGACTGGGTTGTGGTTGTGCCGGTGGAGGTTGTCGAGGAGGAGGACGAGGGCGGGGAGGTAGTGGAGGAGGATAAGAGTGGGGGGAGCGAGGAGGAGGTGGGGGGCAGGGAGAAGGGGAAGGCGAGGGCGGTGGAGGTGGAGGCGGGGGAGGTGGTGAGGGTCAGAGCGAGGTTGAGTGATAGGGGGACGGATGTGTTGGTTAAGGTTGGGAAGGGGGAGAGGGTTGGAGGGGTGTTGGGGAGGATACGAGAGGCGGTCGATGTGAGTGGCCTGGTTCCTCCTCTCAGTTGTTCTCTTGAGCCTTGCTTCGACAACGCACCTATCGTAGCAACAAATTGGCCTGTGGTCATTTGCGCTAACTTGTGCATACAGATATCAGAGCTGCAGAAACTCAAGATAGCCTACCTCGGCAAGGTCCTGCTGGAGAATGAAAGCTTGGCCGCTCAGGGCTGGCGCGAAGGTCACGTCGTGAATGTTCTCGTGTTCCCACCATCATAACTGTCGACGATCGCAGGAGGGCTTGTAGGATTTTCGCATCTTGGCACTAGTATCATGGCTTGCATGGGCGGCGAAGGTCAAGGATATGGCACTTTGGAGAGGATTGGCGTTTTGGGCTCCATTGGCTCCAACGGCATACCCTCCAGGACGTGGGATTGTGTAGTGAAATCTGGGATGACGTAGTTGTAATTATGGATAGGACCGCATTTACGGGGTACTTTAGTGGAGGTCTGTATGTTCAGAGAATACCACGCTATGGTCACGCTTGGGTCAGGCTTCTTTTGCTGAACTGTGTCCTCTTGCGCATACGAGTCCAGCAACGTTTGGTGTTGATCTCACGTACCACCAAGGTCTTCAGCCTCTGTCTTAGGACAGTTTTAAGCGGCATCATTCCATGTCTTAGGAGCAAGAATAGTGTCCATGCTCAGCAATAAAAGACATCAAACATGAATTGCGGAAACCCTTGGCCGTCCAAGCGGTGCTTCAACTAGACGAACATTGGACGGGTCATATTATCATCGCAACTGTAATAGTTAACACCTGCGTCAACTTTTCAAGCTCCCCTAATAGACCCGGACAAGCGGCACGAGATAAATAGACAAACCCACAGCGGGTCGTCCGGCTATTTAACAACTTGTTGGCTTGGGCTCATGACGCTGACTGAGAGATTCTGAGATATTATCTGTAAGGGTTGCATGCATGAATCTTTGACCGAACATCTCACATCGGCACAGGTCATTACTGAGAGAAGAGAACCAGTGGGTTTAAGAGTATTGTGATGGGTTCACGTTGACTTAGTGAGGCACACAGTACAATGTTACAACAGCGTTGAAAGATGTTGCGATTTCTGGCAGCTATCTACAGCATGAACTGACCGACGCTCTGTTCGCTATTCGGTGCCTCCTACCAGCGCCTGGATTCGATCCCCCCTGCCAGATGATGTTCTAAAGCCCATGCAGCGCACACCGAAACGCAAGAAAGGACCGGTAGCAAACGCTGTAGAAACAAAGGGTGGGGAGCGCCTTTCTGCAAGTGTCTCAAGAACTCCTCCGAGGCAATAGAGATCAGCCGCCGGTAATGACGGCGAGTGCATGAGATCATGTGTGCGTGAAGACATCGCTAGCAGGGTCGAACAGGGGTATTGAGCTGGTGATGCAAGAAGAGCAAGCGCAAACGATAGACAGCAAGGAAAAGGCTAGAAAATACAGGGGTATGTAGCTAAAAAGCAAAACTCCGGGCCGAGCACCGCCGCGACTCCCACACAAAGGAGAGGGTATTTAGAAACACATGAGAGCGCTCTTCTTCTTCTTCTTGGTAGCCTGGTTGAGAGCAGCCATACGCGCCTCGAGGTGAGCGCGCTCGGCCTCGACGCGTAGTCGAGCGTTCCGCTCCTCTTCCACGGCCTGAAGCGAGTATCGCGTGACATTGCGCTCCTTCTTCATAACGTTGAGTTCTTCTTCGAGACCTGCGCACCGCTTTCGCCAAGCTTCGATCTCAGACTTGGTCTTGGTGCTAGACGATTCAAGATCAGTCAAGGCTTCCTCAAGTGTTGCAGTGAGTTGCTTCTCGGCAAAGAGATGCTTTTCGATGGTCCGGATGCGGGCCTCCTGTTCCTCGACCAGCTGCGTTTGAGCGAGATCCTTGCTCTGGTGGCGAGAGCTGGGTGGTGATTGTGTGTTCGAGGCATTTGGTGGGCCGCCTGGCAGAGGTGGAAGAGGTATAGCGGGTGGTGGAGAGGGTAAAGTTGTATGCGATGCGCTCTTGCGGAGATTAGAGTCACCCGAATGTCGTCGGTTAACCCCTATGTCTCGTGGGTCAAGGGACTCTCGCTGAGAGGTCCGCGAGCTTCGCCTGCCCTCTGTCAATTGAACCTAGGCCGGAGTTAGCTACATATAATTCTGTGGAGTTCAGTGCTAAAGATTACCTCCAGCTGCGAGACCCTAGCCCGAGACTCCTCAAGCTCTCTCTCAACCTCCGCTTTCGCTTGCAATACTTCCTCGAGTTGCACCTGTCGTTCGGACTGTAGAGCAGACAATCTGTTACTAGCAGCATGGTGCTGGTCATAGTTCGAGTTGAGTTGCTCCTCGAGCTCTTCGACTAGGCGATAGCTTTTCTTCTCCCGTTCACGAATAGCATCGAGCTCTTTAGATGTAGCCTGACTCTTAATCTGAAGATCTCCAAGCTGGATTCTGAGCGTAACAGCAGTTGACTGGGCAGCGTCGAGTTCTTCCGTGGCTTTCTTCAGGTTTACCGCTGCCTCTTTGTACTGCGTAACAAGAATAGTTCGTTCCTTCAACAGATTCAAGACATGCTCATGGATAGTAGTAGCGTCAATTTCTTTGCCAAGCGCAGCAGAGACTTTTCGAAGAAGATCGGACATCTCCGCTTCATATCTCTCGAGCAATTCCTGGGCAGCAACGGTGGCATCTCCCTGTTCTTTCAACTGCGCAGCAAGCCGCTGTTCCGATTCAGCCTTGCTCGCCGACAACCGAGCACTGAGGTCTTCGATTTCGTTTTTGTGCGATTCTCGGAGGGAGTCCAACCCTTGCTGGTGCAACGCAACGGCAGCCTTTTGTTCCTCGATCTGGCGCTCCAGGTTCGCAATGAGGTCGCGGTGCGCTTGGAGTTCATTCTCGGTAAGCCTTTTAGCTTCTGCGTCGTTTTCCACTTGATTCAGAACGTTGTGATATGACCGTTCTACCTCTGCCAACTTCGATGCACTGACGGCAGCCAGTTTCTTATATTCGGTGAGCTCCCTCTTCAAGCCTGTGGTGGTTTCATTGTTACTAGTTTCTGCATCATCTGTGTTCGTAACGATGACTTCCGGACTTCTGACTTGTTGATCAACGGCTTCGGGAGATCCAGACAGCGAAGAAGCTGACGCACGCAATGAATCCTCTAAGTCGTGGATAGTAGTAAGAAGCTGTCGCTCAGAGGCCTTCATCGACTCCATACTTGAAAAGTGCTTCGCTTTCCATTCATCGACCTCGCTCCGAAGGCGGCTAATCCCCTCGTCATGGACTTCGTCCAAAGTAGGTCCGGATCCCAACTCTTTCGAGTCAGTGCTGTCTAGCAAAGGCGTTTCTGGAAAACAACCAGGCATCGGAGAGGAGGGCGGCGAATCTCTAAGACTTGTCGTGAATAGCGTCTTGGAAGAAAGATTGTCCAGAGAGACCTTGAGGCTACTAACTTGCTCTTGAAGCTCGCGCTCTCGATCGGCATGGGACCGCTGGAGCTCGCGAATTTGGTTTTCGCTTTCAAGCAGCTGGTCTCGCATCGCAGAAACCACAGAAATGTCCATCGGCGAGGACTTCAAGCTAGATCGCTCCCGTGTGAGGCCTGAGATGATCGTCATCTTGGCTTCCATGTCCTTTCGCTGGGCGGCCACTTCAGCCTCAAGAGCCTGTACGCGCTCGGAGCGCATGTGCAGTTCCGTCATCACGGCATTCACGTTAAGCTCAAAGGTCTGACTGACGTCGGGCCGCCCTTCAAACTCTTCGGTTGCGATGGTACGCAAGGCTGCGCATGATCTGTTCGCGCGGTCATTCGCGGTGATATTCTGGCTTGATTTGCGTCGAATGACGTGGACCGTAGGTGAAGCAGGGCGAGCTAGCTGCACGCGCTGGATCTCCACTTTCAGCTCCCCGACATATTCGAGGGCGTCACGGTGCCTCTCTTCCAACTGCGCATAGTTTTCTGAAAGCTCGACCATGCTCTCCTCTTTCTCCGCGTTCATTCTCTTCAACGCCCGGATCTGTTGAGCTAGTGCCTCTTCCTTTTGCGGCAGATTTTGCTCTTCCGGGTTGCCTAGCATCGTCTCGGCATTAGAAGTATCCATGATGACCGAGTCTTCCGGAGTATTGGTAGACTCTCCAAGCGAGGACAATTCCGAAGATAAGGTACGCGAGGATGAAGATTGTCCATCCTCCTTGAGTTCGTTCACCCCCGCGTCCACTAAAAAAGACGACCCAGCAACTCGTACAGGTCCACGACGTGCTTCGTCCACAGCATCTTGCATCTCGGCCAAGGTGTTCAACGCAATCTCATACTTCCTTGCAAGCTCGTCGTAGTCGTTGACAGCAGTCTCATGCTCCATCCGAAGGTCGAAGAGTTCCTGAGTGACTGTTTCGAGTTTGTCGGCCACGAACTTTGACTGCGCCGGACTGTGTGGAGGCTCAGCCGAGCTCATGGGTGGCGTCCTTGGCAGATTGGGTAAGACTTGCTTGGAACGCGTGGCGAGTGGCGACATCTCTCGAGGTTCTGCAACTAGATCAACGGCTGCTGAGCCTCTTCTGCTCCCTTCCGGTGTGTTGCTTGACGGATTCTGCGCGCCAGCCTCACTGTCCACTCCGCTATAGCCGTTCGGCTGAGTGTAGCTTGCAACAGATTGGAAATCGTCGCTGTCCTTTTGCGAATGTCCGTTGGTCAGTGGCTCACCATCAGTTATGACATCGTTCTGCCGGACATGGTCGAGTTCGTAAAGGAGATGATCTAGCTTGCCAATACTTCGTTGTCGCTCGACTACGTGTTCAAGGCGATCAATCTCGCGTTGCATCAACTCGTGATCTTGTTCGGCCTCGGCCAAGCGTTCCTCGAGAGTTGATATATATTCTTCACAGCTTGTTTCATTCTCTCGCGTGCGACTTAGCTCTCTCCGCAGCTCCTGAATGATGGCTGAGTTTTTCTCCTCCCCAGACGTGATGCCATCAATCCTAGATTCAAGATCGTGCAGGTACTGTTCATTATTCGCCTCTCGGTCCATCGCTTTTTGGATCCGTGCTTGAAGCTGTTGAGTCACTGTCTCCATGTAGGTAATCTTTGTTTCCTTTTCCATGAGGGTGCTCTCGCTACTAGCCAACGAACCTCGCGTATTTGACAGAGACGCCTCTAAGCTCTGGATGGTCTTTTCGTATTCAAGCACAACCTGCTCGACAGCTTCGGCAAAAGAATTGGACCGTTTGAGTCTCTCGACCGCGCTGTTACCAACAGTGTCCTTGAGCATGGAATTGTCCTCGTTGTCTCCTGCTTTGGTGATCTCGGAGATAAGCTTCGCATGACGTTTGCTGAGGGCATTGTAGTTCTCTTGAATGTCAAGTAACTGATTCTGCAGCTCCGCTTCGCGCTCATGCTGCCGCTCCGCTCGCTCTTGAGGTGCATTGTTTCTACGCTCAGTCCTCTCAGACAACCTGATTTGGTCTCTCAAGAATGAGACCTCGGCGCGTAGGCGGTCTATCATCGCTTGCTTATCGCTGTCATCCGAGACTTGCTGGATCTGTGGCTTGCTTTGAATGGCACGAGCTCGTTGGGCATATTGAACGGTATTCAGCGTTTCACTAAGGTGGAATTCGGCGGGATTGACGCACGCTACCATGTAGGTAATCGCGTTGCCACCAAGAGAATCTTGGAGCAATCTTGTGAGTCTCGAGTCGCGATAAGAGACGTGCGAACCGGCGGCCCGAGAGGATAGCTGCGCGATGACCTTGCCTAAGCTTGCGAGGCCTGCGTTGATCGAGATGCCTTCCTTCGCCCTGTCGCCTTGGGCACCCGTATTCTTCATGCGCTCGCTGCCCGCAAGGTCCACAAAGTGAAGCTTGCTGTCAATCGTTATTGAGTTCTCTAAGCTAGACGTAGCCTCTATCGGCACCGAAAACCGCTTTTCTTGGACTGGGGTGGCTGGAGTCTTGTTCTTTTTCTGAATCAGGTTCAAGCTGAACACTGCATGAGAACGGGAGGACTTCGCATTGATGGCCGTCGCGTCAGTCTGGCGGATAGAGGAGCCAAAGTTGAGTGCGCCAAGGAGGTCATCTATGGAATTGATTGTGACTTGCTGTAGTCCGGTAAGGATGATTCTACCCTTGGGGTCTTCCCGAATCATAACTTGAGTGCGCTCGCTTTGCGGTACATTCTCTGGGACTAGCAGGTCACGCAATTGCTCGTTATAGATCTGCTACGGTGTTAACAGGCGACTTGACTACAGAAATTTTGACTAACCTCAACGTATGTTGCTTTCAACTGCCAATTCCTATCTCCTGCGCTCGCTAAACTCCGCAACGTTGGCAGAGCATGTGTGGAATACCGCGAAGGTGTCCAGGCACCGGAGCCAGGACGGGCGCTTGAAGACCCGGTCAACTTCTCGAAAAGGGCGGCCGCTGCACGTGGGACGACACCTATGACGGTGTCAGATTAGCCGCAAGTAGCCTGGACGGGCGACACTCGCGGTAGCGCTTGGTAGCGCAGCACACGGGAGAGGTTGAGTTTGACCAAGAGGCGGTGCTACATACCCATCAGCGACGGATCACTCTGCTCTTTTGTGCCGGTGGTGCCCATTGTGTACGACTTCCCAGCGCCAGACTGGCCGTATGCGAGGATAGAGACATTGTAGCCCTGGACGAAGGAGCTCACGCTCTCGTTCAAGTAGCCCCATATGCTTTCCTGATCTACGTCTTCGCCAAACACCCGGTCGAAGATGAAGAGCTTCTTGCCCTGGGCGGATTCGACAGCTAAGCTAGTAGGCGTAGTGACGTGACACGTTGATCCACGGAACCGCTGCGGAATAAGCTCGTAGCCCGGGTCTGAAGGTTGAATTGGAGGGCGGACGCGGATTGCTGTTGCACGATTCAGCCAAGGTCACCAACATGCGGTGTCCAGCGATAATTCATACCGACTTTGACGGCGGTCTTGGTGTCCTCGTCGGAGGCTCTGCTTCCGCCACCGTGCTTGCTGCTTGCGCTCATGCGACTGGAACTGCGATTCGACCGGATCATGGCGCTCATGGGTCGCTGGTGCACTCCGCCCGCCGGCGACGCTGGCGGAGAGGTCGCCATCGCTGGCAGTGCGAGCGTAGCAGTCCCGCAATGTGTCGTTCAATGCGAGACGGTAGGCTGGAGTGAATTGGTGTTCGAGTCCGTGGTCTGATGGTTCGAGTGGAAACGCACCCTGAACGGCTGGACGCGAATTATTCCTGCAGGGACGGCCGTGCGCGAGATTGAGGGCGACGCGATGCGTGTGCGGCAATCAATTTCTGTGTCGACCCGGGCTCGCAGAGTCGTCGCTGCGTGCTCTTTTCTTCGACAGAATCGATTCTACTTCCTCGGTGTGTCTGTGTCACCAGAAGCCACGCGCTGGCCGGAAAGCGCAAGATTAATCGGGAGGCTGAGATTTCGGCACCACCCCAAGCGGCCTGCTCTAGTCAGGGGGGATTCTAGGGATAGGGGCATCCCCGAGTCCGGGCGGAGGATTAGTGGCTTTGGTCTCACAGCGGACACCATCACGAAGTTTATCAGTGGCCTACCTGGGTAGATACGGATTACGGAAGCATCAACGAATAGCCTGGTGGAACCGCGATCCTGACGACTAGGAGTTGTGATTGCTCCGTGGTTCCTGCCTACTAGTTGCCGGCCAGCGGCCTCCCAGCACAAACCAGAGCTCCGGCGGTTCTCAAGGTAAGAACATGTTCGCATTCTATGTCCCCTTCCAAAGCGCAGTCTGACGCATTTGCATCACGGTCTGGTTCATTGCAAAGAGCAGTCTCACTCGAGCCCTCGTCATAATGCACATCTCTCTGTGGTACGGCAGCTTTCTAAGATGCGGTTCGAAGAGTCGATGATGCCTAGCTGCATCTACCCGAAGACTTTTGCTTCTACCGCAGTCGGGTGCTCGCATTCAGTGGCATCTGCAACGATACCAATCTGCCAGCGACGTCTGTTACTCTCCGAGTTACTTACCGCGCGATCGGAATACTCCCAGGTCGGGTAAACGATTGCTGCGCAGGCTCTTAAGGCAGGTCTCCAATTCCCGCGCAGGGAACAAGCCGGGCTGAGTCCGCAAGGGACCCCAGACATCCCGGGTAATGGCGCGAAATGGTCCATGAGCCCTCATAACCTGGATATTATGCTCGTGAGAGCGAATATCCTGGGTGAAGGAGATTAGACCTAACTACGCCGGAGCAGCCAGAAGGTTTCCGCTTACTCCAAGTCCTCTCAGCAACCAACTCGCTAAGTCTTCAGGTCTTGAGCAACCTCGAGCGGTCCCTTGACAGCTCAGTTCGCCTGGTACCAGCTGGAAGTCTCAGACACTCGATTTCACAAAGTTCAGGGTTGCCGTAGACCATTCTACCAAGGAATTATCGAGCGCACGTTCTTGCGCCGGCCCGAACGCCTGGAAAAGTGTTTGATCATCCTCCCCGTGCCGCTGGATCAGCCACAGTTCGGCAGCGGAGCTTTCATCTCCCGCTCACGAGATTTTGACTTTTGCGATCCGTGGGCAGACAGCCATCTGGGCTGAAAGCTTCATTGTACAATTTTCCGTAGAATCCTGCCAATCGGGAGTCGCCGGCCGCTGTGACACGACGCCCCGGCCAGTTCCTTCTTGAACAAGAGCGTACTGGGTTCTTGGCAAGATACTGAACCCCATTACGTTCGTCCCGGACCAATCACGCTACCAGTGACAATTTGCTTGTAGTAGATGTAACCTGTTACTCAATCCCACTCCCTGCTTAGATGCTAATACACCTGACCTTGAAAACAGAGCGGGTATCACGAACACCATGAAGAATTGCTTACAGACCTAGTATAGAAACCATCACAGCCGCAACGACGAAGATCCAGCTCCCAGGACCAGAAAGCCTTATGCTTGCCGCGGAGACGCGGAATGCTACCTCTGGAACTCCTACCTCTTGCACGCCATCCACCCTGCAAACCACGGTGCACCCATCCTCTCCTCTCTTCCTCTTCCCACCCTCACACCCTTCCTCCCCACACATCCCTCCCACCGGCCCCGAGACATTAAACACAACCTGCACCCAAAGCACCTGCATCAGCGCCTCTGCGCCCACACTCATGTTCCCGGACCAGCTCCCGCCATCACTCCACAGGTTCATCACCAGCCCCGATGGTTTCCGTGGGACGCTGTACTCGCTCCTCGCTACCAGCTCCTCATCCATATACCACGTCGACCGCCCCGGCAGCCAGTCAATGCGATGCGTCCGCCACTCTCGCCAACTCCCTAGCCCCGTGACGGGTAAACTGCTCCCGGGAATCTCCTCCCCGCTCTCGCTGTCCACGGTCGGCTGGTTCGAGTAGCGGATCGTGCTTGCAGCGTCGGAGGTTAGAATCTCGATGTCTGACTCGTTGGTGTCGTCGACGAAGGTGAAGAGGCCGGCTACGGCGCCTGGGTCGCCAGTTATGCGCGCGCGGAAGCGGACGGAGGCGTGGAGGAGGTTCTTTTGCTGGTTCTCAATCTCGGCGGTGGATTGGAAGGTGGGGTGGCGGGTGGTGCGGAGGGCAAGGTGGGTGGTGTAGGGTTCGATGTCTTCGGAAGGGGTTTCGACGTCGGAGGCGGAGGTGTTGGGTATGGCGGCGTTGCGCTGTGCTGTAGAGTGAGGGGATCAGGTCAGTATGGTGTGTGCTTGGTAAGGGGTCTAGGGTTTGTGAGGTGGGGGAGGACGTACCGATGTACACATTTGCAGCCGAGTTCTGCATCCTTACAGGCGCCTCCACCGTAGTCTCTTTGCCCCAACTCATGATACCCCAGTCCTGATTCCACTCCGTACCGTTGAGCACATCCTGGTATGTGTCGGCGAGCTCCTCTGCTCCCAGGTCTTCATCCTCCTCTAGCGACGGAGGTATGCTGGTGAACTGATCTGGAGAGGAGGCGAGGTTGCGCCAGTCGTAGAAACGGTGGTATGTGAAGTATACTGGCGACGAGTCGGATGAGATCTCGTAACAGCCGCAACTGGGGGAGTTGTCTTTGGAGGCGGTTATCAGGTCTGCGGAGGCTGCCGCCCGAGTCGTGCGGAGGTTTAGGGAGAACAAAACGAGAAGAATGTCGAGGGGGCTCATTGAAAGGTTTGATAAAGAGAGTATACACGAGGAAGCATGGGTGACTTTTTTCTAAAAGACGATAACCAAGAGACTGTAGATAGAATGATCCAACTCACAAGAACAATGGATTATTAGCAGTTAGGGACTCATGTAAGAAACACAGAGTACGAAGCCATCGGTCCAGGTGCAGCTATTCTCCAACGCTTACGGTGGTGTGAATCCGCGCTTACGACTAGTCGCCAAAGGTAGCGCTTGACGTCGGCCCCCCTGAATTTAGTATCAGGGGTGACTTGCGTCCGTCCCTGACGATCACCAGGGGGTCGTCCGTTTCAGGGGCGACTAGCAAATATTCGAGATGGCAGCATCCACACGTGACATTAAAGACTGAAAATGGAGCCCTGCTTGGACAATTTGAGGCATTTGGGGGAGGAACACAAGGTCGGTGTATGCAGGTCAGAAGTCATACCCTACGCGAGCGTAGCGAAGGATCTCAATGCGGGTTCACCTCAGGCTCTTCTCCGGTGACTTCTGTTGAGAAGCGCAGCGATGCTGAGCCAGTAGATCACACTATCACTTCAATCGTGGTAAGACTGGAGCAGTTTTCGACGGATATCTATCAAGTTCCCTTTCCAAGAATACCGCCAATACTCCATAGCTATTCTGTGCATGTAAACCCTTGGGATGGAAAAAGGCGAAGGCAAAATGTCAACAAGGAACACCCAGGTCGCCAAAAGCGCAGTATTATAAATACCTCCAGGATAGACAAACTTCCATCGCCCAAGAAACAACCAGAATCCGCCAAGACAACTCCAACCCGCTCCGCCCTGAACATGAAATAGAGCCCTCGGCCAAGGGGAGAAGGACGAGTTCACCTTCAAGAGAAGTAACCAGATAACACCGTACCAAAATTCATATCATCCAGAAAACGACCGTTGAGAAACAAGACGAGCTATACCGCCTGCCAAAAAAGACAATACCGGCTTACGCAGAGCTGATGATCCTGCCGTCAGCGGACCGCCGGATGCCCGTCGCATACTTCGAGACAGGCGGCTCAACAGATTGCATCTCTGACTCAGCGCCCTCGTACGTCTCCTCACCATGCTCGAGAATCCGGGTCGGCACTTCCGGGATATCCTCCTGCTTGTACTGCTGCAGGCTGTGCCTCTCCGGCGTCGTCGACTGGCTCGCAATTGACATCGAGGTGCTTGATCGGTTGTGCACCAGATCCGGTGTAGGTGGGATGCTCGAGTGGACCTCTGGATGAAGGAAGCTAGACTCATCGCCATACTCGCTACCTTGGCTAGCGCTTCCAGGCTCAGAGACCGACAAGTTGCGCCCATGGCTTGACTTCGCGACTGGCGAACCATCCTCGACATCCGCTCGTTGAGCGAGCTGCAGACCCTCGACGGCGGCAGCGCATTGCTCCGAGATGTTTCGGATGATGTACGCGATCGCATCGGTCTTGTCGCGCAGATGCCTGTCCGCGACATCTGCCATGGTGATCTGTGACAGGCGCTTCCGCGTAACAGGGCTGTTGAGTAGTCTCTTCTCCATATCAGGCGAAACATCCTCGGCGTCCAAGTGCTTGATGTCCACGCTGGACCGGTTGAAAGCACGGCTAGATCCACGAGAGTCCATGCCGGGAATGCCGCGGATGGTGCCCACTTCGGACACATCCTTTTCGCTCACTTGGTCCCCGTGTTTTTCGGTGTTGGAATCCTCATCCTCGACCTCTTCAGGAACATCCTCGAAACCTTCCTCAATGATCTCGGAGATCTCGGGCGCCGACGACAATGACTTGACGATGTGCTCCATGTGGTGGGCTTGGCCGTCGATGAGCGCACGAAGATGAAGCACCACTCGCTGAGCTTCATCCCGTTGGCGGAGGATGGTAGTGTTAGTGTGCTGCAGAGCAGAGAGCTCTTTCTTGTTGCGCTTCCTTTCCAGTTCGAGCTCCTCGGCAATCTCCTGTTGCAAAACAAGCGCCTCGAGAGCATCGTCCCGCTGCTTCTCCGTGCCAGACAGACGTACGGTGAGGCGAGCAGCATCATCTTTCTGCTGATCGATGAGGCCAGTAAGACGGCGGTTCTCGCGCTTGTGATTCTCGATCTTAACCTTGAGGTCCTGGGTCTCTTTCGTGAGCTGTTCAGCAAATGCTTGGAACTTGAGGAACTGTTGCTTCCAGCTCTCAAGCTCCTCGACAAGGAAGTTGTTCCTCTTGGTGACCTTAGACAATTCGGTGTCCATCCTGCCCTTGAGATTGATGAAATCTTGCCACGCCTCCATAGCATCTCTGGAGTACTGGTTACGCTCGCGGACAAGCTCGTTCAGATGCCTCATCGACACCTTGGTCATCAGCGGCTTCTTCACCTGACCTCCGAACAGAGCCTTGACGCCAGTGTTTCGGCCCTGGGGACAAGTAAGTTTTCTAAGTCCTGCAATTCAGCAAGGATGAGTGCTTACCAGCTTCTCGCAGACGTGGTCCATAATGCCCATGACAGCATCTTGATTCCACCAGGTAGGATCTTGAATGCTCTCAACTTCACCACGCATGACAATGATCTGGCCAGCAGGAACGAGCTTGCCCCCGCCGTATGCTGACCGGAGATGCTGCGGCACACCAGAGGGGGACACCTCGCCATTGAGCGCTTGGGTCAGGCGGCTGATCATCTTCGTCCTTTGACCAGGCGTGAGAGCTGTCGGCGGGCTGGAAGTGAGAACAAAGTTCCGATCAAGATCAACGACCAGCGCGTCGCCAGGTGCTGTGAAGAGAGTACGGCATTCTGCTGTGACTCCAAGGATGTAGGGCCCCGGTTCCTGGACAAGTTCGTGCACGTGACGCGCATGAACGACTGGAACATAGAGGCCGCTCCATTCGTAGACGCGGACGCAAAACCTCACTGTCTCAGAAGCTACAGTGAGCATCGCTGGGTAGTGACTGACGAAGATGATGCGTCTTGTCGGTGAGACTGCCGCCTCGAGCACGCCTACAATGTTCGGTATAGACAAGCAGGTGAACAGCGGCCACATTGCGAAGTTCTGGAAGCCAGTAGGCGAGGATGGAAACTGATAGCAAAGAGCGTAATCCTTCATGTCGATCCTAACAAGGTCGTTCAGTCGCGGCGCTGGGAAGCTGAGGATGCGCGAGACCTCTTCAGCGTGGAACAGGTTGGTCGCCTTGTTCCAGTGAATCCACATGCCGCGCAGATAGTCTCCCAGGAGATTGTAAAGAGGATACCTGGAGAGGAAACTCAGGCAGTAAGGAATCCAGTAGGTCTCCTCTGGCGACTCGTAGTAGTCTGGCTCGGTCCTCTTCCGCAGATCGCGGATGGTATCTGCCCTCTTCTCGTCGGCTCTTGACCACACACGCAGTGCGATGCCATACAGAGTTTGCGAAGAGTCCTGTTGCAGAACGAAGGAGTGGTGCACGCAGTGAGGCTGGCTCCTGCCAGTGCAAATCTCAACATCGTGAGGAAAACATGCCTGGAAAGTGTGAGTGCACGTGAGCAGACTGTCCGGCATGGTCGGCTCCATGCTCCACCAGGAGATGGCTTACCCGCATTGCTGCATGCAACGACTTCGCGACCTCCCTGTCTTGCTCCAGTCTCGGGCTGCTTCCTAAGATCTCAGGCAACCAGAATTGACCAACGGCACCCTTCATATGGGTGATCTTCCCTTGAGCCGTTGCCGGAGCCTTTACCCACTGCGAAGGCTCCCGGCCGACACCGCAGACCATGTAGGCATGGGTAAGGGTTTTCGGCGTTCGTTGTCCTGGCTTGGTGTTGAGGGTCGAAGGCAGCGGTTGAGTAATCCTCGAATGGAGCGAGGAATTCCTGCTAGGGACGATGAGACTGTCGCCCTGGGCAGCGGATGGGGGACGGTCGCCCGACCGCGGACGGGAAGTGAGTGAGGGCGCCATTGTGGACACTCGGTATTTCTGACCAAAGCAATCGAACACTCTCCCGCACAGCGCAAAGGACCGGCCTGTGAGCGCGATGGAACTGATATGGACGAGCGGCAGATCAGATTGACATTAGACTACGTCGGAGAGGATGAGAAACGACTCGTGGTGGGCTGCCGGATAGTGCAACGGCTTGATAAAGAATGAAACGAGCAGCTGAACGGAGCCCCAGTATTTTTTGCAATTGACAGGCGTTGTACTCGAAGTGACAGAGTGAGAGGAGAAAGCTGGGCGAGGGGAGCAATTGAGGAGGATTCGCTGGGCCTGCCCTGGCGCCGCTGGCCCAAGCTGATGGGATGCTGAGATTTGTTTGAGTTAAGGTAGCGGCCACTGACTGCCTTGCGACCCATGCAGCAGGAGCAAGTCGTGCAAGGTTTGGTCGGGAAACGCCCGGGACTCCACAACAAAGTCCGCCATCCACCTTCGACCGTCCTGCACATCTTGCAGACGACGACAGCGAGAATCACTCGTTGGACTCGTTAGACTATGCTGCTGCTGCACACTCACAAACGCAAACGATCACTGCCACGCCTGATCGCCCCTTGTCGAAGCTGAAAGGCGTCGATGCTGCAGTCTTCGTATCAGATCGCCAGATCGGCCTCCGTGCACATGTTCCAGGGCAAACGTGGTGCCTGCACTCCGTTCGCTTGGTGAGGTGACGAATAGGGGCATTTCCTTTGCGCCGTTCGTCTATGAGGCCCGAGTGGCTTTTTGGAGCCGGCTGGGGGCTTTCTGCGGAGGAGATGAATACCTAGGTACTCGAGCACCTGTGCCTGCCGTTTACTTTGCCTGCAATGCTGGAGTCTCTGACAGCTGCCACATCTTAGTGATTGGACTGCGGTATGAGTGGTCGAGCAGTGTTTTGCGGAGGAGCAAGATCCGACGAGTGGAGGCGAGTGCTCCGTCCTTCCGTTTCTGGCTGGCAGTTTGTCTGTCGGACCAAAAAGGGACACGCGGTAAGGTAACCATAGCACCCTAGAAACGTAGTTGAGAAATCACCGGTACCAATCATCCATTAAACCCTAGAATTCCTCGACCGCTCCACGCTCAAAGCTCAGCGGACCGGTCCTGCCTCGGAGGCGAGTGGCAGACCTGAGGTCGGAGGTTCTGTTGCAGGCATCTTGTACCTTGTCCACTGTTTGACACAGAGACAGGACGCGAGTGATCCGACATGTGCTCGTTGAACTTTCGATTCGAACGCACCTATGGATCATGTCAGTACACAATACATTCTCTTTGACAAGGAGGATGGAGCTAGTGCGCGCTTACTCGCAAGGGCACCGGATTCCCTGTTGCCCCAAGATCCTCCCAGCTAGGTAGGTAGGTACCCAGGCAGCCAGGTAGCCCTAGCCAGGCCCTGGCTCTTTCCGACGGCTGACGGCCAGATCCTTGGGTAAATCTTCGTTTCGTTCTCCACGGCTTTTCCTTCCCGTCCTCGCATCCCGCGCTAACGTTGGTGTAGAACTCTTCGGCCACGGCAGCGTCCTTCCGCTTCAGAGCACGAGGGTAATCTGATCGAAAACGAATACGACTTAACTCAGCCAACTGTAGATCAACATCTGAAGGCCTCTGTGCTAAAGTCTGCATCTGCCATCCCATCGGCATGTCACACAAGCTCGACTGGCTTCGATTACGCCAACACCTGTAAGGAAACAAGGCCTTTGGTCCACTAAACTCCCTGCTACCACGCAAACGGGTCCCCAAGGGCTGCACACGGCCGACGTCGATCCATCTCGCTCGAACGCTTGTTTTCCCGTCCAAGATGGACCAACCACTGCTGAGCGAGCTGTGTAGCATCTGGTGAGTCTTGCTTCTGGTCCGCAGGTCCTCATCTTCGATTACGCGTGCGCCGTTCCCGTCCTTCTGCCTCATGCCCTCACGGCTTCGCCCACGTGATGTTCAACGCTGATCTGCTGGTAGTCACAATGAGGCTCCCAAATACAAGTGCCCTCGGTGCTCTGCGCGCACATGCTCCCTGGAATGCTCCAAGAAGCACAAGCAGCGAGCGCAGTGTTCTGGAATACGGGATCCTACTACTTTCGTGAGGAAGAGCCAGCTTGCCACTCCTGCGGGCATTGACCACGACTACAACTACCTGACCGGCGTCCATCGGGCTATCAATGTCGCTGCTGAAGACGCAGAAGAACGGAGTGTAGATGCTGCGAGTGAAGATGGCAAGAGACGGCGGTATCGCGAGCATCCAGACTTCCGCGCCCGTGTAGCGGCCACTCGAGTTATCATTGATAGAGCTCCTGAGGGCATGTCCAGGCAGAGGATGAACATGTCCCGGTGGAACCAGAAGTATGTAATACAGTTTGGTGCTACACACTCCAAAAACGCATACTAAATCGAACCAAGGCGGAAATGCATAATGTGGACTGTCGAGTGGATTCACGCTGACGGCTCCCGAGACGTGAATGGACGTGACAACGGAGTCTTCGACATAACGCCGCTGTCCGATGCCTACCACGCGCTCCTCGAGGGGAAAATCAAGAAGCGAAAACGTCACTCTCTGGATCTGGGAGTTCAGGAATCCCGCGCTGCATCGAACACCAACGAAGCCGTCCAACGTGGGGTGCAAAAAACTTCAGGGTCAACCGCTCCTAACTCAAACAAGGATTCTTCCCAATCGACAGCAACGCCTGGTCAGGCTAGTAGTCCGCTGGACGATATCCAAAAAGTATCTGGACTACCAGCCAGGCTCCCGACTGATGAGTCCACCCAGCCTAAGCCCGACACCTCCTATGGGCAAGCGTCAAGCGCATCCATCAAAGCCGAGTCTCCTGAAGTATCTGCTTACCACTTCTACCTCGTAAAACCACATACAAGCAGCGCCCGGCCCGTGCTTATCCCCATCTCCGGGTCTCAGAGCCTGTTCGAGTGTCTCCGAGAACAGGTCGTGCTCGAATTTCCGACCATACAGGTACTCTCCGACACACCAAACTCACTACCGGACCGCTTCATGCTAGAATCTGACTATCTAGCTCAGTCACAGGCGGAAGCGCAGGAGCTCGACGAGTTACTAGCGCACGTCAAGCAGCCGTTGCAAGACGATAGCGGGCATGTGGGTAGTGATGGCGGAGGCAGTGTCCCGCAGGATGTAAAAATGATTGCGGAGATGCTTCAAAAAGACGTTGGCGGTAGCCGCTGATGTTACATCGAAAGCATTCGACCTTAGTCTTGTCCAAAGTCGGCCATATAAATAAGATCGCATGATCTAACTCATCACATATACTCACACATGCAAAGACTCGGAAACTATGATACAATGCCGTGCCAGAGCCACCCACCAACAGAAGCGCCGGAAGCCCTCACCGCCATCATGCGAGGATGCAATGGTGCGTGGACGCGCATTAACGACTCCCATCTCCTACCCTTCCTCTTCACCCTGTGGCCCACTCTGGCCCTTCGCGAAGCCCCATGACTCCCCGTCTAGCTGGGTATTCCGTAACGTCAAAGATCATAACGTGTGCACATCTCAATACTCTCTCCAATCTCTTACACACCACCTCTCTCCCTCCAGAATACACCCCCTCCCTCTCGCGATAGATCTCACAAGAAATACTCGCCCCTCGTCCCCCTCCCTGCCGGCACGGCGCGCCTGTTATCAGGCACGGCGCTGAAGATGGTGAATTTGGGCTCGAGATCTTCCTGCAGACTCATAATGGAGGCGACGTTGCCGCAGCGGTAGCAGTAGTTTGGCGCTGACCAGACTGTTACGACGTCTTTGTCCTTGAAATGATACTGGGGAGGATTGATTAGTGTTGATCAAAAGAAGGGAAAGCTTTGGGGGCGTACTTTGTAGCCTTCGTTGACAAGCTGGTGGGCGCGCGCTATCAGCTGGAGGCCGTTGACGTGGTTAAACTGCGAAGAATAGTCAGAGGAACCCTAAATGGATTTCCGAGATGCTCGGGCGGACCCCACCTCTGAAGACACCTTGTCGCCGAACAGCCACCCAGCGCCCCTTGGCGACACAGCCCACGTGTCCACCTCTTCCGGATCACTCCACACCAGGTCACAGAACGCGCCCTCATGTGGAATCTCCTGCGCTCGCGCAACAACGCGGATCTGGTCCAGCGTTCTGATCTCGGGACTGAGCCCACCGTGTACGCAGAGGACTTTCCCGTCGACAATAGCGGCTAACGCTAGGAAGTCGAAGACCTGACAGCAGGCTTTCCATACAGATGCGTTGCCGTATTTTTGCTGGCACTCCTCGTAGAAGCCGTAAACTTGCGTGATTTGGCGGGATTCGTGGTTTCCTCGTACGAGCGTGACTTTGTCGGGAAATCTTTGGTGATGTGGTTAGCTTCTCTCCGCCCACTCTGCACATACCCGAGAGAAACAGGCTTCGGAGGTCTGGTAAATGTAAAGGAGGGCACATACTTGGCCTTCAAGCACATCAGCAGCGTAAACGTCTCCAAGCTAAAATACCCCCTATCCACAAAATCCCCTAAGAACACGTAGTTCTGCTTTCCGTTACCCCCACTCCCCTCTACGTTCCTGTTCGCACCACCCTGCGGCGCATCACCCTCATCGCTCATTATACTCCTCCTCCTTGCGCTAATACTCCTCGGCCTCCCCCTCTCCTCATCCTCCTCATCCTCATCTTCCTCCTCGTCACCGCCAGGCCCCGGCGGACTGCTACTGCTCGGCCGGGTGTAGTTACTATCAGCCTGGAACCTGCGCTTCATCTTCCGCTTCGCTTTCGGATCCGTGATCTGCGATGGTGGCTCGATGTCCGCAGCGCTGATGGTCTTCGGGGCGGCGGTCGGGCGCGGAGCGGGGACGGGCGTGTCGGAGGGCATGCCGCCGGCGACGCGGAAGAGTTCGAGGAGGTCGTAGAACTGGCCGTGGATGTCGCCGCAGACGGTTACGGGGGTGCGGACGGGCTGGATGTTGGATTCTGCGGCCTGACTGAGCGCGGGTTTTTCTTTTTGGGACGGGGTTGAGCCGGTGCTTACCTTCCATGAGACATTCCTTGACTATCTCACATAGCCGCTTCATGTCGGGCTCGGGTAGGTATTTGCACTCTTTCGCGGCTTCTAGCCATTCGTCTGGGCCGGCGCCCTTGGAGAGGCGCGCTGGGCCCGGCTGGGGGACGTCGGGGTCCTTCGCCATAGTGATGGAGAGGCCCTATACGGTGATGTGCTGCGTTCGGCGGGTAGTATGTGCTTGATGGAGGTGTATACCGGGGTTGCGATATTGGAGGCTGTCGTATTACGGTCCAGTATTATCTGTACACGAAGATGCACATGCTTATTCAACGTTGCCCTTGACTGCGCGTGCAATCCTCACAGATGTGGCGGCAAGTTGGTCTGTTGATGGTGCCCTTGGTGACTGCGGATCTCTTGGGCGTGAGCTGGCCGAGGATCTGCAGGCGGTCAACGTCACAAGGAAACTTGCAACACCAAACACCCTCCGCGAGTCTCTCGCAAGGAGTACACACAAACCCCCATTGCGCGCTCTTCTAGCTCGACTTCCGCCGTATGGCCCCTCCAACAGGCCCAGCGCAGGCCAACGGCGTCATCCCCATCTCAGCAGCCGCTATCCAGAAGAGCACCGCCGTCAATGGAGCGCCCCGCGGCTCATCCGCCAAAGCGGCAGCCCCACGCCTAAAAGTTGTTGTACGCAGGCTGCCGCCCGGTCTCACACAGGCGGAGTTCGAGGCAGCTGTAGGAGATGAGTGGAGGCTCGGGGGAGGCAAGGTGGACTGGGTTCTTTACAAGGCGGGCAAAGTCTCACGAGAGTAGGCGCAGATCAGTTATTGGTACGGGAACATAAGCAGAAACTGACAGCCGCTTGTAGCCTGGCAAAGCCTTCACGCCCTGCTCGAGCCTATCTACACCTCACCGACCAGAATCACCTTGGTCCGCTTGCAGAAAAAGTCCGCCAGACAGCGTTCGTCGACGCCAGGAACACCACCAAAGACGCCGCGCTGATTGGGCCACCCTCGGTCGAATTCGCACCTTACCCACGCATACCCGGTGGCAGACGCCGCAATGATGCTCGTCAAGGCCTTATCGATCAAGATCCCGAATTCAAGGACTTCCTTGAAAGTCTCACCAACCCAGTTACCAAACCCGCTGCTCCCGACGCGGCAGAGACGCCGGTCGGTGTGAAGGAGGAGAAGATCACTACAACGCCTCTGATCGAACACTTGAGGGAGAAGAAGGCGGCAAAGGACAAGGCTGCAGCAAAGCCCGCCACTAAGCACGCTCATGGAGAATCCAAGGATGAGAAGGCCTCGGAGAAGAAGATCCTCGTGAAAGGAGGCAAAGAGAACGCAGTGTCACCGGAGAAAGCAAAGAAGCCGACTAGGGCAGAGCGGGACAAAGCAGCGAAGGAGGCAGTCAAGGTTTTGAGCAAGGAGGCAGCCGCTACTTCGCAACCAGCTATTGCAACATCCGCACAAGCTGCACCGATACCAACAGGACCCGCCGCCGAGAGGAAGCGCGAGCGAGGCAGCGCGGCTATTGCGGCCAACATACTCAAGCGTGACCTGGGCCTCGGCGGACCGGCTGGCGGTAGACGTGGGAAACGCGATGCTCCACCCGAGGCTACACAGAAGTCGGCAGAAGCAACGGCAGCCAAAGAAGCATCTGCTCCAGTCCCAGCCCAGCCCATCGAGAAGCCGACACCAACGTCTCCAAAAGGTACACGCTCGACCCGGGCCGAACGCCGCGCGCACAAGGCTGGTCTAATCGAGAAGACAAACAGCGCCGAACCCGCAGCAGAGGCCAGCAAGGTCCCAACAGGCTCGGCCGCTCCAGCAATTCTGAAGAGAGCGCCCGCAGCACCAACACAACCACCTGCACAATCCCAAGCCCCCAAAGGACCCGCCTCGACCCACTCCACCAGCAAAGCACCCGCAGCATCCCCATCAACACCCCTCTCCACGCCCAAACCCCCCAAACCCACCCTCAGCGACCCAACCGCCCGCTCCGCCTTCCTCAAACACGCCAACCCCTCCCAAGGCATCACGGAGCCCCTCCTCCACACCGCCCTCTCTGTCTTCGGCGCCATCGAAAAGGTCGAAATCGACAAGCGCAAGGGCTTCGCGTATGTTGACTTTGCTGAGCCGGAGGGCCTCGTCAAGGCGATCAAGGCGAGCCCGGTAACGGTGGCGCAGGGCGCTGTGCAGGTGCTTGAGAGGAAGGATAAGGTGGCTAAGGTGTTTGGACCGTCGCCGGCGCATGCGGGGGCGCCGGCAAGGGGGGGGACTGTGATGAGGGGGGGACGGGGGGGTGGATTTAGGGGTGGGAGAGGCGGGAGGGGTGGGTTTGGTGGGCCGAGCCCTGTGGCTAGTGGTGGTGCAGCTCAAGCTCAGGCTCAGGCTCCGGCTGCTGCTGCTCCGGTTGCTGCGGTTGCTGCCTCGCCGGTACAGCCTGCTTCGGTTCCTGATGCGGTAACTTGAAAGCAGAGACCACAATAGGGACGTAACGAAACGGCTTAGATACTGAGCGTCTACTTCGAGAAAGGGTAAAATGGATTGCGACATGGCATCGCAAGGTGAGCGGACTGCAGCAACCAAAATACTGTCGGAGCCTACTCGATAGCTTTGGGGCAGGTCGCTGCTATAGCACCGGTCGAATGAGTCCCGGCAGGAATTACAGTATGAAGCAACCGTATGCAGCCACTATGGAGCTTCACAGCCAGGAAACATAGCTTCATGGTGTCAATGGCAATGATTATACATGATGTCCCTGTTTTATCACGCTCCCAAAAGCAGCGAAATTGAGTGCATTCTAGTGATGGACAGAGTATAGCTAAGTAGAATCGCAAGCCTGGTCACGTGCTTGCCGGTTTTTAGTATGATTATTGTCAAGCCCAGATTCTTACCTCGGCTGTGATGGTCGTAAAGTAAGAAGGTTCAACGCATCTGCGACCTCTCCTCCCCTTCAATTGCGAAGCGAGGGCCCAGTTCGAATCCGATGGTGTTCGTTTCCCACTCGCTTAGGTAACTAGCGATTGCTGGGCGGACCTAAGCAATGAGATCTACTGTCGAGGGAAGCAATTCTGCAGACGCGATCTCACCACCGGATGGCGGTGCTGGATTACCCGCGCTTGGTAACGGGAGGGGGTTTGTGGGATGTTGGATCGACTTTTTTGCACTCCTAATCTGGTGGTCATGGTGCGTGTGTTTTGGCCCTTATGGAGTTTGAGAATGTTGTTTGTTGTCTTTTCAATAAATGCTATCTCTATATCTAGCTTATTGGTCCATCTATTCAATCTTACTCTTCAATAAACCTCTCTACTACCAGCCTGTAGTAATATTGCCTTGGGGCTCTTTCTAGCGACGCTTCAAGACGACATCTCTCGCTCTGCCCTGTCACTGACCGTTTCGACAAGCGAGCCGTCGACCGGGATCATGGCCACTTCTCAAGCACTGCCCACGGCGATCTTCTTGAGCAGAGTACCTGCTGATTGTCAGTTTGCTGCTGCAACCTCGTGTTGAAAAACTCGAGCAGCCGCATCAATGCTGCCGAATCGGAAACTTACAGCAGATTGTTGATAGGCTGCTGCTGTTTGTTCTCGCATTCTATGCTTCCGCCGATGCAATCTTTCATTTCTGTATGGATACAGAAAGCATGTGACGTTCGATATATGCCCGACAGGCAAGGCTCCCTGACATCCATTGAGGCAGTGCACATGGAAAGGATCGGCGACTGCGCCAATTACTCGTGTCGCTCCACGTTTCTGCCTTCAAGCCTGGCAGATCCAGCTAACATCCGCGAAAGACTTAAGTTGAATCAATTCGCTAGAAGGACCGGTCAATTGCACTCCCCTTCAAAACTGTTTCTCTTCCTGAATGACGATGCGGGAGGCCTGAGAAGAGGCTGTGCAGTGTATATAGCAAACCATATTTCCTAGTTACTCATATTTCAAGATAGGCTACACACCTCACTTTGATCTCTTAATCAAGTTCACCAAATCAACCCTCTCTCTCTCAAAATGGCATTGCCAGCCCTACAGCACCTCCTGCGCGAGCGTGACAACCGTTGGAGAGGCATCACGCGATACGGGCCCTTACTCCTCATACCCATCTTGATAGCAGTGATCCTCCTCTGGATCTTCACCGCCGCGGCCCTCGTCCACAGCGCTACTCACGTCCAGACGCGCTGTTACGGCTCCGAATCTAGAGGCACAAGACGTTGCTATACCTTTCATGGCACAGGCATCGAGTGGAAGAACACAACCAGCGCCATGTAAGTCAACCGGCCTCTCCTCGTCTGCTCCAAACCCACTTCCCCCACCGTCGTCACAAATTGCTCCTGCCCACCACCACCATCTCCCACCGTCCCCCACCAACCGCTAACAGCCCTCTAGCATCCACGTCTTCCTCCGCATCTCGATCCTCATCTTCGAGTCCGTGCACGTCCCGCTGCATCTCTGGTTCTACCTCCATTCACGTCTCCACCCCGCCTGGGCCGTCTCGTTAGCCGTGATTCTCATGGGCGCCTGGTGGTGCTGCGCCACTTGGATCTTTACCTACGACTTGTTATACGAGTACTATGAAATGGGGAGGTATGGTGGTGTACTGACGGCCGCGTGGAAGGGGCTCGCTATCTTCAGAGCCGTGCTGGGGTTCGGCGTCGCGCTGGCCTATACAGTGTATATGGGGTTTGCGGCGCATGCTGTGAAGCGGTGGAGGAGGGCGAAGAAGGGAGGGAGAGTTGCGGATCGGGAGGAGGGGTGGAGGTCGGGGATGGGGAGAGCCAGCGGGGAAAGGGAGGTGAACGAGGAAGACCGAGATGATAGCATGGAGCTGGGGAAGCTGTAAAGGAAAGCAAGATACATGCCATGGTGGGAGAATTAGCAGAGTCGAAAAGTCACGAGTCTACAAAGAGGTTAAACGTCTAATGTATAATCAGTCGTACGCGGCAGAGATGGGCGTCAGGTCATGCTCAAGACGCGACAGGAGAGATCGAGCAGGAGAACGTAATACTATATAATCGCTGGTTAGCTAGTAAACACATAAGGTCCCGATCGCCGGCCCAACAATAATATCGCATGATCAAGAAGATGCCGTGAGGCAAACCTATATCATAGCTTTTAGCTAGTTCTCCCGTACCTCTCCAGTGTCCAAACGAATGTACAGTAAACCGAAACATTTGGTGCACCCATCACTTCTTCGACTGTCGGCAAAGATGACAAAAATGCAACAAAATAATGATGAACGACTATGCCGCCAAAAAGCTGGGAGGAGATGAGTAAAGTAATTGAAAATGTCCAATGGTATGGGCAGCGAATGAAGACATGAAACACATGATGAACGAACAGCGCACCGCCACCTGGACGCTGCTCGACGAAGGGTATCTACTATGTGCGTGGAAGCTCGCGTATGTACGAAGGCCGTAATGTCGTTTGATAAAGAAATGATAACGAGTATTGATGCTGGAGTTCTAAGGCGGTTAGAGATGCAGAAGCCGGGGCTAAAGTTAAGAGTCCGCTAACATAGGGCAGATGCAGGCAACACGAGCGGAAGATGGTGCCTAGTCTTCTTTCACGGCTCAGACAAGTTATTCCCCGTTTCGACTCAGAGCGCAAGATTGAGAATGCAAGATCGTCTGCAAGAATCTTAACAATACAAGAGCTTGTATCGTGACTTCCATAAGGCCCCAGTGGTTACAGGATGCCCTCAGATCATCCCGGTCGGGCTCTCCATAGGTGCGACTCCCATCTGCACCTGTTCTGGCGGCATGTTCGCTCTGATCTCTTTCGGGTTTCTGTATCCCCCAAAAGCATTGTTCGCCTTCCCAGCGTTGTCGGGTGGGATGACCACCTCCATCAAAGGTGCGCCGAAGCCCCCTACTGGTGGTGGGGGTGGAGGCGGAGGGGGTGGTGGAATGCTTTCATAGCTAAGATGGCTTAAGATTTCAGGGGGAGCGGGCGTGGTTGTTTGCGAGATGCTTGGATGCCGCGTGTACGGATTGGGTGGCAGGACAGTCTCGTACGGTGATGGAACGTAGCGCTCAATTGGGGGCGACTTGGCGCGTGAGCGTGATGTGCTACGCATGCGTTCGGTCACACCCCGTAGTCTGCTTCCAATGTTGTCGCTGACACTACCACGACCACGGCGATGCATGTTTGGGGACGTCGATGGTGGGGGTCCATTCATTACTGCTAACGGACTGGTGGTGCGTGGGTGATCATCTATCGCAATGTTGATGACCTCAAGACTGCTGGTAGAGGAATGGCCCGGTGGAGAATGGACTGCCGTCAAATGCTGGTTTGGCCTAAACATGACAGGTGGAGGAGGCGGCGGCGGAGGCCCGTTGAGATGCTGCAGCTCTGCGAGGAGAGGAGGAGCGTCTTGCTTGTCTTCAATGATTATGACTTGGCTATCGTGTAGTGTCTCATCAATGCTGGCCGTAATTGGGGGCGGAGAACGTTTGGCGACGGAGCCGACCGAGGGAATCTCATTAGGGGACAGCTTTCGAGAATGTCCCCGGCTACCGATTGAGCCTTGCCTGCTCCGCTGCGAAGACCTGTACGCAGCGTGGGAAGGGAACCCAGCTCCATGATCTGGAGGTGCCGAAGCGGAACGCGGCAGTGGTGCCTGCGGCCCGGTTTGCCCAAAGACTGTTGAGGGTAGAAGGGGTCCCACGTCATCCGCTGGTGTAACTTCCGCAGTAATGTGAATAATATGGTCCGGTATCTCCGGTACTGCCGGTATGGATTCGCGTTCATTTGGATCGGTGCTCATGTACCGTGGGTGGCGCATAGCCCGCGGTGTTGCGGGAAGCCCAATTGGAGTTGAGAAGGTCGATGTGCCGCTTGTTGACTTGGGACCATACCGGGTCATCGCTTCAGGATCGACAGACTGACTACGACTAATGCCGTGCTCACTTCCTCCAGACAATGGCGGGAGGAACGACGCCGGATTATTGCCCAGCTCTGTCACGGAACGAGCGCTAAGTCCTGGACGGCCGGCACTTAGCTCACCGGGATGAGGTATGACAGGTGCGGAAGGGCGTCTGGCTAGAGACAGACGCCGTTGCTCAAGTTCTCGTGCCGCCAGTTCCTTCTTTGTTAAACTTCGCGGTTGGCGCACTTGAGGCGCATCGACCTGCATCTTTGGCATACGGGATCTTGATGATTGTCTGCTCGCCGTCCTCTCAGGAGACTCCTCGCGAGTATCGAAGCGAACGCTAGGCCGTCGCTGAGTGGGCCGCCGGCTCCGTGACCGCTCTCGTTCCCCGTATCGATCAGGAGAGGCTTCACGCTGGTTGCTTCTTGCTCTTTCGCCTGGACGACGGCTTGTGCTTCGTTGACGTGGCCTCGACTGTTGAGTGCCAACGGATCTATCGTCTCTAATGTTATCCTCATCGTCTGTCGGAAAGCGAGCCTGGTCAGATGATGGTAGGGGCGGTGAAGGAGAACGCGTATGCAAGCCTTCAGCTCTGAGTTCGGGCCAACCTCGCTCGTCTACGCCAGATCTCTCTGGGCTGACATGTCTACTCGCAGCTCTGCTTGCAGCCCGACTGCCTGGCTTACTGCGGGAAGCTCTTTCCGGTGACTCCATCCTCCGAGATACTTTGGAGCCAGACCTGACTTTTGACGCGGCTGTACGTGATCTGCTCCGAGCTCTCGCGGTGGGTCTTTCAGATCCAGATCCGATGGGGGAAGTGACCTTATAATAAAGCTCGTCATCGTTGCTTTCGGTGTTCGTGTTGTAGAACCCTGCATCCTCTGGCGACATGGGCACAGGTGAGGATGGTGATCGTTTTGCAGGTCTGATGTACCGGACTCCAGACCGACCCCTGTTCTCGGACTGCTCACGGAGGGCGGGCCTGCTGCGTGATCGTCCATCCCGACTTTCAGCGCGTGGCCGGCTCTCAGCTCGCTGTTGTCGAGCGTGAAAGTTAGCTTCTTCAAGGCTGCTGATATACTGGTCAATGCCCCTGATCTTCGCGCTCGCTAGGCTGGCATCAATCAGCGGTGGACTGAAAGCCGACGATGGTGGACCGGTTTCGCCCGTTGCTGGAGCTCCGTGAGTTACCAGGACTTCATCTACGCGCAGTTCAAGGCCATCCGGCTTTCTGTCACGAGATCCATTCCGAGCTCGAGACTGTTCTTGCAGCTTTGTAAACATGCCGAGTGCGGGCGAAGGTAGCGCATCAGGTTTCTTGACTGTCCGGGGGTCGAATGCAACAGCATCAAGCGTGATCAGCTGCTCTTTGTCACCATGTTGAGAAAGGGTCCGGCTGTGGGAGGTGAGTGTGACGTCTACATCTCTTCCTGCAGTGTCAATGGCAGTCTGAGGGGTGAGGTGACGCGGTCTTGCAAGAGGGGTTGCGTCTGCAAGATTGCTTCTGTCTGAACCGCCTCTAGATGGTAACCTTCTCCTACCGTAGGCGCCTGGGGTAGCTGTCCGCGCAGATGAAGGATCTCTAACGCTTCGTTCGCTTGGTCTGCCCCATGGATGCGGTCCACTGGGAGAGATTGCGGACTCGGCGATTGGTGTAACCCCAACACCTAACATTGGTGTCCGCTCGTCAGTCGTTGAGGGTACTGGAGCCGCTCCATGGTTGCCAAAGCTGGTAATCAGCTTCAAAGAAGCATTTTTTGCGGTTAGGCGACTGTGACCGGCTGAGGGTGGCGAGAGCGGCGGACTCAGCTGTGACACCAGACTCTGTTGTTGCTGCGCAGCCAAGACCTCATCCTGAGCCCTTGGTGAAAACCACGGCTCTGAGCTTTCTAGACCTGTGCAGGAGAAGCATCTGACAGCGAGTTGGGGTTGGCCTTGTCCAACAGCAATCTCACCCCATTTACGAACGAGATGGGATTGTCGTTGCCAGTCTGACCGAAAGAACAGGCAAGTCAAGAGCACAGCCTCTAGGTGGTACTTCTGGGAGACGTAAACCTCCACGGCGTCGTTGATCTCACCAAGCCCTAGGAGAATGGCAACGGCAGGATGAACGTCGCCCTTCTCGAGCAGGCGCTGGACGAACGCTTCGCCGACTTTCTTCTGCGAGTCAGGTCCCATAGCGCTTAGCGCCAACAGCATCCAGTCTGACGAAGTCATCGACTCTGACCCGATCATGGATGCCATAACATCATTAGCACCAAGATCACCGAGCCACTTTGAAAGCAGCACGGCGCTGGCTGAGCCAGAGGCATGTCGAGACACTACGCAACCTATCAGCAAAGCGTATATGGATAATGTGAAAAGGAAATTGCTCTTACACTCATCGCGCACAAGCGAGTCGATGTCGTCGTCCCAACCAAATACCACGCTAAGCATTTGCCGTCGAAGATCATCGGTTGTTCGTTGCGGACCGTACTGTGGTGTCCTGAATGGAACGTCACTAAGTCTCGCCTTGACAAAGGGGAACAAGTCAAGGGCCGCGGGAGGCTTGGTCTCCGCCGGGCTTCGAAGAACCTCCTTTCGAAGACTGGAGGACTTGTACTTCGATGAAGTTGCGGAGGACATGGAACGTATAGATATACTGTCGCGGCCAGTTCCGATGGAGGATCCCGATGAGAACACCGTCCCGTCGCTGAGCGAATCGTCTGATGTTCTAGAAGAAAACATCTTGTCGTAGCGCGAGTGAGAGCGCATCCTACCGCCTGACTCTCGTGAACTAACCGAACTCCTACTGGACACAGGGCTTAACGGGCCGACAAGATCACGTCGCTCGTCTTCTAGCTGATCCATCTCTTGCGCAATTCTCTGCAACGGCGACATAGTGGCTCCCTCTCCTTCGCTGCTTTCGGTCTCAGTAAAATCCGGAAGCTCGGGAGCAGCTGCTGATAATGTATGGTTGGCAGCGGCTTGCTGCTCCTTCTGCTCTTCGATGGAGTTTGGTGGTGATGGCGGTGCGTTTGGAGGCACATGCTGCACATTTGCCACCAACATCGGCGTGTTGTTTGGATTTAAGTCGTACTGCTGAGCAGTATGGTTACGGCCAAGCGTGAAGAGTGTGGCTGTTGGTCCATAGTTGGCAATCGCAGTAACACTGTCAATAGTCGGTACGATCACGTATGCAACTTTCTTGGTCCTCACGTCCCAAACCCAGGTCTGCCTGTTGGTGGCGTTAGCGGGATTCTAGTAAGCGCGCGCGGATTGAGCGCTCCTGCACCGCTCTCGTGGATATGCACAACTCACCCTTCGGAGTATTGCACGATACGTCCATTCTTCGACCAGGCGAACCAGCACAGACCAGGGTTCACGCCTTCGGATCTAGTAAGAATGCGTATCACGCTTGGAGGGTCTGTTTGGGGAGCCTTCGCCACACTCCAAACTCGCAGGTCGCCATCCGCAGTTTGCGTCGCCAGCATTTCAGACTTTTGCTTTGACGACGATCCATGCCAGGACAGAGCCGTGATTGGAGAAGGTGCTCTCGGTGATGTCAGTGTGTGCAGGATGGTAAACGATGGCTGCAGCGCCGCGATCAGGATTGAGCCATTTTGATAGCTAGGCCAGTGGTCAGCGCAAGCGCGCTCAAGGTAGGTTCTCTTGCAGGCCGCTTACCCGATGGCATACGTTCGACAGTCAGCGGCAGGTGCCAGTGCTGTGATGGGATCAAAAATGGTCCTTGCTGAAATATGTTCCGATGTTGATGGTTCGAACAAAATCACGTTTCCTTGCGCATTGCCTGAACGTACGTGCATCAGCTCTGGTGTCTGCGATTCTCGGTGACGCGCTTGGGCGACTACTGACCAAAAGCAACGTTGCCGTTCTTCATCCATGCCGCGACACGTATCTGCTCATATGAAGCAAATCGGGCAACCTCCTCGCCTGTGAAGAGGTCCCACACAATAGCTGTACTGCCAACATCGTAGCTCACCACCAATCGACCCGTCCCCCTCTCGCTAACATTGTCCGCCGATATCCATAGCACGTCCTCGCGATGCCGCTCGAATCGCCTTTCAATGGCTAAGGTGTCGTGGTGGAGGCATAGTATAATGGCCCTCTGTGCGTAGAGGAAGAACGCAGCCGTCGCCGCACACGGCTCGAATTGCTCGTCGATCTTTGGGGTTACACTTGGCGTGGGCGGTTGAAGTGGTCTCGCTGAACGGTTCGAAGCTCGTGAGGTGGATCGTTGTCGCGACAGTTGTCCGGTCGACATGCTGCGCTGACCTGTGTCGGCGTCTCTATCAGCCGGCCGCCGCAAGGAAGTCGAGTATCAGGGACGTGATAGAGAGCATTCGCAGAGTTCCAGGAATAGAAGCGGTTTGGGTACTTTGTATACCGGAGCAGTGCGAGCGCAGGTTAGTGCAGGGGAACACTCGGTGCGCAGACCCACTGTCACGCACGATTGACAAGGAATGTGTGCTGTGTGTTCTGGGAGGACAGAGCAAAGGTAGACCGTGCAGCAGCCGGAGCGATTGGTGTAGCTCTACCGCCCAGCAGGGATATAATGCAATGGAACCGGAGTCGAATCAGGGCGCTTACGGCCACAGCAGAGGCGCTGAAGCCGGGCCTGTACGAGGACGAGACCGGAGAGACCCTCGGTATACCAGCCAGTGCGGACTCTGAGCAGGAGAAGAAGACTGCAAAGGGGAAAGGGCGCATCTAACCAGCGCCAAACGGCTGGGCTTGTACGGAATAGTTTGGCCATGGCCGTCTGCGAGGCGGCCGCCTTTTGGAGGTGACACGACGTTCTATCACTAACTTTAATGCATGGTCCTGCAGGACGGGGTTCTGGCTTCTGATTGGTGCTCTCGTCACATCCAGGGAGCCCAATCACAGTTGTCTCGCGCCTAGCGGGGCAGTGGTGCTCGAGTAAAGTACCTCGCTAACGGGCACCTCAACAGCATCGGCAGGTATTCGTCCAGTTTATATATCAGCATATCTTACCAGTCACCACTTCTTGAGAGCCATCAGATTTCCGACAGGTTCAGAGGAAGGCTGAAGTGCTCGCGCGACGTGGGTGGCGTGTTTCGAGGCTTGCAGCGAGTCGGAGCCCGTTGGTGATACCTCAGCAGAGATCGTACCTTTCGGGCTCACAGCATCCATTTTGTGACCCGAAGCGTCTGCAGCCGCTAAGTAGACCGAGGACCTGAGAAACGTTGCCGCACAACGTGGTGAACCGAACAAGCGGCCATTCCGGCACTCAGGCAAGGGGAAGGAGGTGTCTTAAAGCAGGACAGCGTTGGTAAAGCTGCCTCGCATGCGCACTGCCTGCGAACCTCCGTGCAGAAGAACCATAGAGGCATCATCAACGTCTGAAGGAGCTTAGTGTGTACAATCCTCAAGTCTGACAAGAGCCTCAATAAGCGGTCTCCAATGTTTATGATTACATCCACGCCCGCTCACGTTCAATAACGAAGCCCTCTTGGTAGAATGCCGTTCTGCCCTGCCCGGGGTGCCATGGCTCTCAAACACATGACTATACTTATTTCACGGTAGAGAGAGTATTCAAGTGCCGCATTGTAGATTCTTGACGCATAGAGTACCTATCTGTTACAGTCTTCTTTGAAGGCCTTGGGGCCAAAAGGCGGATCGTGAGATATAAGTTGCTCGCTCGAACATGGCACTCCGTATCCATTCACCCGTACAAGAAATCACCCCGTGCTTCCAGAAGCCAAGACATCGGCGCGTTGTAGAGTAAGATCTTCGATCACTTCTGCTGGCACTCCAGCAAGGGCGTCGGCAAGGCACGAGCTGCATCGAGGAACCACAATGCCCTTGCCGGGAGCCACGCTCAAGCACGGTGCTCGAATTGGTACATGTCGCAGACAACATTGCATACGTTGTGATAGTGACAGGGGAAGATTCATTGAATTTATTGATAAAAGTGATAAATTAAGCGCCACCACCCTGGAAGCCTCCAGGTCCCGCTTCCCCCCTCATCTCCCGCCCGTCCACCCGCCATCCCAGCCGCGATCCCAGCAACGGCGTCCCAGCTGCGCACCGTGCGTGGTGTCCAGACCCTTTTAAGTTCATCACCCTGCAAGCCGCAAAGTTTACTTTCACAGTGACATGAAAATAACCGTTCTCGCTTAGGCATGCGAAGCAGTCCAGCCAGGACACGCCGTTGAGCGAAACGGCCTCCGCATCAGCTCCTGTACCAACCCAGGAGACACACCCGATGCCACAGGGTACGCCTTCGTCCACGTTCCCAACAGCTTTCCGTCCGACGGATTGGGTCGTGGTAATGACCATGTGACTCGTCCATGGTGCCACCAGGGATGGCAGCTCGCGTACTGTGGTGAACAGGCTAGGCATCCTGGCGACTTAAGACAACGTAGGCCAACACGACGAGGCCCGTCGCGTACGCGCATCGCCTCGAGCAGTCTGTGCTCGCCGTGGACCTTAAAGGCCCGTAATATAGCCCGAAGTGCTTGCATGCCAGAGATGCTTGTTGGGTCCGAGTGAAGTAGTCCTCGTGGTGTGGATACTTCTGAGCGACATCGTTGTCAGGACCAGGCGACGTGTCGCAAATGGCGGCTCGCAGCACCTTGGAATAATGTAGGTTGAGTTCCAATCCTAGCGTATCGTGCTTCACTCAGGCGTCTCAGGCGACTCGTTGATCGGCGACATCGGTTTTGAGGGTCGTCTTTCCTTGCGGGAGCTCCTTCGCCGTTGCTTTGGCTTAGAAGCGTATAGAGGTAATAGTGGAGCTGCCACGGCGAGATATTCTCGTGGTGGGGGCGGTGGCGCGTCGAGCAGAGGAATGCTTGTGTCGAGTTCGTCCAGAAGATCATCCGGTATTAGATCCAGATCACTGATGAAGGAGCTTGGAGCGCTGCTGCCGAAGCCGCCAAGCGATGACCGCCCGAGTGATGAGCCTGTGGGCCAGCTTGGAAATGCGCAGGACAGAGCTTGGCTTGAGGGAGAGCTCTGATATGTGTTCACAGGTGATCCAGTCTGAAAGCCGATAGAGATCGGCGTCGACGGTGAGGTCGATGGTGAGATTTCGAAATGCATAATGGGTAGTGTGTATTTGTTCTTGTTGTTGTCTGAAGGTTGTATATACACAGACAGTGAGGATGACGATGTTGGTATAAGATATTGTGCTCAAGACGAAAGTAGCAGGACGACTCTTGTTATTATATGACCCTTATGATGTGTCCGCTATGCAACTGTGACTAGAAAAGGGCGGCGGTCTGAAGGAGCAATCATCTGTTACGCGCCTGTGATGGGGGATGGGCGTGATCAAATACCAACACGCCTCGCAAACCGACTCCGGCTGCACCCATAAAATGACTTGTAGCATGCGCTTGTTTTCATCTCCCTCGCCATGATTAGCGGTGAGTCACCGCCCGAAACCGAATTAACGGGGAGAGCGCCCCGGAAGGAAACACCGCTTTTCCATGGCGATTCAAGGACGGCACCCGCGTCAAGGCTGCTCCGGCCGTCAGCCCGTTCAGCCTTCCGCCCAGCTAACGGAGAGATCGGGTTGGGTGTGCGGCATCCAACCCGCATCCCACACCAATGCGCCCCCAACGCCATGGAAATCTCGAGACGCCGTGTTGGCGAGTAATATCCACACCAGAGTTTCTTTTGCTTTCATCACACGGTCGTAAGAGCAGAGACAGCATTGCCGTCATCGTGTTTGGCCTGCTCGTGGATCGTCAAACCTGCCCCGGACATGGCCACACGCCCGCGTAGTACCCGCGCTCCCCCACGGCGGAGCGGTCTGATGGACCTCCGGATTTTGGTTCTGTTTGTGAAGGGTGCACGAATCAGTTCGCAGCGTCGGGTGTCTGCGGGAAAATCATGAATCTTGGGCAGCAGTGGCGCGTTGGCGGTCGTCCGAGCCAGCGGCACGACGGCCGAAGCACGCAAACCTTGAAACAACTGCACCGCCGATCACCGGCGGAGCGCGTCCGTCGCTTGGGGAAGGGTTTCGGCAGCTTTCGTGGGGCTCTCCCACAGCATTTAGATATCTATCTCCCGCATATAGTCTCCGATAAATTATGGAAAGAGAGGTCAGCTGCCCTCCCACATTCTATGGAGCGTTCAGCATGAGGGAGTACAGACTTAGCGGTGTATCTACTCCTGGCTCGTGACAAAGGGGAACAGTCAGCTCTACAAACCGAGTAGCACGCAAACAAGGTCTTGACGCTCGAAGTAGATAGGGGTCTAGAAAAGTACTTTCCTCGTTGAAACATATGGACCAGTACTCTAAAGGACCTACAAAGACCTAGATCGGCCTGTTGCCGAAGCTAGCTGACCTTACTGTTTGGGGCAATCCGAAATGCCCCTCCACCTCTCCGCAACCGTATCAAGCGCACTTTTGCACTGTCAGAACGAAGTGTCAACCCTCGCGGAGCGCCTCGTCTCCTTGCCGGAGTTGATTTGCCTGAGATTCCGCGAGAGGCTCGAGACGGGTATCGTAGGTATTGAGATTTCAGTGCTTTCAACGACCTTCATGCGACTTGCCTTTCCGAGAACTCCATGCATCGCAACGGAAATTGGATCGCGTCCTTCCACATCCGTCTCTAGCCAGCACAATGTCTGTTGTAAGAATTTTCAGCTCTCACTGGCGGTGTGTTTCGTGCCTCTAGGCGTCCAGCGCTCGTCAGCTAATCATCTGTTGACCTGGTCAGTGGTCAGATGGTAAGTTGCTCTGTAACGTAGGTATTGCACTACTGGATCACATGTACATGAGCAGACTGGGACTGTTTGCATAGCAGGAAATCTTCCGCCGAAACCGCATTCCATATCTGAGCCCATTTTTCATTGTTCTCGTATTTCGTAAGGCGGACGGATTATCGCGCGAATCGGTCTCATGTCTCCAACATCTCTTGGCATGAGCAAGTGCGGGGACCCCACGTTCGCGTTTACACGCGCAAGCCGAGCTTCCCCTCTGGTGTCCTTTCCGCATCCAACGGCCGCACGCTGCGGGCTGGGATTGTACCGTTTCTTTCCGACACGCACTGGAGCCACAGGGTCCACGATCAACCGCACCTCCGTCAAAATCACATATCCGAGTAAACGCTAATCCGCTTGACATCATCCATGGCCGTTTTCCGACAGATCTCTCAATCCGCCCAACAGCCATCCCATTGAAAACGTAGCGGTTCATTACCGTAGGAGAACCACCCTGACACCAAATGTCTGGCGAAGAGCTCAATCGCGGTGTACGAGTTCGGATCGGCCATTAACGATTCCAGGAGGTTCTTCAAGCATGGCTTTCGTGAGTGAAGATCCGGCACGCCAGCAATGACTCTCCTCTTCACATCTGTTGCTGGTTCTGCCACGGTATATGGGTTGGCCGCGGCTTTTCCTACAAGCAGAACCTCGTATGGCTTGCGCCAGGAACTGTCGAGTGCAAACATGGGCTCGCCCTTCACGGTCGTCTTGACCCAAATCCACTCCTCAATCAAGCCGACATTGAAGTTCTCGAAAATTCCTCCAGCACCGAGGATCATGGTGCGTATAGCTGGCTTGTTGGTGATCCAGACGGCCAGAATGCCATTATTTGCAATGGGTAGGTCCATTCGCAGCAAGGAGTCCTTGAGGTTGCCCAACGAATCCGTTGAGTATGCCCTCTTGCGTTTAGCGGAATGATTCGTGTAGGGTGGATCGAGCAGTATGAGATCGAATTTGCGAGGCGTATCATACTCCTGTGCTATCGTGCGGATAGCGGCGCGGAGTGATGTGGCGTCGGAGCAGTCGCCAGATAAACAACTTGCCCGTGGAGGAACCCTGCCTCCAGATCGGCGTCAGGTCATCATTAGGCTCTCCAACCGTGTTCTTACCTGAATGTGTAGGCGGCCTTTCCCGTAACCAAGTTATCCAACACTGTCAATCGAAGGACACTGTCGTCAAGGTTATATTGCAGAGGCTCGTAAGGAAGATAACCTTCCTTGTCTTTCTCCTCCTCTGAATTCGTTTCATCTGTGGTCTTCGGGCTACTGTACTTGACGAGAAAGCGCTTTTTGTCTCCATGTTTCGAGTCGCATTGTTCCGCAAGCTGTGGAAGCAGATCTTGCGGCAGTCCTGTTAATCGGGCCATGCTCTTCTCGATTGACTCTTCACGCCATGACAATGTGTCGTCGAAGGTGTTCTCAGTAGTCCCAGGCTGGTGGTCTTCGCGCTTCATCGATTCCCGGTTGTTGCCTTTCAATTGGATTTCCGGAAACAGTTCCCGTGGATGACACCAGTTTCCTTGAAAGTTGGTTCTGATTGCATTTAGCGCTCGCTCTGTGATCGAGCGATATTCCTCGTGTAGAGCTGCATCCACTGTGTTCTCCGCCAGTTTGCTCTTTGCATCATCCGACTTGGGATCGTTCATAGCAAAAGGCACTTCTTGGGGCTTTGATGACAGCAACCTGCTGAAGGCGGGATGATCTTTTGTTCCTTGGGCAGCGGCGATTGATGTTGGAATGTCAATGAGTGTAACATCGCCTTCAGCGTTCCGATAGAGAATAGGGTCTAGAGGCTGCTTGGACGCCATCGCAAGGAAGACCTATGCGGGCAACTGCGAAGTTAATGTTGAGCGTATTCAGCAAGTTTGTTAGACGCGGTTGTATTTGTGTCGCCCACACATTATTGCGAAATGGTATTACGGCGAGCGACACGCTCTAGACACAAACTTGTTTCGACCCTAATATCAAGTGAAATTGCCATATCTACGCCTGGTGAGAAGATGGTTCAGTAGCGAGTAAGTGGTCACGTGCCTAAAAGCCCGGTTTGTTGCGGCGGGAACAACGGCCTTCGGCAAACCCAAAGACGTCACCCGAAGCCTGCCACGGCCAGTCGTGTATGCTTCCGAAGTGGAACGCATAATAAATTAATATCGTTCTCCCACCGACGGCATTTGTTCTCAAACATCAATGATCGGGTAGCCCAAGTGCCCTCTCTGGCATGCCCTCGAGCATCCTAGGCAACGATGCCTACGCGCCTCCGCAACCGGACCGACCACGAGCGATAATGACCACACCTGCACACGCACCGCAGGCAATTCGAAATGCGGACGCTACACTGCCTGAGAACCCGACTGCGGCGCCAAAGCTAGACAAACGGAGTCGGGAATATATCCTGAAGAGCGGACTGGCGGGGGGTATAGCAGGATGTGCCGTATGCTCCACGATCGAGGAAGGCGCTGAGCCCCCGTGAGCTAACGACGCGCAGGCTAAGACGATTGTTGGTCCTCTAGACCGTGTCAAGATCCTCTTCCAGGCCTCCAATCCGCAGTTCGCCAAATATACCGGGTCGTGGTTCGGCGTTGCGACTGCGATTAAAGACATCTGGGCGCAAGATGGTTCAAGAGGGTTGTTTCGCGGTCACTCGGCCACCCTTCTCCGCATCTTCCCATATGCCGGAATCAAGTTCCTAGCTTACGAGCAAATCCGGGCCGTCATCATCAAAGATAAGAGTCAAGAGACGTCCCTGCGGAGACTCACGAGCGGTTCCCTTGCGGGTCTTGTATCTGTGTTCTTTACATACCCCCTCGAGGTTATTAGAGTACGGCTAGCGTTTGAGACAAAGCGCGGCTCGCGCTCTTCTCTCACCGGCATCTGCAAGAAAATATACAATGAGCGGGCGCCTATCGGCAAGGCTTCAGCCCCCCATATAAATACGTCGTCCGCATACCAGATTGCCTCGACAACAACGAATGCCACAGCGACCTCCTTACAGCAGGTGACGCCTCGATCTGGACTATCGAATTTCTATCGTGGATTTACGCCGACCATGTGGGGCATGTTTCCCTATGCAGGATTCTCCTTCCTCACTCACGACGCCATGGGCGACTTGATGCGGCATCCTCGCCTGGCGCGGTATACTACATTGCCCAATACCCGGGGAAAGAGCCGGGATCCCGAGAAGCCTGCGCAGCTGAAGCACTGGGCAGAGCTGACGACGGGAGGAGTGGCGGGCTTTGTGTCGCAGACATTATCGTACCCTCTAGAGGTTATACGTCGAAGAATGCAGGTCGGCGGTGTAGTGGGTGACGGCCACCGTTTGACCATGACCGAGGTTGCGCGAAAGATACACATGGAAAGAGGGTGGAGAGGGTTTTTTGTGGGTCTTGCCATCGGCTATGTGAAGGTCGTGCCTATGGTTGCGACCAGCTTTTTTGTTTATGAGAGAGCGAAATACTACCTCGGCATATGACACCGAATCGCTGGCGTTAAGAAGGATTTGGGCAAGCGGCTTGTTTGCTGGCAGACGAGAAGAACGAATCAAGCAAGTGTCGAGTTCTGAGTGATTAGCAGTTCCCTGTTGTGATTGTAGCTCACCTCGCTCACAGCGATCTTCCCAGTTCAGCGCCCGAAGCTGGCACCTTGGCTCAGCAAAACGCCACGTTTATGCCGCAAGGCGGGCTCACAAAGAGAGCGGTTACCAAGCTGGCGTTGGTCTAGTGCCGAGTATCTCCTTAGGCAACGGTTTGGCGTTAGACGCACGCTCCAATCCTACACGATGCATGGCTCCTATGCAGTCATGAGATTATAGTTGCTAGGACTTGTAGGCCTAGCAGCCACGAGAGATGCCCGTTATTGAATGAGCACCTGTCCCGAGCGACGTCCTGAAACCGCCAAAGCTGTGCGCCACCACAACCGTAGTGGAAGTGTATGCGCTCAGCGCAATGCAATCCCGATGTAGCCAGTCAAGCCCGCACTAGGTGTCCCTGCCTATGAGTTAAAAGACATAGTACCTTCTCCATCCTCACGCCGAATAGGCTGCAGGAATTAGCGACACCAGCGAAACATCTGTGCTCATTTACATGTATCGACCAAACGATCCATACAGCTGCGTTGTGGCCGTCGGAGGGCTGCCGACTCTCGTATATTCGGCTTTGTTGACGGTCCGTCTTATATCTGAGACTCCGATCTGATAGGTCTGCCATATCAGCCGTAGCGCGCATGAATGTTGAGGTTCCGGTACTCAGCCTACTTGCCAAGACATGGCGACTTCAGCTGAAGATATTCATCAGTCTCTGCCAACAACACTGCAAGCCACGTTCGAACTCGCAAATGCCGCTTGCATCGCTTGTGGGGCTGAGTTTCGGAACCTGGGGACGGGTGCATTAGGCAGCGGGTAAAGAGGTCTTAGCATGCCTCAGCCTTCTCCACATTCGCTAAACTCTTCCCATTTCCTAGAAAGCTTGTCCTGCAATCGAGGACTAACAGGCTATGTTTAGCATGATTCCTAAATTATACCCCGGTTCTACTGTCTCTGCCCTATCTTGGCGAGACCAATACGCAGGACGAGTACGCCTTGCGAAAGCCTCCTCAGGCACCACACATCTCGCAGACGCGGATTCGGATGCCCTCCGGGCTCGCTGGCGTCCCACTCGGCATGCTCTCGAGGCATGTGATTGGCGATATCATGGTGCAGCTCCAAATGAGTGATACGAGAATAAGCGGTCAGGTCTCTGACAGCCCTGTTGTTTACTCAGTGGAGACCCACTCCTCTCCTTATGACTAGTCTCCTATACTTGTATAAATCCTTCGTTTCCGTCCTTGGAAGAAGTCAAGACGCAAAGTTTGACGAATATCCGGACCACTTTCTTTGAAAGCACAGTCAACTTTTCATTCGTTGAAATCACTCATCCACATTCATAGCAAGAAGACAGTGTCGAGCATCTCCACAATGTGAGTCCAGTCCATGGAGTCAGTCCATGGAATCCACCCGCGAGTACTCCAGAGCGTCCTGCCGCTACACAAGCTACTGTTGAGCATCACGGCAACATATCACAGGGAGCCTGATACAATAGCAGACTGACAGGTTGAGCAATCAGGGTCCAGTTCCTCGCCCTCACTACGAAGCTCGCTACAGCAGCTCTGTTGCTTGGATCCGCAGCAGCAGCACACCTCGCTCCACGTCAAGCTACCAGCAACGCCCCAGCATGTCCGAATCTATCCATCAGCGGTAGCGGCGGACGCAAAATTGCCATCGTCGTAGGTTTAGCGACGCTTGTAGTGGCAAGGCCAGCCTTTTCTGACGTCTCTACCAACAGGTCGACACCTCCGGCTCCAACAGTTGGACTGATCCATCGAACCTCCGCGTTGTCGCAGCTAGAACCCTGAACGATGCCCTCGTCAGCAATGCTGAAGCCGCAGCTAGCGGCACGCAGGCGGACCAAGTTACAGTGGTTGACTTCGATGGTGAGCTAGCCAGCGTACCTCAAGGCATCTGAAGCGGTCGCTCATACAACAACAGGTTCCGCCGCAGTGATCTACGAGCTTGGCGACCCTGCAGGGGCCATCCCCTTCGATCTTTTGGACTCCTCTGGTTCAACATACATTGCCTCCGGCGTCGAGGCGGCCATTACTGAACTTACCAAGGGCCCGGATCCCACAGCTGACCGCACGGGCATTGTGGTTCTGACGGACGGTTCGGATAGCTACACTGAGCAATTGATCAGCGCGATAGATAACGCGACTGCTAACGGAATCCGCATCTCTTTCGGCTTCCTTCCCGAACGCTCCAGTGCAGCTACAGACCCAGACGTCCAGGCGGCTATACTCAGGACGGGTGGCCAGTATGCCATCTTCAGCTCCGCGGAGTCGCAGCAGAGTTTTGTCAATCTTGTGCTTGCCAATGGCTTGACCAATGACTTGACTGCCTCTAACACATCGTCAACGCTTGTCTCCGGCCTTTCCATCACTGCGTTCGTAGCAGCCAGCGGCTCGAATAAGTTCACGTACAATGCTCAAGCTGGCGAAACACTGAACTACAACCTCACAAGCATCACCGCTGGCACTTTAGACGCTACTCTCACGGACGCGAGCGGTGCTGAGCTCAAAACGGCGTCCACTGACACCAACACAACCTTTACCGTTGACGTTGCTAATGCGGGCGAGCTGGTACTCAGCGTGACTGCCAGCAACACCTCCAGCGCCGCACTCCTTCAAGTCGGCGTCAGCTCGTCACTGGGCATCTCCAATTGTATCCTCACTCCGGATAATACGACTGTTCCGGGCAATACTACTGTGCCGGGCAACCGGACCAATACTACGGTACCGTCTTCGACTGTGTCACGTCCGGCTCAGTATACTGGTGCTGCTGTAGCTGTGACCGGTTCGCAGGGGTTTGCTACCACGGCTTTTGCGGTGGTGTCTTTTGCGTTTGTTGCTTTCCTCGTTTGAGAGCAGCTTCGGCTTGCTCTTCCGACTTGGGCATATGGCGAGGCTGGTCAAGCTGTGCAGGCTAGTAATCGATAATGGATCTATCTGATAGCGGCGATGTTCGGAGAGTGTTGTGCGTTGTAGGTCATGATCAAGGAAACGGGTGTACGCTGTGTGTGCGGCATGTGTCTGGACTTTAGATCTGATTCTGGTGGAACTTGCGACCTAGATACATCAAACCCTACAGTTCTCGGGCTTGTCTGTGAGACGATGTGCCAAATGTATGACTCATGCGTTGTCTCCAGGCCAATGAGGGCTGTGAAGGTCTTTACAGCTTCTACAAATGGATTTCCTAAAGCGGACATATCGTGTCTCGTAGAACGCCGCATAACGATTAGTTGTTTTCAAATGCGAATCGACTGTTACCTTAAATGCTGCTCCATCATTCAGGCATGCCGGGTTTCGATGGAAGGGTGCTGAGCACCGAACAAATCACAGTTGGTATGCGTGAGATTGTGGTGGAAGAACATAGCTGGCGGACAAATTCACCGACAACATGAGTGGAGTTTGATGGAACTACCGAGTTTAGAGAACTCATCACAAACCCCATGAAGCACTTCGTTGTGTTAATGAGTGGTGTCAACTGCGCTGAACCCACGACGTAGACCCGCCAGACCTTCAGCACGAACACGTTCGCAACGTCAAAAACAGGCTCTCCTGGACCAAAGCTGCCCCGGTCCAGTTCCGAGTTTGGAAAGTCGGTCAAATTTTGCGGCGTTCCACGGAAGATGGGTTGTTTCCTGTTTGGGAAGCATGCATTGCGAGTGACAGGGAACCCGAAATGACGTCAAGTTCTCGATACGCCCGCGCTCGAGCGCGCATCATTGAAAGCGGCGGCGCATAGACGATTCTCTGCAGCACCGTCTATAAAGGTACTCTGAATACCTCACAATTGACCACGGCACCGGCTACAAAGGAACTGCGAATCCTACCAACAAGCCTTCTGCTTTCGAACACCACATCTCAGAGAAAACATGGCCTCAAACAACAATCAACAGCCCGGATTAATTGCTTCGCACGCAGAATACATCAAGGCAGCAGCAGTCGTACGTCTTCCTTCTTCCCCTCTGTCTGCCGCCCTTCCCGCTATCAGACCAAACGCAAAATGACTGACACCCCTCCCTCAAACCAGGAGACAGTAGGCACCGTGACCGGCAGCGAAGCATGGAAGCAGTCCGGCGCCGAACAAAAGGAACAAGCGATCAACGACATGAAGGCCGCGAGCGAAGGGCGGGATCCCTCGGCGAGCGGATGGGGCAAGCCCGAGGAGGTGATTGGGAAGGTTACGGGTTGCGAGGGGATGCAGCAGGAGGGAGCGGCTAGCACGAAGCAGTAAGGTCTACTGGATGGGAGTTTAGGGTATGATCATGGGGCATAGTAGGGATGGAGCGTCGGACAAACATGTCATAGACCAGGATAGTGCTTCGAGCGGCATCTCCCAAAGCATGATTTCCTAGCCGTTGAGCTTGCCTGTCCAGGCATTCCATCCGCAAAGATATAGAATGGAAGTTCCAGCAACACAATCAAGCATCTCCCTTCCCCTCCCCAACCGCTACCCAATTACTCATACAAACACAGCTCTTCTGCGCAAACATCAGCCACCCCAACTCATTCCTCCCCTCCGCCGGCGGCGCCAGATCCTCCATAACAGCCCCACACCGCGTGCACATCCTCAGCTTCTTCTCTCTCGCCAGCGGCACCTTCCTCACAACATCCACAGCCCTGTGCCTTGCAAACTCCCTTGTCATCCAGCCATCGTGCAGACCCAACCACTTCAGGTCCGCGAAATAAATCTTCGACGTGTCCTGCAGCTCGCTGAGCAGCTTCGGCAGCGTGCCCGTAAGCAGCTGCCTCACAGCCGGCATCAGGCACTCAGGTATCTCGGCATTGACGAGCATCGCCTTCTCAGCTGCACCGCGCTGCTCGGTGCTGAGCTTCGCGGCTGTGTAGGCGTCTCGCACCGCTTTGTCGACTTCGCCAGGGACGATGTGCTCGAAGCGGGGGCATGAGATCGGGTTCGTTATGAAGATGTTGTTGAGCGTTTCGTAGACGGCCTTTTGGGCGCGGGGCAGCGATGGTTGTTTGAGGGCCGCGTGCACGGTCTTGAAGCAGAGTTGGAGCGGGCGGAGGAGCATGCGGAGGAGGTAACGGGGTGCGCTGGCGAGAAGGAGGAGGAGGGCGGGAGAGTTGGCTGCGTTTACTGCGGTGCTGTCAGCGGGGTTTTTGGGTGCATTGAAGTGGCTATGGCGAAAGTTGCTGCATGTGCAAGATGATACTCGGCTTGGCGACAAAGTTTCGTCTCCGTCAAAACCCATCGCATCCAAGAAGTCGTCTGGGCTCTGAAGCACCAATAATCTCTGGGGCCAGGGGACATATCTCACACCCGCCTACCTTTCTCTTGGACAAAGGCTCTGTCATGCTCTTGACCCCTGACGGCTCTCGCCAGCTCCATCAGCTCATCAACGATGTAGACCAGGAAGTCATTCGACCACTTGACCAAGCCCACTAGCGACTTTGCCAAATCTACCAAGATTAGCTCACGTACGTATCGTGGGTGAAGGCATCCATACCAGGTTCCGGTGGCTGGTCGGGCCGGAACATCTGTAGGAATACGAAGGCATGCGAGCGCATGTTCAGGATGCACCACGCAAGCTTCCCGGATAACGTGCGAGTTGCTTCGTCTGCTGGATCCCTAAGCAGGCTCTGGGCACTGAGACATTTCCCCAGCGCTGCACCCTTTAGCAGCGTTGTAGCGTGCTCCTTCTCATTTGTTAAGAAGTCGAGGTTCAGGCTCATAGCCTGGTAGACTTGACTCAGTAGTTGTCGGGTCCGTGCTGTTTTAATCAGCTACCAAACGCGCTCAGGGATATAGAAGGACCGCGTTCCACTGACCCGGTCCGAGATCTTGCGCTACGCTTGCGAAGATGTCATCGCTTGTTTGATACTGTGTACACGCGTTGCTGTGCTGAAGCACGATTGCCGCAATGGCAGCATCAATATTGTCTGTCGTAATCAGCGAAAGGCATCGTAACACGCAGACTGACATACATACGGTTCTTCTCAGCAATGTTCAGGGAGCTAAGTGAATACTCGAGCCGTCGCAAGATTAGTGAGCCATCCTCCTGGATAGCAGCAGCTATGCACATATTGGGCGAAAATGCCAGGTAGCCGGCCCCTAAGAAGGTCAGACAGAGTACTCAAGCGGATGTCAAGATACTTACCAGGCTCTGCAAGCGGGAAGGAGAAGCCAGTCTGCGGAAATGAGTCGACGCTGTTGTCGGCGTAATCAGGGTTTATCAGGTCCATCAACGTCCTGTCTCGAAATTCAATACTCCCGTCACTCAGCTGACAAGCGAGTATCCTGGGCTGCATCATAGACGAAGTCGACAAGATGATGGCACTTGTGGGCACATCTGGTTGACGCGCAAGGCGGCAGAGCCTCTGCATATGTGTTAGTGCTTTGACGGAGCAAGTAGGCCAGCGCACTTACACGGCCGCCAAAGGAGGATGTCGATTTCCTCTTGTTAGTCAGCAGGTCAAATCCAGAATGAAGGCTCGTCTCGGCAATTTGTTGTATCTCCCATCGAGCAATCGTGCTGAAGCTCTGCTGGTGTGGGGTGATGTGGTCTAATGCGGAGTAAGGATTGGGATTGCTCGAGAAGATGGCTACAATCGTAGGCGTTGTCGGCCCTCTTCCATAATCCGGCGCAGCCGGTACACATTGAAGGTGGGTTAACTGCGCCGGAACCGTCACATTATCTACCGGATTCGATGCCGGATCTTCAACTTGCGGTAAGAGGTCCAGCGGAGCACATCCATCCTCTCTCTTGAGGAGAACAGCATCAAGCGTAGGGGTTACGGAGTTGACCGGCGGCGGGATTTTTGGGTTTGGACTTTGGCCGTAGACGGGATTCCAGCTGACCGTAGTGCGGTACAGATGCAGATGTTGACTAGCATTGTGTACTGCCAATAACAGAGAGCCGTCTTTATACGGTTAGTAGACACCAAAAAAGCCGCTACCTCTGCTTACCATTGTCTGGCGCGAACGCTGCATGGGTAAGCAGATCCTGAACGGAGCTGAAGCCCGGCAGCTCAGTTGTTGCTTCTCGCCATTGGCTTGAGTCTTTGCTTGGTTGGTAGAGCAGCTTGACCGTGCCGCTTCTTGTTGTGTATATCAAAGCTGCCTTGGACAATACGGGGTTATGAGCATCAAATGACTGATGAAATGACATGCAAAAATTCCATTCATCCCCAGATCTATCCGCGGTGTGATACAAAACACGCTGTAGCATAGTCAGCACATGATGAGCCATAAGTCAATCTTTGCGTACCTTTTGAAAATGGGGAATTATAGAAAGCCAATGCAAACCCACAACAGCGCTCAGTTCACTCTCTGGCTCTGAAATACTGTTCTTGACCATTGCTTGCATTCTGCCCAGCACGAAAGTAAAGGTGTTTGTGAACAGAGAGATACGGCCAGAGTTGTCAACTACCGCTAGATCTGTTCCCATAAGTCCCCACGAGAGATGAGCGATGTAGGACCCCTCGTGCGCATAATCCAGCCGCAGGGATTGCTTCTTGCTGAGTTCCCATCGACCATCTTCTGGATGTCTGATAAGACTTCGAAACTCCACCTCGCGCCCATCACGAGTTACAGAGGCTACGCAGCCTAGCTTTGACCATGCGATTCTCCTAGAGGGCTGAAAGTCAATGTCATGAGTAGAGACTTACAAAGCCAACAGCAGACTCATCACTCTTGAGGGAGTTCTAGTCAGACAAAGACGGGATACATGAACACGCTACCATATCCTGCACTGCCAACGAACCCAGCACAGCATTTTAGGATACGCGTTGATGACGATAATGGACAGGTTCACATAACAGAAGTCTACTCACTGACAGCAACCGCTCGTGTGCAACTCGTCTAGCCGCTCAGCGAGACCTTTGACGGGCATCTGGGGCACTGATGCTGCTCCCGGGGCGAGGCTAAACTGTTCACCCTCTCCGAAAAGATCATCCATAGTGTCCGGATTCTCCATGTTGTATTCGTTATCCATGATGAGAGGCATACCTGGGGCAACCCCAGGCAAATTGTCTTGCGGAGTACAAAACCTTTATTTCAAAGAATGGAAAGCTGACTAGAGTGTCTGACGAGCAGCTTCACGCATCTCCCGCGTGGACAATCGATAACAGGAAAGGGAGGATCAGCCCGTGCGACATGGCCATCAGTGTCCAACCGAAGATCTGGCCTACGAACACGCTGTTTGGTTACTCGAACACTCAATGTATGAGGCTACTTAGTAATCTAGGTACGAAGGTACCTACTCGTACTCGAGGAACGCGCGATGGCTGGATGCCGCGCCGCAGGCTTCCCGCAGCGCGTGCCGCGGCATGGAGATCGCCCTGAGCGAGCCGCGCTATGCTCTTTTAAGCGACCATTTCCAACGTCTCGTCGCAGCTTTACAATCTAGTCCCTTCCCCCAGCAACAGCAGCATAAGAAATTGCTTTGTCGCAACGTCGTATGCCTCAGCGTATGATCGAGAGGAACCAGGCTGGTGATCTATAGCGCACTCTGCCACCATAACGCGTTGACATATCGTGAGGAGATGCTCCCGCAGGCCAACGATCGAACATGTTGGAAGGAGCCCACGGTTTTACTTGCAGTGAGGCTGGCTCATGGCTTGCGACATGACGACACTCAGAGAGGAGGACAAATGGAACCAGAGCTCTTTATGCTCTTTGTGCAATTCGATACAGTCAGCGAAAAACACAAGGTAAACAACTGGGCAGGTGGGCGCCCGAAGAGCCGCTAGTTCCGATCGGCCAACCTCACCTCCAAAGGTCTCCTACCTCACCGCGACACCCAGCCTCCTCGTCGCTTCCCACACCGCGCTCTGCTTCACACTCTGCACCGCGTCGTCGCGTGCAAACCTATAGCGCGCAATAGACTGCCACATATACTGCCATCTCCCCATGATATAGCCGTGCCTTCTCTTTCACTTACCCCATTCCCCGCGCCAGCCCTCCTTCCTTTCGCGATGGACTTCGACTCACTTTCCAATGCGAGCTCCCGGCTGAGCTCGCCGGCCTCTCGCTCGCCCACTCCTCCTTCCGACTTCTATCTCACACCGCCACCGTCGCAGCAGTGCTCCAACAAGAGCACCCCTCTTCCGGAAAGCATGGCGTGCAGCGACGATGACAACCCTCGGCCGGCGAAAAGGCGCAAATTGACTCGAGCGAAAAGCGAATCCCAGACCGATTCCAAGTCGCGACCGACAGACTATCTTGACCTCACGTCAGACAAGCTTGACGGTGACGAAGAAGTCCAATTACGTCGATTAATCAAGGCCTTGCACAACAAGCGCAAGATCGTAGTAGTCGCTGGCGCTGGCATCTCTGTGTCTGCTGGAAGTACGTTAGATCCTTCGTCCGCCTCCCTCGGTTGGCCAATTGTTAACAACCTCGCAGTACCCGACTTTCGCTCTTCCAAAGGTCTCTTCAGATCGCTTAAGGCGCAGCATAACCTGAAATCTTCTGGAAAAGACCTGTTCGACGCGTCCGTCTATCGGGATGGCACCTCCACTTCAGTGTTCCACGACATGGTCCGAGAGCTCTCTCATGCGACAAAGTCCGCAAAGCCCACCGCTTTCCACCACCTGCTCGCGACGCTGGCGAAAGAAGGGCGATTGCTGCGGCTGTACTCCCAGAACGTTGACGGACTAGATACCTGCCTTCCTCCTCTAGCGACTGAGGTCCCTCTGAAGGGAAAAGCGCCATGGCCAAAGACGATCCAGCTTCATGGCGGTCTTGACAACATGGTGTGCTCAAAATGTAATGATGTTCAACCCTTCCAGGCCGCGTTATTTGACGGAGAGGTACCGCCCTTGTGTGGAGTGTGTGAAGCGTTGGACGTGACACGGACAGTACATGCTGGCAAGAGAAGTCATGGCGTCGGGAAGCTTCGTCCACGTATGGTCCTGTACAATGAGCACAACCCGGACGACGAGGCTATCGGCTCGGTGACGCGCGCAGATCTGAAGACGTATCCGGACGCAGTCATCGTCGCTGGTACGACGCTCAAGGTGCCTGGCGTCCGGCGCATTGTACGAGAAATGTGCACGATGGTACGGAACAGGCGGGATGGTCTCACAGTATGGGTCAACAACGACCCTGAGCCATCCGGGAAAGACCTGGATGATTGCTGGGATCTTGTGGTAACGGGCCCTTGCGACGAGGTAGCGCGGCACGCTGCGCTGCCTAAGTGGGACGATGAAGAGGTGGCGAATTTCAAGGTAGTTACCAACGAAGAGGTGCAAAAGGTGAAGGAAGAGACTGGCATGGTCGAGGTGGCAGTGATCTCGCCAAAGAAGAGGAAGACACCCTTCGAATCTCTACCGACACCTATCGCAAGTCCAATCACGCCTGTTGCGAGCCCACAGTTGCTTCCTCAGCTGTCGAAGAAACCCGCTCAGAGCAAGCTGCCCGCCACACCGACCAAGTCGAGGAGGACCACTCCCGCCACCAAGGGCAAATCAATCGCCGAGGTTCTCGCTGCATCAAGAAAGAACGCGAAAGCCGCTCCGAAGAAGGCACCAGCCAACACGACGAAGGGTGTTACTCTGAAGAGAGCTACAGCCGGCAAGCCCAACAAGAAAATCACGTCAGCATTCGGTGTCTCAAAAGCGGCTTCTACAATCGCCAACGAGGCGGCGAAGAGCAAAGCAAAGCCTGCACCTCTGACGAGAGGGAGAAACGACAGTATCCCAATGGGTCCGATCTCACCACAAGACCCGCGTAATAACCACTCGTTGCCGCTAGATGTACCGCCGCAGCTCAGCATTGTGACGTCTATCGAGACACCGGAATCGATGAAGTCGGAGGGAGAAAGAGGGGGCACAATCTCACCAACCGGTTACATCCCCTCTAGTATGAGGTCTCTTCTGCATTGACTAGCCGACTCTCTTTACTAACACCAGCGCTCCGAGGAGCGTGGTACCGAATCTGGATCTCTGATCCAGCGATAGGCCATTGAGCTCTATGCCAGTATTGGCCTCTTTGCTTTTAGCTCGCTTTCTGACATTGGGTGGTGTTCCATATCCGATCCCCAGCGCATTTCGGCAGCGTGTAAGGGATCACCAGTTGCTGTGCATTACCGGGAGTTTGGTGTGCATTATTTGACTCGGAGCGGATTCCAATCCCCTTCGCTGTAAGCTGTACTGCAGCTAAGTGCTTCGAGCATTCATTAAACAGAATTGAGAATACGAAGACTGCTACAAACAAGACCGATCACGTTCCTACTTGCAACATTCGTGATGGTGCCGACTGCACTGTAGCCGCGGAGCGTTCTACAATATCAAATCAGTGGTCACTTCCGTAGTAAGTCGTACGAGCAGTTATGAGGCGCTCCAAGAATTTGAAGAGACGCGTGACAGCTGCCATGCCGGTTTGGGAAGGTATGGGCGTTTACCGTAGAACGCCGCATAACGAGGGCGGCCGGCTAAAGCGACTATCAGACGCTGCTCCGGTTATCGTGCATAATGGGTGCGGAAGCGGCAACCCATCATCCCCATGAGGAGAGTTGCATGAAGCCACCGCACCTAGAAGGCCCACTGGCAACCCTCGCAAGAACCCGTTGCACCCATGCATGGACTTTTTTTTACTGCAGACAAGGCATGAGGAGAGCTGTGTCTGACCACTGAGCTTAGGAAACCAGTCGCCAACCCTACGGCGCACCTCGTCGCATTCGTGCTGGTCCTGGTTTTTGCGCTGAACCGCTGGAGTCGTGCGGCGTCGCGCGGCGTCGCGCGATCCGGCTCTTGTCGGTCTGCGTCGTTCTGCGGAAGAGCTGGTATTGCCGTTTTGGGAAACTTTGAGGCGAGCTTCCCAATCTTCCCAAGCTTCCGGGACTTTCGCTGCAAGTCTTATACACGTCTCCTAAGACGCTTGTGGCTTCTGCACGTCTACCAAGACCTTTGTCGCTTCTGCACGTCTCCCAAAACGCTTATGGGCATGCGACGTTCTATGATAGAGCTCAGATTACCATTTTGGGAAGCTTGCCTCCGAAGCTCTCGAGGTTCTGCTGCGTGCAGTGAATTAGATATCGAATACTGGATGGGCATGACAGGTTCGATTCATATGCGCTCTGCCTTTCATAGTAGCGCTTCACCTTCGCGCAACAACACAGGATATTTTAGCTCCCAAAACTCTTCAAATCCATCACACATTTGTGAAAGCAAGAAACTCGTGCCCATCCAAACCTTCGCGAGCCATCATCATCAACGCTTCAAGCCTTCCAGGTACGCGACAAGCCTCTTCTTGATAATCACTCCCACCAATCTTCCCGTTCCCTCTTCCAGCACCATGAGATGCCTCAGCCCCAGCTTCCCAAACATCTCCACCGCATACTCCATCGGCGCCTTGGCGCAGATACTGACCGGCGTCCTATCCACAAACATACCCAAGTCAAACTCGCCTTCCTCGACCTTATCTCCCAACAACCTCACCTCCGCATCGTTCTCGTACACCGCGCCCACGGACGAGAGACCAAACTCCAGCTCCCCCTCCGCGATGTAGCCCTGCAACATGCCATTCTGCGTAAGAACCAGCCCCGAATCCATCAGTCCCCTCCTATGCAACTGATCCAGCTTCTCCTGCAGCAGCCTTCTGCGCACCTTATTGCCACTCGGCACGACCACCGTGATCTCCCTCATCGTCTCCGCCGGCGGGATCAGCTCCTCAACCAAGGCATTCGCCTGCTGTACAAGCTGCAGACTATGTTCGCCATCCAGGAACGGATGCCCGAGCACATTCTGCGCGAGGTCGTACACGCTCTCCTTCCCCAGCGCGTCAGCAACCCATTTAGCGACCAGGATCGCGATCATGTGCGGAACGATGTACTCCAGCTCGCCGGTCAGCTCGAACATGATGACGCACAGGCTGATCGTCATGCGCGACACGCCGGCCAGAAAAGCGGCCGCGCCGACCATGGCGAAAATACCCGGGCTGATGGTCGTGATCCACTGGCCTAGGAGCCGGCCGAAAAGGGCGCCGGCGTCGAGGGCGGGGATGATGACGCCGGAGGGGACTTTAATGCCGAAAGTGATGGTTGTCAGGATCAGCTTGGTGAGCGTGCCGTAGATGAGGTAGCCGATGTAGGTCCAGTTTTGATCCGTCGAGGCTTCGTTGCGGCAGACCCAGGAGTTGGCGGAGATGTCGCTGGTGCAGTCGACGAGCAGGTTCTTGATAATTATGTCGCCTGGTTCACGTGTTAGGGGGTTGGGGTATTGCAGCAGCGTTGTTGCGAGCACGACTAGGAAGACCTCGAAAACAGGATGGTTCTTGATGATGGGGTACGAGCGGAACCATTTCGACCAGAGGAAGTTGGCGTTGCAGAAGACGCCACCGAAGACGCCACCGGCAACGCCGAGGAGCACGAAGACCAGGTAGTGCGTCGCGTTGTAGGCTGTGCCGTAGTTGGTTTCGAAGAGAACGAGTTTGCCGGTTCCAGTCGGGTTCAGAGCTTTGAGGACCATGGCGGCGAAGAGGGAGCAGAGAAAGGCGCGCCAGAGAACTTTGCGGGGGAAGTAGGTACTTATCTCCTGTAAGTGGTGTCAGTCGAGTGACTGGTAGTCCGTGTGCAAATTGGGCAACCGACCTCATAACTGAAAAGGACACCTCCAATCGGTGCACCAAAAGCTACAGACAGGCCAGAGGCAACGCCTGCGGAGAGAAGCTCCCTCATCTTTCGCCCGTTCTCTCGGTATTTGGGAAACCACATCGCTACAATATAGCTGACGCAGCCTGAGATGTGCACAAACGGCCCTTCCTTGCCCAAGCACATGCCTGTTGCTACAGCAAAGATTGCACCGAATGCTTTTACGATCAACACTTTCAGACTGAGAAAATTCGGTATCACGAAGCCCGAGAGAATGGTCTTGATTTCGGGTATACCAGACCCGGCAGCCATGTACATCGACTTCCCTGATGCTACTGGCTGAGATGGCGCTTCAAGACCGGCGCCGTTCGCAACCTTGGTCTTGTGGCTGTCTCCAAGGCCTGGCGATGCTACGGGTAGCGAGCGCTTGGTGAGCATTGTGGCGCTCGAGCTGATTATGCCGAATACAAGCCCCCAAGCGACGTATATGGCGAACGCGGCGTAGTAACTGTTCGACCAGAGCTGGAAACCGTCGCACTTATCCGCAAGTTCGGATGTGATGCCGAGCAACGGCGTCTCGTCTTTGCAGCATCCTTCCCTACTTAGAAACGGGTTCTTCGTACAATATCCGAGCTTCCAGTCTGAGACTGTGGCTACACCGACGTCGACCACGAATGCCACGCATGCTGTGAGCGTGCCGATAATAGCAACTGCTATCCATCCGGAGGCGTCTTCGAATAGTGAGACGAGTCGGTAGCGGATGCTTTTACGAGAATGGATGAAGCGGGAGCGGTACGAATCTTTAACCTTCGGCCACTGTCAGTATGCTTCGAGTCTATACTCAAGGCTATATATGCTATACCAGGTCATGGAGCCAGTCTATAGTGGTATAATCGTTATAGGGCAACCTTTCGCCAACAGTCTTTCCGGCAATTGCCTGCTCATCTTTCGTGATTGCAGAAGTTATGATGGAATTTGCCTCAATATCTTGTTGCAAAATGCTTAGTCGGCGGTCGTTTGCGACACGACGGAGCAGACGGGTCCGTTCTGTAGGTCCGTCCTGGTGGTCTTGTGATGCCATGCTGAGCGTGACTCCAGCACGGCGACAAAGGACAAATTGGTGAGAAAGACATGATAACAGCCATCTTTAAAGCGGAATTTGAGCTTGAGCGCCCTCTACGCATTTCTGCAGAGCGATAGGCGACTTGCAGACCCTTATCAACGCCGCGGAGGAGGTGTATCAATCCAGGTTGGTGGCTTGATCAAGAGAGAGAGATAAGGAGAGTGGGTGGTTGTCTTGGCTGCGGGACAAACGTGACTTGCCTTCTTGTACCGATATCTGGCCTACCTGCGAGTGCCTACCTTACATCCATGGCGATACTCACATCGACTGTGGTGTTCGGTCGGGACGTTTCCCTTTACTCTTATTATGTAGTCACGTGGTGATCTTTGCAGCCTCCGGCGGTGAGACGCGGATATCTTGCGTCGGATTCTGCCACCTCTCCGGCCCTGCATTGAGATTACACCTCACTGGCAAAAGATGTAACATCGATTACCGCGCCCGAGCGTGGGAGAAATGGCCTTTCCTGCTTTTGCCTTACCGACCGTCGCTCTTTGCTTGCTTGCACTGGTAGTTGGAGCCTATGCAATGGGTTTCTTTTCGAAGGGAAATCACTTCCCCGTGGACAGCAGGGTATGCACACACAAGAGTCAGTCCCCACCTGGACTACACTGACCAGGTCTCAGACCGTGGTGGTTACGGGTGGGTCGCAGGGAATGGGTAGAGGGCTGGCAAAGGTTCTGGCAAAGAAGGGCGCGAATGTAGTGATTGTGGCGCGCGATGTCAGGAAGCTACAAGCGGCAGTTGAGTACATATCTGTATGGCTCCTTGGAAAACATTCTCTGGATACGTAGCTTATCATCGCCTCCCATTGTACAGGCCGCGGCTGCAAGTCCACAAACACAGCGCTTCCACTATATCAGCGCTGATCTCACCAATCCCTCCGAAAGCGTTCGCATGCTCGAGGAGGTAACGGCCTGGAATAATGGCCAACTCCCTGATGTCGTATGGGCGAACGCCGGAACTGCTCGCCCCGGCCTCTTCGTAGATATACCGATCGAGACACTCCGCGCCCAGATGGACGCCAACTATTGGACTGCAACCTACCTGGCGCACGCGACCTTGAACTGCTGGCTGAAGCCCGCATCTGCCTTTCCAGCGGCCGAGAGACCTACCACAGCACTGCCACGGCACTTCATCATCACGTCGTCCTCGCTCGCCTTCTGCGGTATCGCAGGCTACAGCGCTTACAGCCCAGCGAAAGCGGCGTTGCGCTCGCTATCTGACTCGTTGCGTTCAGAACTCAATCTCTATGCCGGTGCTCGGCGCGCCAAATCTGGCTCTGCTGCGACTGCACCGCCCGCAGACATTAAGATCCACTCCGTTTTTCCGGGCACCATACTCTCGCCTGGCCATGCAGCTGAGGAACAGACGAAACACCCTGTGACAAGGGTACTGGAGGAAGGTGATCCTGCGCAGACGGAAGACGAGGTCGCCACGGTGGCTGTCAGGGAGCTCGAAAAGGGCAGATATCTGATCTCTACCCAGTTCTTGGGTAGCGCGATGAGGGCAAGCGCGCTGCAGGGTAGTCCGAGGAACAACTGGTTCGTAGATACTGTGTTCAGCTGGGGGACCAGTATTGCTTGGCTGTTCATAGGCCCAGACATGGAGGGCAAGGTGTATAAATGGGGAAAGGAGAATGGGATGCCCAACGCTCAATGATGCTAGAATGCACGCTGCAATGGGACGTGCCGCATGACTGGGTAACGAGCTGTATGCGCAACAAACTCCTTGCGATTAGAATTACTGAGTTCACGGGGCATTTCGCCCTGGTTATCCCCCATGACTGCTCTTGTAGTGGTGAGTGATCCAAGGCTTGGTCGTTCTTGGGCTAATGCATCGCGTCCGACGCGGCGGTAAACGAAACACTTGACCAGGTACAAAACGTCGAGAAACATTCCTCATCTGTTTTTAACACACCACTCATGGGCGTGAGACGGAAAGTTGAACCGCAGTCAGACAAGTCGATTTGGCGTGTTGGCGCGGCTCTATCAGCGAAGTCACGGGTCATCGGCAAAACTCAGGATATTATGTAAGCCCACTCTTCCATTCTCTAAATCTGCACGGGGCGAGAAACTCGACATAACCAACGACGGACGCCAATCCTCACCGAACGAACTTTCAATCTCGAGAGTTTCTAGGAAGACGGTCATCATGTCGAAGATCACTGTCGCTGGAGTGCGTTCCCTTGTTCCTTTGTAGACACCGCTGTTAAAGCGCTTGTATCCTCTACCCGCCTACCTCCAACTTGCGAGTGAGAGCTATTCCGCAGGCTGCTCGAAATGGACAAGTACCTGGGCGGAAGAGGATATGAGTAGCTCACGTTCACTCAGACATGATGCTAACCTCTGCACCAGGTGCGGACTAATGTCCAGGAGCTCCTTGATTACAGGTACATTCGTCTTTCCTTACTCCTTGCGCCGACCGAAGAAGATGTGGTGGGACTCTGAGCGCGGCTTCAAATTCTCCACGACTACCAAGCGAATTGAACTTCGACGAACCTTGACAGTACTCATTACCACCGCTGCGGTTGGAACCTGCGCCGGGCCTTGGCCACAAGGGAAGCTCCCGATGGGGAAGCAATCTTCAAGAATGGGAATCGGATGCGCATCAGGCAGTCCTTGCACAAGAACCTCAGCCGCTGAAGGAACCCTGATGGTTTGAAGTGCTTTGTTGTCGAACCTCCAACGTCACATCCACACGACGAGTTACGGCCGCTCGGATACCTCATCACTATTTCCGGCGCAGCAGCCAGGACTCAACCCATCTCATCTGGTTGGCGCTTTTGTGGTCGTCATCGTTTACTGACCTTGCACCTAGCCAAAACACGAAGAAGAGGAACTTCCTTGAGACCGTAGAACTCCAGATCGGCCTCAAGAACTATGATCCTCAGGTACGACGTTCTATCAGGACACTTCCCTATCGTTCGGGTTCGGCTGTCGGGCTAACAACCTCCACAGCGTGACAAGCGCTTCAGCGGCACTGTCAAGCTCCCGCGCGTGCCTCGTCCCAACATGACCATCTGCGTTCTCGGCGACCAGCACGACATCGACCGCGCCAAGCATCACGGCGTCGACGCCATGTCCTCGGACGACTTGAAGAAGCTTAACAAGAACAAGAAGCTCATCAAGAAGCTCGCCCGGAAGTACGACGCCTTCATCGCCTCCGACACCCTGATCAAGCAGATTCCCCGTCTCTTGGGCCCCGGTCTCTCCAAAGCCGGCAAGTTCCCGACGCCCGTGTCGCACGCCGAGGACCTCGCCAACAAGATCACCGAAGTCAAGTCCACGATCAAGTTCCAGCTTAAGAAGGTCTTGTGCATGGGTACCGCTGTTGGTCACGTCGATATGACTGAGGATGAGCTGATTGGCAACATCATGTTATCCATCAACTACTTGGTTTCGCTGCTGAAGAAGGGATGGCAAAATGTTGGGTCGCTGACGATCAAGGCGTCGATGTCGCCGCCAAAGCGTCTTTACTAGGCTTGGGTTGGTGTCCGCGGGTGGATTGTGGTTCTCTTCTTTTGCTGCTCGAGTAACCCTTGCTTGGAAATGTATACCGTAGCATAGATACCGACCATGACACTCAAATTGTGCTCTCCCCGAACCATGTGCACAACATCCTGGCCACAGCTTCTGATTGTGCTTGCCAAACGCTGAATCGTCCATTCACCCTACGTCCCATCGACCTGATATTCTCTAGATACAAGTTCGCCCCAAAAAAACGTGACCTGCATCAGTTGAGCCGCACGCCCTCGCTTAACGCTAGCGTCAAAAAAATCCTACATCAACGGTTTCCCCCTCGTCCTCCTCTTCCCCTCCGCATCATCAGTCAGGTAAATTTATACCTTTGTATCGAGGCTCCGCTACGGCGGCTTGCTGAGGGTTATTGCTCTGGCTTGTCTCTTCGTGAGACGCCGTCATGGGTTTCCTTCCGTTCCCGGCCTCGTGGATCGTCAGCATCCGTCTTTTCCAAAACAGCTGCGCCGCCTGACCTCAGTGGGGCGGAGCTGTGGGATGGATGCGACATTTTTTCATCTTGAGACTTGTGTGTGGTGATTGGATTTGGGGTGTCGGGAGGGTTTCGTCGTGGTTCTTTTCTCTGGGCGGTTGCTGTGACCTGATTGCGTTCTTGTCTATGGAGCCTGTGGGGTTGAAAGGCCGCCGAATGGTAAGACATTGGCGGACTCGCTCGTCGACTGGGCTGGGCAGAGTGAGGGAGACGCAGGATCACGCCGAATGTAGCGGTGTGAATCCTCGTGCTTTCTGTGTCTCATGTTGGCCTTCCCACCGATGAACGTTCAGTCTGGCCAACTATACGACATATGGAGGCGTTCGGGATGCATGGTGTCGGAGGAGCTATGGGCGGAGAGAGACGCTAGAAAGTCACGATTTCTACCATGCAATAAACCACGATCACTGCATCCCGTATCATATGATTTTACTTCATCTCTACCCTGATGTCGGCCTCACTCCCATCAACCCAAGTGCTGATGCTCCTTGTGCCGCCAACTATCTCCACTTCCCTAGGCACGCCCTTCCGCTCCCTCTTCCCTCGCACGATCTCATCCTCGATCTCGTCATCCGAATCCCACAGCTCATCCACCGCAAGCTGATCCTTGGCCGGAGGATCCCACTCTCCAGTCTCCCACACCAACCTCAGCTTTATCGGCGGCAGGCCAAGTTGCTTCCCCACAAGCCCCAGCACAGTATAGGCAGTAAACCTCTTTGGCACCTCGATCGAGAAGCTCGACGATGCTGCACTGGCCGCCTTAGCCGCCGCGGTGCCGTGGAGGAGGAAGTTCAGTTTCATCAAGCGCGCCGCGAGAGAATTTGGGTCGATCGACTGCGCCGTCGTCCGCTGGATGGTCGGCTCGCCGTACTCGGCGCATAGCTCTGCATAGCGTCTATGTCGTGAGAGGATCTCGAGCGTCTTATCTTCTGAGCTGAGAGATAGCTCTTTCGCGATCTGTGAGAGGTAGTAGGTTTCTGCGTTCAGGCGCTCTTTGGGCGTGATCTGGTCGTGTGTGAGCTAGATGTATGATTCATGGCAGGAAGGAGGATTTACCGGGCTGTAGTTGAGCGTCTTGAGGCGGCTCAGCCGCGCGAGAGTGAGCATGTAGCCGTCGTCTACGCTGAGTGGCTTGTCATCTGCGGAGCGCAGGTTCTGGTAGAGGGGGTTGTGGGATACCCTCAGAGAGGTCATGCCGGGGAAGACGTCGTGAAGTTGGTCGATGAATGACCATGTATCGATAATATTGTGAGAGAGGTCAACGTAGGCGAGAGTACTGGGGAAGACTGGAAGGCTCGCGTCTTCGTTCGTTGAGGCCTCGTTGATTTTTGAGATTGCATTGTTCTTCAGCAGTAGTTTTTGAAGGCTGGCCAACGCTGTTAGGGGTCTTAGATCCCCAAGTGCCTTGAAATCATTGTCTTCAAGCGTGAGAGATGAAAGAGTTGTTGGCAGCGAGTCACCGCGGAGGCAAACGAGGCCATTTCTCGACGCGGTGAGTGAAGTGAGGTTGGAGAAAGCGGAGGTGAGACCAGATATCTGATGCTTGTTAGCCGGACGACTTGAATTTTCCGTGACGGCCTTACGTCTTGCCAGCTCATGAGAGTATCATCCAAGCTTAGCGTTTGGATTCTACGGGCCAGATGGTCATATCGTGCATTCTCTTCAGGGGAAAGGGTCGGATCTCTGAACCGATTGCCGCTGCAACGTGTCAGTACAGGAACCACCGCAACAGGTCTCTGATCAGGGCCAGAGGCAGGGGACTGCAACTCACTCAACCTTCAGACTGCTGAGATTGTTTAGCTGTCGGCAAATTGACACAACCTCGCGCCATTCCTCGAAGAGGTTCCTACTCAGGTCAAGCTCCGCGATCTTGGGGCAGGTCGTGCGGATATCATCCGCAGTATCCAAAGCATCTTCTGAGCCTTCAACGGCGGGGCTGGTCTTTCGTGAGAGTGGACGTGCCACACAAAGTCCGTCCAATATCACGATTCGAAGCTCATGGAGGTTAGCAAGTTGCTCTCGGATCTTGTCGAACCCGACTTCTTCGACCTCTTTGCCGCTGATCCTGATGGACTGCTCTTCCTGCTGCCGAGGTGCCGTAACAGCAGCACCCACCAAGTCGCGCACATGGCCGTTGACTTCAGAAGCGTACTTCTGCCGCAGTGCCTCTACGAAGTCTCGTGGTGGATCTACTGGCCGATTCGGACGGACGAATGAGCCTGGTGCGCATTCTTTTCTGAGGCCTATCTCTGATTGCCTGCATTAGCCGACAATGCATTTACACATATAGAAGGACAGTTCCCAGACGGACATACACTCAAAATAATTCACTCCACCATGCTCTCCCGAGTGTTTTCCTCTTGTTGGATCATCCCACTCTACACCTAACCACCCGCCTTTGGTACCGCGAACTTCTCCTACGTAGCGGACAGTGCAGAGATTTCCGTCATAAGATAGGCGCTGTCCGATGTAATTTGAGGGAGCCATCGATAGAGTATCTGCGAGATGAGTTGGAGGAGTAGTAGCAATTGCTGTACTTATGGAGAGGAATCTAATCCAATCCGATTGACCTGAAGTCGGTCCCCGATTGGTGAGATGCAAAGGTTGTGCAAATGTTGGGTGTGATGGTGTTCGAGACTGGGTTGTGCAACTTTTCTTCGTCAAACAGGGGTCACTTAGGCTCTATCAGCTAGGTGATGTATCAAGTAAGGACATAATCAGGCGCTTGAGGTTCTCATGGAAATTACTTGGATTATAGTGGCCACGGCCACATCACAAAGGCGCCACCACATTGCATCGCACGCTTGTGGAGCAATACACAATGGCTGCCGCTCGTCTGCTCGCTGGAACCTCCCCGTAGCAGAAAACTATCCTGCTACCTCAACCCGTGCGCCTCATACATATGTCCCGTCCTACTGAGCACCGTCCCCAACCCCCTATGCACCTCCGCCTGGAACGGCTCAAACGGCACCCTCTCGCCATCAATGCTGATATATCCATCCTCCTTCCTCTTGACGCACTGTTTCGGTATTATGCGATACGCGCTCACCTTGCGGTACGTCACCTCTGGCATCTCGAAGAACGTGCCCTTCTCCACCGACAGCAGCATCTTGAGCGCTGTCGAGCGGGGGATGTCGCCGTCGATGCAGACCATGTCCAGACATCCGTCGTTGGGAAGGGCGCCGGGGAAGAAGGGGGTGTCGGGTGACATGTACGCCATATTGCCGGTGTAGAAGTTGCCGATCTTGTCGTGTGGAACAAGCTGCCAGTGCTGAGGTAGTGGATCGTTCACAGTGCCGAAGCGGAGAGCTGGGAGGCCGGCGTCAGGCGGCGGGAGATCGCGCTGCAGGGTCGATGGGAGTGGTTTGGAGGCTTCGGCGCGGAAGGCCTCCCGTATGGAGCTCTTCTGGTCGTCTTCGAGTTGCACGGCGATCTCGCACGGGTAGACTGTCTTGCCCAGCAGACGGATGAGGAAGCCGTACGTGAAGCGCGCGCTGCCCATCCACCGCAGGTTCTCGGTGCCCAAGTCGCTCTCGGCGATGATGCCGACGCTCTGGGAGAGGAAGGACAGGCTGCGCGTGTCGCCTTGCGTGATGGATACCAGATCCAACGGCGTTCGGAGGCCTTTGACAACCCCGAGGGCGGCTATGCTGGGGCTGTTGCTGCCGTATAGATTCAAGCTCAGCGCGTTCCCTGTGCCGCACGGTAATTGTACCACTGCTACCTGGGCAAGCGCACGCGCAGCATCCTTCTTCCGCGCCAACCCGTTGAACACCTCGTGCGGCACTCCGTCGCCGGAGCAGCAAGCGATGACATCCCAAGCGTCCGGATCAAGGCTCTCGGCAACCAGGTCTCGGGCGTGGCCCATATACTGTGTCCTCTCGACGTTGACCTCGCATCTGGCTGCCGCGAAGATGGGCTCAATATCCTGCGTGTACCACTTCGCTGCGCTGCCCTTTCCCCCAAACGGGTTTATAAGCACCTTAATGCGCTTCTGTCGCTGGGAGGCACCGTACGCCCTGTTTAGAAGCTGCTCGATCCATGCTTGCGCGTGTACGCGGTCGTTCTTGTCGATAGTGTAGTTGACGTACGCCGGCCGGACGACGTCTTTGGATACTTGGCGGGCGTAGCGAATAGCGATTTCCCAATCGCTCAACTCCGCCCAAAGAATGTTGAAGAATGGAACGGCGAGGGTGGTCTTACTTCCTGAGTGGGGCTTGTCAGCGAGACGCGTGTGGATGTATTGCGAGTGAGATTTACTGCTCGGTAGGAGACCGCAGCAGTTTGACGTCTCCCTTCCAACAAAGCCTTCGTCTGGAAACGCTCGTCAGCCCGCCATGTTGTATCATCGCCGAGAAGCTTGCCGGACCTACCTAATATTATGAGTGAGTCGGTAGCGAGAGTAAGTGAAGCATTCCGGCCGACTGCCAGAGTCGCTTCCGGCGCGACTTCAGGCTGCGGCTGCGTCGGTAACGGGTCGTCGAACGGATTGCCGTCACTGGTAGATTCTGCTGTCATGGCGATAACATGGTGGTGAACGAGAGAAGGGTCGCCCTTAAGACGGGGCGTACTTTGCTGTGCAGCGGGATGCACTTTCGTTCAATCGGCGTCACAAACCCCATGGCAGGCACGGCCACTTCAGCCTTGCCCGTTGGCGGATCTGACGGGGAGCTGCAGCCACCCGAACAGTCCGTCATCCGAGGTGCCAGCGCCTTATCAACCACCGCAAATAAAACACCATACGCTCCCCATAATCTGGGAAGTTGGAGATCTAGGTAGTCCGATAGACTGTCCTGTAGCATGAAGTTGATAAATGAGCTGCATTAGAAACCCTTTCTATTGGGGGGCAGCGGCTTTTGCGACCCAACGTCGACCGATAAATTCGAATGCTCCTAACGCTGGCAGATGCTCCCATGGCTGCCCGCAAACCCCCACGACCGTGCGGAATCCCATCCAACATCTTGCACCATACTCACTCATCCTCGTGGCCTCACTGATATCCTGCATTTGCTTCGTGAGCCAACCCGGCAGGCTGCCCTGTGCATGCAGCTTCGAAAGCACCACAAGTCCATCACTTCAAACTTCCTCCCATGCCCGAGGGCCGTCTCGCTGTAACTGGTCTGTAATCAGTAATGCAGCTCATGCCTTGTTGAGTCCCTTGAGCGATCCTAAGCTGAGCGCCAGACCTTGCGATCGACTACGGATGCGCACAAAGCCTGTCACAGGACCATCGTCCCCTTCTTTCTCAATGCTCAAGTTGGCTAGCGCGTCCTCACCTATCAAACAGTCAGCAAGCTTAGCTTTGACGCGCCGTCTGATGTGGCTTACCAAAGACGCTACGAGCGTACAGGTTTGCGCTCAAGAACTGGCAATCGCCCTTCATCGACGCCTCGGGGGTCAGACAGCTCATGTTCGTGACTGCCATCAATTGCTTCAAGAAGTCCCGGAGCGTCTTCGCTTTGGACTTGATATTGACTTTGTTTTCCCACTCGAATTCAGTCCACATGGTCCTGAACTGTGTCTCCGTGCAATATGCGGGGTGGATGTAGTCCATGATGTCCACATGAATGTCGTTGAGAATGACCACGTTGCTGTCAGTTGAGCTAGCCCCATCGTAGACAACATTCCCGAAGATGACTCCGGTGTCAGTTGAGGAGACCTTGATTGTCGCTTGTACGTTCAGGAAGTCATGCGGTCCAAGGTTCTGCGTGGTAGGCCGCTCGACCACCTTCAGATCGCCGAGCGTAGCAAACTCTATCGATAGGTTCTGAAGGGTATCTGTTGTCTGGTTCACCAGTAGAACATCCAGGACGATGTCAAACTGATGCACCTTAACGTACGCTTCGGCGTACACAGGATCCGAGAATCCGGTCAACTGTACGACTCTGTTCAGCTTAGATGAGAGATCTTCTGCACCGGCGTCGCCACCCGTCGCTCGTTCCAGGTCTTGCTCGAACTCCTCGGCTCCATCCACGGTATTCTTCTTCGCCAGTTGCCGTATTGAAACTACGTCATCTATCTGGATGGCAGTCTTGGCCTTCTCCATGGCTTCTTTTTCTGACCGCTTCTTTTCCTCGGCTTGCACCATCGTGCGGAAGGCTTTCCTAGTGTCATCGAGGAATATGGTCTCGAGAACGCCTTTCTGTTCGAACTCGGCGAGCGAACGGACGCAAGACATAATCCGGTCTATTGAGTCTTCGTCTATGGGGTTTTTGACAAACTGTGATTGGCCGACACGGATGATAGATATCATGATGAGCATTGCTTCCGCCTTCAGCGCATTTGTCCGTGCTGTCTCGTTTGATATTTCGGCATGCCGCATGACGAGCTTGGTGAGGGTTGAGGAAAGAACTGTAGCCAGATAGTAGTCGCCATCAAGGATGAGCTGTCGTAGTGGAGGTTTCTGGGCAGCTTTGATGGCTTCCAGCTTGGCTTTGACGGCGGCTTGGCTTGTGAGAGCGCTCTCCGTGGCATACGTGCCATCGGCAAGCACCTTGCGGGAACCAGTGGGTTCGGCGCCTTTGGCGTGTCCGTTGACCTGATCTCTCGGATCTGGCTTGTCTTCGGGCACCTCGTCTAAGAGCCGTTGCTCGGATGCTAGTATGGGTATCTCCCCAAGGCTGGCCCGGATCCGCCTCCATGCTTCCCGGATGTCGTTGGCTTCCAAGGAGTATTCGCCGACTATCCACAGCGCTCCACGATAGACCTTCCCGGCCCTGACCTCACTGAGCGTCGAGACTAGCCGCTCCACGAGGGAACTGCGGAGCTTGGGAAACTTCTCAACCACTTCCTTAACAAAAGAAATGACGTCAACCGCAGATGCATTGTTGAAGTCCGCAATAAAATCCATAAGAGATTCAACAGCGCTGGCGGCAACCTCGGAGAACTTGATGGCGCATTGGTGTATAGAATGTATGAGCAATGATCTGTATTCGGTGTTCTGCGGTGGTTGTCAGTATCACTATCGAGACACGACAAGATCACTGTTACCTTTTCGTACTGCTCATCGACTGTCTTGGAGAGCTCTTTCTTCAACAGCATGACAACTTCTTCCACGTTCTTGCTTGAGACCATCTCCATTGCGAGCCCAAGCGCCTTCTTTCGGACATCAATATCCGGGCTTGATAGAACACGAAGAATCTCCATGGTCAGATCGTCTAGGACGCCCTCATTCTTGTGCCTGAGCTGATCCACCTTCTCGAGAACGATGAGCTTGACATTGTTGTCCGGTTCCTTGATAGCTAGCTCGATGAACTTTGAGGCTGCTGCCTTAACCGCGACTGGGTTCGTAGTCAGAGCCGTAAGGGAGGACGCGGCCTCGTAGACGACGGTAGCGGTGTTGGCTTCGAGAAGATCGAAAATCAGACGCAGATATCGGGCCTTGCTGGGGATTAGTGTGATAGAACAAGACGGGTTTTCGGAGCAGAAAATCTACCTTGTTTTGCGGATTGGTAACTGCGTCTTTGCGGATAAACTCAAGTTCGACTAGTTGTAGCAGCTCGTCCGCGTTGGGTATTCCGTCGAACACCCCACTGAGGTATTCCATGGCCTTCTCGTGACTGATGGACGCCAGCGCGGCAAATGCATTGCGCTTGCAAGTATGGTCGTTTTCCTCCTCCAAGAAGTTTTGTATGAGCTCCGGCGCATCAGGGATGAGTGCCTCCATATGCTGGTATATGGATGCAATCGCGAATACGGCGTTCTTGCGAACATAGGCGTGCCGGTGCTCAAGACACTGTCGCGCTGGCTGCAGCAAGGGCTCCACCAACTCCGCATCCCTTAACTTGCACACAAAGCGTAGTGTGTTCCCTCGGACGTACTCATTGGGGTGCTGGAGGTCGAATCGCATGCCGTTACTGACCCACAATCAGCAAGAGCAAGCGCCGAGCCTTCGGAAGCCGGATACATACCATACGAGAATCCACTCCTGCCTGAGCTTTCCGCTTGCATCGTGCTTGGGACATATCTCATAGTAAATGTAGAGTAGCTTCTTCAACGGCTTGCTCTTGGAGGGCATGACGAATCGGATGATGTGCATGAGAAGGCCCGGCATGGGGTCTCCATTCAGCATTATGGTCAAGATCCGCTTCATCGTCTCTATCTTCGTGTCATCTGTCCCTTTCTCCAGCTGTGTCTTGAACTCTTGCTGCGTGGGCTGATCCGCCGCGTTGTCCTGGTGGACCAAGCTGTATGCATTCTCGAGGAAGGTCGCCATGCTGGGCAGTTGGTGGCTGCTCGGAGAGACGCGTCAGGAGAAGCGGTATCGTAGGTAGGGTGTAGCTGCTACGGCCTACCACCCTGGCCGTCAGCTGCTGGTTTCTGCCCAAGGGTCCAAGGCGGAGGTGGCTCTACAGGTTGAGGGCAGGATTGCGTTATTGGAGTCGAGCTCTGGGGGGTTCGAATCGGAGAGGATTGTCTCGATGCTCGATCGCAGTGTATTGATCGGGGCCGTGGGGTTTGGTGACTTGGCCTGATGTTGTAGCCCCCCCTTGGCAAGGTGTTCACACAGAAAATGGGCTCGGCTACACACCGCCTTTAGACATCGGACTTTGCAGCTGCAGCATCACGAGTTTCTGAACCTCGAACTTGCAACTACCCTAACATTGCGATCGGAACCTTTAATCGCCGTTCGATACATAGTTCTTACGCAGCTTCAAATATGGCAGCTTCGGGTGAACCCTTCTACCTCAGATATTAGTCAGTAATGTACCGTCAAACTCGGGCTTTTCCAATGCTAATATCAGCACAGCTCCGGCCACTCTGGACGCTTCGGCCACGAGTTTCTAGGTCCGTTTCAATCGACAGTATTGTGATGAATCCCTCTAAGTCTCTCATAGAATTTGATTTCCGGGTTCTGGGGGACGGACGCAGTGCCTCGGCGCGTTATGCGAACAACTCCAACTACCGCAACGACTCCTTGATCCGGAAAGAGAGTAAGAGCTTGTCTTCCTTGTGTTCTGCGCTTTGCTGACATATCCTCTTTCCAGTGTGTGTCAGCTCACTCATGATCGCGGAGATCAAACGCATCATCAAGGACAGCGAGATCATGAAGTACGTGGCCCTGCTCATTGCGCTTGGATGGCGTTCTTATCCTAATTCTTCGCAGGGAAGACGACACGAAATGGCCTCAGAAGAACAAGGACGGCCGCCAGGAACTTGAGATCCGTATGGGCAACGAGCATATCTCCTTCGAAGTATGGTCTTCTCCAACAAGCTCTTCTTGCAACCAAATGCTGATCAACGAGACAGACCGCCAAGATTGGATCCCTTGTCGACGTTACCGAGTCACAAGATCCAGATGGCCTTAGGGTCTTCTACTACCTGGTACAAGATTTGAAGGCGCTCGTGTTTACTCTGATATCTCTCCACTTCAAGGTTGGACCTGCCTATCCATTTGCGCATGCTGGAACCTCTGCTGACAGGAGCGTTGAACAGATCAAGCCGATCTAAACATACGATCGCATACATCATACGAGTCAATGACACAATACCCCTGCTGAGCGTGCGACTGTTTGCTGGCAAGTTTGTGTTGAGGACGGACGGCGTTCAGGGAGGTCACGGTGTGCGAGGGGGGCGGTTTAGTCCGCTATGGTATGTCCAGACCTTCCATGATGGAGACGTTGCCAACATCTGCCAGCAGCTCAGGTTAAGGTGTTGCAATCGTGCCCTGGACGAACTCTACGCGTCTCACTCCTCAATAGAACGGCGTTTGATGTTCGAGATGCTCGGAGCATCACTCATATCATGTGATAGCGGTCTTTCCAGCCGTTTCGGCGGGACACCGGGACGTTTGTACGAGCTATTGGGAGTGGCACTTGCATGGAAGCTCGAGTAGAATCCAATCGTCTGTGACGCTGTTGCGAACCATGGCTCCGATGCAACTGACATCGATGACATGGCACGTGATTGCGGAAGAGCTACCAAATCCACGGCGCCGATCTTCCCGTGACGCTGTCAGCCCAGCGCTGGAGCCCCCATGGCGCTCACGCGGGGAAGCAAGCCTCAACTCGAACCCTTCCACGCCCAAGTGTTCTGGATCCGCTAAACCGCACCATCGCATCATGAACACTGTCCACCGCATTGCGCGCTTCTAAAGTGTCTGCAATTTACCCGACCTCAACCTCAACCTCCGCAATTCGTTCCCGCCTTAGTAATTTGCTTGCTTTCATGTTTGCGCCGTTCCTCTTTGCTCACCTCGACCATGCCGAATCCGCACGACGATATCCTCATGCTATCGCCTGCCGCAGAGCCTACCATCGCCGACTGCCCGTCGTGTCCGTCTGAAGACCTTCACCAGCAGGATCAAGAGAGCGACAGCGCCGACTGTCCTGCCCCTCTTGAAGCGCATCTCGGTGGCCCAAGTACTCCACCCCTGCAACAGCCAACACCGCCCGCTGAGGATGATCGAAGTCCGCGGGTCGCGCATATCAAGCGGTTCAAGACCGATGGAGACAGGCCAATGAGAGATACTCCAAGTCCAAGCGCATCGGAAGGGTCGTCGGATTCTTGTATACGAGCATGGCAGGCTCAAACCGCCTCAGCTTCTGTCTACCACCCCGGGCTTTTGGAGTCGCCCATATCTCGACGGCATAGAGTAAGCCGCCCTGCATAGAGATTATCGTTGCTAGCATCAACTTACTAGTGCGCAGTTTCAACCCAATTCTACTTCATCCTTCCTACGACCCGGTAGCAAGTTCCATGGCACACAGCAGTCCGATCGCCAAGTCTACGATGTGCAAGTCGAAATCAAATACGTGGACATGGCCGAGTCCTTCCTTTGCGGATACCTGCGCATTCAAGGTGAGCCGAGCAGGCCCACATAGGCACTGCGTGCAGTTACTGACAGGTCCGATCAGGCCTCACCGACGATCACCCAACCCTCACAACATATTTTGAAGGCGAGATAATCGGAACGAAGTACACCTTCCAGACCAAGCATCCAGAATGGGGTTCCAACGAGAAGGTGGACATGCAACACTGGGGCCGCTTTCCCGCGTGGCGGCCCCTCGCAAAGCAAGCCAAGCGACCTGATTTCAGCTATAAGAACTTTGCTCAGCGGGAAAACATTTTCATGAGATGGAAGGAGTATTTCCTGGTGCCCGACCATCGGGTGCGGACCATCTCCGGCGCCAGTTTTGAGGGCTTCTATTACATCTGCTTCAACCAGGTTTCGGGCACTGTTAGCGGCATCTACTTTCACGCGAAAAGTGAAAAGTAAGTGGACATCACGTGATCAATAGGCTTCATACTGACCACGGCACACAGGTTCCAGCAACTTGAGCTGAGTCATGTCGATGATCGTGGGTGTATGGGCGCGATTGAATTTCGATGATTTACGAGGATATGAATAGCTCCCACATGTGTGGTGAACTCTTACTGGCAATGGAGACATGCATTGGAATATTTGGCTGCCTACGCTGCGTGGGCCGTCGAGGCCGGGTGTTGGCTTGCGCGCTCTCTGGGTTTTCACTGTTTGTACTTCAGAGCTTGAGGCTTCCGTGGCATGTAGATATAGTTCATTTTCGGGCTGTGACAGCCGGGACCCGCTTTACCGTATCTCATCTACCTTTAATCAGAAAGCCGGGTTGACTCGAGAAACCTCGCTCTCTGACTTCTCGCCTCACCTCAAACCACCACCACAATTCTCTGAAGCATCCTTCAGCCGCAAATCTTGATCAACGCCACATTCTAACAACTCCTTTCAAGGCTAATACCACAACTCAACATCTGCCCAGAATGGCTGGCGAATCTAACAAGCGCCAAAAACGTGAAGACCACCGCAATGCAGTGGATAAAAAGACGGGCGACCCTCAACTGCCCAGAAAGAAGTTGTACAGGCAGAGAGCTCATGCCAATCCCTTCTCTGACCATGTCTTGAATTAGTGAGCACCTTCTTGTAGATGCAAACGGGTACTGTAGCCATTCCACTAACTGTGCTGCCCAGTCCAACTTCGCCTGCGGATATGGACTGGACCTCGCTCTATCCTGCTTTCACTTTTGAACGCCTAGAACCACAGCCTTATGCGAAAGAATTGACCGCTGTCAAGCGGATGTCGAAGAATGTCGAAATCGCTGATATCGGCTGTGGGTTTGGTGGTCTTCTCTTCGCACTGGCACCACGATTCCCAGACACCCTTGTATTAGGTGCGTTTACGTCTATATCGCAGCCCTTTCTATTTCACAGTCACTTCAGTGCCTTCTAATCTATCCGCGCCACTCTCTCCGTCCAAGTTCTGAACCCATGCCCTAGGTCTCGAAATCCGCACCTCCGTCACCGAATTCGTCCAAGAAAAGATCCGCGCCTTACGGCATCAAGACACCGTAGAAGGACTTTACCAGAACGTCGCATGCATCCGCGCAAACACCATGAAGTTCCTCCCCAATTTCTTCGTGAAGGCTCAGCTCTCCAAGATTTTCCTCTGCTTCCCTGACCCGCACTTCAAGGCGCGGAAGCACAAGGCTAGGATTGTGTCCATCACGCTCAACTCTGAGTATGCTTATGTGCTGAAGCCCGGCGGGATTGTGTATACCATCACTGATGTGGAAGACCTGCATAAGTGGATGGTGGAGCATTTCGAGGCGCATCCGAGTTTCGAGAGAGTTGGTGAGGAGGAGCAGGAGGCTGATCCGTGTGTGGACGTCATGAGGACGGAGACGGAAGAGGGGAAGAAGGTTGAGAGGAATGAGGGAGTGAAGTTCGTGGCGCTGTTCAAGAGGCTTGAGGATCCTCCATGGCCGTGCGAGTCCTAAGTACAGAATAAATCCACCGTGTTTGCATAGCAGCATTGTCAGCATCAGAAAGTATGAGCCTGGCTGTGAGCTGATGCAAATCTGGATGCGAACAACGCCAAACAACTACCGTGGCATACTAGACCACCCATGCGGAGTCATTGGTATCTCCATGAAAAGACCTATCCGAACGCCACGCTAAACAGCATTTCAAACCCAGCAAGATGTCATGCTGGTCGCTACTCATCGATGCCACCCCATTCCTCGTCCCCATCTTCATCCGCTCCTTGTCCGGCTGTTTCAGGCCCGTCTTGTCGCTTATGATCCTCTTCCTCACCGTCCTCTTTGCTGTTCCAATTCCTCAACCGCTCATCATCCTCCAGCGTCTCCTTCACCCTCAACCGTACCGCCTTCGTCGGACTCTCCTTTCCCAAAGCCTTCAGCGGCCGCAGCAGCAGCTCCAGTGGCATGTGACCCTCCCGATCCACATCCACCTTATCCAGCTCATCGACATAGATATCAATGACATGATATCTTAAGCCATTCGGTATCTTATGATCCCTCGCATTGAGTGGCGTCGCTCGGAGAACATCCATATACTGCTCCACTCTCTCCGCGCCTTCCCACTGTTGCTTAGCTAGTTGTCGGAAGGAAGCTGCTAGGTATTGCCGGATGAGGAACAGGAACTTGTCCATTCTATTGCCCGTGTAAAGCGTCAGCCAATACCTTCGGAGCCATGTCTGTCGATGCCATTGCCATACCGCAGCGCATCAATCCCCTTCCACTCCCGCGCCATTGTTTTCCAGAACGCATCGAGGAAAGGAATGAAAGCCTCGTGAGACAAAACATCGACCAGGCCCGCAAGGTCGACCGCCAGCCGTTGCTGGTTCCGCGGCTTGTCTTGCATCCACATGCCTAGTTCACAACCCGCTGATTAGTCCCCGTACTATCACATCGGCTGAGCGCATGTATGCTGGAGGCATCGTACAGTAGAATAGCCCCTTCCATAGCTTCAGCAGCTCGACCTCCTCAAACCTTGTGCGCCCGCGTAGGTATGTTCTTAGGCTGTCGACTGCCTGGTCGCGCTTGCGGCGGTCTGGTGTGTGCGGTCAGTCTCTTGTGGTAAAGTTGGCGCAGTGGTAGGCGGGGACAGACCGCTCGAGGTCAGTTGCTTCAGGAAAGGGCTGTTCTGCGTTGCTGATGCCATGGTAGGGGTTTTGCTGATCAGCTTGAAACTTTTCGCGAAAATCGAGAGATGCGATTGAGGTTATCGATAAGCCTTGCAAGGCTGAAGACGGTTGGCGTGAGGTGTCGATGCTCGGCATGGGAGGGGAACGGGCAAGGGAGTGTTCACGTTGCTGCTGTATTGGTTATCTCGAGTTCAGCAACATGACTTCTGCTTGGTTCTGTAAAATAAACTGAGTCAGTTTACTGCTTGGTTCTGTATTGGAATAGTTTCTGCTGAATAGCTATAGGCTTGTAATCTTAGAATTTGCTTTGCAATTTATATTCTACAAAGTTCTATCTTTGATAAAGCGGATACTTATGGAGTAGCTTAGATTTAAGAATAGAATATATACTCAAAGGTAGCTCGGAGGCCTTGGAGCCGGCTCGGAGCTGGCTTCAAGCTGGTTTCAAGACTCTCGAGCTGCCTCTAAGCATTTAGAATTCATGTAACTTGCAAAATGCAATAGTAATATAAAACTTCTCAGTTAGCAATATAATACTATTCTATTTAGACGCTTTTATATGTAATTTGAAGCTACTTTTTAGATGATTCTTAGCGCGTGTATCACGTGATCATGTTACTAAGCAATCGATTAAACCTATTGTTAAACTTTATATCTACTACTTCTAAATGTTCTACTTCAAGAAAATCCAACTATCTCAAACCACTTTCGATTCTAACTGTATTTTCTTTTTCAAACATTCTGCTTGCTACTATAGCAAAAAGAAAAGAAACCAGAAACAGTACCACCACGTATAGTAAGTTTATATATATTTTCTCTAGAAGCTAATGCTCCATACTATACTCCCTGCAAATAGATCTAATTGCGTTCAAGGTGTTGCTAACTGTGTATTGCTTGACTGCAGATGCCACAGATTGTAATACTACTCCGCGCTGGCTCAGTACTAGGCATACCGCGCGTCCAGCTCCAAGATGTATGTTCTTAGCCTACAAATCTCATTGGGCTAGCTTCCTTCATTATCACAATACTTACAAGATCTTCAGGTTACTAAGATTGTCTGCAATCGTATTAACAGCGACGGGGTTCGTAGGCGTCTATGATCCTGGTTTTTGTATATGCTAATACTATGTGTTTGTGTTTAGCTTGAGCAGTTTCTTGTCGTATGGGCGGGCAAGTACGAACGCCACAGCGTGCCGCTTTCCTGGCACTCTATCAACGAACTTTCCAGCTGCCTTGAGCTGGTACAGGAATACCTGGACAACAAGACGCGGTGAGAGGCGCCTGAGGCCTGTCCTCCAGAGGGTCCGCTCACGTGACATCTAGCTTCGACCCCCCTTCACGCAAACGAAAATCGCCCGACAGCGAGCCTAGCACCAATGGGCACCTCCTAAACCCGGCTGAGCGTAGAGTCAGACAAAAGAGCCGCTCTTCATCCGTCACAAGTTCCGCTTCTGATTCGTCTCGCTCCTTGGCTGTCACCGAGCTCGCATCACGTGACATCGATGTCTACAACGGAGTCATTCAGGTGAAAGATGACTTTATCACGGTTAAGGCCGTAAGTTCAATGCTTTGTGACGTATGTTATTGGAGCTGAACATAGTCAGTCTACCGAGCCCGGCATCGACAGAATCAACTCAGACGATGTTCCGACGCCAGCGATGCTCTCGAGGGCACGCTCTTCGGCCACCAGCACCGCCGACGACCGAATTCGCATGGAAGTGATTCACCGTCTTAGACAGCTACCTGGGCCGCCGGTTACATTGTTTAACAAGATCGATCGGTCTTCTCCGCCCTTGAAGTTCCAGTTCATCACCCAGTCCATCCTTCGCGAAGGCGTTGAGAAGGCGGATCCAGCTACGATGACTGGGTGCCAAAAATGCCGCCCTCACATGGGACAGAATATCGGTTGCGAATACACCAAGAAATGCGACTGTCTCGAGTATGCGGCAGTCGACGTGAAGCGGCTCAATGACGTTACGAAACCCATCTACGACAAGTACATAGCAGGCATGGATGTCGACTTGTCTCAACTGCCGAAGCGATTCCCCTATTTCAGCAACGGCGATAACACCGGCTGTCTCGTCCCATTCTACCTCAACGAACGACACCCAATCTACGAGTGCAACAAGTACTGCATGTGCGGCCCTGGCTGCAAAAACCGGATCGTGCAACATGGAAGGCAGGTCGACCTCGTAATCTTCAAGACGAAAGACCGTGGCTGGGGTAAGTCCCTTGCACATACCCTGCCTTATCCTTTCATGCAAGTACTGACTGCATAAAAGGACTGAAATCCACACAAGGGCTCCGCCAAGGCCAGTTCATCGACACCTACCGAGGCGAAATCATAACGGATGCGGAGGCAACCCGTCGCGAGAAAGCAACCTCGAGTATCCTGAACAGCTACCTCTACTCGCTGGACAAGTTTGCGGAGGAAAACGAACTGAAACCTGAAGACCTCTACGTCGTCGACGGCGAGTATTTCGGAGGACCCACCCGGTTCATGAACCACTCGTGTGAGCCCAACTGTCGTCAGTACACCGTATCCTACAACAAGCATGACGTCCGTGTGTACGAAATCGCTTTCTTTGCGTATCGCAACATCGAACCGGGTGAGGAACTCACCTTTGACTATCTGGACAAGGACGAAGAGGAGGAGGACGAGGTGGAGGAGGATGCTCCGCCGCCTTCTCAGGAGAAGCCTGGTGATGCTCAGGGGGAGACAAAACTAGTGAAATGTCTGTGTGGAGCCAAAAAGTGCAGGAAGTGGCTCTGGATGTGAGCTGAGGTCATAACAGCCCCGTCCGTTGCAGCACACCACGTTTGCTGTTGCAGCTCGTTTCTGATAGGTAACGGGTGTTCTCCTTACGGTTGCACTTTTTCGACTTGCATAATGCATCCACATTTCTGATCAGAAGAATGGGTGCGAATGGGCATTTGGTTAGCATGCGGACTTCTTGATGTTTGAGACTACTACCAGGATTCTGGCTTTTCATAAGCGTTTGAAGGATCGGCGACTTGCTGCTTCCAACGAGGGCTGTGGACTAGGGCGTGGATCTGTATTTCAACCATGAAGCAATGGTAATCACTCAATCTCACTTTCGCTTCCGAGCTTTCTAATGAGGTTGAAGAGATGGTTTGAGACGAATGAGAAATCAGGTTGCCATTGAACATACAAAGATGGCAGCAAAGACACAGCACGCATACTCCGGCGGCTTGCTTGGCGCGGTTGATGAGTGGGCTGGCCGCTCCGTGAACCACATCGACCATGCGTATGCTCGGTTGGAAACACTCGTTTTTTATCTCGAACGGCAGATGTGGTACGTCTGCATTCCAAGCACGCAAGGCGCCCCTTATAGCCGGGATTATCATGGTGCACAGCGTACCCGTAAAGTGTTCATTCGGATATACGGGGCCGGGGAAGCCTCTAAATATAGAGGCGATTCCAATGGCTTGTTCAAGCGCGAGAAGCTCTCCAAAGCATCCTTGAGCCATCAATAGCAAGAAGAGGTCTGTTTGGGTTTGGCAGTTGTGCAGAGTGCCCGCAGTGTGAGGGGTGGTGGAGTGGAGCTCTGATGACAACTCGGGAGGGACCGCTGCTTGCGAGCTCTAGCACATCCGAACCGCAAAAAAATATTGCAGTGCCTGACACTCACCATTTCGTCGCCAAAATCCACTTTTCCTCCTTGCCCGCTATCGTCAAGCCTGAAAAGGCTTCTACAGGTTTCGAGACTTCTGCTGGACGTCGCAGAGGCCTGTGTCTCCCGTGTTCAAGCTAACTGAGCCCGCCTCTCGGTTTGAGCCGTCCCTCTGCCTGGAGTCAACTGTACCTCCGCTTCTCGAGTGCCTGCCACTTCCACGCACTGCTCAGCTCAAAGTCCTTTTCGGCTCGATCCAGCTCTTCTGAGTATTCCTGACTCTCACACTTCCCAGGTATGTCAGCCTCGCAACACGAATTTCTGCAGCGCATTCACACGATCGGCGTGCGGAACATCCGCTCGTTGTCCGCAGAAGCAAATTATCTTGGCCAGCATATGACAGCTTCCCTTCAGTGCTGCAGTTGCTCATCGCTTAGTCGAATTGCCTGTCACTAGACAAATTTGCCTGCCATTCACACCTTCAGCATCAGTCTCGCACTTTGCGTTCAGCGGCTTCGCGTCTGTGGACGTCATTCTGCATCGCCTGATGAAAGGGATTGCTTGCTTAGACATGCCCTCACTCCCTAATCAATTCAGGCACGCGACGTGGACTGACAGTTCCAAACAGGAAAGCTCGTGAGCGAGCTTCAGTATCGTTTCCGCCACAACTTCGCCCTCGCCCACATCTTCTCCTTACCCGCTCCTCGCGCTTTTTCACTCCAAACGACTCTCGCACCCGCCATACTCAGCCAAAGCCGACACGAGTTTCCACGCGATTCCATCCATATCGCTCTTGCTACTGCATCATAGCCCCCAAACCGCATACCTCGGAAACCCTCAACTGCACCTCATCAGGCGTAACAGGGCAGCACAAGGATAGCCATATTCTTCAGGACGGTGCGGAGAGGGCGGGACTGGCACCTCTCCGGACATACAGAGAGTACCGGCCGGGCAGTGGGCTGATTCTCGGACGAGGTCTTGCTAGGGAACGCTGCGCGCTCCCCGAATCCCCGCGTGGAAGTCGTACCAGGACAGTATCGGTCACTCAGGAACACAGGCTTGCACACTTGGCCATGGCCGCTACCTTTTCATATGCGCAGGCTGCCAAAGGCATGTCCTCATCTGTGCAGTCGAGCAATACCCCATCCGGGACAGCAACACCTTCGAAGGATACCACATCTGCATCCACTGACATACCCACCGAACCCTCCGGCACAAGCTGGGCAGACTTGGATGATTCGTCGACGTCTGCCCCTGTGAAGGAGCCAGAGGAGGTCTCGACGGCTCCGGCTGCGCAGGGTGACGGAAGTGTGGTTTCACCAGAGAAAGAGACCTCTACGTCAGAGCGACGCAAATCCCTCTCTGGACTTTCATCACCGGAATTCGGCACGGCATCATCTTCAACACTGGGAAAGGAAGATGACGTCTCTTCCGTACCCAACGCTTCTTCTGAGTCAACATGGGAGAACAAGTCCCAAACGTCCAACGTTGTAGAGCAGTCTACAGAGAATGCGGACGAGAAACTAGAGAAGGTCGAAGGCAAGAAGGCGAAAAAGGAGAGGAATCTTTTCACAATGCTTCAAGAAGCGCCTCCTCCCGCTGTGAACATCTGGAAGCAGAGAGCAGAAGCGCGAGCCGCTCAACAACCAAGTCGAGCTAAGTCAAGCTCGTCATTCGGTCCAGTAGCCACAGCTATACCTTCAAAACCGGCGGATGCGAAACCCGCCGAACCGGGGCGCTCTGTACCGAGGAGGAAAAGCAGATCTGGTCCTGCAGGCTTTGAGCGCGCGGTCGTATCGTTGAACGGAACCAACGCCAGGGATCGTAACGACGAAAAAGAAAGTCCAAGTCGGCGTGAGACAAGGTTTGACAACAGCACCATGCGAAGGCCGGGTAGTGAGCAGGCGTCGCGGTCCTTCGAGAGAGGGCCCAAGGATAGTGTTTCGTCACTTCCACCACCGGTTCAAAACAAAGCGTCATGGCCAACACCCGACAATGCCCAAGATGAGGAGAAGAAGAAACCCACAGAGAAGGGCGACAAGAAAGGAAGAGAGAGAGCCTCCAGTACTAGCTCCAAGCCGCACGGCAAGAACGAGTGGGTCCAGCTAGCCTACACGCCTAATGTGATCTTCAACACACCAATCCCGAACACTAGTTCAAGAAGAGGGGGACGTGGTGGGAGTCGCGGTGGACGAGATGCGGGCGGTCGTGGAGCGTCCAGTGCTGTGAATGGGGCTAGTTCGCCTGAGAAGGAAAATTCAAATGTCGGTCATACTTCCGCAGATCAACAGAGACGCACAAGGTCGGAGATTATTCCAACGGATGTTACCAACGCAAAGCGAACGGCAAGTCCTGGGTCTACACTGGCAAGAGACCAAGGAAGTCCTGTCGCAGAAGGCGAGAATAATACCAAAGCTGCGAGTGCTGAAGGCCCAGAAGGGTCAGCGCAGCAGCGAGCGGCTTATAATGAACCGAACCCGAACCAGTTGGTTTCGCGCACAAATTCTTTGCCATTGCAGCCGTCTGCAAGTAGACCGAGGCAAGCAAGGAACGAGCGAAGACAAGATGGCGAGTCTGTGCCGCCAGGCGCTGAAGGTACGTTCAAGTCTCATCTATCTCTAATGCGAACCTTGTCACCTTTGTAGACGATTATGCTTCTGGACAAGTGCTGGTGATACACCCATTTTCTTATGTAGTATACTAACGTATGCTGCATGACAGAATCTTTAGATGCAAAAGCTAGCCCAGCAAAGGACGGCCTGCCTCAGCAGCCCAAGACAAGCACTTTTGAGCGGAGATCGGGTCCGTTCGGCTCTTTATCGAGCCGCGAGCGGGGTGAGCATCGTCCGCGAGGCGGGATGCGCAATGGAAGAGGCGGGAGTGCCTATCAACATGCATCTGCGAACGGTAACCACTATTCCAATGGTCGCGCTTCCTCCACAAACTCTTCCGCCACGTTCCCGCATTCTCCAACAACATTTCACCCCGAGCAACAAAACACATTTTTCAGCCAGCAGCCACACTCATCACGCGGCTTCCGCAATGCTGGGCCTCGGTCACAGTCTATACCGACCGAGGGGTACTACGGACGACCATCCGCTGGCTATCCTACGGGGCCTCAAGCCATGGCTCCGGTGCAGACATATATGCCTGGGATGTATGACTACTCGGTCATGCAACCTCTGAGTGCAGTGCCTTACAGTCCATATGTCGATCAATACTCCGTCCTCGGTATGGTCTCAATGCAACTGTAAGTACGAAAGGCCGATACTGCTGATTTAAGCGCTAACAGCATCTAGCGAATATTACTTCTCGTTGGACAACCTGTGCAAAGACATGTATCTTCGGAAGCACATGGACTCACAAGGCTTCGTATTCCTTACCGTTATCGCAGACTTCAACCGCATAAAGCACCTCACCACAGATCTCGAGTTGATAAAATACGCCTGTTACCAGTCCCGTGACATCGAATTCAGAGTAGGCCCGGATGGCAACGAGAGATTACGACGGCGAGAGGGCTGGGAGCAATGGGTGCTGAGTATGGAAGATCGTGATCCGTCAGCAAGGAACAATGGACCGGAGGACCTACATTACCCACCAGTCCCTCATCCGGCGGGTTTTAATTCGCAGTACATGGTACAACATCAAACGGGCAACCCTACATCACCTTCGAGCCCAAACTTTGTGCCGAACGGCACTCCTTATCAGTCACTAAACGGTGTGACCTCTCCGGCGTCGCAAAGCAACGGTGGAGCTAGCCAGCTGTCCAACGGTGTACCGCCTACGGAACCAGCAGTCGCGGGTCGCCGTAGCTCCACCACCAGCGGCCCTGCCTTTCATCCTTACTCTCCGAACGATCTTCAAACCGAACCTGACTCGTTTCCCAACGAGCAGATCGAAGGACTAACAGTGATCGTCCGACCCGCCACGGAGAAAGCGCCTCCTTTCCACACTGCCTCTTCTCGTACATTTTCAAATGGCTCTCTCGACAGTAGATCCATCGCAGATGAACTTTCTAAATTTGACACGCGCCGCAATAGCTCACAAATTAATGGAAATCCTCCTTCTCTTGGGTATGGACGACTCTTGCAGTAGCTCAGCGGGGTTTCAGCTAATCTTGCAGCAGTGACGAGGCCGCAAATGCTTCAGAACCCAACAGATCACCGAGCCCGGGCTCCTTGTCCAATGCCATCCGATCTAATACAAGCTCGCCATCCACCGGGTTGCAGATGTTCTGGGTGAAGGACAGCGATCGGCCGGTCAATGCCCGACCTGAAAACACTGACAATGAGCTGTATTCTGAAATCCGAGACAAAGCGCTTGTTCAGCGCAGCGCAGCTACAGGCAAATGCCCCTACGACATGGACGTCCTCTACCAGTTTTGGGCACATTTTCTGATCCGGAACTTCAACACGTCCATGTATGACGAGTTCCGAAGTCTGGCTTTCGAGGACTTCCAGAACGGCTCTGTTATTGGAATGAATAATCTGGTCCGATATTACGGCCACGCACTCACCAGCGAAATCGTCATCCGCGAGCGTATCGCCAGACACTACGTTGACCTCGTCAAATGGGAAAACCCTGACCAAGAGAAGCCTGCGTTTAAGCAGCTCCGGTCTGCCTGGAGAAATGGTGCCTTGAACCTGAAGAACCGCAAGAGGATCAGTGGCTACGTCGACGCTGATCTCAGAGCTGCGCTCGAGCAGTGAGCGCACTTACTTCGACTACAAAGAAGTGCATATGGTTCAGGAGATCTCTCTGCGGTGCCTAGCCTCATTCGATGCCTATCCGACCAACGACTCAGTCTTAACTCCCCAACCGGTGCTCCACCACACATAAGACGGCCGAACGCTGCAACTTCGCATACCACCCCGCTGCCATCCCTGAACTCGATTGTGTTTCCTTCCAAAAGTCCTGTTGGCGTTGTTCGTACAGGGCCTGGTGGGATTTATAGCGGAGGATCCTGTTGTTCATTTCCATGAAAATAGAAGTATTTGTACGAATCGCAAGTCATAGCTTTGGCCTGCATCTACCACCGCGCTCCCACCTGGCCTGTCAGGTTGCGGAGCTTGAGCAGTGGCTTCGGAAAGAGGTGGCATCCAGCGTCGGCTTTAGCCAATATCTCAAAGTCGGGGTGATAGCCAGGGCCAGCGATCCGATCTAGTCCCAGACGGCGCCAATGCTTCCTGTCACCTTCTTGCTCATCGAAAAGCTGTTCATCATGGTATAGCGGCATCCTGTATTTGCTTTCAACACTGTTGCAGTGTGTCTTTCGACTTCGCTTTTTTGGCATGGTGGGCGGGGGGCTGTCACTCTGCTCTTTCTTAGTAGGCTCCTACGAGTTTCGATGCATACATCTGTTTACGCTTGAAGCTGTACCTCGTGCACGTAGAACGGATTGTAAAGGTGAGCATGACCAGTTGACAGCCAAAACCAAAGCTGGAAAGCGATGAATGGATTCCCGTGAATTGTAAGCACTCGTCTGCTGCCCAACATCGCCCGTGCTGGCATCCGGGGATCTACTCGATGAGCGTGGAATGTTTTCTTCCAAGGCCAGAAAGCTACATGGATGGCAGTAGTACCACGGCATTCCTTGGCTTCTCTGGCTTCTCTTTGGGTGACACGCTCAACAGAGCACTCTTACTCCAGAAACCAAGGTATCCAGTCCATCAGCAAAGGGGCACCCAAGGTCGCTAGGCCCAAAGATGTGTCTAATAAGACACACGCACAGCACTCCATGGCCCCCCGAATCCTCCGGGGTGTTCCGATGAGAACCGTGAAACTGTATTTACCTCGTATAGCTTCACTCACTACACATAAACCCAAGGCTCAACTCCGACAAGCTTGCGGGTCAGTCTCGATGTCGAGGCCGTATCCGGTTCTGAGCGGGATGTAGGTCCGAACTGCGCGTGCTGCTGCGCAAGGCTCGGTCGAGGAAACCCGCGTATCTTCTTTCAGCTGGAACGGGCTAGTGTACTATAATGAAACCCCGTTGTCGACGCTGGTGGGTTAGACAACGCCTAGATGCTGAAGAAAACCGTATTCGGGTCTTGACGCCCGTCTACGGGGCTAAACCGCGTGTCGGTGCCGTGGGGATGAACTGCCATCGTTCCTCCAACCGGTGGGTCCTAGGTATGACAGGCGGGTACTGAGGATATAAGGGTTGTCGATCCGGCTTCCGGAAACCAGAGCTTGGCTTGGTTTTGAAGTGGTGGGCAGGCGAGACGGGTAAGGGATCAGCCAAGCCAGCAGAACCACACCGGGGGCAATGATTAGCTGCTCAGCTTCTACCCCGTGGAGCCCTGCTCCACTGAAGGTAGCTCTCGGCACGATCATCTCACGGAAGGCCCCCCAACGTCCAATCCAGTCGCCGCCGGAGAGGCAGTCGCAGACCACAGAGGATACACGACTGAGAGTTGCAGAGCTCAAAGCGAACAAAATTGAATCTGTTTTACAGCTCGCAACTGGGGGGGGGGGGTATTGTTACGAGGGGAAAATAATGGGGCGCCCAACCGTACACCTTTATGTCGCCTTCAACGCCGTCTTTCCCGCCCCACGCACGCGCCTGCTAATGCTTTTTGCCTTTCTTCGTCGAGTTATGCCATCCCCTTTCCCAGCGCAGAGCCATGCCCCAATGTCCCAATAAAAATAATACAGAATAGGACCCGCCCTCGTCATGCATATGATACAACCCGCTTAAATGGCTCCTTCCAGTCGACTCTTTTTAGGGCCCGTGGTGGATCATGGCTTGGCTGTTGGTGTCCACGACGTTGTCGGACAGGTTGATGAGGAGCTGCGCCAGACAGCGCTTCGTTGCCGCGTCGTCTCGGAGGACTGAGGAGAAGGTCGCGTCGCGCAGGGGCTCGGGGAGGCACTGGCGGAGGGCTTCGCGGGCGCGGGCATTGTCGCTGAGCCTGTCGATTGCGTTGTCAGTAAATGGCGCAAGTCTGCCGGAACTCGATGTTGGAAAGGAAGGGAGGGGAAGTGGGAAGCAGGTTGAAAAACTTGCCGCAGAAAGCACCGCACGACATGCTTCAACAGCCGCACCGTCTGCTGCTCGACCAGCTGATTCACCATATTGCTCAGCACAGTGCCGACGGCGTAGAAGCGCTCGTACGTCTGGCAGATGTACGCCAGCCCGAGGTCGTCGAGCAGGATCTTCTGCACGATGAAGATGGCGACTGTCTTGCTGAGCTCGGACCCCGTCTCCATGATGCGCAGACACAGCGGGATGATCTCGGTCGTGAGCAGGAAGTTTATCACGTCGCTGGAGTCGTTCTTGACGAGCGCGCCGATCACGCCGAGGGAGGTGAGGCGGAGATACTCGAAGGGGCGGGACTTGGAGGTCGTGTTCAGGAAGGGGTAGAGGAAGAGGGGGATGTGTGCTGTGCTTGCTGTCAGTAAGATTCCTGGCTGACGGGCGGCTTGAAGTTTGGTCGACGTACCGCTAAGAAACAGGCTGCGCGTCTCGGTGTGCGAGGCCACGCACTGCAGCAGGGCGAGCGCGTTGCAGACCCGGTTCGACGCCGCTGCAGTCAGCTGCGCGGGCGCGAGGAGGGGATAGACGGAGATGATCTCTTGGAGGAGCGATGTCATGACGCCTTCAGGCCTGTCAGCAAATCTGCTATCGTATGTAGCGCTGCTGTCATGGGCGCCCTACCAAACGAATGCCACAGTATCAGCGCCAGCTCTGGCACTTGCTCCCTCTTCTTGCTCAGTTCCAGGAGCGCCGTCTCGCGTGTTTCGGGCCTCAGGAGCTGCGCGATCCATTCCAGGACTCTCCGATTGTCTTCACTGACTCCTTGATCTGCGGGGGCCATGGTTGGAGCGTGATCTCCAATGCTCATGCCAGCGTTGGCGCCGGGTATGGAGCTGTTGTTGTTCGCTGCTATGCGATTGTAGTGCTGCTGCTGGGCTGCTGCCGCGGCGGCGGCGGCTGCTTGGGCTTGGGCGTGCTGCTGTGCGGCGTGGTGGTTGTGTTGTTGATGGTGGTTCGGCCAGTCAGCGGGAGGGTACTGGTGCTGGTGGGAGAAGACGTGGCCCTGGGGCATCATGGTTGCGACAAAGGCGCTGGCCCAGTCCTTATCAATGGTGAGTACAGCAGATGAGTGAAAGCGGGTGAGAGCGGGTGGGTGAAAGTGGCTTGTCTGCAGGCGCGCGAGGGTGGATGCGGTGCTGTTTCACGCAGACGCAGCTGGTCTGAGCTCGAGGCGCCTGCCTGCTGCCCTCGGCAAAGTGAGGCTCAAAGGGTGAGGCTGAAAGCGTGAGGCTGAAAGCGTGGCGCTCAAATCACAGGGCTGGCGGTGAAGACCGGTCGAGCACCTGGGCAGCTGCAGGTACCACTTACCATTCAAGCAGCACACAAGTCATGTAGCATCACAGCAGTCTGTCTAACCATCACAGCAAAGAGACCTCGCCAACAGTCTGTCATAGTCTGACCTCGATTAAACACCATCCACATGCTAAACTACCGACAGAGCAAAGAATCAGACGCTGGTCCGTTCTCCCTGCCATTAACCAGCGACGCCGACTCCCTCTCCCTCTCCCTCTCTCTTACGCAGAAACACAAGCTGTAAGAACTGAAACGACTGTCGAGAATGGAGTACCCTAAGCGCACTGCAACGGATAAATAGAGAAAGACCCTAAAGACAAGTCCTAAGAAAGTCGTAATGATCGTCCAACTTCCAGTTCCCCTCGCGCCGTCCCTGCCCCTCTCTTGGACTCGTGCGAAGCTGCACGCATCGTCGGCGGCCGCCTCCTAAAACTCATAAGCCGGCCTACAACCGCAGCTCGTCCAGAATCTTCTGCGCCATGTTCTTGTACTGCCACGTCCCTCCGTCGACCTTCTTGAACTGGATGCCGTGCAACGAGAGCAACGGCACCTTGACGATGAAGATCTCAAACTTCAGCACCATGTTGCCCCCAAGGTCGCTCTGAACGTGCGTTGTCGTTTCGCCAGGCGCCCTCGACCTGCCCTCATTTCGGCGGATATTCTCCTGACCAACGCTCTCGTCCGACTCCTCGGAGTTTGTGTAACTCCGCTCTGGAGTCTGGCGATGGCGCTGGGTCCGTGGCGTCGATTGATTCCGGCTCTGCTCCCTGAGCTCCTCCCGTTCTCGGTCTCCGCCCATGAATCCGCCGAAGCTGATTTTTCGTCGGTGGTTGCCGCTGCTGGGCGGCTGGCCGGGACTTGCCGGAGGGATTTCCGTGACTTTGTTGAGGTCTATGCTCGGACTGTGACGGCAGTTGAACCCGCCCTTGATCTCCGAGTACTCCACACCCAGCTGCCGCAAGACTCTGATGATGTCTTGTCGGATAAATGTGAGAGGTTTGTTGCTTGTTGTCGAGACGCTGAAGAGGCCCTTGAGAAAGACTGGCTTCATGTTCTCCGGACTCGTCGTTTCCCCTGCTTCGGCCTCTGTAGCCAATTCCTGGTCCGTCTCCTCTGGGACGCCCAGCTCCTTGGCTTGCTCCCGGCGTGCGCGTCGTGCTTGTATGCTCTCACGGCGCGCATGGCCGAGCGATTTGGCTCGCGAAGTCGGACCACGGCTTCTGGTACTGCCTTGTTGATCGTCCGATACCGCTTCGTCTGGTCTGAACAGCTCGTCGCGAGTGTCTGACCTATCGGAACCGCTCGTAGGTGGTGGTGGACGGGGTGAGCCTTCGGATGTGCCTCGTCGTGATATTCGCCTCCGTAGTTCCGCCGAGTTGACGCTTGCTGATCTGCCAAGACCTTTGAGCTTCCGAGCCGCGCTCGCTCCTGCGCCGGGCGGTGATAAGAGCCCCGATTCGTTCTGCGGCACTTCTTCTGGCTGCAGGTTCGTCGATGGCGGCACTGATCTCTCCCGGGTCCTGCGAACGCTAAAGCTTTTCCGAGGCGGCGCAGCGGCCGTTCCAGCACCGTCGCCTGGCCCAGAAACGGCGAGGGCGGGAGGAGTGAGATTGCTGGCCCTCTCCCGTTCAGGATCTTTGTGTCTACGAGTGCTGAAGCGGCGTAGCAAGCCCGCGGCAGCACTTTCCTTCTTGGCAGGTGTCTGCTCGCTTGGCGGCGTGACAAGTGCTGGCGAAACCGGGCCGCCCGCTGCATCGATCTTCAGTCTCTGCACACCTTCAACTATCTCATCTTCGCCATGTGTTCTGGCTCTCGGCCTGGACCGGCCACCTGTAGGCCTCTCGCCTGGCATCTCGTAGGCAGACGCATTGGTGTATGCCGCTGCAGGCGCCTGAAGGTCGGGTAACTTGAACGGCTTTTCGTTTGGTGCTGTCTTCGGCAATGCTAAAGCTCCAGGGTTCGGCTCAATTCTCTCCCGTTCCTGCTTTTCCCGGACAAGGTAATATACCGATATCAGGGGGTGGTAAGCGTTTACTGGATCGGCTCCTAACTGGACAGCTTCCGCCGAGGGGCCAGTCAGGGTGTCTCTGCTCGTCGTCGAGTTCCGCCGCTTGTAAAAGTCGAAGACGCCTCTTTTGCGGTCCGTTTCGGGAGTCTGTGCCTGGTTTTTTCGCGCAAGCGCACGTACCGCATGCTGGTATTCTTCCGACGTAAGCAGTTCTGTCAGTTTGGCGGCGATGTAGTCAGGCGTGCCAAAATCGAACCCGTGCATTCCTTCAATGACTTTGGGATCCAGAGGTAGCCGTAACGGTTCGCGAGCAGGTAGGTAGTTCTCGGGCGGTACGTTAAAGCCCTTGGTAATCCACGGATGACTCATGATCTCACTCAGGGTCGCTCTCTGCCGTGGGTCTGTGACAAGCATCCTCGATATGAGATTCTTGCATTCTTTGAGTCTGTGTTAGCCCAGCATTGAAGCCAGTGAGGGGGCAACCTACCAGCAGACAACCAGGGCGGGTAATCAACGACGCCTTTCTTGATTTTAGCGTGCAGCTGCGGCATGCTTTGGTCGTCAAACGGGACTTTGCCACAGACAAGCACGTATAGGACGATTCCAAAGCTCCACACGTCCACTTCTGGTCCCGTGTATTGCTTCGCCTGTAACAGCTCTGGGGCCGCAAAGTATAGGCTCCCGCAGAATGTCTTGAGATAGCTTTTCGGAGCGAACAGATTGCTCAAGCCAAAATCAATGATCTTGATGTCTCCGGTCTTGCTGATGAGGATGTTCTCGATCTTAAGGTCTCTGTGCACTATGCTGTTGCGGTGACAGTAGTCTAATGCACTTGCAATCTGGCGTCCGAATTTTCGCGCTTGTTTCTCCTTTAGCCGTCCATGGGAGATGATGTAGTCAAGCATCTGGCCCCCATTTACATACTCGAAAAGCATGTACCAGTGGTAGTTTGTCCGGACAAAGTCACGCATCCCGCATATGTATGGGTGATTGACCAGACTGACGATGGCCGCCTCTCTGGCAGTTCGGACCTCTTTGGAGTGGTCGGCTCTTTGCCGGTCTTGTTCACTACGGTGTTCGTCGGTTGATTGTCGAGGAACGATCTTGACAGCGACCTGCATAGCGGTTAATCAGACGCACAGGCACTTCGCCCAGCGCAATGCTCTCACCTGCTCTCCGGTCTCTAGATTCCTCGCCAGCTTGACTTTACCCATGCTTCCAGCGCCGATTGTCTTGCCGAGATGCCATTGACCGGTGGTTGCATCAATGGTGGTTCTCCGTCGCCCCTGCTGGCTTCCACTAGTCCCAGTAGCGGGTCTCTTTCCGCTCTCTGCTGCGACCCCGTTTATGTTGGCTGGAGCGGCAGCCACCGCTTCCGCATAGCGGGGAGGCCCCGACCTCGATGTGTTCCGGTGGTGACTCCGCATCGAGTCAGCGCGAGTGGGCGTCGGTGCAACGGGTGGGTCCCGAGACGAGCTGCGACGTGAGGCGGGCGGCTGAGCTACATTGCTCTGCTCGAAATCCCTTCGGGCGACGTTGATCAAGTCGCCTCGTTGCTGCGAGGTCGAGGATCCGCGCGCTTGCTGGGACTGCGAGAGGGAGCGGTGAGGGGAAGCTGGTGGCTGCGCGGCAGATCTGCTGGCTGTCGACTGAGTGCGATGCGGCCGGTCGACGGGGCTGCTGAAGGTCTGCTGCTGCCGTGAAGAAGGCGTGCGGACGACGGCCGGGGAGGTGGGTGCTGTTGTTGACATGGTTGCTGCAGGTGCCCGAACAGGAGGAAGGAGACAGGTTCAGCCCGCACAGCTCACGACGGCGCAGAACGGGGTGCTTTGAGATTCAGCTCTCGGTCGGGTGCGTGGCTGGGCGAGAGTGTGCATGCAGCTCTCACGTTGCTGTGTTGCTGCTCTGCTGTGCTGCGCTGTGTAATTCAGACGCTCGGTCGCGCTGGCATCGGGTCTGGCACCCTTAATTTAGGCCCCTTGGCGACAGCAGGCCGAGGAGCAGCTGGAGGACGCGGTCGGCGGGCATGCGAGGCTTCGTGATGGCAGCGGTTATGTTGGATAGGCCTTTGAAGCTGCAGGGCTGTGTTGGACCGAAAATGGGTAGCTGTCGGTGTTGCAGGCACGGGTCGTTGTGCTGTTGTTAACTGTCAACTGTCAGTCAACCGCCGGCCAGCCTTCCCTTCCCTTCCCTTCCCCAGCTTCTTCCGGCCAAGCCCCCCACGGTCGAGCGAGCCTGCCGCTGCTTGGCAACAGCCGCGGCCTCGTTCTCGTCTATCAGAGCAACTCTATCAGATCAAATCCATCGAAAAAGCCATGCATCAACTACGCCAAACACCTTGAGTACCGCGACCTAGGCGCTCTCCGTGGGGTCCGTCATGTCCTACAAGAGGAACAGAGCGGCTTTCGAAGCCGACTTGCAGAAGCAAGACTCGCCGTACGTCTTTTACGGCACTCCGCTGCCTCCGCTAGACGACAATGTTCGCGACGACGGATCCTTCGTGCCAGTATGGAAGCAGGAGGTCGTGGACGAGCGTGGCAGGAAGAGGTTGCACGGTGCTTTCACAGGCGGCTTCAGCGCCGGATACTTCAACACCGTCGGCTCGAAGGATGGATGGACGCCGTCTACATTTGTTTCTTCAAGGGCCAGCCGACAGAAAGACCAGAAGAATGACGCCCAGCAGCGGCCAGAAGACTTCATGGACGAAGAAGATCTGGCCGAGGCAGCGGAAGCGCAGAAGCTACAGACCGCCAGCGCTTTTGCTGGCCTTGGGTCCACCGAAGAAGACGCATCGCGCAGAGATCCCTTCATGGGCCTGGTGAAGGCTGGCGGGGACACAGTAGGCGTCAAGTTACTGCAGAGGATGGGTTGGCGCCAGGGTCAAGGCGTAGGACCGCGAATACGGCGCAAAGCTCGCCTGGACGAAGGAGATGAGCCAAGAGACGCGAACGAGAAGGCTCATCTCTTTGCACCTGACGACTCTCCCATGATCGGCTTCGCGAGGAAGAACGATCGCAAAGGACTGGGATATAGCGGGGAAGCGCGTCTTTCCAGTACGCCTGCCTCCGCCAAGCCCGGAGCTCAGGAGGATGACGATGAGGACGACTCAAGCTTCTCTGCCGTAAACAACGCTCGGAAGGGGAATGCCAAGAAAACAGCACGACGAGGGGGTTTCGGGGTGGGTATATTGAACGACACTGGATCCGATGAAGAGGATGCGTACGAGATGGGGCCACGACTTTCGTATAACAAAACCATTGGACCCGATAAGAAGCCCAAGAAAACAAGCAATGGCTTACCAGTAGCCAAAGCTGCAAATCCACTCCTACGCGCCAAGCCTGTATTTGTATCCAAGAAGATCCCTAACCGCACTACTGCAGCGACCCTCCGAAAATGTCACGACGGGCGCCTTCCCTTGGAGGGATTCGTCCTAGCTACTCAAGCTCTGACCCTAGAAGCAAACAGGTATGCGCCGCCTAAGATACCAGAGGGCTGGAAGAGTGCAAAAGGTACAGCAGCAGCAGACTCCGGTAGTTCCACGTATCAGTCAACGGCAGACGCAGCGAAAGCTTCTACTCTTGATCCAAAGTCGCGTGCCGCACTCCTTGGAGAAGCTGCTCTACCAGGCAAGTCTATATTCGACTATCTCTCGCCGTCAGCGCGAAGTCGCATCGCTTCAGCTACCGGTAAGGACAATCTTCCCGCAGCTCTGAGCGAGGCGCCTCCCGAAGGCTACCGAAAGTCCGACGCAGAGAAACAGAAGGATCTCTGGAGTTTGGTACCTGCCTTGGACAAGGATATAGCAGATGCAGCCCTGCAGCGCGGTACTGGGGGCTGGATGCCATACGCAGAGGACGAGCGAAAGCGCGCCCGGTATCGAGCCTTTATAGAGCTCAAAGCAGGTTGGAGAGATGTGTTGCCGGAGCGCGCTCCCGGTATGTCAACCGACGAATGGGTCAAGGAGCTGCAGGAGTTCGCGCACGCAGCACGAGTCTTCAGGCCGGTCACAGGCATGATGGCCTCACGCTTCACTTCCTCAACGGCGCATCATGGAGCTTCTAGCGGCGAGCGTAAGGATACCCCCCTTCTCAGCAAACCGCCTGCAAAGCCTACCGACCCCGCTGAGGAAGCCGCAAAGATCGGTATGTACGGCCCGATGACGCGAAGTGTGCTGCAGTTCTTCCCCACCCGGTTGGTGTGCAAGCGCTTCAACGTGAAGCCTCCAGCACATGTTCAAATGGATCCCGGAGACACCCCCTCAGGCAGTGCAGCAGCTGCAGGCTCTTCTGGTCAGGTTTCGGAGCTTGTATCCCGTTCAATGCTCAATGAGATGCTGCTCAATGCCAACTTCGCCAACACCAGCGCCACCAGCGGCGCCAAACCCGAGCCAGATGGTATCTCCGTGCCAGCTACCTTGCCAGTCGAGGCACCTGTTGACGTCGAGACTAATGAAGCTCTGGAAGCGGAGAGAGCTGGCGATGCAGTCTTCCGGGCCATTTTCGGGAGTGACGATGAGGACGAGGATGAAGCTTGAGGGCTCCCCAAAGTGATACAAGCTATTACGAGAACCACTACACAGCTATGTGAATCTCGCTATCTACTACAAGGGAACATGTTTAGAAAATCGGCGTCAAACATACCAAAACAGTGTTTTAGCCCAAAAAGGTAACTGTGTTTCTCCTGCATCCGCTCACGTAATAATGCAAAGCTAGATCCCGCTTAGCGTTTGCGGCTTCTGCACGTCAAACCGCAACAACCATAAATCACCCGTTCTGGACATCATTTGAGCGGCTCAAGTGCAGCGGATGAGGACCCGCTCCCGAGGCCGGCCCAAAGGGTCCACAGCTCATCCCCAGATTTCGTCTTAACCGCTCCGCGGATTTGGGCCGGGACGTCGTGCGGTGTTTACGATCTGCATCTTCATCGATCTAGACCACCCCGCCATCCGACGTCATTCCTAAGCGTTTCTCTGACCGTGTTGTATATAAACCCCACCATAAAGTAGCATTCCGTACCACAATATCAGTCTCTCTATAATCCGCTTTCAATTCCTGTAAACGTCTCCCTGTGAACATCTCCATCAAACCATACCACAGCCATGCCCTCCACCAAGAAAGTCGGCACCCCCGGCCCCGCCAACGACAAGATCGGCGGCGTGCCCACGCTCCACTACTTCGACTTCTTCTCCAAAGGCCGCGGCCAAGTCATGCGGCTCTTCTGGGAGGTATGCATCGCCCCCTTCCTCCCCTCCCACCACCCCAACTAACCCACCTCCCCCTCCCGACAAGGACGCCGAGATAGCCTACGAAGACATCCGCTACACATTCTCCGAGTTCCCGCAGCACAAGTCCAAAATCTCCGACATGAACCCCACCGCCAGCGTGCCCGTGATCGAGCTCAACGGGCGCATCCTCACGCAATCCTACGCCGTTCTCCGACGCATGGCGCGGCAGCTCGGCGCCTACGACGGCGAGACCGAGGAGGAGAAGTACTGGGCCGACGCCATGTGCGACGTCGCCATCGACTGGCGCACGCTCTTCGTCATCGCGTTCCTGAGCCCGGATAAGGAGACCGCGTATCCGAAGCACAAGGAGACGGATCGGAAGCGGTATCTGGGCGCCTTGGAGAGGCATTTGAGTAGTCATGAGGCGAGTGTCAGGGGGCCGTATGTGCTGGGTGACAAAGTCAGCTATGCGGATTTTGTGGTCTATCAGATTTGCCATGATGAGGAGTTGACCAAGAACGGGAGGGAGGGGATGAGGGAGTATCCGCGGTTGGTTAAGTTGGTAGATGCGATGGAGGAGAGGCCGAATGTGAAGGGATTTTTGGAGAGTGATCGGTATTTGGGGTAGATGGTCTAGTGCTAGTGTTCGTAGAATATGAGGGCTAATCGCAAAGGCGACCTAGTAGTTGTTCAGTTCAGATAAAGCCCCAGCCCAGCTCTTTTCTGTCCGCTCCAAGATCACCTCGGGGACCTCATCCTTGTGGGCACAACACATCGTTACACCGATCCCAGTATTGTCCTCCCGCCCGCCCCCAAACTAGCCAGTATCCTCGCTGTGTCCTCCTCCTCCGCCCTATCCGCCCTTTCCATCGCAGCAGGCGCACTCGGCAGCGCCGTCCGCATCAACTCCGCATCCTCCAGCTCCCCACCCCTCACAAATTTCTCCCTTCTTAGCCTCAATCCCGTCTCCGGACTCTCCGGCTGTCCATCCCTCCACCACGGCCTCTTCGTCCCCGTAACCAACTCCAGCGCCCTCGCAGGCCTCACATCTTCATCCAGCATCGCCTCCATGCTCCAACCTTCCGCGTCTGCGCCCTCGACGTGGTCGTAGTGCCGCCGCGCCATGAAGGCCCGCTCCGCTTCCAGCATGTTCTCGACTAGCAGCTCTTTCGCGGCCCATTCCTGCCGCCGTCGCCGCTCTAGCGCCTCGAGCTCGGCTTTTAGCTCCTCGGACTCTGAGGTTGCCCAGTGGAGTTGGCGTCGCAGCAGGCTGAAGAGCTGTGGCGCGGGGAGGGCGGCTTCAGCGGGGGTCAGGTTGACGTCGGGAGGGAAGCGTGGGATCCAGCTGCCGTCGCCGGTGGAGCTGGGATGGTAGGTTACGGTTGTGTCGACCGGGGCGTGGTCGGTCTCGGTGGGGTTTGGGAGGGCAACTGTAGTGGCTGGGAAGTGTTGGCCGTGCGAGGAGGGCGAGGCGGGCAGGGACTCTTTGGTAGGGCCGAGGGAGGGGGAGGCGGTGCCGCCGGCCTTGTTGAGGATGAGCTTGAGGCGCTGCGTTTTGTTGGTGGGGTTCGAGGAGTGGTGTTTTGGAACGGGGTCGGAGGGGCGCAGGGCTTCGGTTTCGTGGACGGTGCGCATGTGTTTGGCGAGGGCGTCGGAGCGCGTGAAGGAGCGGTCGCATTCTGTGGGCAGTAAATATGGTCAGTGTACACCTGGAGAGAATAGCATGTCTGGCCGGCCTTGGCCTGCTTCGAGGAAAGAAGGACAAGGAACAAGGACCCTTGAGCAATGCGGAAAGGCAGGCAAAAGAGGGCATCCAGAGCTCGACCTACCTGGCAATGTGCAATAGAATGGCTTTTCCCTGGTATGACTCCTCATATGCGCCCTCAGCGCATATCCACTGGCGTGCGGGATGCCCTTCCTGTTACAGGCTATCCACTCGCAGCTATACTTCTTCTGCCGGCTTTGGATGTGCTCATCATGTAGATGCTCGACCAAGATATCCATGTTACCCAGATCCCCTGCGTCGCATCCTTCCCACTGGCATGCTGTTATTTGGCCGCCTGGATGGTCACCCTCATCGGCGGGATGGTTCGGTGACGCCGGCACGCTACCCTCGGTGTCTTCGCTGATGTCTGTGTCGTAGTTTGGCGCAGGCGACACGCGCCGTAAACTGTGTTCGCCGGTCTTCTGGCGCTTCGCGGGTCGTGCTGTCTCCATGTGGTGCGAGTGGAATGTGTCGACGCTGAGCGAGCGGTTGTATTCGGGCTTGACTTCTTCGGCGAAGTCGTCCGAGGACAGCTCGGAGAGCGGGGAGCCTGGCGAGTCCATCGTGGAAAAAGCCTTGCGGTTATTAGAGATTAAGAGTGATGTAATGTTAAGAGCAAGTGAAGTGAAGTGAAACGGCAGGGCGGACAAGCCGAATTCCGCCAAGCTGTCCATGGTGTTGACGTTTTGGGTCGTCGGCCACAGAATTCCGAGACCTCGACCTTCACCTTCCCTTATTCCATCAACAATGCTTCGCCGCTCCTAGGTGCCTCGGAGCCGTGAGCCACCTGAACGCTCTCATGGAAGGACACTCGATTCTGGGCGCCCCTGTCTTAAGGCTACAGTATGCTCTCCCAGTTTGGGAAGACAGGTAGAACTCACCGCTGGTTGCATTTCTTTCCCCATGAGCATGCACTGTGTTGGGATTAGAATAGACTGTAAGCATGTCTCGTCCACCTCCTATCCCCTATGCATGATGAGCAACAAAAGAGTTCTGCAATGCGGACGGTTCCTGTTCTTCAGAAGCCGAATGCCGACACTCTAATCTACACTTGATCTGACTCTATCGTCCTTCGTCACGAAAGCTGTAAACCCTTCATCAAGTCACAGGACTGACTTCTCGAGCAGGTAGCTACATGTACTCTAAGATGGCGCATACCACTGTCACTGCCAATGAGTTCCTTAACCGTTGATCAACTGAGCTGCTGGCCCTCAGTATCTCCCGCCCGTGATCGTCACCTTGCTCAATATGCCTTTGATCTCCGCCAAATCATCCTCGTTGAGCTCGACATCTTTCATGTTCTCCTTAATGCGCTCCTCTGTCGTCGCACCTGGGATAGGTATAAGGACTGGGTTGCCGTCCTTGCCGCTTTGAGCCTTGATCCATGCCAGGGCTACCTGACCGCTCGTGCACTTCTTCTTCGAAGCTAGCTGCTCGACTTGTCTAACCAGCTCCATGTTCTGATCGAACACATCCGGCTGGAACCGCGGCATGTGCTTGCGGAAATCGTCATCCGGAATGTCGTCCGGCGACTTGATCTGGCCGGTCTATCACAGCAATGTCAGGTATAGGTGGCAAACAGAATGCTGGTAAGCAACACTCGGAGCTTACCAAGAAACCTCTTCCTAGTGGCGAGTACGCCACGATAGGTATATTCAACTCAGCACAAGCCTCCGCAATCCCATTCTCCAGGATGTCCGTCGCCCAGAGCGAGAACTCGACCTCCACCGCAGCAATTTTGGTCACCTTCGCCGCTCTCCTAATGGTTTCGGCGCTAACCTCGCTCAAGCCAACGCCGCCCACCTTACCCACCTTGACATACTCGGCAATAGCACCCACCGTAGTCTCGATAGGCGTAGCCGGGTCGACGCGGGCGCACTCAAAGATGTCGAGGAATTTCTTTCCATCGAGCACGCGTAGACACTCGTCAATGCTGCGGCGAACGTTCTTCTCGCTGCCGTCGGGCGCCATTTCGCCGGGCTTAAGGCCGCCCTTGATGGACAGGACGACTTTGTCGGCATCGTCGGGGCGCTCGGTAAAGTACTCGTTGAGCAGGTGGAGACTGTTGCGCTCAGGGGTGCCGTAGAGCTCGCCGCCATTCCAGAAGTTCGCGCCGAGTGAGAGCGCGGTGCGCATGGCGGCGAAAGACTGGGTTTGGGAGGGTGGGTTGGCGCGCCATGTGAGGCCTGTACATGCTTAGCCTTTCGGCCTTGGAAGTCCTTCGGACCTTGTCTGGGGCAGATGTAGAGATGGGATGCTACATACCCATCAGGCCGTAGCCGATAGACCCGACGTTTTTGCCCGTGATTTGAGGCATAGTGTCAAACGTTTGGATGCGAATGGATATGTCTTTGTGTGTAAGAGTCTTACAGTTGATGAACTTGCAGTAATGAGGGATCTTGCTGGTCTTTGACACCTATATAACCTTATACGCAGCAGTTCGGTCTTAGAGGAACTCCTAAGTCCGATTGCTTCCTGACTTAATTGCCGAAGTTAACAGCGATGGCTTACGACGAATAACGCAGCGTAATCAGCAGTAAGCTTCGGGTATTCCAAACCTGCCGTGTGATAGGCTTCTCGTGGCTCTGTCTTGGAATTTGACGGAAGCCATCCCTCCGTCGGTGTAATACCTAAGAACCACAGCGGGACAATGACCTCATAGAACCATTGTGGTCGAGCGACCGTTTGAGTATCTATTAGTAAAGTTCCTCAGAACAACATCTAGATAGAGATAAAGAGTGTATGCACACTCCAGTGGGTATTATCTGTGACTCCAGTCAGCTCAAGACGATGCTTGAGAGCGAGGGTGCAAGATTGGAGAATCGGGCGGATTGATCCGAGGAAACTTTTGAAAACACGTTATAATTATAAAAGCCGAGCAATTCCTGCCAAGAACAGCAGAAAAGCTGAATGGCGCAGCGGAAGCGCGGTGAGTTGAAACCGGATCATCTATCGGTCCGAATAGATTACTGATATTCATCCAGCCGGGCTCATAACCCGGAGGACAGTGGATCGAAACCACTTTCAGCTACATGTTCAATCTTTTTGCATTTTTCTCTCTCAAGAGCTTCACGAGTCAATCCACAGCTCTCGAGCATGTATTTTCTAAACGTTACAATGTCACGGAGCGTCGATCTATCCTGGCTGAACTGCCTCGATCCGGCCACCAACATTAACTCTAAACCCTGCAGACCTTCGCGGATTGTACCATCCCTACGCTGTATTTATAGGTGGTAGCAATGGAGCCTCTCAATATAGTCCAGGCTGAATAGCACATACTGTAAACCACTAAGTGCACTCATAAGAATGAACCCTCGTAGTGAACATCAGATTTCTGAAGAACTGGTGAACCTTCACGGATCGCCGAGTCTTGAAGCTTATTCAATTCCATGTAGCTTATCAGCTTCTACCGGTCTTTTCGGCATGCTTTTGGTCCACTTATCTAGGTGGCAAAAATGGCTCGACTCGGAGAACCATGAACTGGTAGAGCACTGCGTTGACTGTAGATTGGAGGCTTCGTTGTCACACATGATGATAGAGTTAAGTTAGGGGCCTAGGCGTAAGGCGGCTTATATAGCCTCATAAGCTTGTTAAGCTATTGGTAGGGGCGAAACGAGTCGAACGATCCGTGCATCGCATATACTTTGAGCAGGTGCCTGTACTCAGTGCAGTCATTGAGATTGTAAGATGTCTCACATATCGCTCTATATACGCCAAGACCATCCATTTATCAGCCCAGGACTCGCTCCACCTCCTCATACTCTCAGCGCGCCTCTCCTCTTACCACTCGAGTCTCTCGTGCCGCGCTCATAATCGCATCGCATATTCTCATTTCGCATCAAAATTATATCTCAACCACTCACCCACGGCCCTCAAAGCCTCCCACCTCACACTCTCATCCGCCTCCTGCATAAGCTCCATAACCCTTGTCTTCAGCCCCATCTTCTCCAACATCTGCCTCTTCTCCGGGACCTCCTTAACCAGGCACGCAACATCGTTACACCCAATCGCCAGCACCTGCTTGTCGTTCTCCCAGCTCTTGCCCAGGATTTCCGCCAGCTTCCGCGGCAGCTCGCCCTTGTTCTCCTCGAGGATCCGCCGCGCGTTGTCCCGCCAGAACCCCCGGTTGCGGTGCGGCGGACTCCATCTGAGGTGGCCGGTTTGCAGCTCGGCGGCGTACTCGTCGAAGGTGGTTTGCGTCTTGGTGTACTCGTTCAACATCTCGTTGAGAGCGCGGAGGTCTTCGAGGAGATCGGGGTCGGTGAGATGGCGGGATTGGACGTTGGAGAGGTGGGAGGGGAGGCGAGCGAGGACGGCAGCAGGGAGGAGGGTTTGCCGGTTTGAGGAGAGGAGGTTGTAGAGCGTGGAGAGGAGGAGGCGGGTTGTTTTCTCCTTTGGAGATAAGCGTAGGAGGGAGGTGTAGAGTGACAGTATGTCGTGTTCACTACGGGTATCTGTCAGCACTGGATTGCCCTACCGCTTCAGAGGTCGGCATACTCGTTGAGTCCGTCGCCGACGAGTTTGCCTTCGAAGCTGAGTTGCCAGATGACGAGGAGAACGTGGTAGAGGAGTTGTAGCCCAACGCTACCGCCTATGCCGACTTCAGTTGTACTGCGGATGCTGGCCCCACCGCTATACAGGGTGGAGTCACTGTCGCGGTTGTTGGAACCAGCTGCCGCACGGAGTATGTCCATGAGTGGGTCCAGCGTCTCTTTCCGTTGTTTCCAGAAGAGCTGTCTTGCTTTGGATGTCCGCAGAACTGCAGAGTACTCCTGTACCGCAATGTCCTGCAGACCGGCATCCGAGCTCTTGGCTAGAGACGAGAGGTAGCTGTAGAGCTTAGGTAGGGCCTCTACTAACGGCGCAGTTGACTTTGTCTGTCCAACTAGAGCGTGGGATATCAGACTTGACAGGACGGAGGACGTGAGAAGAGGGATCGGGTCTTCGGGGTTGCTGGACTGCTTAAGTAGTGGGAGGAAGGGCTTGTAAGGGTTCTCGTGCTTGATCAAGGCGGATGTAAGCGGCTGGATGTCTAGAGACTGTAAGCTCCAGCTGAACGGCATATCCCGCAGAGTTGTATAGTGGTGTACCATCGATGAGGTCGCCAGACAGGACCAGCATATACTGTATGATGTCTGGCCGCTTCGCTGCAGCCTCGAATATGCTCTTGCTCTCACTTCCTCCCAACAACAGTGTGACGAAGCTCTCAGGGTCCGACTCTATGGTCTGCCGCCTCTGCTCCCTTCGAACCTTGTCAATCGACTTGATCTTCTTGAGGTCCGCATCGGTAATGGTCTTTGCGCGGACAGCTCCATCCCAGGAGATGGGGCGGGCGCGGATGTTGTTCTGCAGGGAGAGAATGTAGGCAGGCGGATCGAGGGACATGGCGACGGCGAATGTGCGCTGCAAAGAGCGTTGGTGGAGTGCTGGAACGCTCGGAGTGCTCGTCTTGGTCGGTGACGGCAGCTTGCTTCTGCCCCATCACCGCAGCCTTATCGAAGCTGCCCCGTAATGCTGGCCTTGGCATTAACCTCCTGGAACCGAAGTACCTCCGCCTGCAAGAAGAATATCTCGATGGACAAGCCGAAGTGCTGGCTACACCAAGCTACATCTGACGTCCTAAACCTCCTTCTTTTAGGAAGAAAATCAGGAGGTTATCAGAATGACTAGCTTGAAGCGTTCATATGCCGCTGATCCCAGCGCGCAGAACCTCTCCAGCAAAGTCTACGTGAGGTCTACTAAGAGTGGCAAGGTACAGAAGATTGTCAGAGAGCTCTACCTGAGACAAGACATCCCTTGTTCATCTAGATTGTGTTCCAGATGCGTGGAGAATGCTCCCACCGACTATCACAACAAGGGTAACCTCCATCTCACTAAGAATACATCAGTGACTAACAGGGACACCAGTGTCTCCCTTTGTACTCTCAGAGACGCCCGCAGGTACCAAGAGCTTCCCGCAAGGCCACTACCTTGTTCCCGACACCAATGCTCTCCTCACTGCAATGGACCTGTTCGAGGTCGAAACGGCGTTCCGGGATGTCATCGTGCTCCAAACAGTTCTTGAAGAAGTCAAAAATCGATCCCTGCCGCTGTATCACCGCCTCATCAGCTTGACCAAGAACGAGGACAAGCGTTTCTATGTCTTCTTCAACGATTTTAGACAGGAAACCTACGTGGTCCGCGACGCCGGCGAGACCATCAATGACCGTAATGACAGGGCTGTCCGGAAAGCCGTTCAGTGGTATAGTCAGCATCTGCAAGCAGCTGTCAAGGCGCGCAGGTCAGGACGGACACCAGCAGTAGTTATGATCAGCGATGACCGAGAAAACTTGCGTAAAGCAGAAGCGGAGGGCATCTCTGCATTATCGTGTAAGTATCTACATCTGCATCGGAATCTCAGTTCTGTATCTAAAGGGGCTTCGCAGTGTCAAATTACGTTTCCGAACTTGAGAATGCGAATCAGCTGCTTGACATGGTTAGCGAACGGCGGGAGCAGCGCGATAACCGCGGCGGCAAAGTCGAACTTCTATATCCTGAGGTAGGGTCTCCGATTTCCTGCGTAAACCGAGGCTAAAAAGTTATAGTACTATTCGATTTCGAAGATGATGACCGGTGTTAAAGCAGGCACCATGCATCAAGGCATCTTCAACGTCTCACAATACAACTACTTGGAAGGCTCTGTGCACGTGCCAGCATTTGAGCGCTCTCTTCTGATTTTAGGGAGGGAAAACAGCAACCGCGCTGTATCAGGAGATGTCGTTGTCGTCGAGGTGTTACCCAAAGATCAATGGAAAGCACCGTCCTCCAAGGTCATCGAAGAGGAAGAATTTAACAAGGACGACAACCCAGACGTCGAGGAGGGCGAAGCAGTGGTCACGGACCGGGAACGGCGCGCACTCCAAGAAGAGGTGAAGAGAGTTCAGGGCAAGGGCGTGGAAGGTCGGCCACAGCCTACAGCTCGAGTTGTGGGTGTGGTGAAGCGCAACTGGCGGCAATACGTTGGGCATATCGACAAGGACTCCGTAAGGACATCCAACAGGGAGAGCCGCGCGCAACAGACTGTCTTCCTCATCCCAATGGACAAGCGGATACCGAAGATCAGAGTACGGACGCGGCAGGCAGGGGAGCTCCTCGGTAAGCGAGTACTCGTCACGATCGACTCTTGGGACCGGGAGTCGCGGTACCCTGTGGGTCACTTTGTCCGATCACTCGGCGAGCTGGAGTCGAAAGGAGCGGAGACCGAAGCACTGCTACTTGAGTACGACGTGCAGTATCGGCCTTTCCCTAAGACCGTCCTCGATTGCTTGCCGGCAGAGGGACACGACTGGAAAGTCCCGGCCAGCCTTGAGGACCCTGGATGGAGAGGCAGAAGGGACCTGCGAGATCTTCTAGTCTGCAGTATTGACCCGCCTGGATGCGTTGATATTGACGATGCGCTGCATGCACGCCAACTACCGAACGGCAACTTTGAGGTTGGCGTACATATCGCAGATGTATCGCACTTTGTCAAGCCGAACAACGCCATGGACAAGGAAGCTAGCATGCGAGGCACCACCGTGTACCTAGTGGACAAGCGCATCGACATGCTACCAATGCTCTTAGGTACAGATCTCTGCTCCCTGAAGCCGTACGTCGAGCGCTATGCCTTCTCTGTACTATGGGAGATTACACCCGACGCTGAGGTTGTAAACTCAAACTTCACCAAATCCGTTATCCGCTCCCGCGAAGCCTTCAGCTACGAGCAAGCTCAAATCCGCATCGATGACGCTTCCCAGAAAGACGACCTGACCAAAGGCATGCGCACCCTTCTGATGCTCTCCAAGAAGCTCCGCCAGAAGCGTATGGACGCCGGAGCTCTCAATCTCGCCTCTCCAGAGGTCCGCATCCAGACCGAGTCTGAGACGTCCGACCCGGTCGACGTACAAACCAAGCGCCTCCTCGACACAAACTCCCTCGTCGAAGAGTTCATGTTGCTCGCCAACATCTCCGTAGCCGGAAAGAATTACTCCGCCTTCCCGCAGACCGCGCTTCTACGCCGCCATGCCGCACCACCGCGAACGAACTTCGAGGAACTGCAGAACCAGCTCAAAGTCAAGCGCGGCATGGAATTACGCACCGACTCGTCCAAAGCACTGGCCGAGTCCCTCGACACGTGCGTAGACCCGCAGGAGCCCTTCTTCAACACGCTGATCCGCATCATGGCTACCCGCTGCATGATGTCCGCCGAGTACTTCTGCTCCGGCACGCAGGCATACCCAGAGTTCCGCCACTACGGCCTTGCCTCAGAAATCTACACGCACTTCACCTCGCCCATACGACGCTATGCGGACTTGGAGGCCCATCGTCAGCTCGCGGCCGCTATCGACTACGAGCCGCTGGATCCGAGCCTCCGCAGCAGGAGCAAGCTCGAGGCCGTGTGCAAGAACATCAACGTCCGGCACCGCAACGCGCAGATGGCGGGGCGAGCGAGCGTGGAGTACTACGTTGGTCAGGCACTTAAGGGGCGTGTGGTTGAGGAAGAGGGCTTCGTAATGAGGGTGTTTAGCAATGGATTTGTGGTGTTTGTGCCGAGGTTTGGCATTGAAGGGCTCATTCGGTTGAGGGATCTGGGGACCCCAGAGCCAGAGGGAGAGTTTGATGCCGAGAATTACGTGCTCAGGGTCAGGGGGTCAAGGGAGGTGAATGTGGAGTTGTTTGAGAAGGTCAAGGTCAGGATTAGCGATGTGGCGGAGGAGAGTACGGGGAAGAGGAAGATTAGGCTGGAGCTGTTGTAGGTGGTGGCGCGTGGATCTGGGAACGGGTGGTCAGGACAATGGCGGTAAACAAGATGCCGTGCATGAAAATCGATCTTTGGGGTATCTGCTTTATTGGTGGCTCCGCCCAGTGGGTCCAGCTTTCGCTAACAGGATCGCTTGAGGCTGGCAGATTAGTCGCAATGGAAGCGGTGTTCTGCATCCATCAGCCCACAAGATTCGGGGTTTCCCGTCCTCTCAAGATTGACTGACTCGGACTGAGCCATCGTTGGATCAGCACGCCTTGGTGATGGCAGTCGATGACAGCCCGGAGTAACCCGCTGTGGCGGCTGCGGGCAAGGGACTTGAGCATCCAGGGAGAATCTTACGCGCGTAGGCACCACAGTGCGGAAATCTACAATCCAGGGGAAGTCTACGGCGATGCAGCATAGAAGCAGGCAAGCTCTAGCACCGCCATACTAGGTAGGCAGCCTGTATTCCTCCACGTCCTCTGTGGGCCGAGATGTGAAGCAGCAGTCCAGAGTTCGTAGCTCACTGAGATCAATTGCTATCCGGATAAGACTCCACGCCTATCTAGCTATCTATGCATTTAATGGTTGGAGCACGCGCTCGCCCGAACCTTCCCGTCACTCGCGCTCTGCCGCTCGTGCCGCTGCTGAAGCCTCTTGGCAGGGACAGTGCCGCTTGACAAATTCCCAAAGCAAGTCTGTTGGCGCATTTGGTGCATCGAGAGGCTCTCTGGAAAGTTTGTTCAATGGTTCGCGCTCGCTTGATACCTACCGCCGCACGGCTTGTGGGGCTGTCCGAGAGCTGACAACGGCACGAGACAGAACTGTCTTCCGAGCCATGCACGACGACTCGCCGTGGTATGGGAATCTATGTAGGGGCGATGCAGGGCGTTTGCGCTACGTGAGAATCACTGCGATGCGAAGCAAATCAACGCGAGATCTGAGGAGAGATCGAATCGACAGACATCCTGACTCAAATCATCCAGTCCACACCGTCAAGTGGAGTTCGACGGCTTCTGTTCCTGCATAGCTAGGCAAGACGGTGAGCATGGACTACAATAGGCAGGCGGTAACCCCAGTTTAGCGATTGCGCATTCAGCCACGTCGGCCGCTGAGTGGGCCGAGCCCTGGTGTCCGACGGGGCAATGAGGTGATCCAGAAGTCGGGTGCCAATGCTCGGTCAACCATGGGTTGGTGGCAGTTCATGGCGCATAGATACGACGACGCTTTTATCTGAAGCAATCTGGAACCGCTCATCTATCTCAACGAGGCGCTCTAAGAAATCCACGGTGTTCTCCTTGAGTGCGTCTCGAGGCACGCCTGCGATTCGTCGGAGGTGGAGTCCACTCAGACGCTAAAACGGCACAATGGGATTGTGCTCTCTGCAACGGTGGAGCTAAAGACTAAGGGAACTAATGACATGAGCTAAATGCCTTCCGACAGCGATGCGCGGTCCTTGCTCTTGCCCATCTGACCACACCGACTTCTACCTTGTGGGTTGCACTTCTTCATAGGAACACACCCGGCGAACTGTGTCTGTGCTGGCCCCTTAAATATCAATCAATCCGTTCGTGCAGGAGAGGTCTCAGGCAGAACCCGGGAGGTCAACCTCATAGGCCGCCGAGATGCTTTGTACTCGTCATTGGAAGAAGCCACACAGAATACACTACGATCTCCCCCAAGAGCGGAAGCATCCTTTAGGGGAGCGCCCGGGCAGATGTCTGGAGTCCGAGCACACGCTTGACCATGTTCAAGCGGAGGCGAGAGCACGGCCGAGATGCCCGAACAGGAAAGGCTGGTTGATTTGTACCTGCAGCTCTTGCGGGGCACCCCTGGGCCAGCCTTTTCCTGCTTCGACTGCCCAGATGCTGTCCTTCAGGGCAGGTAAGATTGCCAGCCATGGCTTCGCTGCGATTGAGACAGCACTAAGGTGAGTTTCGGTGCATGGTGTGGCGTTCATGACTGGGCTTGATGAGTATATTCACCCTAGATCCACTCCCGCTTTCAAGTTTGGTGATTTCGTTTGCTATCCTCGCTGGCTGCTCCAGCTGTGCGCCTTTTGTAATACAGAGAACAGCTGCGCGTCTATCGATTCGTTTTGCGATTCATGCTCTTGTTAGTCTCAGTCAGCCTTTAAGACGTTCATCCGCTCTGCCATATCCGCGTACCGTTGCGTTATCCTCCGCTTTTCACGCCAGTATTTGGGGCGTAAAGTCTTTCAAGAGGCATACAAGACTCCTTCAGGAGCCTCGATGCATCTACAGCGCCTATCAGAAGAGTTCCGCAACTGCTTCCAAGAGGCTTGACAGGGTGCTCAGAGTAACGACGCCGAAAACTGCCAGGACAGCCATCTGGATCTGAATAAGAGCGCGGCTGCGACCCGTATCGGCACTATGTCTCCCGAGCAAATGTCTAGCAGGCTCTTCCTCTGCTTGTTGGCTCTTTCAAGCGTGAGAGAGGTGCGGGGCCAAGGGACCTGGGAGAGGTCGTCCGCCAGCAGCGCCTCCAACCCGTCCTCGATACGTTCGGTCGATCCCACATCCACTTTAGTAACCTCGTCGCTTACTACTCCATCCTTGATCACATCTACGCTCGCCTCGGTTTCATCACCAGCTCCCTCCAAATCCGCTTCGACTAGTCTCAGTTCGACGTCCCATGGCGCACCTCTAGCAACGCCAGGTGATTCTTCACAGGTTCCCCCGTCCCCAGCGGACCGTAATCGGATGCTGGGAATTATGATCGGTTGTGTAGTTAGCGGTTTGCTTGTTGTAGCGATATGTGCATGGATATGGGTCCGTGTGAGACGATCACAGAAGCGGAACAGGAGGAAACTGTTCCGGCGCGCCGTCACCCCGCTCGACGACGCAGAGTTCGAGTCCTGGAGAAGACCGAGTGTGGCGCATTCTCAGCTGGAAATATACGGCAGCATACAACAGCCTCCACCATCTCATTCACCCAGAGCTAAACCAGCGGCTCCCCTTGTACTTGAGAAAGATCTCGGCATATACGGTCCCGAGACCTCTAGATCACCGCGGTCATCTCCCTCTTCAGGCCGTTCGAGATCGGAAAGACATACCGATCATTCACGAAACAAGTCCAGCGTCTCGGTCCAGGACAGACCGCCCACCCCTTACTCCCCCACGCAACCACCCGAATCCTTCGGCTCCTCGCCTAAAAGCCCACCAAACCACGTCCATTATTCCTCAATGTCTTCGGCGTCGGATTTCGACTTCGGCTTCAAAGACTTCCGCGGTTCTTTCTGAGGGCCACGAATTGTGCTCCGCACCACAGCGACTCCTTTGATAGGCGTTGCGTACATGCATATCACGCGAGACGGTTCTTTGCTTTGTTCCTCTGTTGGCACATGTTCATATGATATCCGCTGGGTTTCTTGAAAAAGGGGCGTTGGTTCGGAGCTTTTTTGACTTTGACAGCCGGAAAGCTCCTGGGTTGTGTTTTTTGAAGGTTAGCAGCAGCGATGTGCCCTGTACACTTTTGTTATATGGCGGATGTAGCAGCCTGTCCACATGTTTCTCTACGTGCGAGAATGGAGGAGCACTCCCGATGCCTCCATGATACATAGCGGAACTCATTTCGGCTCTACATGATGGGCGGTCACAGTACGATGAAAAACTCGCTCAATACTCAGTGCAGTTTATCACTCAACGAAGGTATATATAACCACCATAGCAGGACGGCAAATCACTTCGGTGCACCCCTCCGTACAACGTCTTAGGGTAATTCGCATACTTTGACTCCCCTGTATGTCTTGCAACGATCTCTTGCTACAACAGACTTTCCCACAGCTTCGCAGCCGATCATTGAGAACAGTTTTTGAAGTGAGGATTCAGGGCCTGTGTACCGGAGGTATGTCTCTTATCGGAATTGAACCGGCGAGGGCTGACTCATCTTACATAGCGAGCAATGGACGAGCCGAGTCGAACTGTTAGGCGACTGGTCTGGAGCTCTTGGCATGGTGTCGAGACTCGAAGAGGACGGGAGCGTCAGCGCAGGCGCCGTGAGATCCTACAGCCTGATCCGCTCACGTACTACAATCCAATGTTGGATCTCGAAACCGTTACCCTCCACCACGACATCGACCGAGTGTCTTCCGCCGAGGTTCACGTTGGCGTAACCTTCGACGAGGTTCTCTTCCATAGGGCGGTCTCGGACCAGGAGCACGTTCGAGAAAGCATGTGAGCCGTGCCACAACCCTCGAGCTGATCACTACAGTAATCGTTCGTTGGTTGAAGTTGAGAGCCAGTGTATACCCGCACTGGGGCGTACCTTAGATTCATCGGTCAGCCCATCCATCAACCCCGTCTCTAGTATGCAAGCTGAAATATCCAGTAGAAGCAAGGTTCTGTTGGAAGCTTCGGAACTTCCTCGCGTTCGCTCTCTTCTCGAAAAGGAGATCAAGCTCCATGTACGTAAGACCCTTCGGTTCTGGAAGTCGAAAGAAACACCAGACGAAGCATAAAAAGCTCGTTCCAGCCTGTAAAAGTATTAACAGATAAACACTTCTCCGTAACGAACCCTCTTGCTTACCCAGAAGAAACAGGTCTTGCCTCTCCAGTTCCAAGCCGTCGGATTCAACATGTACGGCATCAGCACTCCCGCAATCATGAATGCAATGTTGTACGCCACTCGAGCCAAAACTACGGTCTTTACTCGTAGGCGTGTGGATGGAATCTCGGCTACCAGCGAGTAACATACCGGCCCGATGGTCACGTCATATAAGAAGGTAAAGAGAATGATGAGGGAACCGAGGGACCATGCAATAGCCGGAGAGTCCGGTGCAAGTCCAACACATCCGGCCACGAACATGATGATGGTGCACGCAGCACAGCCCCAGAGGTACAAAGTTCTACGTCCAACCACTCGCATCACAGACCAAGATAGGAGGTTGCCGAGTATGGCCAAGGCATACATCCCAACGGAGAGATCAAAGGCTGCCTCTGTCTGGGGTAGTAAAGTCAGTGGAACAGATACTTATATAGCTTCTACAGCTGTGTCTACTAACGGTGATTCCCGCTTGGAGATAAAAGTAGGTTGCGTACGAGGTCATTGGCAAGCCGCATAGCGTTTGCGTTGTCCAAACCATACAGGTAATCTCTGTCCTACGGAGGTCTCAAAGAGTGTAAGTAGGACTAGTAAAACAACCAAATAAGGACTACCTACCTGTTCCTCTGAAGCAGTCCCGATACGATACACCGGAGCCGAAGTCTTTTTCAACTTGTGTCGTGTGCTTCATTAGCTCAATACTTCCGTCTATATTGAAGTCCCCGTCCCGCTTTGTAAGGCGGGTGAGCGAACGTTTCGCCTGCTCGTAGCGCTCATGGCGAACCAGCCACCAAGGGGACTCTGGAGCGAACATGATCGCAATGGCAAGCGGTACAGCCCACGCCCATTGGAGTCCGAATGGAATCCGGTAGGACCATTCAGAGCTGACGTGTACTGCTCCTCGTAACACTCCCAGTCCGATAAGTTGGCCGATTAGCCAGCATAAGTTAACGCTGGACGTAAGATATGCCCTAAGATGCATCGGGACAACGTCCGCAGCATAGGTAGTCGAAAGAGTCTCACGGATTGTCAGCGGCCTCTATCTTCGGAGACACCGAACAGCAACTCTTGTACATACCTGGAATACACCCCAGGGTAATCCGCAGAGTACTTGTGATGCCATCAGGGTTCCAATATCGAAAGCGAAGAATGCGGGAAATATAAAGAGCGCCAGCGCTACTAGCGAGCCAACAATGGTGTACCGGTAGCCAAACCGTTCCGTTAGGAGGCCGCTAAAGAGCAGGCCCAGGATTTCGCCAATGAAGGCTCCGTTCGTCAACGCGGACTGCCAGGAGGTTGTGATTTCGTATCCGTTCGCAGTCGGAACTCCATACGCCTTTCGAAATGCTGGAAACGCATAGAAGCTGTTGACCAGCACGAGATCATAGCCTTCCATGATAATCGTCATGCTTAATAACATACTCCATCCTATTGCTTTGGGGTACAACTTGAGACCCTCCTTGAACGTCGTCCGATGTTCGGAGCGCGTCGCATCTTTTGCTCCCGTATTCATATGCCTGAGGCCTGGAAAGGATAACAAGTCTTGCATCGAGTGACTGGTGGATTGAATAGGACGTATTGTGGCCTCGGAGGAACCTGTCGGTCGACTACCCCGGTCATCTTCGAATGCTTCTGAGACTGGTTCGATCCGGTGAGTTGACTGAGGGCTAATCGTCACGAATTCGAGTGCTTCCGAAGGGTGCGGTTTTTCTACCATGTTGGCCATGTCATGGCTACTAGCAATCCTTGCAGAAGATGGGTTCAGCTCAGGGTGGTGGTCAATTTGATACTGGACTTGCAACTATATCACTTCCCAAAGGTTCTCTCGAGCTACCATGCCGTGCCTGGGCATGCCAACTACTTGGCGCCACCCCCGCACTGGAAGCAACTCCATAACGGATTACAGCTGTATCCCAAGCCCAATGAACTTAAGTTTAGCGAGAAACTGCGGCTGAAGAAACTTTGATATCCATCGATGTGGGTGGATTCTCGGTGAGACTATCAGGACCGTCAAAGATCGACACGTGACTGTCCCCGAAAATCTCCCCGAAAATCTCCCGCCCAGAATGTGACTGAGGTTCTACGACGTCTTTGAACAGCAATCGACTCGTCCTCGCCAACGCTGCGTTTCTTTGCTCATAACAGACACTGAGCACCGCCTCAGCTCGTCTACGCTTGCAAATGAGAAATTCGGAGTAATCTTCAACCTCTTGCCTTACTCGCACCCCCGCTGTGTTCCATAGCCCGGTGTGAGCCTTTGGTAGCTGCCCGTGAGGGCCTGGCGTGACTTCACGTCTGCACTCGGCATCAGAAATCTCAGGACTCGGACCACTGTCTCCCCTACCGGAGAGCGGCGGTTTGAATCCTATGGGAGCCGGTGCGAAGATTGTGTGCTGTGCGAAAGCATGGTGGTACTTTAGTGCAATACGCGGCGTACTGGACTTCATGCGACTGTCACCCGAGTTGGCATGCGTGAAGAATGGTATCATTCGATTCCGATTACTCTGACGAGGACGACCCGTCATTCCGTAGCAGAGACGCTTCGTAAACCGACATCCGTAGCAGAGACGCTTCGAAAACCTACATCCGAGGGATCAACCTCGTCAAAAATGGCCGCTGGAGTCAACCAGCGTAATCAAAAATCAGCTTTACGATTGCTCGTACCGCCAAGTGGTGTAAAGTGGGAACTTCTTGACCCCTCAAGATGCTGAACCGAGCATATGGTGTACATTATGTAGCTTACATGAACTTTCCACTACTGCATCTCTTTACTTAGCTGCGCTGAGATTCGATTTATGGAATTTTTCTTCCAATATCAGCATGACTCCGATCCGGCTCAGCCTGAGGTCTCTCCAGGTGCTAGATTGTCACAGTGACACACAATTGCGCCACAGAGTATGGCTAAGATTTTTAACACCACGCGGAAACCGCTATCACGGCTCTGCATAGTTCTGCTAGAAGGCTGAACACCTGCTTCATCTAATGACGAAAAGTGATGTCTACCCAATCTAAGACTCTCAACATATGACCGCCATGTCCTAGCTACTCCTCAGACTCTGGATTTCAATCACACCAGGCCACCCTTCCTATCTTCCATCACGGAATGTATCTGAACTCAGGATGCCTATACCCTAGATCCGCCTCCTCCTGATGCGTCATATTCTCCTTCAACCGGTGATCTCGGCCGCCGCGGGCACGCAGCTTGTTCTCGTAAACTATATAAGCGACGCCACCGCATACGAGGACAAAGACGGCGGCTTGGGCGCCTATATTGATGGAGTGGCCAGTGTGGTAGAGAGGAGCGTCGGTGACGATGTAGGTCCATCTGTCGTTGTGCGTTAGCTTGATGGTATTGCGAGACTGTGATGAAGAGGGGATGAGAGGGATGATGATGATGGAGAACGAGGGGCTGCGTTTGCGAGCGAAGAAAGGGAAATCCACTCACGTAGCGACGATCGCGCCTAGCGTGCCGATGGAGACGATGTAGGCGCCTGTTACGGCGCGAACGGCAGGGCCAGCAGAGTCTGGGATCTGGTTAGCTTGCGCTCTGTCCCTGCTAAACGGCAATTGAGCATCGAGTGGTGATACGTACTGTTCAGACCCCAAGCAAGGAAGCCGGGCCCGCCAGGAAACGCGCCGATAGCGGAAAAGAAGACGGCCATATATTTAATGTTGGCAGAACCGGAAGTGCGAAGGATGGCAAAGCCGATGATCGTTAGGATCGAGAAGCCGGCGAGGTAGACACCGCGGAGGCGGGTCTTGTCGCTGATGAAGGCGATGAGGATGGATATGGTGGCGGCACAAACATAGGGAGGCTGGATAAAAACTGTGAGCTTTTGCGGTCCAGGTCGCGGTGTTGTGGGGACTTACGACGGAGTACAGCTGAGCCCTGGTGGCTGTCCATCCAAGATCGTTCAGGATGGTTGGCTAAAACGGGTCAGCGCATCTGTTTACAACGTAATAGAATTGTGAGCGGGGAGGCGAGACGTACCAAGAAAAGGGAGAAGCTCTGCACGGTGATATTGATCAAGAAGAAGCCTCCACAGCAGACTAGGTTGTTTATGTTGAAGACGGCACGCTTGACGTGATGCATTTTGACGTTCTCGTGGGGATTCTGCGGCTCCGTCAGTACGTTGCTTCCGTTGGCTGGGTCATACCTACGGCCTTGTGCTCCCGCACGAGTCTCTCGGCTGCAATCATGCGTTCCCTAGCGTTGAGGAAAAAGCAGTCTTCCGGCCTAGTGGGCATAAAGAAGGGAGCTGCTAAGGATACGAGTACGGTGAACTACGGAACGATTGATTAGCATGTTTGTGATTCGCAGCGGCTACATCGGACCGCCTTCGATGGACAAGAAGAAGACACTGGAGAGAGACGCCAACGGAGGAAAAATGCGTGTATACTGACCAGTCCCTCGAAAAAGAAGATGTTCCGCCACCTATAGATAGGCGTAGCAGCGACGCCCCAGCGTGGTATCGATGATAGCCCAGTGGCTAGCAAACCTCCAAAAGCACCGGCCATGGAACTCCCGGAAACAAAGATACCAATCCGAAAGAGCAACTCCTCTCGGCGGTAGAAGCAGCTCAGGAAGAAGGCGATGCCAGGCATGGTGCCGCCCTCGAAGATGCCCAAGAACGCTCTTGCAACCATTAATTGGCTCCAGCTCTTCACGAAGGCGGTGCATATTGACACGAGCCCAAACCCGCCGACAAGGAACGGAACTGCAGCTGGGGGTTAGGATGTGGCTTGCTGAGAAGGTATGAGTGGACGTACTCCAGAAACGTGGTCCGACCTTCTTCAAGATAATGTTGCTTGGTATTTCAACCCTGGATGAAGGCTTAGTGTTTTGAAATCTGAGACAGATGGCAAGAGTCTTACAGCATGTATGTAACATAGAATATACTCAACGCCCAATTAAAGCGATAGCCTACGAGAGCGAGGTCCTCTCTCATACCCATGATCCTCGCATTTCTACACCGCAGCATGCAAGCATCAGTAACGTTGTACTGGCTGTATGGGAATACGGCACTCCGTTACTGTACGTACCCGATGTTGGCTCTAGTGTTCCATCAGCAAAATGTTCCAAGGGTATACTGAAGGGGGCGAATCCTTGTACCTGTCAATGAAACACAGTAGATACAGCAGCGTCACCACAGGGACAATGCGATAGTCTAGCTTCCGTCTGACAGCCTTCTCTTCCTCCGGAGTCCATTCGGGCTCGGGCTCAGCATACGACTTGACTGGCACAACCTCATCGCCGTGGAGGTGGAAGTGCTTGAATTCGGTCTCCTCCATTTTTAACAGGTAAGCACGTAAGTTTCCCCGGATCTACGAAAAGCTGGAGATTCGAGAATGTGGGGGTGAGGACTGGGGCGACAATCGCTTTTATTGTACTGAAGGTTACCACGACGTCTGTGGATTAGAGAGGCGTGGACATACTCTACGTTCGGCAGGAAGCACCGGCAGTTGCATCTTAACGTCCTTCGCGTGCGCATCACTGTCGGCTTCCACCAACTGGAACGCCCAGAGCAGAGGTTGGCTGGATGACGATACCCTGGACGCGGCCGCTATTGGCGGTTGGAAACATGGGGCGAAAGAAGAAGTAACATCCATGTCTGTGGGGAAGCGTACCTATCTTTGGGGGTTTACCCTGCGTTTTCTATATAATTTTCATGTCATCCTTCATGGCGATGGATACATATCTATCAGTTTGCGCGGGCTTGAAGCGTCTCATTCAATCGAACTGCCTCTAGGATTGGGGTCGAGGCATTTGACACTTGGAGTGATGTCTGATGGTTGTGAGGCCGCTACTGCGCCGCATCCGCCTGTTCGGGTCAACAGCATGCGGACGGCAGTTGGACAGCGGCTAACCACGCCGTGAGTGATTGGTGAACTCCACAATGCAGGAGGAGTCTGTAGATCTCCGTATCGAAGATCGCAACCTCGTACCTAGGCACGTCGTGGCCAAAATAACGCCGACTCCAAGGCTCAAAAGCATAGAAATTCAACCCCTTACCACCGATTGAACATCACTAAATCTGGTCTGCATAGCCGATTATAAGCTTTATAGAGTGCTTTCTATGTTTCTTAATCACACAAGCGAGCTGGCATTGATCTAGAGAAACTTCGCACCAGTGTCGAAACGTGATGTTCATGGTTGGAGTCGGGGTATTTTTTGGCCACGACGTGCTAGGTAGGAATAAATGCAGCGATTCGATGTTAAATCACCATCGAGATGGCGGAGGAGCGGCGGAAGAGCCGGCGGAAGGCGGATACGTATCTGCGCTGCTTCATCCTGGAAAAGCACCAGCTATTTTGATATCGTGGGTTTGGCTATCTCAAGTCCATATCTTAGGCTTCTAGATGTTTGCAGAGGTAACAGTCTGTCAGCCATGACGAGAGCTTGACAATCAATAGGAAATACGCCAGTCGCAATCAACTCGATCCAACGTCATTCGGCCAAATCTGACGCAACCCATTAGGTTCAAGAACATGATACGGTGTCTGATTAAAACATGATGCATGGAGTGCATGCTTATCTGCCCATCATGCAGCACTCGTGAACCACGAGCAGCGCGTATACATATGCCACGTGATCAAGACCGCAAGTACATAGTCCAAGTTCAAGGCGAGTACTCACAAGGTATACATGCCCGAGAAGCCGGCCGCCCTTTGACTTCTCGCAGCCGCAACCTGTCAAGCGGAGCTGCATGTCACAAACATGCCGCAACACCTTGTCCAAATCTCCAAATCTTCAAATCCCCACATCTCATTCCCCGCGACCCCACAATCTCTTCCCCACACTCCAATGCCCGGGCAATGCCCAACTCCCAGTCCCCCAATACCCAATGCACAATGCCTTCCAGCCCATCATCCCTACCGCCAACCCGCCCTCCCCTTCCCCTTCTGAAACCCTCCCTCCCTCCTCTGATCCCACCCCCTCCCCGGCGGCCCCTCCCTCCCCGCCTCCTTGAACCTCTGGTACTCCCCCATCCACACCTGTCCCAGTCTCTCCAAATCTTCCACCGCGCCCTCCACCCCCCTCGTCCAGACCCACAACCCCGCTACCGCCAGCGCACCCCAAAACGCCAGCCTTACCGCCAGCCGCACCCAGAAGAGCAGTGCCCGCGCCGCCGTGTCCAGGATCTTGATGCCCAGGAAGAGCAGCGCCAGCAGCAGCAGGATGGAGGTCAGGTCCGGGTTTGTGGTTACGCGGGTTAGGAGGGGCGAGAGGGTGCTGGAGAGCGTGTCGCGCAGGGTGTAGAGGGGTTTTAGGTAGGCGGGCGTGTAGTAGCCTAGGAGGTGGTATGTCCAGGCTGCGGTGGAGTTTTAGCTAGAGTCTGGTAATGGGGAGCTGCGATGGGGTTTCACGGGTGGAGGGGAGGTGTTTCTGGGGGTTGCGTACTTTGCAACAGGTCCATGGTGTGGAAGGTGGTGTGTGTGGGGGTACGAGTGCACCGGTAGCTTTTTGCGCGCGCTGGAACGCTGCTTGGGTGATTGAGAATTATGCGGGAGGATTTGCTGATAGAGATGATTTAAAGAGCACTGTCAGTTGCCACGGTGTCGGATTCTAGAGGCAGCGACGTATTCCATCGGGCAGTCTGGCTGTGAAACAGTTTCGCGTGTTGCGACATGTGAGACGCGCTGGCGCAAAGCGGTCTCGGCTGCCGACATTGAGCTCTGTTCAAGCAACAACACACCTCTCAGGTATCAACGCGAACTTCTGGGCTGTACGTGTACTGTTCGTCATGTCAAGCCTACAGAGATCCACAATGTATGGAATAGAGAGTGAAAGCGATATAATTATCGATTAACTGTGTATCTCCCCCATTTCTCCTCTCCCTTCCCCTTCCCTATGCCATGTGCCTATTCGCCAGACAGCCCGCCCCAGCCCAGCCCAGCCCATGAGTTGTGGTGGATACTGTCCATCCAGATGGCAGTTCTCACCACGTCCGTAACCCAGCCTTCCGCCGTCCCAAACGTGCAAAAAGAAGCTAAACGCCTGGAGTGGAGAAGGATGCAACAAATTCCTTGCGCGCGTGAACGGAAAGGCACACACAGTAACGTGGGGTATATACTGATGCTGGGCAGTCAACAAACGGAATGGAAAGGAACACCGAGGACCAGTCGGTGGAAGGAGACTATGCCATGCTAGGCCGCCGCTGTGTCAACATGTATGCCGCGAAATGGCTAGAACGAAAGAGCGAGATCAGCGCACGAAACTAAATGCCAGGCTGTTGGTCAGACGAAGACGATGAGCGTGTTCGAAAAGTGAAACGTGCCAATTTGAATCGCTGAGCTGTTGCTTGCCGACCGCGAAGAAGGTGGCAAAGAAGGCACTGGTGTTAAGGTAAAGCAGAAAGCCGACATATCTCGAACCAGACTAAGCCAAAAGCCAAGCACGACTTCCTCCATGCAGATACTTGGAAGGGAAAAATCCAGCAAATCCAAAATAACAGGAAAACAACAGAAGCGTGAGGGAAACCCCAGCCATATAGCCAGTCCAGCCAGCAACGCTTCGACTGAGCTCAACTCAAGTGACTCCCTCAATGCCCTTCATGTGGAACAAACATCAACTTCCGAAGTCAAAGCGTCTGTTGTCTTGCTATTCACCTAGAAGGAAGACGCACGTGGAAATAGCCATAGCATCCTCAGTTGGGGAGAAGCAGGATCAAGGGGTTGTCCCCAAACCCTCACAACCCCGTCTTCCTCAAAATCCCTGCCAGCCTTGCTGCTGCTGCTGCTGCTGCTGCTGCTGCTGCTGCTGCTGTTGTTGCCCCTGCCCCTGCGGTGGAGACTGCGCCCAACCCTGCATTCCTGGCTGCTGACCTGCAGCGCTTTGATGCATAACATTGTACTGTTGCGTCGGACTCGGCTGGTAAAGAGTCCTTCCCATGCCCGGATATGCAGCAGCCGGATTGATTTGACCTATCGTCTGGTACTGAATCGGCGGGCCGTGCATCGAGCCGCTGCTGTGCGAGTGGTGGAGCTGCGGCGGTGGAGCGTGCATCGGAGACTGCTGAGGATGTGCATGCGGAGACGGCTGCTGGGCGTATTGTTGCTGGAGCCCATGGTGCGGCTGTGGAAGGGGGGATGGCTGGGGCTGAGGAGGTGGCCACATCTGATTCGGCGGGTAACCATACGAGGCTGGTTGAGGTCCGCCTGGGCCTAAACCGAGGCTTGGTGATCGGTGATGGAGCTGGTCGGGTCGCATCGGTTGTTGCATGGAGCGGATCGGTGATTGAGGAATCGGGTTCGGTGCGTGCGGCTGCTGCGGGTACGCTTGAGGCGTCATCATCTGCGAAGGCGTTTGCTGGTGCGGGATGGCGTTTTGCTGTGAACCGCCCATTGACGCACTGGAAGCGAGCTGCGGCGACTGGAGATGCTGCTGCGGGGGTTGATTCTCGCCCTCCATGGTTCCCGGCCGCGGTGGCAGCGTGGCAGGCGCTTCGTGCGGTCGCTTCCAGAGGCCTTCGAGGTAGACGCCACGATTGGTTCTCTGCTGTCCAAGAAGCTTATTGAAATCCGCCGTTTGTGCAGCTTGCGTAAGGATCTCTTGTGCTGTACTCGACTGCGTCCGATCCTGGTACGGTATGCCAGCAATCTCGTGCCTCGGTCGCTGGACGCCGCTATAGTCCCTCTGCCGTAGATCGTCTGTTGGAGCGAGGTTGATCATCGGGAGGGGGGCCAAAGTTATGGGATTAAACCCACCGACTCCATGGTGAGCGTCCAAGTGCGCGGGTCCATTACTGTAGATGATTTCGCCATGCGGTAAGGAAGTTAGGCCATGGACGCTGCTCGCCTCCGCCGCCGCCGCCTCCCTTTGTTTTGCCGCCCCTGGTCGTTTCTCTCCTGCTGCGTCTTCCTCAGTAAAACCCTGTTTCCGCGCCTTGCTTTCCCAGTAGTCGTCTCGCACCCGCCTGCCGTTGACGATTAACCTACTTCCAAACTGCCGAAACATCGAGCGCGCTGTAACGATGGCGATCTGTCGAGACCTATAAGAATATGGGAGTATCTCCTGATGGATCAAATCATCCTTCTCTGCTTGGGTTGCGATAATCTTGTACAAAGACCGGTTCTTGTTGAAGAGTAGGTACGAGTCGCGATATCCGAGAACGCGCGCGCACTCTGTGGCAAGCATAAAAAGCTTGTCTCCTCGGTTCGGTACCAGGAAGGTGCGACACCGGTACTCTCTCCCGTCCAATGGGCGCCCGTTAGCGGCGACTTTCTTTTCTCCCGCCTCGTCATATTCCCGCGGTATGTACTCGTCTCCTTCCGGGTTCAGTTGATCTGTTGTGTGGTCCCTGACGGTTGGGAGCGCTTTGATAACGGCGCTCTTTGTCGGCGTCGACTTTGATGGCGAAGCCTGGGAAGGTGATGATTGCGGTAGAGCTTGTGTTCTTAACTGCGGAGTTTGGACTGGTGCTGATGCCGGTGCCGGTGCCGATATAGGCTGTGCCGATGAAAGCGGGCTCTCCGAGACTCTTGACTTGGGCGGCCGACCTCGCTTCCGCGGCTTTGACTCGTCTGTGGAAGATGATTAGCTATCCATGGCCCGTAACGCGCCCATAAAACACAATGCGCTCCAACAACCAGCGCTTCGACAAAGACTAGCCAACTAACCTTCGTCACCGCGCTCGCTAGACGCGACGTCTCCATAGGCCTCAGGTGAACGGCTTCGCTTGATACCGCGCGGAGTCTGTTGCGGCGCAATCGTGTTCGTTGGATTCGGGTGAACTACAAGTTGAGTCGTTCGTCAGCGCATGTCCGCGAGTCGGAAAGGTACGGCGGGTGTAACATATGTAACGACGCGCAGATGGGGGAGAGGTTCAGCGCATAAGGCCGCACCGGACGGGAGAGATTTGTTGAATGCCGTACTGGAAGGATTTAATGCCGCTGGATTTATCGTGCCTGAGCCGTCCATAATGCCGCTCCGAAGCCCACCACCGTACAACGAGCTCGAGAATGAAGGTGTTAAGATTGTATACATTCAAGGCGAGGACGAGGCCGTGTTCTGAAGTTGTCGCGCGCGGAGAGATGTCGTGCGCGGGACTCGTCACGGACTGGCCGTGGATAGTCTTTGGCTCTTCACGAGGCGATACAATGGAGAGCAATATCCTCGTACGATGGCATGCGACTTGGCAGTGTCGTAGGGTTCGTGACGCCGTAGATGAGGCGCGGCGCAAGGCGGGCTGGCTGGCGATGGCTGCACAATCCCGGGTAGTCTGACAGGGTAGACAGGCGGAGAATATGGTCGAGATCTCAAGCACGGATCCTGTGTTCCCGTGTTGATGGAAAGCAATGCGATGCGCTGCGATGCGCTGCGGTGCGTGGTGGCGGGATGCACGTCGTGCCCTCGCGGGTGGGCGCGCGTTGGTGAGGACGGTTTGCTGGGTCGCAGACGATGCAAGCGATGCAGGCGATGCAGGCTGGGCCAGCGGAGGCCAATGCAAGAGGCAGATATGTAGACGTAAATCTGGCGAATGATTTAGTAGTGAATCATGTCAGGAGCGATCTCCGACACGCGGTTGGACGGCGCGCAAATCAAGAAAGTGGAAATCGGCCTCGTACAGGGATGACTAAGCTAGCACGGGTCTATCGCTGGGAGACAAGGACAAGAGACGTCAAGACGTGAGCCACAAGGTCAAGATGGGGTCCCACACGGTCGAGCGCCGCGGTTAACTAGCCTGGCGGCCGAATGAGATGCAAGATCGGCCCCCGTGATTAAGGTTGCGGCGGGTCGATCTCCAAGGAGCAGGTGGGATGCCTTCCAGGCGGGATGCCGTCCAGGTTGAGCCCGGGGAGGGGAGGTTGTCGACTCGGTCGCGTTTGTGGCAGAGGTCGCTCAGTGAGTGGGCGGATGCCGGATGAGCAACCACCAGGCCTGCGGCTGGCTTCTGCAGCCAAGCTGCGCGTTCACCGAAAAACCGGGGGTGTTTGGCCGCCCCAGACCTCGAGCTGCGGCTACTTCGGACGGCTGCTTGCGGAGGGCCCCGTGGGGAGAGCTCGAACGGCGGGAGGGTGGTCTGGGAGCGATGGAGCCGAACGGGTGCTACGGGCTCTAGCGAGCTAATGACACGGTCTGGAGCTCGAAAACAAGCCAGCCACAGCAGCGCTGGGGGTTCGAAGGGGTGTTCCAAACAGCGCGCGCGATGTGGTCCAGGAAAGGGAGCTCTTAAGGGCTCGAATACCACAGTTCAGCTACGGTCGCCTGGGAATGACATGCATGCCGCCGCCGCCGCCGCCGCCGTCGTATCGGATGTCTCCAGTCGCTCGCCTCTTCGTCTTGTCTGCTGGACGAGACAGCTGGTTGACGCGTCTTGACGCTTGCCTATCTTGCCGGTCTACCAACCATGGACCAAGCAAACGCATGGGGTTTCCAGCCGTCGCGGCCTCTGATTGATGGAAAGGGGGGTTCAAAGTGAGGGGTCGAGGGAGTCGAGAATCATGACTACAAGGGTCAGCCCTGTGTGGGCTACCCGCCCTCCCGACTACATGAAGCCAATAGCATAACATCGTTGAGTCACGATAGTGCCTGAGTGGTTCGCTTCGAAGCGGGAAGCAGGGAGAGCGAGTAGACCGCACAAGGCTGGCCCTTGCACCTCTTCGGCGTCTTGCAGCCGAGGGGCGCATGAGCGCGGCCGACAGGCATGCCGTTAGCTCATTCATGGATAAGCCAGCCTGATTTGCAGAGGAGTTGTTGCTGGAAATAGACTAATGGGACATTTGTGGGCGATGGTTTTGTGGGGTATGGAGATGCTTGATCATAGATGCCCTTCGTCCACCAGATAGCGTAGGATTGCTAGGATGGATAGACATTCTTCTATTTCCGCGAATCAACGTAATCTTTCAACCTGGGAGCTAATCAAGTCCATATCTATCATGTGGGAACTGGGCACAAAGTAAGATGGGGAAGATGAACAGTCCTTCGTCGTGTGCAATAGCGAAGCGCTGCGAAGCTTCCTTGGCAATATCGCTCTGCCCACAGCTTCTGGCTGAAGGGAGCGGTAAGGTAGAGCCGCCCGCGGCTTAACTTGCCTCCTTATCATGAGAGTTGGATGATCCACTCCTTCCTCGCCTCCACGCCTCGGTGAACGCCGGAGGCTTCCGGCGGAGAGAGCGATCCGTGCTCAATCTCACGATGTTCTTCCCAGCGCTCCTTTGAAAGGGGACTAGGCGCAGTTCCCAGACGCTACGAAGAACGCCAATCTGCCAGATCTCCGAATCTGCCAGAATCGTACGGTTAGTTCCCGGCGCCAGCGCCGGCCCCGCTGCGGCTGCAAGCTTGGCCTTCAAGCAATGGAACAAAAGAGGAAATTCGCTCTACTGACGGATACGAGGAGACTTGTAGAGAGGTGCCATGTACCTTGAGCCATGGAGAGCATCGCAGCCTCTGACGCTAGTGAGACGCCGTAGTCCTTTGGATTTAGCGTCTCTAAGTTTCTTACGATTGAGTGTGTTTGCGGCGTTGTACGGTCAGCGCAAGCAACGCCCTCCGCAGCGCAGACGTGCCGATACTGCGGGTAAATCCGCCTTGCATGTCCTGCAACAGCTTGCCTCGACGCCTCATACCTTGCGCTAAGCGCAGGAAATCCTGTTTGTGCCCCATGAGTGATGTCTTGGAGGAAAACATTGTCAGATGGCCTGTCCAGGGTTCCGCTGCCGACCAATTAGCGCTTCTAGCCCAACACCACCTACTTGTGCTTTGAGGATATTGCGGCTCTACACTAGCGGACAAGCTTCTTCTGATACCAGTGGAAGAGGTTGCGAGAAGAGCCCCTAAAACGCCCTGTGGGTCCCACGAGCTCGTGCGACCTTGATCGGATGCGGCGCAGGCTATCAATACGAAGCTCAGAAGACGCTGTCTGAACTAGATATCGAGCGGTCGTTGATAAGTCCACATTACGGGGTAATCGTACGTTCGTCCATGGTTGCCATTGGATGAAGATTAATCACGGCCGTCTAAACCTACCGCCCAATATGGATTTTCCTCGTGGAGAGATGCCTCGCGTCTAGTATGAGTCCATCAAGCCACGAACAATGGCTTCGATGAACTGTACTATTATTTGGTTCACGGCCATCTGTCGTATGGACCCGCATTCCTATGGCGATAAGCAGGTGCGTACGATAGATGACCACGGAAGAGATGATTGATTGTCCACGGCTGTGGGTCCTCGTCAGCATGTCCATTGTTCTCGGCAGTGAACGGGTCACGCCGCGATGTTGACTTGCCCGCTTGGGAGCCGATTTCCCGGGCTCGACGTGAGCCCGTTTTGGATAGAAGTCTGAGCTTTGTGTTCGAAACCATGTAACCAGCCAGTAGTGGGATCCGCCAACAGTGCACCACGGAGCTTGTCAAGGGAGAGGGCAACAGGATAGATGCACCTGGACGAAGGAACCTGTGACTTGCCTTGGCCGGACGGTGCAGCATGCCTCATGCAATGGTTGCTGCTTAGTACCGGCTGAGAAGGTTGTGGGCGGTAGCCTAGCGACCGACTAAGAACACAATAAGTTGTAAGAAAAAGTTTCCGGATCCCTGGTCCTGGTTTAGTGACCGCATCTCAGGCAGCATCTCCACGCAGCAAGTACGTCGCACAACTTCGGCGGTGTGTTAGAGGCTAGTGGGTAGGAGTAGGACTGTGTAACTGGTCTAGCGTCCGGTTACTGAGTGAGACCAAGGAGCAACACCGGTCGCTCGGCAAAGGCTCGGTTCACTACGCTTTAACTCCATGGAAACTTTCTCCCAGTGGCGGAGAAAGGATGCAAGCAAGCCCTCACCGCTAATACCTCTTCACATGAAGTGTATGCGGTGTCTGCAGAGCTGCAGTTACAATCATCACATACCCTTCAAGCGGAGGGGCGTTAATGGCGAGGGCCTGTATGTATGGAGGCTAAGCACCGACTGTCGATGCGAGATGTAACATAGTGAAGCCCTTGTTCACAAAGAGCCGGTGCAGCATGCGCGCACGCATGAACTGCAGTCCCTTGATTATTGCTGATCGATGCCGCAGATCTTCTGACGTGGATACCACAAAGTCCCTCTTTTGATCTTTATACACTATACACAATAGATTGCGTCTCTAGTATCCGGCTGGACTCGCTGTCGCTGAGAGGTGGTAGGACTGTATCGGCGGCGCTGGGAGAAGGAAGCGTTGCAGCTTAGACGAGAAAGTGCAAGTGCGATGGCGTGAGGCTGCTGGAGCTTGAGTGCTTAATAGCGTGAGCGGTGCGCGAATGAAGCTGAACGTGCTGCTGGCGTGCTGGATTAGCTACAAGAGATGAAGCAGGTCTGGATGCGCTCAGACGTGTGGGTTGTTTTAGATAGACGGGGCACCGTGACAGGACTGGTCTGAGAAGCGCGCTGCTAATGCTGGACGCCGCGCTGGCTTTGTGACCTCTCTGTGTTGACTTGGGCTCGAACGGAAAGGCGAGCGACGCGTAGAGAGCTGAGGTGTTGTAGCGCGTCACCAGGGTGGTCGTCAGGCCGCCAGCCCTCGTCCGGGCCCTTTAAGCGGTCGGACGAGGTTTAAAAGAATCACTAGGCGGGCCGCCTTAGACGAAGATACCTAGACAGCCCGCCGGATGGCATGATAAGGTCGGGTTACCTAAAAAGGCAATCCATAAGCTTAGCGTGGTGTTTTGAATCTACAAGGGTCTTGGCGCGATGCCTTGACGCCCTACTAATCACGTGATAATTATATCGGATCGGATTAGCACATATTCCACCTAAGTAATTGAGAGATTATACCTCACCGCTATGCTAAGACCCTACCTCGTCCACCCTCGTCGACTCCGTCCGCCGGCTATATAGGGGCGGGCGGGCGATGTCTGACCTCCCTTCCCATACGGGCGGCCTTGGACGAGGTTGGACCGCCCGCCCGTCCTTACCTCGTCGGGCGGGCTAATGACCACCCTGCGCGTCACGCGATGCGGTGTGAGAGTTGTGAAGGCGCGCGGTCTGGCAGTGTAATGAAAGAACGAAAGGTGAAGCAATGGCTGGCTGGATGGGGACTGACGATGAAACAACGGTCACGTGAAGTTGGTCACAATGCCAGGCCTTTGAACTCTATGAAAGAGTCAGGTATGTCCGAAGATGTGAAAGCATGACAAGTTGGGGTACTTGAACACTCCGCCTCTGCCTGCACGACTGTTGCCGCATGTGTCCTCCTATCACGACGCCGAAGATGCTCGGCCGCTGTGAAAATTGGGCATGCAGTCGGTATGAGAACATGCGTAAGGCCTCGGCTCTGGGAGCTGATACAGCAGGCTACTCGTCTCCACCCTTTTGTTACAATGCCCCTCGTATCCTCGAAGTTCCTTGTGAATGTATTGGCACCCGCGGTTGGCATCTCCAACATATGCGCCCCTGCCCTACAACCGCCTTCCTTTGATTGGCGATGACTGGTGAATACGGATTGATGTGGATGCCCACGTCGGCGGCATTATCGTAAGGAACGGTAGGGACCTCTGGGACTTGTGTAGGTGGATGCTGGCGTGGGTCGAAGTTGCAAGACCTTAAGTGATGGTGATGATCGCCCTGATCGCGAGTGGTGAAAATGCATCCATAGATAGCGTGCTTGCCACCTATGATAGGTCCATCTAGTAAGCCGTGGATAAGAAGCAAATTGACTGGATCGGCGACGTTGCGATCTGGATTCAGAAGAGGTCCGAGCCGAACCACTTTATGATTGTTGTGGTTCCCCCTACACAACAAAGTAAGTTGGTAACTGTTGTAGAGCGAGAGGAGTACTACTAACTTCTTGGCCTTTTCGGCTTTCAGTGTCACGTAAGCAACCAGATTCTCTGCCTTACTGCCACCATCAAGCAACAGCAAGATGTACTTCCACTGTAGGTACTCGCCGCCTACATAATCTGTACTGCATAAATATGGCCACCCTGACAGGCAAGCGCGGCAATGAGCGCGGTCGGTAATAGCACCTGGATTGCTATGTCCCAATGGCACCGTAGTTGTCGATCCAACTCGACCTGGATGTACCGCTGGCTCATCTCGAGAATGACTGTGAAACCAATCCAACCCTGGGGTGTCCACCTTCCAGTGAGGAGCTTGCCTTCTTTGACCTTCTTATTGAAGAACCTGGCTGTGCGCTCGTAGTCATAGGCAGTGAGTCTGAATGTGGCGTGCTCAATTGCAAGACGAGACCGAAGTGCGAGGACCGCGCCCCCATGAGTTACTCGGAATGATGCGGAGTTGCCATCTATACGCGGTTCTGAGCAGCTGAGAGCGGCATTGAGGCACTGAATTGTATTTTCCCCAGTTGGGACATTCTCTGGTCTACGAATATCAGTCAAGGTAATGCTAGAAGAGGAGGACTGAATGAACGAACCTTCCCTTGCAGATATTGTAGTAGTACACATTGAACTGATTGCCCCAATGGCCATATTTTCGTTGAGCACTCGGGGATGTTGCTGTGTGGATAAGGTGTTCTGTCACTTCATTTGCCTTTCTTCTTGGCTCTGCTTGTCGAGCGAGCATAAGCCGGACGCCAACCAGGGGAATGCTACGGTGTCCTCCTGGTTGTATTCCCTGAATTGGACTCCCATGGAGCGGCCGCGTCTATTAACGACTGTGAGCGGAGGTAATGACCGAAGGGTCTAAGGATGCACGCACATGACAGAAGTCGCCGATCTCCAAAATCACCGAGATTTCTCATCTTCACTGTGATTCCAAAAATCTCTTGGTGTAATCGTTTCACCTCTAGTTGTAGCTTGAATATGCTTACAAGGCCATATAGGTTGCCTTACATCCAGGCCTATAACTTAGCTCTATCATCATGTTTAGCGATGAAGACCTTCAATCGAAAGTCGACGCAAGCCCTACCAGTTCGTAGCCGATTTTGGAACTACGCACTCAGTAGCTACTTGCATACTTTCAGCTAACGCAACTGTTAGGAATACTGGCACGCCGGAGTTGTTCAGCGCTTACGGAAAACCTGTAGCATGATCCAGAGCCCGATCTTGAACGCCCCCACACCTGTATAACCCATGCAACACGAAGCGTACCCACAGCCCATCATCTCCTTGGCCCAGATGGCGCGAGACCGGGAACGTTCGAATACCGCTCGTCGCGCTCGGTCTTGAACAAGACTTGAATCCAGAACTCCTTGCTATCCTCATCGAACCACGTCCAGAACCTTCCCTCTCTCCTATCCACCTCACGCGCCTGCAGCTTAAATCCACACGTCTCGTACGGTTCCGCCGCCACCAGCAGATACTGGAACGTTTTGTCCGGAGGGTCGTCCACCTTCTGCTCGAATGCACTCATGAAGCGCACGCGCGGAACCACACCAGGCGTAATCTCCGGATATTGCAACTGGAAGAGCAATCCGTTTTGCCGCGTGAGCGGATCCCGCACTTTCGTGATCTTATACCCCGGCCGTCCTATCTTGACCACATTTCTGCGCACCTGTACGCCCTGTCCGATACCCGGCAGCAAGCCCTCCCTATCCCTGCCCTCTTTTGCCTCCCGCGCCGCGCGCCGAGCGAGATTCGTCTGATGCTTGCGACCTTGGGTGTGTGCGAGATAGGAGCCGTCGTTCTGGTGGACTGTTAAGCAGAGGCGACACTCGAAGCTGCCGACGTGGTTCTTGAAGAAGTAGGGGTCTTTGTCGAGGTCGATGGTTTCGAGGGCGAGTTTTCGAAGGCGTTCGCGCCGGTCTGCGTTCGTTGAAGACTGGGAAGCTACACCACCGCCTCCGAATTTGGAGCCTGCACGGTTCTGGGTTGCGCGTTAGAGCATGGCTAAGGTACTGCTGGTTCTGAGTGACTTACCTGGTAGTCCATAGCTGCTCACAGTCGTGTTACTCCGCTAAGTGGGACACCGAGAGGATAGCCGTATCGTTTGAAATGCCTAGAGGGGATCAGGATACGTGATGTTCCGTCTTTCCACGTATGGGAGGATATTGTTGCCCGTGAAATATTGAGGCTAAGGCTGGCCGCCGAACCTAGATGGCACGGGTGGACATGTGTGGCTTACTCAGCCCTGAGGTTTCATCACGTGACAGTGACCTGAGCAGTGATGGCAAGATGTTGTGAGTATCTGAATGTCATGGCATTGGACTGGTCCATTCGATCATTACCAAATCCAGAACTGCTGCGCCAGCATTAAGAAGCCACAAGCGTAGAAGTTGCCATATAGCCGGTACAGGCGCCATAACGACAACAAGATGGGTACTGCACGTCGCCCATTACGCTTGTTGAAGCGGAGTAAGATATCGTCCCTCCGATACCCATTACAGCTTCGACTCGTTGCCTTTCGCCCCCTTGACCTCCCCATCAACACTAATAGCCCAGTCAGCCTTGTTGTAGCTCTTTGGCCAAATTCCATTCTTCCCCGGCGCCAGAACGCCCTTCGGGTCAAGCGCATTCTTGATAGTCTCATTGAGCTTCATCTGCGCGTTGTCATTGAAATTGTAGGTTCCCGCAATCTGATCCATGAGTGCCAGGTGCGTCCTATACTCTCCCCACCCCCTCTTCGCACAATCGTCCACCAGTGTCCTGATCAGCCAGTGCGCTCTCTTCCTCGAACTCGGGTCTTCGCGGTTAAACACGATGCAGACGATGTGGTGCATCTCTCTCATGCCGACAACAAAGGTGCCAATAAAGTCGAGTCCCGCTTCGCGGCAGCGTGCGGCCGTGATATCATACTGCGCCATTGCGTCCGCGCCGGAGATCTTGGCGATGGGTGAAAAGAAGAGGTGGGCGCCGTTGGGGAGCCAGTCGACCCATCTCAGTTCATCGAGGGAGGGGATGCCTTGGAGGGTGTTGGAACGGGTCTTGAGGACGCTGCGGGGCTCGTTCCTGTCCTCGGGCAGATAGAATCTCGTTCCAGGTATGCTAAGGTATGAATCCTTTATGACGCTCAGAAGGACACTGCGTACGGGTTCAGGGCCGTAGACGGCGCCGTAGAAGTTCCAGCGACCAAGGTCAAGCTTTTTGGCGATGGCGTCGAGGTCGTCTTCCGTAAGTGGTTTGTCGGAGTCGGAGTAGGTAGATTTGGGGCCGTAGACTGCGGCGTCAAGGAGGATGTGCCGGAAAGTCGGGACATTCTGGAGAACCATGCCCACGCGGAGGGGCTTGGTGAGGTCGAGCGCTGCGGAGAGGGCGGCGTCGCTTGGGAGGGTGATCATGTACGCTTGGTATCCTCCAGGGTTGGGCATCAGCCATATCCCCATCTTTACCACGATTCCGAGGCTGCTTTGGGTGAAGATGCCGTCATTGTAGGGGCCGAAGCCATAGTTGAACAACTGCCATGCTCGGTTGGGCGGTTGTTGGTCTGGTCTCATTCGCTGTATCGATGGGTCATCTGAGTCCGGCATAGCCCCCATACCAGTCCTGATGAGCTCTCCGCTGGGCAGGACAACTTCTAGCCCGCAGTGCATCATCCAATGATCCCTCGTGGACATGTTAGTATAAAATGAGATGTTGAAGTGGAACTATATGGAACCATACCCGTACGGTGTGTAGCCAACACCACGCTCTACCGCGTTACCGATGATGGAGCCTCCTCCCAGATCAGGAACATCTAGCCACACACGATCGCGGAGCTTGTGCTTCTCCAGGTACTGATGTAATCCCATAAAGGTGACACCTGGCTCCACTAGCGCAGTTGCGTCGTCGACGTTGACATCGAGAATCTTGTTCATATGCACCCCCAGATCCATGGCAATACTGCCCGGCACTCGAGGTGCCGCACCGCCGTATCCCGTGTTCCTACCGATCGAGTACGGCCATACCGGCACCTCGAACTCGTTGCACAGTCGCATAAGCGCTTGCACTTCCGGCACTTCGCGGGGGAAGATTACGGCCGAGGCGACGAAGTAGTCCTTCTCGAGTACCGCGTGCATGTCGTGGCCTTTGCATGGGTCCATATATGAGCCGTCGTGGAGAGGGTCCGACTTTTCAATTATGCGAACATTTTCTGCGCCGCAGATATCATGGGCTCTGGTAACGAACCTGGAGAACTGGTCGAGAGACATGCCAGGAGGCAGCCGCATTGGGCGAGGCACAGAAGCCATCTTACCGGCAGCGATACGCACAAGCTGTCTACACTTGCGTAATTTTTGATATTTAGGGAATGAGGAATTAATGGGCTGAAGAAGGATAAGAAGAGCGAAGGAAGAAGGCGAGATGAAAGGCACCGGAAGGTCTGATCCACAACTTACTAGGAGAACGGTACGTGTAAATAGAGTATTACAGCGCGTCTAGGGAAAGCCACAACTGATGCGCGTCGAATGATTCATACCGGAACGCAAGCCGTGAGGACCGTCTTCCGATGCTCCCCGCATGAGGCATTCCCCAACATCCTGTCCGCAGCCCCGCGGCGGGATGCAGGGGGTCGTTCGATGCCAGCACCCCGCTTCTGATATATCACGTGACCAGACTGCCAACACCCGTCCGGTAACATGCATCGCTTGTTGCTTGAGACGCGACACGTCCTTGAGTACGTGAACGTAGATGGCGTCGCGAAGCTCCTGCGGTAGCTTGAGGAAGGATAGCATCGTTGGGTATCTTGTGGATAGAAAGGATTCGATCATGGAGTTTCGACATCAACGGGAACTGATGCTACCGGACCTTGTCTACACTCACGTCATGCGGCTCCCATGGGGCATAACACCAACGCGTGCACACCACCAGTACTCAAGTGCCTGTTGACAGACATTGGGGGATCTCGTCCAGACCTATTTGCGAGCTAGGTCGGGTAGCCACTAGGAAGAACCGGCATGGCCTGACTTGGTGTTCTGCATCAGTGGACTTCGTGCGCTTATGACATCGAGTGAGGTGGACAAGGATGGCCTAATGTATGTAGGAGTACAATGCGAGAAGGGTTTGGAGTCGCAAAAGCCTAGGTGCCCGATAGCCCTAAGCTCCACCACAGGCTTATTCGTCCGCTTGGGGTTCCTCGAGCATCAGAGATTCCGGGCAGGTAATCCAAACGTGAACCGCTAGCTGATGGAAGACCATTGGAGCTTTCGTGGATGATTTGGTATTGCTTCGCTTACACAGTACACGGAGTGCACTATATGTTACCTTCCGTATGTCAAACGGAGGAATGCAAGGGAAAGGCGATAGACATCGGGTTCACATCGTACGGAAATAAACATACCTACCTAGCTGGAGCCGCAACGCAGGGGAGGCATGACTAGCGCATCTGGCACCGAGCGTTCTGGCCCGCCGTCCCAGATATCCCTGCAGAGTCACTACTACCTTCAGACGACCACAAGAAATCGAGAATTGCTGATGGCCTTCTTCCGGCACGTTTCGTCCTTGAGACTGACGCCGTTGCCAGTTCTCTGTGTGAAGACTTCCCCGTCCCGTACGCCTCAGGTCGAATCTTAAGTACCCGTTCGCGACTCGCGGCCACTAAAAGCTCGCCAACAACACCCTCAAGAGTTCCCCTCGCCCTCATCTCTACGGCTCGATCTCTCTCGGTACATATCATAGGCGGTGGCGCCGACGCTTGCCGGGGAACGCAACGAAATACATTCATTGTTCTTGAAGCCAATGCGTGGCTATCGTACCGCAAGCTCGAGCAATGGCTGAGCAATCGGAGGCCCATGCCAGGGGCATGAAGCAAGAAAATGACAGGACAGACAATGAGATAGACAGTCGAGGGACGGAGGATGAGCAGTCCTTGCAAGCAATCAAGGGAATTCTGCTTACGGAGCTCATGGACGTTGAGAAGAGCCCTATGTTTATCATAGATCTTGCGCAGTCCGCCGCGTCCCGTAACCAGAACCTGAATCCTATCCACATCAACACTGCCCTCAAGACGGCTGGTAATCTGCTAGACGTAGTTTCCGGGCGTCGTGAACCAGATCCGTTAGGTCAGTCTGATAAGACGACCTACCCAGTGTTCAGAGACTGGGCCTCCAATCCTGCAACGCACGAGTACCGGCTAGTCTTCAACCATTACAGCTGGACAGCTTTGACATTGAGAGAGCGCTTTAAGCTTGTCAGCGGGACCTTTCAGCGGCAACAGGCGACAACGAGCACATTGCTCTCTACTTCATCTGATGCAGAACTTCCATCATTCATGCGCGGACTCAAACCGCCCGGATCTGATTTGGATTCCGGTATGCTCTCAAGCACAGAAACACGCATGATGTCGGGAGGCCACAAGTTCGCTGCGACTAAGTCTGGAGATACGTCTGAAGACCAGCCTGGGTTGTCGGCTTGGAAATACGACTGGACTTCAAGCCCTCCTCCGCCAGGCCTGTCTCCTCATGTAGAACTTGTCAGAAGCGTGGACTGGGCCTCAACCTCCTTGGGCCCCATGGAATCATGGTCCCCACAACTCCGCTTTATGTGCAACTTCCTGATGGCCAATCCAGCGCCATCTGTCATGTTCTGGGGGCCGGATCTCAACATGATATACAACGCTGCCTATCCGTCGGTAATCGCGAACAAACATCCAACATTGTTGGGCATGACGCCACAGGAAGGGTTTCGAGAGGCGTGGGAAGGGTTTGAGCCTTTCTTCAAGCGCTGCCAGGAAACTGGGCAAGGCGTTTTCCTTGAGCATCTGCTTACATTTCTGGATCGCGGTTTCGGACCACAAGAAGAGACGTACTACTCGTTCGGCTTCATGCCCATCTTCGGTGAAGACGACACGATCGCTGGCTGGTTCCAAAACTGCTTTGAGACCACAAAGCACAGAATCACAGAAAGACGGATGTCGACACTGCTTAGCATTTCAGAGACGACAGCAGCAGCTTCAGACCTTGAGTCTTTTTGGAAGTTGCTTCTTCGAGCTATTGAGAAGAACGAGCACGACATGCCATGGGTTGTCATCTATGCAGGTGTTGACCAAAATGAGGTGTCAACGGGGTCAGATGCTCACACGGTTGGCTCGTCAACTACGAAGCGGTTCGAAGTTCTCTGCACAATCGGCGTTGACATGGGGCACGCGGCGGCACCAACTCGCACCGATATTGCGAAGGGATCAAAGGGGTTTCACCCGTTCTTCGGGCAGGCCGCGGAGGCCCAGGACCCGCTCGTCCTTTTTCTCGAAGATGGCACCCTGCCGATGGACTTGGTCGTAGGTCTTGATACCAGGGGGTGGTGTGATCCCTGCAAATGCGCTGCGATATTTCCAATACGTCCGACAACAACCAATCCGAACTCCACCGAAACTGTCTTGGGCTACCTCGTTATGGGTATGAACACACGCCGACCTTACGATGAGGAGTATCGTACTTTCCATCGGCTGTTCAACAGACAGATAGTCACATCCATAGCATCCGTCCTCCTACTGGAGGAAGAGACGCGACGTGGCCGGACCATAGCTGAGCAGGCTGCGCTTGACCAGCGCAAGTTTGAAGAGCAATTAAGTCTTAGGACTCGGGAGCTGGAACGAAGCCGTGAGCAGTTGCAGAACTTTGCAGATTGCGTACCTGTCGGCATCTTCGTCCTAGCTTCCAAGCCAGGTAATATGGATGGAACGTATCAGTACAGAAACGAACGTTGGTTTGAGCTCACTGGAGACTCGCGGGATAACAACATAGGATCAGAGTCTCCTATTTGGGATAGAATGAATCCAGAAGACGTGCCTGTTGTGCGGCAAGCTTGGAAAGCGGTTCGGACGACAAAAACATCGATCAGTTTCGAGTTCAGAGTCGCTCAAAGATCGCAGTATGTGGGAGTACAAGAGCACCAGCTCGATCCGCAAGGGGATATTGATTGCACCTGGATTCTTTGCGTACGTTTGCTGTACGGCAAGACCGAAAGAGTGACCACTGACAGTTGATAGTATGCGTTCTCTGTATGGGATGACGACGGAACACCAAGGTCCGTAATCGGCTCGATCACAGACATCACCCCTCAGAAATATGCAGAGATCATTCAGAAGCGACGAATGGAGGACGCTATAGAGGCTCAACGACGTCAAGAGACTTTCATAGACGTTACTTCTCATGAGATGAGAAACCCGCTAAGCGCCATAATGATATCAGGTACGTGGAAATCTTTGCAATCAGCAATACCTGTCGTCTGTGAATATCGAGGCTTGCTTCAAGTGACAATCTATCGTAGCTGAATGCCTCGAAGCTCGATAGAATGTGGAGTCTTGTTTGCTGCTCTGGCGCAAACGGCCGATACATCCTCACCCAGGTTTCAGGCCGCGGCACCTGCGTTATCAGGTGTTGCCTGTGATTAATGCTGACAGTCGATAGCCGACGACATCATGACTTCATTACACTCTCTGAAGACGAATGACCCGACAATGAGCCCGGAATCCAAAAAACTAGTAGACAGCAGCATCGATGCCGCGGGAACTGTATCGCACTGCGCACAGCATCAAAAGACGATAGTTGACGATATCCTTACGATAAGCAAATTGGACTCGGGCCTCTTCTCGATCACGCCGGTAGAAGTTCAACCTTTAGCCATCATAAAGGATTTGCTCAAGATGTTCGAAGGAGAACTTCAGACTGCTAAAATCACCCAGAAAACACACATCGATGATTCCTTCCATGATCTGGCCCTTGACTGGGTTCTCTTAGATCCCAGTCGACTTCTCCAAATCCTCATCAACCTTGTTACTAACAGCATCAAGTTCACACAGCTTCAAGAACGACGGATAGTCACCATTCACATGGCCGCATCCCGAGGGAAGCCGGCGGAGTCTGTTTCGGGGATTGAGTATCTACCGCTTCGGAAGGAGCGTGAAGACCTTACCAACAGACCTGAATGGGGGAAGGGCGAAAGCCTCTATCTCTGTTTCGCTGTAGAAGACACAGGGTGTGGTCTGGCCGCGGATGAGAAGAAGCTGCTCTTCCTGCGCTTTTCCCAAGCGCCTCGGACACACGTGAACTACGGCGGTTCTGGCCTGGGCTTGTTCATCTGCCGCGAACTAGCAGAAATGCAAGGCGGGAGTATCGGGGTCGCTTCGGAAGCCGGTCAAGGCTCGACCTTTGCCTTCTACATCAAGGCTCGCCGCTGTGAGCACGTACCAACGGAGACCCAGACATCCAAACAGGCCTTGAGCGACCCTCATTCACCGCATGTTAACAACTTGCGACGCTCCGCCCCGTATCGTAATAACGTGCAGGAGCCGTTGTCTGCCCGCCAAGAGCGTGCTGCGCCTGGCGGCTCGCTCCCATCTGATAGCTCAGCTCCGCCAGAATCTACCAATGCTCCACATGTTTACGATATCCTCATAACCGAAGACAATGTAATCAACCAGCAGGTCCTCAGCAAGCAGCTTCTGAAGCTGGGCCACAGAGTCAGCATTGCCAATCAGGGACAGGAGGCATTGGACTTCCTGCGAAACACAAGGTACTGGAAGGGCAATGAAAGCGACGGGAAGAATCTAGATGTAGTGCTGATGGACATCGAAATGCCGGTCATGAACGGCTTGGAGTGCGTCTCAAGAATAAGGAAGCTGGAGCGCGACGGATCGCTCGTACGGCCAGTTCAAGTCATTGCAATTACGGCGAACGCAAGGCTTGAACAGATTGACAAGGCGCTAGATGCTGGCATGGTGAGTGGCTTCTGTAACAGAGTCTTGCCTATGGTTGGTCACCGCTAATGCCAGTGCAGGATGATGTCATCTCAAAGCCTTTCCGAATGCCGGAGCTTATTGCATGCATTGAACGTCTTTTGGAGACTTCGCAAAGCAATTCCGATTCTGGAGAGTAAGATAATGGTATTCTACGCACACTACCATCTCACCAGGGTGTGTCCGCAAAAACAAACAAGTACATCCGCAGACACCGACACATACACTACCGACAGGATGCTCCATTGATTCAGCACTCTCGATAATGCTGAACCGCCAAGGGGGATTATGCACATACACCACGGTTGATGCTGTAGGTTCTGTCGCTACTTCCCATCAACAAGCGCCTAACAGGCTCCAGAGCTCGTCTCCACCTGTTGCTCAAACCATTCACAACACGTCCTCACGGGTCACTCCGAGTGCCTCCAAGCCCGGCGGAGCCAGCGGCCGTACGCAGCAATACCACCACATGGACTGCACGCAGGCATCGCCCAAAAAACGTCTCGGCTTGCTCGTCCGTTTTGGCCCATCGATTAACATTATGTCGACGCTTGCCATGTACGAGTACCCAGTAGCTTGTGTGATATAGCTCGAATCGTCCGCGTCCAGTCGCCGAGCAGGCTTCAATATGAACCTATCTACCGGAAGCAGGCCGGCACTGAGCCCTGTATGCTCAACCACGCAGATGCTTGAGCACGGTCATGGCGCTCCAATTGGGGGCATCAGTTGAACACGCCTAATGTTCGTGGCGGCTCGGTCAGGTCCGCGCTTGCACCGAGCGGATAGCGGGTTTCGCGGCCGGTACTACGTCAGATAACGAGATGGAGAAGACGGCAAAAGATGTAGGCATCGCTGCAAAACTTGTCGTTTCAGGATCTAGGACGATTCTGTGAAGCTCGTTTCCCCTTTTCATGATGTGCCGCTTGACTGTTTCAAACGGACAATACAGTGATGTCCCTGTGTACAAACCCTGTTGAGAATGTAGAGAGAGCCCCTGGATTGAGAGTTCAATCCAATAGGTTATTCCCCTGCATGCGCATGTTGGCAATATCCGTAACTGGCATAGACTGCAACTGCACCACTCCGCCCGCGCTACCGAACATTTAGGCAGCCAGTCCCGTTATAGTACTCTCAGACTCTCTGCCCTTGACAGCACTTTGAGTAATCGTTCTTCTAACTTGTTAACTTGTGTCCCACCAAAGGGGGCTCCCAAGCCGCTAAAGAGCGCTTCGAGAGGGTCACGTTACCTGGTTGCACCGCCACACAAAGCCACAGAGGCGAAAGGCCGATCGCAAGTCAAACAACCTTGGAAGGAGACTGTTTGGCCCGTTTCCGTGATGAGCGCCGGGCAACTTGCATCTCAAGGAGCGCGCTTCAACGGAGCTGACGATGCCATGGCTTCACAACGCTTGTCAATTATGGACACATCCAGGGCGCCAGCTCAGCACTCCCCACCAGGCTCCTCCGGAGAGTCCGACCCTGAACCAGCCCATGAGCGCCTCTCCGACGACGACAACGAAGGCCGATACCCGTTCGTGCCCGCCGCGGTCAAGACGCTGGTCGACGAAGTACCTCCCTTGAGCAACACATGGGCTAGCAGTCAACAAGCACGGTCAAAAGGAGGAACTGGAGGCTTTCCAAATGGATACGATGGTACTCCTGGGCCATCACAGCTTCACTCGAGCGGAACGAGCAACACGCGAGCTGCAAGACCGAGCGCTGTAAGGACACCATCAAACGCCTACGCGCCACCACGGCGGCCAACTCAGCGCTCCCTTAACACCACCTCTAACCGGCATCGCGCCTCTTCCCGAACCCGCCGTAACCCCAACGCCGAGTACCGAGCTCAACAGAAGGCCTATTTGCAACGGATACGGCAAGACAATGCAACCGATGACCAGTTCTTCAACCCGGACGTGCGGACTCCTAGCCTGGGATACAGCACGGATTCCGACACGGACGACGAGTCACCACTAACAGCCGAATACCAAGAGAGCGAGCCTTATGACTCTGAGATCCTACTCTACTACGGCAACGATGATATGCAGCCGTCGATAGAGGAGTTGAAGATACCAGCGAACCGGGAGAGACTCGAGTGGCATTCTATGCTTGCCAACGTTCTGACTGGTGACGTTGTCAAGCAAGAGAAGAAGCGTCTGATAGGTGGTACAGAACAACAGGGGGATAGCACGCTCCAGAATGAAGTCTGGATGGGAATACGAGCTAAAGTCTGCGGCCGGACGATACAGGCACAGCGGAGGGTAATCGACGATGGGCGCGCCAAAGTCAAATCTTTTCTCGAAGCGGTGATCGCTTTCGAAATCAAGGGTGAGGCTGAGGCCGGCAAGACGGCGACGGAGCAGGTCGAAGAAGTCGTCCAGAAGATCGAGAAGTGCGAGCAGCTGTATCCGACAAGGCAAGCTCTGGAAGCTGCACACCCCCGGGCTGCCTCTGCACCCTTTCATGAGACGTGTGATGCTGTCATGTCCTGGCACAATACGACACAGCTCATCAACACCGAGCTTGCAATTCTGAGGAACTGGGTGGGCAACGAAGAACTCGACTTTGCAAAGCCAAGAGCGCGATCTACAAACGACAGCCATCTCTCGGATGATTCCTCATTCATTGACAGATTGCTCAAAGAAGATGGGCTTAAGTCTCTGCAGGGTAAAGACAGCTTGCTCGTAAAACTCAATGTCGTCATCAACAAAGCAAAGGCTACGCTCATTGCAAATGCCGAGACGTTTGCGGACCGACATCTGCCGCCTTACATCGAAGAGCTGCTCACACTCATGAACTTCCCGTCGCGTCTGGTTCAGGAGATCATTCGCATGCGGCTTACTTATGCAAAGAAGATAAAAGACCCGGCTCAGAGCGGTGTCATGATGGCGGAACAGATGATCGTCCAGTTCCAGATCCTGCTTACCCTTGCAATCCGGGTCAAAGATGAATATACAGTCGTGTCACAGCACGAGCCAGGCTGGGAACCCCCGCCATGCATGGAGGAGAACTTTGACATGGTTGTCCTGGACGCCCTTAAGTACTACTTCCGAATGCTCAATTGGAAGCTCTCCGCGAACAAGAACACCTTTAAGGAAGCTGAGATCCTGGAGCAAGAGTGGGATTTCTCCAACAAACTTGGTAGACATCTTGAGGGCGGTGATGTCGAGGTTGCGGAGCAGTTCAGGTACGGCGCATGGTACAACAATCTGAAACGAAGCTGACGTTGGATAGCTCGCTTACTTCCAAAGCCCTAATACGCTTGACGGCTTATTTCGAGAAAGAATTGCAGAAACGCCCGGACGAAGTGGCTGGCACAGAAATGGATAAAAGATACAAGCAGGTGCTCGATTCGGTGCGGGTGCGACAAAGGAAGTTGTTCCGTTTCTCCAGGGTCCTGTCGACCAGGTTCGAGAACTCAACGGAGTACAATATCAACATGGACTCGGAGCAAATCGAGGATCTGTACCACTCTCTAGTGATGTCTGGTCATTTCCTTGTCGAGACAGACACGGACAGTCAGACTACTGGTATCTACATCCTTGCTTCGCCCACTCTGCAAGATCGACCGCAGGAAGTACAGTCTCTTCTCGGAACCTGCTACCACGCCGAGGAGAATCCAGAAGATCCGTCCAACCCGTATCTGCTGATCTTGAAACCTGAAGGTCCGCTTCACTGGCGTGGTAAAACTGTTACTACCGATGTGCGCCAGCCGTTCCTGGATATGAAGACTAGCAGGCTTCGCCTCGTCGCAGATGGCTCCCAGCAGCGGCTGGTGAACGCCAACGCTGCTTTCATGCAGACGACAGGACTGGATCTTACGGTCTTGATCGACCAACGGGCAAACCTACCTCGAGTGCATGCCGAGTTGCAACGGATCAAGAAGTTTACATACAAGCTGTCCAACACAATCATGGACAGCGTGGAGATCATCCGAAAGGAGCTTTCTGGGCTGCAGTGCCAAGAACTCATCCAAACCTGCTTCGCCTTCGCGGCCGAGTTTGGCCAAAGCTCCGTTCACTACATGGATAGCAACCGACGGGCGCTGAACAATATCAAGCTCACTAGGCTGGCGCTGGACTGGGTCAGCTTCATCTGTGACGATTGCATAGCTTCCGACCGCAAGACCTGCCGATGGGCCGTGCTTGCGCTCGAGTTTGCCATGATTATGACAAGAGGGCAAAACATACTTTCGATTAGTGACCAGGAGTACTCGAAGCTGCGCGCGAAGGTTGCTGGGTGTATGTCGTTGCTTATCTCTCACTTCGATATCATGGGCGCAAGATCGACCATGGCAGCACAAGCTGAGAAGCAGCGCATGGAAGCTATGATGGGTAAGCTTAGGCTGGATGTGAGCAGACTAAAGGACGACGAGGAATCATCGAATCTGGTCCGCGAGCAGTGGCTCGAGCAGCTTGCTGAGATTGATGAGATCCGCAAACAGAAAGAGGCGGAGCGGCAAGCGCTGGGACGCGTCTTGGAAGACTCGAACGAAGCTGATCGTGCCCTCACATACCTGTCGTCTTCCGCGACAAACGTTACTCTACGATGGCAGCAAGGAATGTATGTCGGCGGCGGCACGTTCGGATCCGTATATGCGGCAATTAATCTTGACTCCGGCCACCTTATGGCAGTCAAGGAGATCCGCCTGCAAGATCCCCACCTCATCCCGACGATCGTATCACAGATCCGGGACGAGATGGGCGTACTACAACTACTTGATCATCCGAATATTGTCTCCTACTACGGCATCGAGCCCCATCGAGACAAGGTCTACATCTTCATGGAATACTGTTCCGGCGGTTCGCTCGCCAGTCTCCTCGAGCACGGAAGGATAGAGGACGAGACAGTCATCATGGTCTACGCTTTGCAGATGTTGGAAGGGCTGGCCTATCTACACGATGCCGGTGTCGTCCACCGCGACATCAAACCCGAAAGTAAGTCACACCCCCATCTACGCAATAACACACCCATCTAACCGTACCACAGACATCCTGCTCGACCACAACGGCGTGATCAAGTTCGTCGACTTCGGCGCCGCCAAAGTCATCGCCCGCCAAGGCAAGACCATGGTCGGCGACAATGCCGCCGGCCGCCAAGGACGCCAGAAATCCATGCAAGGCACGCCCATGTATATGTCTCCCGAAGTCATCAAGGGCCAAAGCACCGGCCGAGCCGGTTCAGCGGACATTTGGTCCCTCGGCTGCGTCATCCTCGAGATGGCGACGGGCCGACGGCCATGGGCGACACTTGATAACGAGTGGGCTATCATGTACAACATCGCTCAAGGCAACCCGCCGGAACTGCCCAAGACGGACCAGCTGAGCGAGTCGGGAATTGACTTCTTGAAAAGATGTTTTGAGCGGGATCCGGCGAGGAGGGCGTCGGCTGCGGAGTTATTGCAGCATGATTGGATCATGATCCTGAGGAGCCAGCTCTCGCTGGGGCCTCAGACGCCGAGTGAGAGTTCTGCTTCGGGGAGTATGTCTAATTCCAGACACAACTCCATGCAGTATTAGTAGTTGTACCGTTTTCGTTGTTTGCAGTCCCCTAGCGACGCAATCTTATTGGGATCTTGGGACTATTGCACCAATTTTTTGAAAGCACACATTTTGGGTTTTAGCATTAGCGTGGGCGTTTATGTACAAAGTGGAGCTCTCTATTCGTTTGTAATATTCCGTTTTTAGTCTGGCGATGACCTTTCAGTGACGCTGTGGTGCCTCAGAACAAGGCGAGCTTTTCGTGTCTCCATATAATTACTTTGAGAGCCGTAGTCAGCAATCCTTTTGCTTCCCAAGTCCTGTTCAAAATTCAGTATCCCGCAAATGTCCGTCGTATGTTTACTCACCTCAACTTGCTCCGTTGAAGTATTACTTGAGTGATTCAACCCGGGTACAGACACCAGCACATCCACTGAGTAACGACCTCTTGCTAAGTCGGATGTCACGGTTATTACGGCGCATCGCATCCGCTGTCCAGCCTTTCAGGTCTGGTGGCAGTCGATGCCCTCCATAGCCCTCATCTCGAACAGACCGGGAATCGAGCATGGCACCCAATGTCTCACAAGTGTACCCCTTCCTCTTCCGCCCCATCCCCATCCACGCTCGAGCCCCTCTCCCCCACCTCCCCATTCGCAGCCCTCTCCCCGCCCTCCCTATTCCCATGCCCCTTCTTCTCCTCCTCAACCTCCACCCACGGCATCCCCCGTCCCTCAACCTCTGCCTTGAGCAGCGCAACCCTCTCCTCCATCCGTGAAATCACCTCCTCGTTCTCCCGGATCGCGTCCGCGCACTCCCGGTCTCCGTCCCGCGCGTAGGGCGTGAGCTGCTCGTTCGAGTGCCGCAGGTGCGCGATGCTGTTGCGGAGCTCGGCGGCTTTGGCGTGCAGCGAGCCCAGGGGAAGTTCGGTCAAAGCCAGAGCGAAGCGCTCGGGAGGGATGGGGTTGGAGGTCGCGGACATGGTTGGGGCGTGTGGGGGTGAAGGGGGGACGAGAGGATGGTGGGGTGGTGGTGCTGAAGCTGGGGACGGGGCGGTGATGCTGAAACCAAAGCTGGAGCTGGATTCTGGTTCCGAACAGCTGAGTTTGCCGAGCAGCGCAGAAGTGATGCTGAATCCTGTGGAGTGCGTTGAGTTGTTCAGCTGGCGGGGCGTTTTCTCGTTGGTCGGAGGTTGCGGAGCTTTCGTAGGGCTGAGGACGTCCGCATCATCCTCTGGTTCCTGCACCACCACGCCAAGATGTCAGTGAGAGCGCAAACTCTCTGCCCTTCTCTGCTCACGCCCAGCATCAACAGAGATGAGCCATGTATGGTCGGTAGCACTCTGGAAGCCTTGCTCCGGTCTACGCGCCTCGACTCTCTCGCCATGGGGACTCGCTGTCCGGATAGCCACGGGGCGAAACTGCTCAACTGCTACCGTTGGATATAGCAGATGCAGTGCCACAGCAAGAATAGATTCGACATGGCCGTTGCCGGTGCGCACGACTTCGACACCGATCCTCTCACCTACTCTCTCACAAGCGCCATGGCAGACATCCGCCTTCAGCACCACCGCAGCGCAGGGCATGTTACTCGAGAAAAATCCCAAACAGGTCGGCAAAACAAGATCGAAAGCCAGCGCGAAGTCATCTCCACGGGCTCGTATCCCTAGACAGCGTAGCGTGCCTCCCAAGGAGACCACGCCGGTTGAAGACACTGCATCCGAGAAAGGGCCCGTTCACTACGATTGGAGAAAATACAGTGATAAGACCGGCATGCCGCTCCCTTCGGGCGACCTAGTCGCTCTCGACATCACCAAGATATTTGGCGAAGAAATGGGACCCGGACTTGGAAACCGAATCCTACGGATACTACAGTGGCGACGCGAGAGCGGGTCTCTCGGTGATTTTGGCATTAGCCTTACCGGCGACACAGACGTCACCCAGGAGCAGTGTCTCAGAGGACTCGAGTGGCTACGCGCAAACTTTCCCGTCGATGAAGAAGCAGCGGCGGAAGCTTGGCGAGAAAGAGAGCTGGAGAGGCTGTATCAGGTCATGGAGAAAGACTCCCAGAGGCTAGGGTTCTACAAGCGGGACGATGCCCTGGATGGTGTCGATCTAGGGCAGCCACAGCAAGGAACAGAGTTTGGGCAACGGTATGCGAGAAGCGAGCTTGCCGCTATAAGGGAGGAGAACGAGCGGAGGTGGGAGGAGAAGCAAAAGGAGCTGGAAGAGCTGGAACAGAGGCAGAGAGAGCAGCGACCACCAAGAGAGGGTCAGGAAGAACCGGACGTGGTAGTTCAGGCGCGGGAGCGGTTGTCTCGACGCACGGGATTGGTTCTTTCAGCAGACCGGAGCGCGGATTACAGTATGTGCTAGACGCCCTTGTGACTACATCTCAATGGATGGTGCGCCAGCTGACGTGACCATAGTCGAGCAGGGGAGGCAAGCGCGTGAAAAGTACAACAAATACTGGGAAGAAAAGGCTCAAATCATCAAGGATAATGAAGCCCCTAACATGAGTGCTGTATGTCACGGTTCTCCCCATACTACAGCAGTGCCCCCTAACATCGCGCAGTTCCAACGTCTATGGCCATCCGCCCTCGTCACTGCAGCCACCCTCGGCTTCTGCATTCTCCTCGCGCAGACATATGAGCCTCCTACACAATCCGGCCGCCTGTGGCCCAACACGCCGCCCGCTCTGTCAACGTGCGTCGGAATCTTACTCGCCAACGTCGCCATCTTCATCCTCTGGCGCGTCCCCCCCGCATGGCCAACGCTGAACCGCTATTTCGCGCTCTGCCCTGGCTACCCCATCGCGCTCAGCAATGTGTTCAACACCTTCAGCCACCAGCAGCTGGGCCATCTGGCGACGAACATGGTGCTGTTCATGGTCATTGGGCCGAAGCGTAAGTCCTGACTACACGCTCCTCACTCTTTCCGGTCCCTCTTCCCCCTATACGCGCGATTAAGCTAGAAGCCCTCAACCAGCGCTAATACCATGCAGTCCACGAAGAAATCGGCCGCGGCAACTTCCTCGCCCTCTACCTCGCCGCCGGAACCCTCGGTTCCTTCGCCTCCCTAACCTACCACGTGCTCCTCCGGCGCTTCATAACCTCCTCTTTGGGCGCCTCCGGCGCCGTCTACGGCATCCTCGCCGCCTGGTGCCTGATCCGCGCGGCTGACCACCTGCGCATCCCCTTCACGGACCTCCAGATCCCCCTGAGCAGCAAGCAGCTGCTGGGCGTGATGCTTGCGCTCGAGCTGTTCAACATGTGGACGGGCAAGGTCAAGGGGGTGGACCATTTGGCGCATTTGGGCGGGTATGGGGCGGGGATTGCGGGGGCGAGCTGGTTGATGTGGAGGGCGAGTGAGAGGAGGAGGGTGGTGGAGGAGAAGAGGAGGAAGATGGGGTTTTTGGAAAGGACGTTCAATGTTCCGCCGAGTGCGGGTGAGAAGTAAGGGGAGGGCTTGTAGCAACGTGTTTATAGGATCGTGGCGGGTATACTGCCAGCAAGCAGAGCATACCCAAGTTGAGAGTGGAAAGTGGGTCCAGGTGTAGATTCTAGATCATTGTAAGCCTATAGCAGCTCATTGACAGACCCCCTTGGCTTCCGTGCTGTCATAGCGCCGTGCAGTGCTGGAGAAAATTGGCTTTACAGCTATCCCATATATTGACACTAGACCCTCGCTAGTACTAGGTTCCAGTTTACTGGCAGCCAAGAGCCCTGTTCATGCAGCCCCCTTATTCCTCGTCATCGTCTCCTATGAGCTTAGCATAATCTTCCACGCTTGCAAACGTAGGCAGGTGCTTCAGCTTCCGCTTCTTGCGCTTCTTTTCCTCTTTCCCTTTCGTCTCCACGTCCTTTGTCTCATCAGGCTCCTCGCCGAAGCCTTCGAAGTCATCCGGCAGCTCCTCGTCGCTACCCACAAGCGCCTCGTCCCCATCCTCTAGCTCCGCAGCGTCGAAGCCATCATCATCATCATCTGCTCCCACCGCAGCGTCTTCCGCCTCTTCTGCGTCGTCGTCGAAACCGACCAGTTGAACACCCTCGTCTCCCTCCTCGTCTCCATCATCCATCTCGTCGTCCAACCCAGCATCGTTATCCTCATCGTCCAAACTCTCCATGTCGCTAAACCCCTCCTCATCATCTCCCGGTCCATCAACCTCGGGCCTGCTCTCCACAAGCGCCTTCCAAATCTCCTCCTCATCATCCTCATCGTCGTCCTCCCCTTCTCTTCTCTTATCCCTCTTCTTCTCCTTCTTCTCCTTCTTCCCCTTGTTAGCCCTCTCAAAATACCGATGGAAAAAAACCTCATCGACCCCCACATCCTCCACCCTCCTCTGCCAGAACTGCTCGCTATTAACCGGCACCGCGCCCGCGCCCGCGCCCACATCCCCCCTCCCCGCCTCAGCCCCAACCAACCGATCCGCAGTGTTCGCCCCCGCGAGCGGCTGCATAATACTCGCGCCTCTCGTCTTCCCCGCCCTGGCCCTGGCGCTGCGATACGCGAAGCGATCCAGAAAGTGGACCAGCGTGTGGCTGCGCATGTCCGGCTTCTCGGGCATGGGATGCTGGCCCCTTAGGCGGGCCGCGAAGAGCGCGACCGAGGGGTGGAAGTGCGCGGCCAGAGGGACTAGCTCCCAGAGGCATGCGCGGTCGGCGTGGGAGTGCGCTGGGTCGCGCTTGCGCGGGTTGTAGTGGGGTGAGGGGTTTGGGGCGGGGTCGGCGGGGTTGGAGGAAGGTGGGTGGGATAGGCGTGTTTCGCCGTCTTCGGGGGCGTCGACGAAGTGCTCTTCGTCGTCGTCCGGGGTCTCGGGCGTGTCGAGCATGGAGGCCAGGCTCGGGAAGGTGAGTTGGAGTTTGCTGATTAGGAAGAGCACGCCGCAGGTGAAGGGGGGTTCGTGCAGTGTTATGATCTGTAGCAGGCGCTTGACGAAGGCTTTGACGCGCTTGATGTTGATGTCGCTCTTAAGCGAGCGGTAGAGGAGTTCGAGGTAGAGGAGCTGCTTCGACGAGGTAAGAAGGCGAGGATCCAGGAGCGATTCGTACAGGGTGCGGTAGAAGCGGTCGGCGGAGTACTGCTTGGTTGCTGAGATCTGCTGGATCAGCAGCAGGGCCTGGATGCTGGTGTTGAAGTTTGAGGAGTGGGTGACGCGGAAGATGGTGTCCATTTGGCTCTCAAAGGTCGCATCGTCGGTTTTGGAGAAGGGAAAGGCTCGGTTTACGCCGGTCAGTACTGCTGCTATCATTCTTTCTCGGAGCTGCTCCTCTGATTGATCGGCTTGCTCTCTGAGCTTCGCTTTGCGGTTCGCCTTCTTGCCGGGCTTGCTGCCGCCGCCTTGGATCTGTCCGTTTGTGTTCATGGTCGCGACTGGAGATTTGGTGTTCTTGAGAAGATTGACGAACAGGGCAAAGTAGACCTCCAGTAGCTTGTTCGCTACCTCTTGCTCCTTTCCGCTTAATACCGTCTGGTTGAGGGTGATGATCGCATAGTACTTCGCATGTCCGGTTTGGCCCGAGCGGAACAGCAGCTCTGATTCTATTGCATTGATGATTACCATCTTCATCGCAGGATGCGTGTTCTGCAGCTGCAGGATGAGATAAGACGCCTGCGACGCAATCTTCTTCTCCTTGTCGCCTAGCTTGTTGATCAGCAGCCTCAGCAGGTTCTCCTCTTGCTCTGGTTTCTCCTTCAACAGCTCCCAGACGAACTTCACCGATTGCCTACGGGAGTATTCGATCTCGTCGTTGCACCAGCTCTCGAGAACCTGCAGCAGCTCGAAATACGTCCGCTTCAGCCAGTCCTCGTACGCCCATGCGACCAGGTGGACCTTCTGTATACTGCCTGGGAGTTTTTCGCCCGTCGACCAGCTGACATGCTTCCCCTGCAGTGCGCTGATCAGGCTAGGTTGTCTGACGAACGCTCGCAGTTTTCTCTCAGGCGGCAGTACCACACCCTGACCAAGTAGGTCCTTCAGGGCTCCGAGCGACATGAGCGCCTGATTTCTGCTCTTCTTCCTAGCCAGATTAAGCAAATTTTCGAAAGACTTCATGGTGTGCAGCGGCGATTCTTGAACCAGCAGCGTCAGAGCGGAGACCTTGTCCTCGAGCGTTCCAGAGGTCATGATATCGGACATGAACTTGTAGGAGGACGAAGAGGAGAGGTGAGAAGCGGTATAATTCTTGTTCTCGGACTCGAGGAGGGTATCGGCGTATTGGTGGAGCTCGTCCAGGACAGGGCGCGGTGGTGTTGAGGCATTTTCGACGGTGGGCAGCTCTGGGAGCTCTGCGGCATGCCAGTCCGGGCGCGGCTCGAATATCTGCACAACGTGTCAGCTATAGGTATGTTCCTGGGATTTGTAGTATGCTCGGTCCTCATACCAGGTCCGCCTTCGGCTTCCCGTCCTCGACAGGCTTGTTCGGACGAGCATCGCGGTTTGCGCCAGCCGCTTTGTCGCCTTTCGCCGCAGACTTCCTGGTGCCATTCTGGACCTCGGATGCTTTGCGCTTCTGCCCCATTCTAGTAGCCCAGAGAAATAGTCGTGAGGCTTGCAAGAAGCCTTCGATGGTGGTTTATTGATAGCTCGCAAGCAGACGCTGAAGATTTCCGCTCGCCGCACTTTCTCCGAGGACCCTGTCTTGGCGTTGGCGGGGAGCAGCGCGAGTCATACGAGTACCAACAAATCCCCCCACGAAGCATTCCAGAGTCAATTGACAACTTACAAGCACAGATTGAGTGTCGGAAAGAATACAGCAGCTTCCCCACCATGAGCTCCGCCGCCGACGCAGCAGAGAAGGCCCCTAAGCTGACCATAACGCCCCTCCTCAAGCGGCTCTGGCCCCAGCCCGCCAGCGAGGACGTCTCAGCCTCCGAGATCGCTCTCGCCATATCCCACATCTTCACCAACAGCCTGACCGATGTCCAGACCGGCGCTCTGCTCACCGCCCTGCACTTCACAGGCCGGGATCGCCAGGCCGACGTGATCGCCAAATGCGCCGAAGCGATGCGCGATGCCGCCGCGCCGGTGGATGAGCAGAGCTTGCGTGCGGTAATCAAGCGGCGAGGCAAGAAAGAGGGAACCTATCGCGGAGGTCTGGTACGGTACTACCCACCTTCCCCCCCCCCGTCACCCCGATCCCCACGCTGACTAACCCTCCGGCGCACCAGTGCGACATCGTAGGCACGGGCGGCGACTCCCACAGCACCTTCAACATCAGCACCACCAGCTCCATCCTCGCCTCCTCTTTGCTCCTAATCGCCAAACACGGCAACCGGGCCTCGACCTCCATGTCCGGCTCCGCAGACCTGCTCTCCAGCACGCTCCCCACCGCGCCCGTCCTCAGCAACGCCGCCCCGACCACCCTCTCCGCAATCTACGCCGCCACAAACTACGCCTTCCTCTTCGCGCCCGTCTTCCACAAAGGCATGAAATACGTCGCCCACATCCGGCGCCAGCTCGGCTGGCGCACCATCTTCAACCTGCTGGGCCCGCTGGCCAATCCGGTCGAGGCGCTGGTCGAGGCACGCGTTGTGGGCGTTGCGAGGAGGGATATGGGACCGGCGTTTGCGGATGCGTTGAGGATGTCGGGCGCGCGGAAGGCGATGGTTGTTTGTGGCGAGGAGGATCTGGATGAGCTGAGTTGTGCGGGGAGGACGTTTTGCTGGCGGTTGGTCGAGAGGGCGAATCCGGCGTTTCGGGGCCAGCAAGCGGGAAAGGGAGACGAGGTCGACGGGGATGAGCAGAGTGACGAGACGTCAGACGACGATGCCCCGCCGCGGACGGTCGTCGAGGTCGAGGCGTTTACCCTATCCCCCGAGGATTTTGGGCTCCCGCCCCACCCGCTCTCGGAAGTCAGCCCGGGGAAAGAACCGCACGAGAACGCGGCGATACTCATGCGGCTACTGCGCGGGGAGATGGCCAGGGACGATCCGATCATGCATTTTGTTCTGATCAACACCGCGGCGCTGTTTGTCGTGTCTGGAGTCTGTGAGGCGGACGAGAGTAGCATGGGGCCAGGCGATGATGGGAAGGTGATCAAGGAGAGAGGGCCCGGTGGTGGGCGCTGGAAGGAGGGCGTCAGGAAGGCGAGGTGGGCTGTCGAGAGTGGGGCGGCGTTGAGGCAGTGGGATGCTTTTGTGGAAGCGACGCATGCGGTGGAGAAGCAGTGATGGGTTTGTCACTCGGATCACGAGTCGTGAGTCTGGTACTAGGATTGTGGGGATTGCTTTGCTGACAGCGAGAACACGACCGAGTATCGTAGCAAGCCGCCTCAAAAACGTGGCTGTCCTCAGTCTTGTTTCAATGCATGAGACGGTATGCAGGAGGCAGTAAATAGATCCTTAGAACAGGTTGAATGGTGGGCGCGAGGGAGCATCGCGTCATATATAGATCTTCAGTAACACTTCAAAAGTTTGGAATGAGCCAGCATCTTGGCTGCAAGTAGATATATCAGATGTATGCGAATGTACAAGAAAGCTTCGATAGGTTTTTGGCTGACGATCGGTTGTCGCGCTGCTGTTGAAATCGTGCAGCACCAGACATCTGGAGCGCTCCGACAGCATGTCGAAGGCTGAACATCAATCTGAGGACGGCACTTCGCTTCAGCCGTCTCACCAGCACTGCTGCGGAAGCCACATCAAACCACACATATGGTCACTCATATTTGCGGATGACGGGGTTCGATATTAGGCCGCAATGCATTATCTGTTGGTTACTGAAGCAGAGAACCAATACTGGGATCTTCCATTGCTACAAACTCGAGCTGAGGGTATCTCCACACACAGAATCCAAAGGCCGTACAACCATCATCCAAAACAACACAACACGTCAGCCTCCGGGGCCGCATGCTAGAGCACTAGGGCACACCAAACCAAAAACCCCAAGTGTCATCCGAAACTTCCTCAAATGCTTTACCCAAACCCTCAGAGACTCCTAAAACCCCCCAAACTTGCCCCCCAAGCTCTTCAGCCAACTCTGTCGCTTCGGTGCCGGCGACGGCCTCGCATCCCATCTAACCCCGCCATCCCCATAACTCTGCAACGTGTTCCTGCGCCTGTCCTTCCTATCCCCCGAACTACCTTCACTTCTCAGACCCTCCCCGCCAGACTTCCGCTCATGCCGCCTCTCCTCGTGGCGTCTTCTACGCCTGGGATCGGCATCGCCGTTGCGCTCGCCCCTCCCCGCCGTGCGCACCCCCCGCAGCGCCTCCTCGTCCGCCGTCGTTTCGCCGGCGTTGAGATCAGGTGGCGGCTCGATGACCGTCTCGGCGAGGGGAGGCGGGTCCGGCTGTTCTTCATTGACCGAGGCAACCCAGGAGGTGGTCTTGTCGCCGCCGTTGGGGAGATAGGGTCGACCGGACGCTGTCCGCGACTGTTCGTAGGGCGCATGCGCCCCGTTTCGCGCGTCGAAGTAGTCGTCGATGGGGTTGGCAGTCGACCTCCGTCGAGACGTCTTATCATCGGACATTGTTCGATCGGCTGCGCGGCGCTGACGGCGCTCTTCGTGGCGCTGGCGACGCGCAGCATCGTCCATGTCGGTGCGGCGACGGTCCGTCTTGGGACGATCGGCGGTTTGAGGACGGGACGACGGTTCGGCCCGATCCTTGTCCCGATGGTCGCGGCCTTTAGAGCGGCTGGCTTCGGCGTCCTTTGCGTATCGCTCCTCTGCTGCACGGCGTTGGTCCCGCGCAGCATGGCGAGCGCGTTTCTCTTCCCGGCGGCGGTTTTCGAGCTCCTGCTCTTCGCGGATACGGCGATCGCGTGTTTCGCGCTCCTTGAGTTTCCGGGCTTCATGCCGTTGCGGTTCACGATCTCTTTCGCGACGGCGAGCTGCCTTCTCTTCGGCTGCGGCCAGCTCGGCTGCACGTGCGGCTTTGCTGGCGGCTTCGCGATCTCTGTCTCCGCGGCGTGCGTTGCGTGCCTCGTTCTCTGTGCTTGCGCTTGCCCCTGTATTTGGGACAGCATCGGTCATGATGCCCTCCTCATTCGAAAGCCCACGAGAACGGTGCACACGTCTGTCGTCACGGCGAAGACGCTTTGACTCGTCCTCCTCATTGTGATGTGATGAGCGCTTGCGATGGCTTCGTTCGGCGTTACCACCGGACGTGGAGGGACGAGTGTATCGATCTTCGTGACGGTGACTCTTGCTGCGGCCAAGCCCGAACATTCCCATGATGCCTTCCCTCTTGGCGCTGGAAGTTGTTCTTTCTCGTTGCTTGGGTGGCGAGCGACGGCGAGAAGTTTCGACGAAGGCCATGTCTTCAGGACCTGTCACCACGTCTGGACCGTCGGAGCGTATGTTGGCATCCAGGTCAACGAGGACTGCATCTTCCCCACCTGACGTGATGTCAGGCGGGGCCGGTGCAGAATCCTCGTGACCATCGACCATCACGAGGTCATCATCGATCGCATATGGATCAGGTACGCCTGACGAAAGTACATTAGCAGTGCTCGGTAGCTCGGTGCGCGCAAGGATGCTCTTACTTCTCCGCTTGCCTTTGTCCTTAGTTGAAGTCCTTCTACTTACCGAGCCCCGTGTGACGCCCACGCCCATAATCTTGGCAGCTTTAGAGGACATCCTGGGCGGGTCGTCCACGCCTGGGCTAATCATGCCAGGATCGACAGACGCGCGCCGCGACTGCGTCTTGGGTGTAGGTGCTTGACGTGTAGACCTCGACCTTGCCGGAGTGGGTGCACCAAAGAGCGAGAAACCGGTGCTGGCGCGGGTGGGCTTGGGCTTGGAGTGTTCCCCAATCTGATCTGACCCAGAGGACTTGGACGATTTCTCGACCTCTTTGGGCGTGCGACTTGACTTGGACCTAGTTAAACCATGAGCGGACCGTTCCTTTGCAGGCGCGGCCGCTACTGCGTCATCCTTTGGTTTCCGGTGGCTGTCGCCTCTCGAAGATGGTGCGGCTGCCCACATACCCCACGATGATGCGCCGTTGCGTACAACACGCGCACGCTCTTTCTTCGCAGGCTCAGGCGGTGGTGTTGGTAGTTTCGAAGGCGCTTCTGGCATTACAACAACATCCTCTGCCTCCATATCGAAGTCGGCCGGGGGACTTGGCTGTTGAGCAGGCGGTGGCGCGGGTGGCATCTCTTTGGCGGCCTCGACGACCCTCTTACTCTTCTTGTCCTTCTTGGCTTTCTTGTCGGCCTTGGACTCCTCTACAACAGCCACAATCTCAGGCGGAGGAGCAGGAGACGCAGGGTCCTCAAAAGCCAAGACGTTCAAGTCTTCTGAAGGGAACCCACCAGGCAGTGGAGTCAGCACGCTGGGGAAGTTAACAGCAATCGGCTCAGGCTCAGGTACTACAATCACAGGATCTAGCGGAGGAGTCGGCGCTTTGACTTCCTTCTTCAGTTCTCTCTTCTTGGAAGAGGAGGCCTTGGAGTCCTTGGTGTCCTTTTTACTGCTCTTCTTGGTTGCTGCAGATGAGAATTTCGGCGCTAGGTCGACTACCTCAACCACGGGAGGCTCAACCACCGCCTCGGGCTCTGGTATAAATACCGGCTCAACAATTGGCTCAGGTGGCGGCGTCGGCGGCGCAGGGGGTGTCAGATCAACCTTCCCCTCTTTTCCGCCCTGCAGAGCTGCAATTCTGTCCGCGATAGAACCTTTGGTGCCTTTCTTGCCTTTTGTAGTCGAGGTCTTGGTTGCCTTGGGTGGTGGCGGTGGTTCGTCAGCAACAACTTCTGGCACGTTCGTGACGGCCTCCACAAGCGAGACGTCCTGATTGGTCAGCTCATTCACTGCGTTCTTGGCGTCCATGGATGGTGTTGACTTTTTCGTAGACTTCAGCGGCGCGCCCCAAAACGACCATGCGCTGCTCTTTTCCTCTTCCTTCGGCTTGGTGTCGGCCAAGAGCTCATTGAGCTGGTCTTCATTGGCGTCGCCCATCAAATCGAGCAGCTCGTCGTCTCCCATGGCAGCTGGCGGAGGCGGCGGCGGTGGATCTGGTTCGTACACAGGCTCGACTTTGCTGCCTTTCTTAGCCTTCTTGCCTTTCTTCTTGGGAGCTTCTTCGACGATTTCCATAATCTCGTTAGGGTCTTCAAGTAACTTCGCATCGCCCTCGGCCTCTTTACGCGCCTTCTCCTCAGCCTCGAATCGCTCCTGCTCAGCAGCTTCCTCGGCCTCTCTGGCGACCCGTTCCGCTTCTTCCTTCTCAATCCGCTGTCTCTCTTCCTCTCCTTTCTTCTCCTTAGCTTCCTTCTTTTCTTTCTCCTTCTTCTCTTTCTCCTTGTCTTTGGCTGATTTGGACCCACCAAGACCCCAGCTTCCCCACATGCTCTTCGCAGGTTTCTCTTCCTCTTTCTTCTTGGACTTCTTCTCCTCGACAACCACTGGCTCTGGCGGCGGCGGCGGTAGTTCGTCAGGCACTGTCTCGTCGATAATCTGGACAATGTCGTCTGGGTTGCCCGCAAAAACTTCGACGACGGGCTCCTCATAGCTTGGTACCTCCGAAGCTGTTGTTTGCTTGCTGAGAGCACTCTTCTTGCCTTTCTTGGCTTTCTTGCCTGTCGAGAGGCCCCATATGTCGTCGTCCTTGACGGGTTCCGGCTCAGGCGCAGGCAGGGCTAGAAGAGGTGGGGGCGGTGGGGGCGGAAGTGGTTCGTCAAGCGCGGCATCTGGAACAGCTTCTGGAGGTGTAGGTGCTGGCGGAGCTTCAGGTGGATTCATTGCTGAGCCTTTCTTACCCTTCTTGCCCTTCTTTGTAGAAGTGAAACCCCAAGGGTCTTCGTCAACCTGGGATTTGGTTTCCTGGATCGATTCCGGCTGCATAACAGGGTCCGCAGGGTTCTCGCCAATTACTTCGACCGGATCATCTTTCTTGGATGGTTTCTTCTTCTTGTCTTTCTTGCCAAATCCCCAGCCAAAGTCGTCCTCGCCGTCAGCTTTCGGCTCGTCAACGGCGTCTGGAACCATGGTGATTTCCTCTGCAACAGGTTCCGGTTCGGGAGGCGGCGGCGGAGGAGGAGCGGGCTCTTCCTTGCCTTTCTTGCCCTTCTTATCTTTCTTCCCCGCGCTGCCCCATGAGAAGCCCCAACCGGAGTCCTCCTTCGTCTCCTTGGTCGGCTCGGGGACAGCAGGCGGAGGCGGCGGGGCTTCCGGTAGGACCTCCTCAATCGCGCCCTTCTTGCCTTTCTTCTTTGCTGTCTTACCAGCAGAGCCCCAGTCCATCCAGTCGTTGTCCGCTGCACCGTCTTTATTGTCCTTTGGGGCCTCTTCTTCAAGAGTAACGAGAGAAACTTCGACAATTGGCGGATCATCCACAACGGGGCCCGCAAAACCGCCTTTCGGCGGCTTCTTGCTTTTCTTGGAAGTCGGCGCACCCCAGGGGTCGCCGCCCCATCCACCGTCTGCGGGTGCTAGATCAGTCTCGGGGAGGACAACGATGGGCTCAGGTTCCCTCTCAGGCACAAGAAGTTCGTCCGCTTTTGCTGTAAGTCCAGCTTTACTAGCTTTCTTAGCCTTCTTATCCTTAGCAGGCGCTCCCCAGCCACCACCCCAGCTGTCCTCAACAGGCGGCTCCGGTTCTGGCTCAGGGACTACTACGATGGATTCAGGCTCAGGTACAACGACCACAGGCTCTTCTTTACCCTTCTTGCCTTTCTTGCCCTTCTTCGTCGTACTTGTAAGACCCCAAATATCGTCGTTCTCGGCTGCTGGTGGTGGTTCTGGCTCGGCGGGAGGCGGCGGAGGTGGTGGCGGCGGAACATCAATTGGCTCTTCGACCACTTCCACGACGCCTTTCTTCTTCTTGCTCTTGGAAGGAGCTGCGCCCCAGCCACCACCCCACATGTTGTCCTCCTTGGCCGGCTCAGCCTCCAACTCGGGGATTACAACAACTGCGGGCTCAGGATCCGGCTCTTTTGCAGCTGTGCCTTTCTTGCCCTTCTTCTTGTCCTTTGCAGAGGTACTCCAAGCCCATGGATCCTCCTCCACCTTCACTACCTCAGCTTCTGGGGGTGGCTCTACAACGGCTGGTGCCTCAGGTTCCGGGTCGTCGAAGGAAAAGAAACTGTTACTCTTCTTGTTCTTCTTGTCTTTCTTGCTGGCGCCGCCGAATGACCAAGCGTTTTCGTCTTTGGCAGGTTCGGGCTCAGGCTCAGCGGGAGGTGGAGGCGGGGGCGGAGGTGGAGGTGCTGGCTCCTCAACAACAGCTACTGCCGCGCCTTTCTTTCCCTTCTTCCCCTTCTTCGTAGTTACGGGAAGACCCCATGCATCATCTTCTTGTTTGTCCTCGGCCGGCTTCTCTTCAGCATGAGGGTCCAATGCGACAATGTCCTGCGCACCAGAATCAAAGTTGAAGTCGAAGTCGTTCGTTGCTGCTTTCTTCTTGTTCTTCTTGCTACCGCCAAGGTCCCACGGATTGGTGCTAGCCGGGGCGTCGTTGGGGGTGTCTGCGGCGTCCTTGTTTGCATCGTTGAAACTCCAGCTGTTATTGGATCCCCATCCTCCTAAGAAGTTCGAGACGCCACCAAACATGCCCGAGGACTTGTTCTCCGCACCGCCAAAGCTGAGATCGAGTTTCGGAGCGCCATCGTCTCTGGAGCCGCCGTCATCAAGGTTGATGTCATACATATCCGCAACCGTGTCTTCAGCCGGTAAATCTGCGGGTGCGGGAGGTGGAGGTGGTGGAGGTGGCGGCATGGGGTCCGCTCCCTGATATAGGGGTTTAGCTCGCAGTGATCCGCGCCCCTAAGCGAGATTGCTATATAACAACGTACCTTGCCCTTCTTGCCCTTCTTCTTCTTGCCAGCTGTCGCAAAGCCGCCCCCCCATTCGTCATCGGGATTAGCATCACCACCACCATCCCCAGTATCGATACTGAAAGCGCTGTCGGCCATTGGTGCAGCTGCAGCGGCCTCCTCCTCTTCCTGTTTCTTCTTCTCTTCCTCCTCGGCTTCTTCGGCTGCCTTACCCTTCTTGCCCTTTTTCTTCTTCTTGCTGCCGCCGAAACCCCAGTCGTCGCCATCGTCGCCGCCTCCTCCACCTCCACCATCCCCACCATCGCCCCCGCTGTTCCCTCCACCCGCGGCCCCAGCATCACCACCATTGTCTCCGTCTCCGCCTCCAGCATTCTGCTTGCCCGCATTGTCTTCCTTCTTCTCCTCATCCTTCCAAGCGTCTGCTTTCTTAGCAGCAGCTTTCTTTTTCGCGCGCTCTCGCAAATTGTCAGTATTGGAGAAATCGACTTTGGGTGATATTAGGTAATCGCCGAACGCAGATTCCGGCTCTCGTGCGAATGGATACAGGCGGTGATATAAGGGTAGAGAAACCTCGAAATAAGGCGATTGCGCTGTAGCGAGGTTGTCGGTGGTAGTGTAGTCGGGAGGAGGGTCCAGGACCGTGTCATCGTAATCTGGTGGAGCAGAACCATTTGCAGTCGGAATAGTACTCCATAGATGCTTCGCTGGTTGCGAGATAGGCTGAACGAAACCGCTCAGATACTGAATCTGTTCCTCCGTATTAGACTAGATGAAGAAGTCATAGCGCCCAAAGCGTTGCTATTGGCGCAGCTGGCGAAATGAGAGCCTCGGAAATTGCAGATCAAAGAGAGTCGCGTCGTACCGGTATCGATGAATCGCTCAGCGGTTCTCGGCTATCGCCCACAATGCCCAAATTGCTGTGGATGCGAGAGTACAGTGCTGCCATGACGGCCGCGAACCTCTGTATATCCTCTTCCTGCAACGTCCCGTCACCCGATCCAGTCTTCAATGGCCGGGTCCTTCGTCTCTGCGACGCGCTGGCGGGGAGATCTGCGAAGCGTGATGCGACAGAAGCCGACATTGCGTGAGTTTGATCTGACAACACACTGTGACGACGGAGCTGGGCGCATTGGAGACAAGACGGCTGCGCGAAAGACAATTGCTGTAAACGCTGCGAGCTGGGCGGACTCTATGACAGATAATACAGAAGACCCCCCCAAAGAGAGGAATTCGAAAACGGTGACGATAATGCGAGAGGAATGAAGCAGCAAGCAAGCAAGCAAAGAGAGAAGCGAGAGGAGGGATCACAAGGCGACCCTTCTTGGGGTGATGGTGCCGGCTGGAGTAACGCCCGCCTTGCTCCTCGCGGCAACACGCCCCTGTCTGAGGCGCGACGGGAACGGTGATTGGCACAGGCTCGGGATCCGATAGGCGTGCTCAGCGTCCTCGTCACACCCTCCTTCAGCTTTCGACTCCTCCAGAGCTGCCAGGGCTCGCAAATGCAGCGATGGGTTGTGTTTTGTATGTAGAGGGGCAATGGTGTCGTTGTCGTCGGCAGAGAGGCTCTAGGGTCCCAAGGGAGGATTTTTCCTCCCTCCCGCCGCCAATGCATGAATTCGTGCCTGCTGCAGGGCCTCGATGCCGCGGATGCCACTTGCTCGATGGCCTCGCTCACCGCATTTATGCGCCTCTGCAAATCTCCAGTCAAGAGATCCAGTCGCGGTGGAGCGGCGCTGCTGGCGTGCGTTTGCCTCGACGAATCGAGGTGTGCGCTGCGGTTAGTGGGACCCGTTTCGCTGCCAGCCAGGAAACGGCTCGGCCTTGAAACCAATGGCGGCACGCGTCGATTATCAACTTGCCTCAAATGGTGATGGTGATACTAGGTGCAGAGACAACAAATGCATCTTCTGATATCAGTGCTAACCAGACAACGCCGGGCTGCAGCAACTGTTGGGCGTCCCGTCGTGGCTGTAAACAACCCCATGGCGAAGCGGGCCGTTCCAGCGGGCATGCGATCTCGGCAGGTTGGGAATAGCAGGGGACGAGACCTGAATTTGGTCTTGCTGGGGTGAATGAGGGCAAGAGTTTGGGGAGCGCAGTTGAACTCTCTAACACTTCTGTGATCACGATAATGTGGCTTCAGTTCGTAACGATAATTTCATCCGTACAGCCGATGGCCCTTTGCGTCCAGGTATAGTGCTATATGAACAGGAAAAGTCAAGGGGATCGTATATAAACCCCGAGAGAAACACCTGACCCAGAGATGGGGCCCCGAACCGTGAGGTGCGGTTCACCTCTTAATTGTTGCAGGCAGGGCTGTAAGATGATCGGCCGTGATCGGCTGTGGAAAGAAATGAGACACATAAATCGTGACGTATGTTCGCTCAGGCGTCCCACAAGCGCTGAATCACCACAGGCGGAATTATGAACAGTAAGTACAGTCGCGGATTCGGACTTTAGCACATGCTGGGCGGAGGTCAGCTCTCAATCTCTCCATCCAGCACTCTCCCAGCTCTATCTAGTCGTCGCCTTAGCAATCGCCTCTCATATTGATCACCTGCAGTGCCTTGTAATTGCAAGCAAACTTGCTCAAAACTAGCAGCAAGGCTGCAGATTAGCTGCCTCTCTTCGGGACTGAGATAACCGGGATGGCCTAGTATCGAATCTAACAGAGTTGATACCGTCGCTGAGGGTGGAAGTTGAATGGTGTGAGTGTCTTTGCCCATATTGGATTCGCGAGGAGTGGACATCCCGTCGCTGCTCGTACAATCTTCCTGAATTATGATTGCGGAATCCGCTCGCTCGAGGTCGGTGACAGAATCAAGCACAATTGCGTGGGTCTGTCCGTGCAGCGAGTAGAAAGACGTACGCTGTGGTCTAGTAGGCTTCGTAGCGGTCTCGTTGTCTGGATCGAGGCCTTCAGCAGCGGTGGCGAATGTAGCCAGACTGGAGACAGAGTCGGCACTCTGGTTGCGATGATGCGTAGTTGGTAGGGAACTTTTCGACCCACTACCGGCTTTATGAGCCGACCGACGTCCAGGAGAAACCGGCTTCGTGGTCTCCACAGAGTCTGTCGAGCTAGTGCTTGACCTTCGACCGCCTCGATCGAAACTCCCCATGGCGCTATGTAAGAAGAAGTTCTCATAGTCGAATGCGTCCGCCCGGTCTTCGTGCCGCTCAGTGAACGGTTGTGAGATTCCACCGTCATCGGCTTCCTCGTAGACGCTCTCCGCATCCACATTGCTGTCAGCGTCTTGATCTTTGTAACCGTTCATGGCTGGCAGGTAATCCTCGTCAGGTCTTGAGAGGTACTGTCCACTACTGCTGAGGCCATCGATTGCATGTCCGTTGCGACCATCAGTGTACTCGGCATTCTGGACCGGATGCTGGTCCGACTCCTCCTGAGTACTGGGTGGAAGGTTATTCTCTGCCGGCTCGGTGGTGTCTTTCACCGGACAACCAACTATTAGTTCCGATCCAATCTTGTCAGTTGCAATTCGGCTGTTGCTCTCTTCATCCCCGTAAGGCCATGCCTGTGCATTATTGAAAGGACTTGGGTCTCGAAGGTTCTGTAGGCTGCGACGCCGCAGACCATCTTCTCGCGCACGCTGTTTCAGACTTGATATGCGTCCTTTCAGCTCTTGCATCTGAGCGCGCAGATCGCCTGTAGTTGATGCTGAGCGGTGCAGCCCATTATAGGGCGGCCTTTCCTCTTCCATGAGGGGGCCGAGGCCTGTCGGAGAGCTCACAGAGCCTGCCGAATCTTTGCGCATCGGACGTTCACGCAGAGAACCCCAACTGTTCTGTCGGCTGACGCGCATCACTTCTTGACTGCGACTTCCTCGAACGAAATAGGGGCGAGAGAAACTCGAGCTTTCGATCGGAGATTTGACGCGACCGAAGGAGCCAAATGCGCTGGCAGGTCGCGCTTCCCCCCAGTTCGAGCGCGATGCTGCTGCGGTATCGATCGGAGATAAGACATGTGATTCGCTGTGATTGCGAGCATGTCCCAAACCTCCCACAGCATAGGGGCGCAACGCTTGATCCTGACCCTGCTGGGCTGCAAAGAAGCTCGTGTCTCCATAATACTGACTGTCGGGATCTTGCACCGCCGAGGTTTGAGATGAAAGCTCAGCGGCCGATCTGATGTCTCTCATGCTTGATGAAGGAGTTAACATAAGCGAAGAGCGAGCACCTCTTAGGTTTCCCTCCATAAGCTTGGTAAAGTCAGCTGGAACTTTACAGCAACGGAGTCAGGGTGACCGCATACATTGAGCCTCTTCTTCGCGTTCGCTAGGATTATCTCCGCTCTTTGGCTCAGCGCTGCCGAAGAGAAATCCTCATCTTCTTCTCCTTCTTCCTCATCCTCATCCCCATCTCCCGCTGTCCTCCATGGCCAACGTTTGTCGTCTACCCGCCCGCCGTTCTCGACCTGCCGGTGTTCGTTCTGACCCTCGCAATGATCCAGCGCAATGCCTGCAGTATCTGCGCCGTGATGACCGTCGAAGCTGCGCCAGTTAAGGTCGCCCAAGTCCTCGCTATACACAGAGCTTGAGGCAACGCTCCATCTTTTCTCTTCAGATTGGCTACAGCTGTTCATACTTGCGTCCAGAGGCGCATCTGTTAACGTGGGAGAAGAAGCCAGGTCGCATTGGTAGGAATTGCGCTTGCTAGGCGTGTCCACCTCTTTTATATACGGCAGTGTATTGACCGGTGTGCGCCAGCTGGAAGCAGTTCGAAGATGGACTGGGTTGTTCGGAGGAGGCCCAGTACCAGTCTGTAACGGCGCGGGTTGCGATTGAAGCTTGCGCAACAGCTCTGAAGGAGAGGGAGGCGTCTCGCTTTGCGGAAATGGCAATGCTGTAGTATCGAAGTAGTGATCAGGTAGAATCATGTCCGGGTTCGTGAGCGTAGGCGACGGCAAGCCCTGAGGGACCGCACGGCTTGGTGAAGCTACGAGCATGTTTGCAGCAGGAAAATCGTCCGGGATCATGCATGAGCTGTGTGATATTTCCGGGGTACCCAGCGAATAGCGGACGGTTAATATAAATATCAAGGTACGAATAGACTCCCCGCGAAGATGTCATGACAAGTGCACATGGAGCCTGGACAATGGACAAGAGTTGAGAAGAAAATAGCTGTACACAATAGAATACGCGACCTGCGAGTTCCAATTTCGGAGGAGAGACCGCCAGGCGCTCTGACCAAACTTTCTGTGATGGGCAACGGGGGCAATCTTCCAGCCTTCCAGAACCCTGCAATCACGGGTGAGCGAGCGCCATTAGAGGAGCGCCATCAGCGCTGATGAGACGCACCGGTTCTCCAAGGTTGCAACGGCTCGATCTCAAATCCCGATTCCGCCTAGGGTCTCGACACGGTTGTCACATCGAGCCGCTCCTAAGTGAAAACGCAACGCAGAGGGTAAGGACGTGTTCAGTCCTTTCCGTGATGGCTTAGTCAGCTTTATCTAGCTGTTGGTACCTGCAGATATCCTTCGTGCCCCTACTGCACTGCACTTGGGCTACTCATCCCTTGTTTACTCACGCGCTGCTTGTTGTCTGTGGCAGTGGTCAAGAGTTCAACGTCCGGAGACGGGTGGCTTAATGATACAGGCTGAATATGTACGGTCGACTTCTGTGATCCGCTCTATGATCTGTCTTCTCAGAGTCCGACTACTTGCGCTCCATCTCCTTGACCACTCTCTCCACAACCTCATCTAAATCCTCATCCTCTAGGCCGAGCTTTTCATTCGCTGACTCCCTACCGTAATATTGATCTCCGAGCCCCTTTTTGAAATGAGACCCGTACAAGATATTCAACATACCCATTCTGTCTCCTTTGGCGAGCAGTTCCGGTCCCGCCTTGATGTACTCGTCCACCGGCATTCTGGTGATTTCCCAGTCCTCCGGTTTCGTGCTGGTAGCACGCTGCACGGCGGAAAGCATGTCAGTTTGGCTGACGGAGAAGGACCTGGTGTAAGCGAACTGGTTCTTGTAGTCGGAAAGAGAGGGCGAGGAAGACGAGTACACAGGCAGACTGAGCAACCGTGCAACGGCTCGGCCGACTTGGGGAAGACTGGTGGTTACAATGGGGTTTGTGCCGTCATCGTAAAGAGTGGCCTTGCGGGATGGTATGTCGATGCTGAACCACCCTCCCTTCAACCCCTATGCAGGATGTAAGCTGAGCGACATTCAGTGTGAAGAAGGGACGGAGTCATACATAGTCAATCCAAAGGTTGCATGCTATGCCAATCCAGCTGCTCGTACCTAGCTCTTCTATCAGATCTCGATACTTTGTCTTCGATGCGAGGATTGGGACCGCGTTGAGCAGCTCTTCGTTGGCTCCGTCGCCTCCATATTCATTGGGCAGAATCCATGGAACCCCAACTTTAGCGGCGGCCCGGATGAAACCGGTTTGAATGTCCGGGGAGGCCATTACAGACAAAGTTATGATGAGGACATCCTGGCCTTCCAATGCAGATTCGAGAAAGTTTGAGGACGTGTAGTCACCCCTTTTCACTGTAACACCAGGCGGAAGGGTACCAGTCGACTCCTGCCGAGAGATAGCGGTGATATTGAACGTGCCACGTTCGAGAAGACTTCTAGTTATCTCACCACCGACTAAACCGCTTGCCTAAGCATGCTTTAGTTGATGTAACGAGGTTGTTCAAGCCTCGTGTAACACTCACTCCGACAATTGCAACGTTCTTAACGTCATCCTTGGAAGACATCCTCGAAGAGTGCAATCCTCTAAACCGTTAAATATCCAATGCTTTGACCAAGACATGACTTCTGGCTTACCCAGCTAAAGATATGTAGAATGCAAGCACCGGATCGAGACTTGTATGGTTATATGAAGCACGGTTTGACTCTCCACGGCCTCAGTGATCAGTCTCTTGTCAATGCTATATCGAACACGGGCAAGGGAATAACTCGATGATGCGGAGCAGTTGAAATTTAAGAGGGAAACGGAATGCTGGAGTCCTCAACGACAGGACTAGACATGTTGTTTATCTACAACTCAGAAGGATTCCCCGCCTACCCAGTGAGCCACCCGACGGCCAAACTCCCTGCCCGTCTGCAAGTATCTTGCCGCCCCCAACACCTCGCCTGTAGGCAGTCGGCTTAACGTCTACCCGGGAAACACCTGCTATTTAACTATGCTCCAGTTCAAGGGAGCCAGAGAAATCTCCGGAGCCCTAATGGAGCCGATAGAATTCTACGAACAACAGACTCTTGCGACCCTATACATGTTCTCAAGTGGTTTACATCTGCCAACCACAAGATCGCGCTGTTTCTCGATCTTGCGCGCTAGTAAGGATGTATCGCCCAGTCGGAGCTGGAAGATCCAGTCCTCCGAAGGACTCACAGGCGGCCAGAATAGAATCTCTGGTTTAGGAAGCGGCTATCGCCGGAACTGCCTACTCTATCGCTTACCTCAACTCTCTAGTCATCGGCTGTGTTCACGAGTCCCCGTTGCGCTGCCAAAGCGTGCTCAGCGTTCTCGGCCGGGCTCAGGCCGAAGCTCGTTTTCAGCTCGGTTTAAATCGGCGACCGCTCAGGCTCGAAGACGGAATGAATTTGTTGAGATCAAGTTTGGAGCAGATGCTAGAGGTCCTACGTTTATCAGTCATAAAGCTTCAAATACACCTGCAGGAGAGTTTTTGAATGTTTACCAAAACAGGAAAAATGTCCTCACTGGCGAGGCTGAGAAATGCCTGCAGGTGCCTTGGGTCGCGCCCTTCCGCTGATCAACCGAGTTATTCAGCACTTTGACGACCGCCAAGAGGGTCCAGTTGCCGTCAACCACTGAACCAGCCGGACCCGCCAATCTAGACACCCACTATTATGTCACTTCGAACGGCGGCGAAGAAATTCTCCTCCATTCTTCCGTTTAGGGCGCGGTTGCATTCATGGCGGTCATCACGATGTCTTCCTCATTTTTCAGCGTGTCTTCCTTAGTAATTGCTGTACGAGTAGATATATCAGTGGCAATATTTTGATTTCCTCCTCACACTGTAGCATCATTCCAGTATCAAGTCCATTGAACAGCGGTACTAGATACAAGCTCTGCTTGACGCTCGTCACCAACAGCCGTACGTCATGGCAAACGATCCCATGCCTGAGGTCGACGAATTCGAAACTCCAGAAGCCCGCATTGAACGACTGGGCCGACAACGTCCCGAGAAGTTCAAGTCACTATGGGCCGAAGCAGGCTTTGTCTTCTCTGTGGTGATGTCCCAGGTGCTAACTGTAAGATGGCCCACTCGCTGAATCGGTATTGCAGTAGCTAACAATGCCTAGGAGTATTTCGTGTCTGGCTTCAATGTTGTCCTGCCAACCATCGTGGAAGACCTGGGTATCGCACAGTCTTCAAGCACCTGGCCAGCTGCCGCATTTTCCCTTGTCGTGTCGTCTTTCCTCTTGATTTTCGGACGTTTGTCCGGTGAGTAACAGATTTCCAGCCGCTGCCTCAACCAGAAACAAACTGACACCGACCAGACATGTATGGCGGCTACCCTGTCTATCTTGGAGGCGTCGGGTGGCTTGTAATTTGGTCAATTGTGGCCGGCTTCTCTCAAAACGAAATGATGATGAATTTCTGCCGTGCCCTCCAAGGACTCGCCCCCGCAGCATACCTACCATCAAGCCTTATGCTGCTTGGCAGCATCTACAGGCCTGGACCACGCAAAAACGTCGTATTCAGCATCTACGGTGCTTGTGCTCCGCTAGGATTTTTCATTGGTATCTTCTTTGCCGGCGTTGCCGCCGAATATGCCACGTGGGGTGCCTACTTCTGGATCGGAGCCGGCTTAACCGCAATTACTGCTGTCGTCGCCTACTTCACTGTTCCCTCCGATATACAGGAGCGCAAGGGTCTCGGCATTAAGATGGACTGGCCAGGTGCTATCCTCTCCTCGTGCGGGCTGATCCTCGTCGTGTATGCCATTACCGACAGCTCCCACGCGCCAAACGGCTGGGCAACGCCCTACATTTATTCACTCCTTATCGTAGGCGTGCTGGTGCTGGGCGCCGCAATCTACGTTGAAGGCTGGGTCGCGGAGATGCCGCTGCTCCCATTCGATCTTTTTGACGTCAAGTACATGAAGCCATTAAGTCTGGCGCTCTTCTTTACCTACGGTAGCCTCGGTATCTTTATGCTGTATACGACATTTTAGTAAGTCTTCCAGTGGTGGCCAAGTGCGCAAATACTAACACTCTCTAGTATGACCGAAGTCATGGGCGCAAGCCCTATGCAGCTTGTCGCGTGGTTCACGCCAATGGCTCTCGGTGGCTGTATCATCGCCACTTGCGGCGGATTCGTCCTCCATCTTGTGCCTGGCAGCGTCATGGTCATTCTGGCCGGTGTGGCGTGGATAATAGCCCCGTTGCTCTTTGCACTTGCGCCCGAGGGCGCCAATTACTGGGCTTGGATCTTTCCCTCGATGATATGTGCAACCATCGGCATTGACATTACCTTTAACGTCACAAACATTTTTGTCAGTCTACACCAACGTTCCCTTGTCTTCATCTGAAGAGGCGCTAATGTTGGCCCAGATAACAACAAGTCTTCCGTTCAGACAGCAGGGCCTCGCCGGCGCGCTCATCAATTCCGTCCTTCATCTGAGCATTGCGTTCTTCCTGGGCTTCTCGGAAGTGATAGCGACCAACACCAGAGAAAGAGGCCCTATGCGCAGCTACAAGGCCGTTTTCTGGTTCGAAGTAGCATGCGCGGCTGTAGCTTTGGTGTTGCTCGTTGGCTTCGTCAAGATCAACAAAGCATCAAGCGCAGCGACTGCTGACGAGATCCAAGCGATGGCAGATGCTGAGCGTATTTCTACTGAGAAGCAGACTCCGGTGGCGCCTGTCTCAACTTGAGTTGTTGCTGTTTCACGATCTTATGAGGCTAGTTATGGCATATAGAGGCATGATGGGAAATTTTCATGATACCCATGCATACGAGGCGTTTTGCTTTTGTTAGACACTAGATACGTTCTGATGGTTATGGTCAACGGTAGAATCATGATATCAAGCTGAGTTCGTATTTGATCCGACTTTCGTGCGAATAGTTGCTGCCTTGTGATGTCCTATGTTTCAGTACAGAAAACGGTGTCCTCAAATGCCAATAGGCAGCAATCAATATCCCGGCGATATATTGCGTAGCAGGCAGGCTCTGTCCCAGAAACCCTTTACTGTGCCTTTTTGTATGCAGCCACATTTGTTCGATCATTTAAGTCGTTGTTCGCCGCCTTGTCAGGCACGTGACTAAGCCACGCTTTGCCAGATTTCCTCAACAGCAACAGCAACCGGCTCCAAATCAATTACCCTCGAACCCCAGTGCAATACCAACACACACCGCGCCGAATCCCCTGAGGCCTACAATACATCTGAGTGAGTCCATTCAAGTCGCCTCTGCAACGTGCTGGAGCAGTCCTTTAGTGGCGGGATTCTCGGGGTGGCCTCCGTTCGCATGGTCAGCTTCGCATTGAACCACCTTCCTCGCCACGAGGAGTCCTGTCGTCTGCGCTGTCACCCTCCCGTCAAAGACTTGATCCCAGTATCAACTGCCTTCTATCGATTTCCTTACTGACCGCCATCCGCAACAGTTCCAGGCCGCACTTACACCGCTTTTCCTCAATCCCGACTGGCCTTCCTCTTTACCGCACAACACAAACACAGTCGCGAAGATGGGTCTCACATTCTCGAAGTTGTTCGACAAGCTATGGGGAAAGAAGGAGATGAGAATCTTGATGGTCGGCTTGGACGCTGCCGGAAAGACCACCATCCTTTATAAGCTGAAGCTTGGCGAAATCGTGACGACGATTCCAACCATTGGTGCGTATTACGCCTCGGACGTCTCATGGGCATCTCCAAGGACCCAATGCGCTTACACTCGAAAAAACAGGTTTCAACGTTGAGACAGTCGAGTACAAGAACATCCAGTTTACCGTATGGGATGTTGGTGGGCAGGACAAGATCCGGCCCCTTTGGAGGCATTACTTCCAGAACACCCAGGGTATCATCTTCGTCGTGGACAGCAACGATCGCGACCGTGTGGTCGAGGCTCGTGAGGAGCTGCAGCGGATGTTGAACGAGGACGAACTGAGGGACGCGCTCCTCTTGGTCTTCGCTAACAAGCAGGATTTGCCGGTGAGCAACCTTTTCTAAGCAAACAGACCGCGAGCTGCGCTAACAAACATATCTAGAACGCCATGAACGCGGCCGAAATCACCGATAAGCTTGGCCTGCACAGCCTCAGGCAGCGCGCTTGGGTATGATGCCGTTGCTTTACCGTCCCCCAGCACCTTGCTAACTGTCAGTTCAGTACATTCAATCTACCTGCGCCACCTCCGGTGACGGTCTCTACGAGGGTCTAGAATGGCTGAGCAATTCACTCCGCAAGGCTGGCCACAACTAAACCATTTCCCAACGTCCATACACACTGGGTTGGATACCAACACCCGAATCCACAACGCCAATCTTGAGCCCCCCTTCACTCACGAACCTTCATCCTCTCCTTCCCTCTCACATCACGGCGGAGCAGTCATATCGGAGTTTGCTAAGCAAGTTTGGTTGGGTGGTTCGATGGAAGCACACGTCCGTCTTGCTGGCATGCAGGCTATAACGTCACCAAGTTCTGCAAAGATCTTCCTCATGCTTTGGTACTTTACGTGCAACGACGGGGTGTTCTTATCTGTTTTTCTTTTTCGTCCCTTACGGCGCGTGCTCTCTTTGAAGGGTTATCCTCTCCGCTGCCACCGGGTGCCGGACGGGGCTGTACAAAAGAGACATAGCCATAGAATGGGTGGTTGAGGTAGCAATTAGTGTTGTTCGCGCCTTCAGTTGACTTAATCTTCTAAATGATGCCGTCTCCTGCCCTTGACGTCTCTTCAGTCTGATACCTTATGAGAGCCACTGGAGCGAGCCGACGCAGGGCACCGTATCTGCACGCGGGCTGGATGAACATTGGCGCTCCAATCACGTGACATAGGCGCACAGACCGGCCGCGGCTTCTTTTCAGCTCTGCTTTAGCCCCTGTCCATCACCCGTAAACATCTTCACCGTGGGTGGACCACGTCTTGTGTCTGTTGCAGACGGGAGCAACACATCCGCGCCTCTGCATCGGCGCCGAGGGGACAGCGATTGAGAAAACAATGGCGCCTGTTTCCCAGACACATCGCCTTGCCGAACAGCGATCATAGTGCTGCCCTCGGGACCGCGGGATCCTCGGGACCGCGGCACCCTCCGGCCACCGAGCGGCGCCGCCGTTGAGGCCGTTCTTCCCTCCCAAATTTCTGGTACTCCTACTACAAGCCAACTCTGCAGCAAAATGGATGTACCTTTCATCAGTCAACATCCGCTCGCTGTATCTTTTGACCTACGAGTCAAGAAATATGTCCCCAGGTGCAAGGCTGCGCCCGCCCTGATCGGATCCCGTGGCATGCGAGGAAAAACCAATGCGCCATGATTTTGTTACGACTGATCCGAAACCTTGAACTGCTAAGACTTAAGAGTCGATAAACCCACGCATCTGTTGACCTATCAACTTGTCTGCTTCTTGTCTCTTCTCTCTCATCGTTTCAGTTACCACCAATACTCTGATAACCAGTCCTGGGTTGTGTAGACCATGTCTTCTCAAGAGCCCAAGACGCCCATTCCCGAGCCAAGAGGGTTACCTTACCTTGGCAACATAACTGAGTTCAGGTCTGAGGACTCATTGCAAGACTTGGCCCGCCTTCATGATACGTATGGTAGGTACACAAGTTGCCTAGATTGGCTTGGACACCTAGTAAAGCCTCAGACTGAACAACTACTGACTTCATGCTGTAGGGGACATCTTCCGTCTACGGTTCCCTGGAGTAGGATCCTGCGTCTTTGTGGGCTCTAACCAGTTGGTGAACGAGATCTGCGACGAGTCTCGCTTCAAAAAGTCTATCCAGGCAGAGGTGGCCGAGGCCCGTCTTATCGCTGGAGATGGCCTCTTCACTGCAAAAAGTGAGGAAGAGAATTGGGGTCTCGCTCATCGTATACTGATGCCTGCATTCGGCCCCGTCTCCATAAAGGGCATGTTCAACGAGATGCAAGACATCGTCATCCAAATGGCCCTCAAATGGGCTCGGTACGGTTCTTTCAACCCCATCCCCGCCAGTGACGATTTTACCCGTCTGGCACTCGACACGCTTGCCCTCTGCTCCATGGGCTACCGGTTCAACTCATTCTATAAAGATGAGCTACACCCATTCGTCCAAAGTATGGGCGATAGTCTGACCGAGCTCGGGAACCGTACTCAGCGGCCGAAGTGGGCCAAGGTCTTCTACCGCTCGTCTGAGCGCAAGCTCTTCAAAGATATCGACCTGATGCGCACGACATCTGACGAACTCATCAAAGCCAGAAGGGCGGCCTCAAACGGCAATAAGAGGAAGGATTTGCTGACAGCTATGATCGAAGGCGTGGATGCGAGGACGGGCAAGAAGCTTAGTGATGAGAGTGTTATCAACAATCTGGTCACCTTTCTCATTGCAGGGCATGAGACTACTTCGGGGACGCTGTCTTTTGCCTTCTACTCGATGCTCAAGAACCCGCAGACATTTCAGAAGGCCCAGCAAGAAGTGGATACGATCATGGGTCGAGATCGTATAACAGTCGATAAACTCTTCAAGTTGAAATACATCCCAGCCGTAAGTTACTCAAACTCACCTGCGTCGACGTTCTGCTCGGCCCATACCCGCCTGTACGCCATGGCACAAGTATTGTACATTAACCTTATCCTAGATGCTACGCGAGACACTGCGCCAATGCTCGCCCATCCCCGGCATTACGCTCGAGGCTCACGAAGACACGCTACTAGCCGGCAAGTACCCCGTCAAGAAGGGCGAGCCAATCACGGCTATCTTTTCCAGGGCCCATATCGATCCTGCAGTATACGGCGAGGATGCCAACGAATTCAAGCCCGAGCGTATGTTAGATGAGAATTTCGACCGCCTACAGAAGGAGTTTCCTAACTGCTGGAAACCCTTCGGCAACGGTATGAGAGCCTGCATTGGGCGACCGTTTGCTTGGCAGGAGATGCTCTTAGTCACGTCTACCCTTCTCCAGAACTTCGACTTCTTTCTTAACGATCCATCATATACTCTCAAGATTGCAGAAACATTAACCATCAAGCCCAAGGATTTCTTCATGCGCACTTCTCTCCGCCACGGCATGACTCCCTTGGACTTGGAGCGCAGTCTCCGTGGTGAGGCAGATGAGAAGGGAGCTTTCGCTCATGACGATAAGGTTCCAGAAGCCCTAGCCCACCGTGACCCGACAGCCAAGCCGATCAGCATTTACTACGGGTCAAACAGCGGCACGTGTGAGGTTCTTGCCCGTCGACTCGCTTCGAGCGCACCAGCCCACGGCTTCAGGGCCTTAATGGTAGATTCCATCGATGCAGCCAAAGACAGGCTCCCACAAGATCACCCAGTCATTTTCTTTGTGTCTTCGTATGAGGGCCAGCCTCCGGACAACGCCAGGCAATTCGTGGCGTGGCTGGAGAGTCTGGTCGGCCAGGAACTGGTCAGGGTCCCTTACGCGGTCTTTGGCGCCGGCAGCTCGGAATGGCGCCAAACGTTTCACCGAATCCCCAAGCTTATTGACAATAAGCTAGAGAATCATGGTGCCGAGCGACTGGCGCCGCTTGGCCTGACTGACGTTTCGGAAAAGGATCCATTCTCAGACTTCGAGTCATGGGAGGATAACACTCTTTGGCCAGCTCTTGAGACCAAGTACGCTGTGTCCAAGATCGACGATGTTGGCTACACAGACCTGACGGTGGATGTGTCGACGCCACGCAGCTCGACCCTGCGGCATAACGTCAGGGAGGCTGTTGTTACTGCCACGAGGGACCTCACCACGCCTGGCATGTCTCGAAAGAAGCACATCGAGATAAACCTCCCCACCGGCGTGTCTTACGAGGCTGGCGACTATCTGGCCGTGTTACCTATGAACCCTCGTGAAATCGTCGGTCGTGTGTTTCGCCGATTCAAGCTCTCTTGGGATGCTATGCTCACAATCAAGGGCAACCAGGCCACTCTACTGCCTATGGGCAGCTCGACGTCGGCCTCGGACGTACTCAGCTCCTATGTCGAGCTCTCGCAACCTGCGACGAGAAGGAATTTACTAGCTCTAACGGCGTATACGCAGGACGAGCAGACCAAGAAGGAGCTCGCGTCATTAGCGGCTGATGACAAGTTCCAGAGCGAGATCACCCAGAAGCGTCTCTCAGTTTTGGATTTACTCGAGCGGTACTCATCGGTTGAACTGCCGATTTCCACGTTCCTGGGCATGCTGCCACCCATGCGCATCAGGCAATAGTAAGTTATCAATCCCGGTGTTGTCCCCTTCACGTCTCGTGTAAACATGTGTTAACCTTTGACCCTTTGCTACACAGCTCAATCTCGTCGTCGCCCTTGCATGATCCTCGCCTCGCTACCCTGACTTACTCGATTCTCGAGGAGCCCTCACTTGGCGGCCAGGGCAAGCATATTGGCGTAGCCACTAGCTACCTTGACAGTCTGAGGCCAGACGATCGTATACATATCGCTATTCGCCCCTCGCACGTTGCATTTCATCTTCCCCGTACTCCGGAGACGACTCCCATCATCTGCATTGCCGCTGGCTCCGGCCTCGCGCCCTTCCGAGGATTCATCCAGCAACGGGCCGCCCAAATCAAGGCTAACCGGAGCTTAGCGCCTGCGTTGCTGATTTATGGGTGCCGTGGCAGAGGCGACGATATCTACCGTGAGGATTTTGATGCTTGGGAGGCCGCTGGCGCCGTTAGTGTCAAAAGGGCCTACTCTCGCCAGCAGGAGGCGACAGATGGATGCAAATACGTCCAGGATCGGATGTTGGAGGCAAAGGAGACTCTATACGAGCTTTGGGAGAACGGTGCCAAGCTCTTTGTCTGCGGCAGTCGGCAAGTTGGTAATGCAGTCGAGGCGGCGTGCATTGAGTTGATAAGTGAGCTTAAGGAAACTGATAAAGAGTCAGCCAGGAAGTATTTGGACGAGATTCGGAACGAGAGGTTCGCTACAGATGTCTTCGAGTGAACGGTGGCTCCATATACGGAGCCTAGGCGGTCGGGCAGTGACGGAGGCTTCAGTATGAGTGGCATGTTATGAATCTCCTTTGGTAACAGTTCTAGATTGATTGGCATTTTATCAAGCGTTAAATGCTCGCCGCTCCTACTAGCTATTGAAACTTTGCTCAAGAGATCGACTCAATGTTGGAGGTGAGCTCTTTCTACCCCTGGTTGTTTGGCATGTACCTTGAATCATTAGACAGACAGGCGTTTAGCACGAGGAGATGGAGTACTCGGGTTGATTGAGCCACGGGATATATCAAATTGACGAAACGATGGCGAGTTGCACTGCACGAATCACCCAAATTCATCTTGTCAACCAAGCCAGTGACTCTGGTATCTGGCAAGGCAACTCCACCGTTGCTGAACATGCTGGACGGGCTGTGTGTTCGCTCATCGTTGATACCAGACTTCCCTGCCCCACTTGTAATGGACTCTGCAATGGACTCCTTGACTACCCTACTCGTGTACCTTAACGTGGACCGAGGTTTGATGCTGGCAAACTCTGGCTCTCATTCCAGGGGTTACTGATGTGAACGATCTCGCACATGGGAAGCGCGAGAATCTTTGTGAATGCCTTCTGAGCCACCCAGGCGCCCGCCTTTCCAAGGCCGGGCTGAACCTGTGCCACGTCGCAATGCGCGCGCTTTATTACTTCTTGCGAAATGTAGGTTCGTCTCGGCAGCGAATATCACCTTAGGTTTGGGTATCGCATCACCTAATCCACCCGGCTCACCTACTCAAAGCAGCATCCTGCCACAAGAGGCAACGGTGACAGTCTCGCAGATATCTCATAGATATCTGGTCACCTACCTACTGGTAAATTATCTACGAGAATATACAAGGTTTTCTTTCATATTGTAGCGGGTAAGTATTACTACTCTATACTCGCGCGAGCTGAGGTTGAGTTTAGGTAAGTATAACTAAGTTTTGTACCTGCTTACCTGTCTTACTAGCCTTACATTAACGTCAGCGGTCTTATCTTCCGAGCCCCATTTTCGCCGGTCAAGCAGATTAGTAAGTTTTGGATATTGCGTCGTCTGCCATCTTCTGCGCTTCTCCCCGGCCTGACAAGGCTGGAGTCATCTCGGCGATCTGGGGCGCGAGCCGGCAAATGGGGCCCCAAGAGCCCCACGGATCACAGGCTTGCATACCGCGAGCAAGCCTGTCCCGCGCATGGCGCAGGCTGCCGCAATATGGGGAGGCTGTGCACTGGCTATGCAAGTCAGCTGTCCCAATTGTCCTCTCACTTTCTGATGTTATTGTGCGTGCTGTGTGTATATACTATTGTCGTCCCGCGGCGCGTTCGCGCAACGAGTCTCCAGCGGCTCTTTCGCACTCTCAAATCATAAAAGGCTACTGCATTTTGATCCTGTCGCTGTCGGAAACCCGACATACGTACCTTTGCGCTTAGAGTCTGCCCTGGGTCCTTCAGCCTTGCGAGAGCCGGCCAGCATTGTCGGTATCACAATGGGAGTGGAGTTAGTAGCAAGCATCATTGCTGTTGTCGCCACTGCTTCCAGAGTCTCAGTCCACTTCGGCAGGTTTATCTACGACGTTAAAGATGCTGGTGAAACCAGGAACGATCTTTTCTCCTGGGTAAAGAGCTTGCACGAAACGCTCTGTCTGGTCCACAAGACCCTGGAGCAACGGCAGAAGCAGACACCGACCAGGCCCCTAACCGAGAACGAGGAGGAGATATGGACAACGGCATCAAATACCTTGAAGCGCTGCCAGGAGACGGCGAATAAGTTCGAAGAAAATCTGCAGCGTCTGGGTGGAGGAGGGTCCGATCCGAGATGGCTGCAGAAGGCTTGGTTGCACTTGAAGATTCAGGTCAAGAATCCTGTGATAGCTAGGATGGAAGCGCAAATCCATGCAAACATTCGGGCTGCGCACTTTCTGTTGACTTGCCTCCAGCAGTAAGCGCTCCCCGCCTGATTACTGTATTTGGCGAAGTGTCTAACTGTGCCGCAGATATATGCATGAAGAGACACAAACGGCATTGCGAGCGGAAAGCGAAAAGCACCAAGAATTCCTCTCAAAGATACAACATGACATAGGCCAACTCAGGGCTTGTTACGCGACCCTATCGCAACAAATTCGCCCTAGACTGGGGCGCCAATCTCAGGCTGCTTCCTCAGAGGACGAAGCCGAGGGCACGACCGCTACTCAAGATCTAGCTGGAGACAGGGATGTTCTTGAAGATGAGCCACCAGAATTGCAAACAATGAAGGAGTGCATTCACGTCGCTCACTCGATACGCGACAAGATGTCAGTAGCGAGTAGCATCGTTGGGACCGCCACGCAGACCGCCAGCGGCGGCGAAACGCGATTGCTGGAAGACGCACGACGTGTGGGCAATGGCAGACGGTCAGGATGTGAGACCGAATACAGTGATGACAACGATAGCGACAGCGATACCGACGCGGACTCTGGACACAGAGGAGTGAGTTTGACTGGAACTGCAACTCCAGAGCGAGCGGAGACCATCACAGCTGCCCCCGTAGTCCCTCATCAGGCTGATCAGGTTGAGCGATCCGTCGAAGATCCCATTCTGGGACTCGATTTTACTGAACCACCAGATGTGTTAAATACCAACATCGATAACTGCAAGAGGTCGGCAAAGGAAGCTGCTTTGGCCGGAGACTACGAAGGTGCCGAGAGAGACCTACTTGATGCCATAGAGTTGGCCAAGCGTCGTCAGAGCATTTACAGCTTCCCCTTTGAGGAAAGGACAGAACTCCTGGAGCTGCTGGCTGAAGCTTTCGCCAAAAACCACAAGTTTAACAAGTCGAAGCGAGTGTATGTTGACCTGTTGCGCGAGTCAAACGGCAATCCGGTCAGGGAAGGGAGAATGTGTTTCTTGCTTGCAGAAATGTACCGTGAGAAGTATCGAGTCCAAAAGGCCGTTGGACTCTTCGAGGCTTACGAGAAGTATGCGATGGCCGCATTCAATTCAGCTCTGCGGTTATCGCCAAGCCAGGATCCCAACAGCTCATGGCCAGAAGGACATCCAACTCTACGAGATACTGCTCAAGTTCTGGTCGAGCTGTATGGCTACTGGAATAAGCCAAGCAGAGCAAAGACGTTTACTGAAATGTATCTGACGAGACAGGAGAATGCGGCACCGCATTCGGCTCCCGTCAGCACGAGTCCTTTAGACACGCCAACTCCCCTAATCGGTCCAGATCTTCCGCCCACGCCACCTCCCACTGCACCCGAAGATCCACCCCCAACTTCGCCGGAATCTTCAACAAACGTCTCCGACTGGAGCGGGCCCTCTCGTCGGGCTGCCCCCAATCTCTCGGTCCCGATTAGAAAGGGAGACATCGAATTGACCAACTATGTACTCTCATGTGGCGCCAATATCGAAGAGCGCGACGAGAAAGGCCTCACTCCTCTTCTCCTCGCCGCAAGTAAAAAACAGACCGCGATTGTCCGTCTTCTCCTAGATCAAGAAAGAGGCCCGAACGTGCTTGCGAAGGACAACAAAGGCCGGGGCGCCTTGCATCACGCTCTTTTCGGCCGCGGTGGGGAAGATATGGTGGAGTACCTTGTCAGGCACGGAGCGGACGTGAAGGCATGCACATCCGACACGGAAAAGATGTCTCCGCTGCATTACTCCGTCAAGTTCAACAAGCTGCGCGCTGCAGAGATCTTGCTCAACAACGGGGCAAACATTGAAGCTGAGGACGGCGCTGGCAGAACTCCGCTCGGCTTAGCCCTCGAAGGGAGAAGATACGATTTGACGGAGCTTCTTCTAAGCCGAGATGCTGCGTTCGATAAAGAATCCGTGTCTAGAGTGTTTCCGGGACTCAAGGATTCGCTCATTAATCTCGAGAAGTATGGTTCGATGGAGCCACCACTGTTGTCGCGTGGCGGCTCAAGGGGGTCTGGATTAAGACAGGGCAGTATCGAGACCAATCGATCGGCGTCTTCGACGGTCTCAAACCTGGGGTCACGTTTCAGATGGCGTCGCCAAAGAAATCATGATAATAATTGATCGTCGTCCTCAAAACTTTCGAAGTTGCTGTCGCGAGTAAGCGGAAAGTCCCAAGATCGCATCGATGGCGGCTCCTTGAGATGGAAGATGAATGATTTTGGCGGAGCTTCAGGAATATTGGTCAGGATTCGGCCTTGGAGCATGTTGCATGCGCAGCGGCTCGGACGGGAATCTCGTTGGCGGCCTGGTCAAGAGGGCCACTTTGGTAACGCGAGACCACTCGTGTGTACAATAAATTGTTACCCTTGGCGCTGAAGCCTGGAGTATGAGTGGAGTGTGGAGTTTTTTGATCTGCTGGGTTAGATTTTTGTGTCAAGCGCTTGTGCCCTAGCAGGGAATCAACCTGTATCTAGACAGCTTACACTTCGATCATCGAGGACATTGTATGGAGTCCAGCTTTGACAAACGGCGTATGCACAAGTTCAATGAAGAGCGTGGGTGTATGTGGTAGCAAACAAAGGTGTGCACTTAGAAGCGTCTGGTTGATTGCTCCGAGTTCTCTCGAGAAGCACCAGTGCTTGCCGTGCCTGAGATATTTGAGCCTATCAAGATTGCTGACTAAGCCTATCGAGCCTTGAGCCTTCTCCGTACCATCCCCGATAGGTATCATTATCACCAATCCATGATTTGCCCATCTTCAGAGTTGCAGAATCGAGTTTATTCCGACTATATTATAGCAAGGCATAGTGTATAGGGTATGAAGTGAGAACTATGTAAAGAAAGAAGAGAGCAGTTCTGCGCCTCATCCCAAGAACGACACATGAGCTGTCCAGGAACTAGAATCTCCAAATGAGTGATTTGCTAATGAAGAGAAACCGATAGCCTCCAACAAGTCCACAAACCCAGATCGCAAATGCGTGGAAGCGATGAAGATGCTCTGGAACCGCCATGAGCAGACTATTGCCGCCATTCCTATATCAGCATCTACCCAGTTCAAGTTGGTGGTGACATTGTCGCCCCAATTGTCGCGCGATCATTCGGGCCGTTGGCAATGGTGATTGTGGGCGTGGTCGCCGTGGTAACCATTTCCGCCGCCTGCTGCCGCCTGCGATGCCATCTGTACAAGGATGCCAGTCTATGCTCCGTCCGAGGGTGGAGGACGCAGTTTATGATCCATGGAAGAACTGTTTTGAGTTGATATTCGATATGACGTCTCGTCGGGACACCAAAGACGTAGTTCATTTCCTCCAACGTCGTGACCTCGACAGTTCCGGGCACCAACAACCACACCATGAGAAAGGCGAATGCGTCCAATCCTGCAAACAATCCGAGCAGGCGGGTGTGGCCCAGAGCGTGAGTCAGTTGAGGAACCGTCAATGCCAGCAGGCCGGCCAGCAGGAAATTCCAGAAGCAGGCCCATGACATGCCCACTTCGCGATTGATGAGCGGGAAGACTTCCGAACTGTATAAAAATGGGACCACGCCAGCTCCTGGGGAGTAGAAGAGTGTATATAGCATGAGAAAGAATGCTACAACTCCGACTCGGGTGGATTCGTTCGCAATTTGGAAGCTGAACCCCGTTGCAAGCAATGTCGGCATGCAACCCAAGAGGGACAAGAGAAGGAGATACCGTCTGCCCTTGCTGTCGACCAACCAGTAGGCAGGAAGGGAGAAAAGTGTGTTAGCAAGTCCAAACCCCCAAGACAGGTAGAGACTGTTGATCTCGGAGAAGCCCGCATCAGTGAAAACCGAAGCGGCAAGAAAAGCGAAGATGTTGATACCCGAGAGCTGCCTGGGAAGGGTCTATCAGATTCAAATGCAATGATTGGACGAGGCAATCTGCGAACGGCAGTAGACAAGCTCTCAAAGAGGATAAGAAGGATGTGCACTCACTGCGAAGCCATCACCACAACGGAAGCAAGAGCTGCCCGTCTGTTTCTGGAAATTGTGAATAGAGCGATGAATCGGCGCAGGTAGTTAGTGCTTTTTATTGCCGTCTGATAAACTTCGTGATCACCGTCCGCCCCCCAGTTCTGCAGCTGGACCTCGACGTCAGCCTTCTCCGCGAACAGGGCCTTTTCGACCTGGATCTGAGCGTGGATATAGCAGAGTTCCCTGGCGGCCAGCAAAGGTATCCCTTGCAGGCGGAGCAGGACTTCGTACGCCTCGCGGTATCGGTTTTGTTTGATAAGCCATCGTGGGCTCTCTGAACCTAGGAAAACCAGCGTCAACAACACGAGGGCTGGGACGAATCCACTGGCAGTTTGCCACCGCCAATTATCGCGCAGAATGAGGTTCGCTGAAGCCCCTAGGAAGACTCCAAACGCGGTAAACGTCTGCCAGCTGACTAACAAGCGGCCCCGGATGCGGGCCGGCGCCACCTCTGATTCGAATATCGGTATCACGGCTGCTTTTGCACCCATACCTATACCAACAATCAAACGACAAACGAGTAAAGACTGCCAAGTGTCGGTAAAGGCAGAGCCGACCAGACCGGCGAAGGAAAAAAGTCCGGCCACGAACAACGCGCCGCGTCTGTTGGCATCCGGTCAGAGAAATACGAGAAATTGATGATAGAAGAACGCAACAAGTGGATGCACTGGAGAAAGATTGCTATGGGATTTGTGAGTTGGGAACGAGTACAAATTGGGACTTATCTGTCATAGTCCCGATTTGGAGGTTTCCCGACGCTCGACACAAGGCTTGCTCATATAGACAACTCCATTAAAGCATCAATGCAGGAACTGAGTTGACGACTAGGAACTCACCTTCCAAAGACATGTTCGTTCAGAGGATCCGACAACCATGCTCCACTGTCGGTCAAGAAGCGTCAGCCGTTGTTCAAGAATACAGAAACAGAAAAAAAGCAGAGACCACGGAACTGGAGGAGAACAGAAACTTAACAACATACACGAAGCTGGCCCCAAAATATGAGATACTATTAACTGCGCCCAGAATCCAGACATCCCTTGTAACGACATCAACGACATTCTTCCTGTTTAACTCGACTTTCAGTCCGAATTCGCCGGGCCAACCCAGATTAGCGCCCGTGATTGATTGCTGAGCCCACCCTCTGGCAATCACTGTCAGTCTGCAGGTCTGCACGCAACGCAAGAGGGCTTGGGAAACTTGCTGGACGATTGCACCGACGCAACAAATTAACAGGATGATTTTCAGCTCCTTGCTTTGACCCCAGAGGGTGCAAGTCTTCTCTCGATCGAGAGCTTTCCTCTCGAGCTCGCTCAAATCACCTATGCTCAAGAACAACGGTTCGTCTCGGGCTAGTCGACCACCACGAGCAAGAAGCTCCTTGTCGATGGTGCCCGCAAGGTTGTGGGCGTCATGGAGCGCCCGAAAATTGGCATCTAGGTCGTCTGTATCTACCCACTGCAATGGCGAGTCAATTCTGCAACCTTAAAGTTAGCATCCGGTATGGCAAAAGCACAATGACAGTAGCATACATTCCAAGCTCATTCCTCTCGAGCAGATCCCGAAAAGGCGGCCTTCTTCGCGCTCCATGAGCCTGCAGGTGAGATTGGTTTAGCCCGACGTTGCCGATGGAAGTGGATTAGAAGTATTTACCACGCCGGCCGCACTTTGGTTGGTTGTGGCCATGACTGCACGGCCGTTGGAGTTGCCTTGGTGTTTAGCAGTAGAACGACAAAAAGATGTGCCTCGCGGAAGACAGCAGAGATGGAAACGCTGATAACGCCTATTTAGAACTATGGTAAGGCTGTGGCCGGATGGCCGAACATTTAAAGCCAGCGGTGTCGACAAGGCTGAGCCATTGCCTCAAGGGTGCCTTGTGTCAACGACATGGGCCGGGCAATGCCCCAAGGCTGACTCGAAAAAGTATTTGTGATATCTAAGTCGAGTGTGTCGACCCATTCGTGCCCCGACTTGCAACGTGCGACTTGAGGAATTGGCGAGGCTTGGATAGGTGACTGCGGCTTCGCAAGGAGATCGGCGACTGGCGCCTTGTATAGTAGAGGCGGAGCACATTCCAAGTTGACAGCGAGGACCTAGTTTCTCTTAGTAAAGAAAATGAATATCCTATTCTGCGGCGGCACAACGACCTCCTTGTCTACAAAATCCTGAATCGGTGCTGTATCAGCGCCATGCAGATGTGTGGCCTTTTGTTAGCGCGTGCCGGTCAAGGCATAGCGTGCATGGCAATCAGGAAGCGACTCGGAGGGAAAGCCTCAGGCCCCCTCGGGCGTTCATGCTTACAGGTTTCACAACAGTGAGGCAGACACCCTAGCTGTATGAGTGATTTTTCAAACCCCAAATTTAGGTTAAAATAGAGTTACTTGGCGGGCTGAACACGATTGGGCCATACGGTTCCATCAGAGAAGCAAAAAAACTAAAACATACAGCTGTAAGTATTCGCTAGTAGTCACCTAACTACGAATCTACCGATTTGAAGCTTATGTAATGACACGGGATGCCCAGTATCCTTTGATCTGTGGCCGTATGTGATAGTGCATCGTGTGGGGTGATCCCTGTGTTCCGATCTGCGGAATTGTGCACATTAACATGATAAATTCCGCTGTGGATCTAAGTACATAAAGCATCCACCGCGACTCGCTAGCTGAAAGAACCCACTCCGGAGATATGGAGGCACCCGCGCTAGTTTCCCCGTACTGTCATTCAATAACACGGTTTGAGGTTTGAACTACAAACTCAGACTCAACAATGTAGGCGGTGATACCATTTCCCAGACTCTTCGCTCTTCCTGAAACACGACGGTAGGTCATACACCTCCCTTCCGTCCGCTTTCTGCTGAGCTAGGAGTGTACTGGTAGGCTGTCCCCAAGATGTACAACACAACTATAATTACCAGCCCGACGATATGCGCAACCGCTATCTAATGAGTGCCGTATTAGTCGAAACCGTCTCGTCGCCTTTAATCGTCGAGCTGAGGTAAAACTTGCCTTATGCGGCCCTTCCCAGACCGAGTCACTTGCCCGCTGCCAAAGTGGGTTGATAGCCGTCAACGTCAAGCCCATAAACAAGCTGAAGATCGAATAGGTCAGTAAATTTTGGGGTATACTCATCATGAACGTCCCCCGCTGGATCCTTGCATTCAGTGATTTCTCCTTCCCTGTCTCGTGAATCCCCTCTTCGACGCCCAGAATACATCTAAGCTGTTCTTGGGCTGAGGGTTGGAATAAGACGGACTCCAGAAATATTGTTTGTTGGAGAGCCGTCACGATCGCTATTATGGAGAACGATAGGGCTACGAAGAGAGCCGCTGCCGCCACCCAGGTAGAGGATGTCACTGTAGTCGAGACTAGAAGCTGTGCTACCGTCGCTGAAACCACTGAGCCCTGCGTCAGAATTAGTAGTAGGTCCTAATCGGTGCTCATCAAATCTATGGAAAATACGAACCACAAGCCCGACAAACCCATTCAGGGAAACTCGGCTCTTTATCCATGGCTCCACGTAATGCGCTGGGTTTTCCACCACGCGTCGTATCCCGTAAGACGTACTGCTCCAGGGACACGCAAGAACGTAGAGGGCTGCTTGGATCGAGTAAGGTAATCCCCTGTCCTGACTCAAGTTAGGAGAAGAAGCTGTCCCAAGGTTGTAGGGTAAGCCTACAGGTGAGGAGGATTTGCATGGCTCTGGGCTGATGTTTGAGGCGACATGCGATTGAGTAGGAGCTGACATGTTCTTCAAGTTTGTTCTTGTCAACGCTCTGCAACACAAGCTGAGATGTATTCGCAGAGCAACATGTAAGGCTGCGGGCGATTTCTTGGCCTTTCGGATTTCAGCTGCCAAGTGTTGAGGCTGAGCAGAATGATGCCGGTGCCAGCAAGGCTTCAAAGTGGTCGATCTTGTTATATGGACCAGACCTACCAACACTTACGTCTCAGGATAGTGATATACAGCTATGCACAAATTCAAGCAGAAGGTCAAGCGATTTTTCCCTGGAACCGAGAAAGCTCAGGCAGCCGGCAAGCGTACTAGCGCGAACCAACGCCGTCAAGTAGAGGTAGGTCAGCCACTTCCGCTCGCTCTATCGCAGTCCACGAAAAGGGCTAATGCGGCTCAACAGGCCTCTGAAGATAGCGATAATGCCTCCAAAGAAGGCGCACATGCCTTGAGAGACCGCGAACAGGCTTCTCTAGACCGCGAACAACCCTTGAAAGATGAAGAAGCCTCGAAGAATCAACAACCCTCCGAAGATGATGAACAAGCCTCTGAAGACATCTACAATGGATATAGTGGGTTCTTCCCGGTTGTGGAAGTATACGCTCGTGCAGATTCCAAGCGCTCGGCAGGCTCGCAAAAACACAAGACCCTGTAACCAGCTCCGGTCTTCTTTGGCAGCAAAGTTCACTAATGCGCATAGTGTGATTCTTGTACACGGTATCGGAGGTCATTGGAAAGAGTCTTGGGAACGTGGAGGATTTTCTTGGGTCAAGCACTTCCTACAGCCCGACCTCGAAAAGGCTGGCTTGACTGCGGCCATCCGGTCGTATGGATATGACTCAAGAACCTCCGCCAATTCGGTCGCGAACATTGAGGATGTGGCCACTGCGCTACTCAGCTGGATGTACAATTACGAACCGAGTGGTCCAATCATCTTTGTGGCCCACAGTCTTGGTGGTCTTGTTGTGAAGAAGGTAGGGAACGAACTCATCTATCCCGTCCAGATGAACTTCCCATGTGGCCGCTCAACGACAGTTCTGACGACCTATCGCTATTCTAGGCAATCATTCTCGCTCATACGGACAATCATCGTTACGGAGAACTTCTCAAAAACATTAGGGGATGTGTGTTTCTAGGAGTGCCACATATGGGAGCTGACAACACGTGGTGGAAGACACTTCCCGGGAAACTTATAAAGGTTTCCACGATTGGTTTCAAGGGGAACATAGAGTTTGCAGCGAGCATTGAGAGAGAGTCCCAGATTTGGAGGAACATCGCCAATGATTTTGTGCCTCGTATAAGGGATCTCCTCGGAATATACTCCTTCTACGAGACACAGAAGACTGGCCCGGTTCTGGTATGACACTCTGACGCTTATGCCGTAGATTCCTCCGTTGACAGTGAGTTTAGATTGTCGATCGGGAGTCTGCGATAATGCGGGTGTTGAACGAGGTTCCATGTCCCTCCGACTCCAGTCACGTCACGATAAACAGCTTTGGCAAACACGAGCGGCAACGGTATCAGCCTATTGGGATTGCAATCAAAGAGCTGATCAAGAGGGCACATGCTGAGCTTGAACAGCCTGTAGAGGGTAGGTAAGATACTAGGCCTTCCTCAGCCTTCTGTCGAGAAGGCTATTGCTGACTTCTGACGTTATAGAAATCGTCAACGATGCGGCTGAGGGTCTCTTACATACAGAGCTGCCCACAGCTACCGATACATTCTGCGGCCGAGCGATTGAACTGCTTGCCATTGCACAAGCTCTAGACCCGGCAAACCCAGGACAAAAGGGCATTGTGCTCTGCGGCATTGGCGGCTCTGGCAAGACGCAACTTGTTCTTCGGTACATTGAGCAGTATCAGCAACTTTACACTGCTATTATATGGATCAACGCGTCCACCGCACAGCACACAATGCAATCCTTTACCGAAGCGGCGAGCATGGTTTCGGTAGAATGGCCACCTCGCGACCTTCCTCTAGCGTACGTTGGCTCCGATAACTGGCGCAAAGTGATTTCGCGGCTCCGTTCCACCCGCCACACTCGTTGGCTCTTGATCATTGACAGCATAGACGATTTGAACCAGGACAACTTCAGACAGTACATCCCTTCTTGCAATCACGGGTCTATCGTCGTTACAAGCACACAGAGTCAGGCTCCAGAAGTTTTTCGGCTGGGACGACTAGAGGTGGACCGTCTGGACTTAGATAGCGGTCGTAAACTTCTTCTGACATGCGCTTTTGGTTCTATTGAGAATGCCACGCTCTCCGAGGATGGTAAGAATTATATTTGCTCAATTAAAAAGTCTCTCTAACAACTATCTAGATTCTCGCTCCGCCACAGCTATTGTGACCGAACTGCATGGCCTGCCGCTAGCCATAGAGCAAGCTGGCGCTTTGCTTAAAACAGTCTTCTCACTTTCTGACTTCATTGACGCCTATCGGGTGCACTATCGTCTTCTCATGGATAGGTATCCTGCACAGGGCCTTTTGTCTTACGACAAACAGCGCTCAATCACAACTGTTTTCGACATGCTCTACATATCTACCAAAGAAAGGAATCCGGAGGCAGCTGCTCTTCTCACCTTTATCGCAATCCTTGGGCCATGGCAAATTCCAATGTCTCTGATTAGCCAGTTCCAACTCAACGAAATTGAAGTCCAAGATCCTACGGATGAGGACACGAAAGCACTTACGACAGCCCTTAATGACTACACAGTTCTTCGTCTAGCCCTGGATGATCTCGCTAGTGTATGCCTGGTTAAGATGAAGCGCGATCGCACGCTCTCATTGCACGGAGCGGTTTGCGAGTGGTGTGTACAAACAGCAGCTTCGGAGAAGCAGAACTGGATAATCCAAGCTGCCCGTGGATTAGCGATGAGGATACTATGTTCTACTGAAAGGTGTGTCATTTTTTTCTCCGAACGCGCAGTTCTCAGCCTCCTTCAATTACCAAAAGACAGCTCCATCGTAGATACAGCTGAGCAGAGTTTTCTTCCTCGCTTCCCAGCATCCGACTCCGGATACTTCTCTGTATAGCATCGTGCTCTCTCATATTTATCGTTTCCTTTTAGGCCGTGCACTAACCTTCACGTCAGCTTTTCCTCAGCTTGGGACTTTCAAAGTCAAAGCATTACGCGCTCATATCTCGCACCACTTGATCGCTGCAAATCTCTCATCGACAAGCATATTCCTGCAGAAGCCTTGAGTCCGCCTGGCGGACGGTTCTGCGCAGCTTATGCTGAAATCGCTGCTTATCTTGCACAAGCTTACCTTTGCGAGAGCCGGTTGGAGGAAGCAAAAACAAATTTTCGCACCGCCATTGAATTTGAAAGGATCAGTCAAGGGGATTCATGGCCGAGCACCGAAACATCACTCACCCTTCTCCGAGGTCTTGCGGCTGCGTGTCAGAAATCAGGCGGTTTGGAGGATGCCGCAGAACTTCTAAAGTCCGCACTTGCCCTGTCAGAAAAGCTCTATGATGAGTGGGATCCCAGAACTGCAGCAATTTCTTCCCATCTCAAGGCGGTCTCAGAGAGACGTGAAACTATGCTACAACATCACAAGTCTGCAGTCGTTGCTACGGCAGACTCTAAGCTCCTCGAGGAGATTCGACAAACGGCGCGGACGCCAGAAAACGCTCCCACACGTATCTCTTCAAGAGCATTCCAGATTAGGGACAACGAAGAGGACTACCGCGACTTGGAGCTTGAGGAGAGAGCAGGCTATGGTACTGAGCTTCTTGGCGCATCTTACGAAGGCGACGAAGGTGTGGTTAAGTTGCTACTGGGCCTAGAAAATGTTGAAGTAAACTACAAGGACAAGAACGGACGGACGCCGCTATCGTGGGCGGTATTGGGAGGGCACGAGGCGGTGGTTAAGCTACTAGTGGCGCGTGACGATGTTGAGGCCGACTCAAAGGATAAGGACGGATGGACGCCACTATCGCGGGCGGCATGGGGAGGGCACGAGGCGGTGGTTAAACTGCTAGTGGCGCGCGACGATGTTAAGGCCGACTCAAAGGATAAGTACGGACGGACGCCGCTATCGTGGGCGGCATGGCAAGGGCAAGAGGCGGTGGTTAAGCTACTAGTGGCGCGTGACGATGTTAAGGCCGACTCAAAGGATAAGGACGGATGGACGCCACTATCGCGGGCGGCATGGGGAGGGCATGAGGCGGTAGTTAAACTGCTGGTGGCGCGCGACGATGTTGAGGCCGACTCAAAGGATAAGTACGGACGGACGCCGCTATCGTGGGCGGTATGGGGAGGGTACGAGGCGGTGGTTAAGCTACTAGTAGCGCGCGACGATATTAAGGCCGATTTAAAGAATAAGTACGGATAGACGCTACTATTATAGGCGGCACGGTAAGGGCACGAGGCGGTGGTTAAGCTACTAGTATCGCGTAACGATGTTAAGGCCGACTTAGAGGATAAGGACGGACGGACGCCGCTATCGTTGGCGGCATTGAGAGGGCACAAGGCGGTGGTCAAGCTGTTAGCATCCCACGTGACGCTTTTATAACCACGAACCCTCCCTACTTTCCTTTAGTGGCTTCTCTTCTGTTTCGATCTTACTTGAAGTAGCAACTTCTACCTCTGTAACCTACTAAGTAGTGTTCTTAATCTTCCAATAGCGGTGCGCTCGCGGAGTTTATATTTTATAATAGATAATAGGTAGTCAAGCTGGAGCTTGCTACTACGTTATTGTATATTGTTGTCAATAACGCTGTATATTTTGCAGCTTCGTGAAAAGTGGTGAGATATATAGAATACTCGAAGTATCTAGATATCTTAGGCGGTTGGTGCACGAAAGTTTAAACGTATAAAGGAGCGGGTATTTAGAAAGGAAGCGGCGGCCGCTTAATCACCCTCTAAAGCTATCAACAAACCCTAACAACCAGTTCATATAATATATATCTGCACCTTCTATGACTGAAGGTATACCTGGGTGCTAGTTCGTCCCCATAAGCACCTAGATACTCAAGTTGGGTGGGTAGATAGTAATACGCCAGAATCAACTCTGCGTCAACCACCATCAACACTATTAATATTTTGGCCTTAGTTGGTGTTAGATAATGCTGCAGAGGCTTGCGGTCTTCTAAAAGAGGTGTAGAATGACGATTCTGACGAATTGAGCGTATTAGAGGCATAACTTGTTATAGTAGAGGTGCTAGTATAGGTGGTGGTTGGTGTAGTGTTGATGAAACGGAGCGTGCGGCGTCGATTTGGTGTATTGCTATTTACCGCCCAACGTGATACTGTATTGAGAAGCCTTATGGACGCGCGCCGTCAAGCGGCCGCTTTCTCGGTAAATACGCCGTTCTTCGTACAGTCCGGTTGCAGCCTGCACCGTGACAAGTCTTTTCTAGATACGTTCCCAGCTGTTGTTTCAATTGGATTTCAATGATAAGTTCCGTCTGTCAGACACTGCGGCCGCGTAGGGAAAGGCCCGGATTGAGACATGATCACCAACAGGCTTAGACAGGTTATTGATCGAGATGCCGAATATGACTCTCCATTACCGGATTAATATTACAAGCTAATCTGAAAAAAGAAACCGTGCACATCAGATCCATCTAGAAGCACAATTTAGACTAGATGGTCTGGTCGGAGCCATGAGACAATTTAGATAGCTCTTTCGATGACAGCAAAAGGGGGAAATGAAATGATAAGATGAAAGAGCGTAAAGGAAGGGAGGCAGGGGCAGAACCACCACGATACCCGACCAGCAGGAACCGCGTCCAGCAACACCGAACAGCATACGGCCAAATAAGCCACGCCCTTTATCGCGCTTTCAGGCATGCCTCTAATCACGCTCCCAGGCATGCCCTCGAGCAAGCTCCAGTCAACCGCTTGAGCATGCTCTCAATCACCACCACGGCAAATGAAACACCTTCCCGTGCAGCCCTTGAAACAGCATCTGGCACCCCCACCGCTCTCAACCCACTCAATGGTCTGTTGACGCTCAACGAGCACCGAGGTCCAACGGGGGTCGTTTCTGTCATTCCGCTGGTGGAGAATCGCATACTCCGGTGACCGTCCGACTGGGAGAGGCCGTGGGATTTGTCGTCTCTGTCGCCTTCGTCTTCCTGCGGGCTGCGCGAAAGGTTCCGCAGCTAGGTAACCACCAAGCTGGGCGGAATCGGCTTGAGCGGTAGCTTGGGTGGCAGCTTGGCTGTTTGCGGCAGGATGATTGAGAAGGGTTGGGCTGTGTAGGGGGTGCCAGTCGACGGTCTCACGGATGCTGGGAAGGGGGGCTGCACGACGGCGACGCCAGGGTACGGGACGTAGACGCTGCTGCTCGAGGGGCTCAGGATCACCCTGCATGTTCGATTTTGAACTGTCATTGTTCTGCGGTTGCGCGCTGCGCTCGTGCTGCTGAGATTGCTCTGCCATGATGACCCTCCAGGGGTGCTGGTCGGTAGATAGAATAGTTTTAAATGTGGTAAAGTAAAGAATGTCAAAGTGGGTTCGTGAATATAGAAATCAGGAGCAAAGAAGGTCTGATTAGCAGGAGACTGTGGGATGAAGAAGCAAAGGATTGAGACTCTAGAGAACACATATTGCAAGGAATTGTGGACCTTTTGTATTTTGTGAGTGAGGTGTCACATCAAGGGAAAACTGCGTATCAGACAGTTCATTGTAACGATGTTGATCCTGATCTGAGACAACATTGTCACATTGTCATTGTTGTCGTTGCTGTCTAGAAGTCTACGCTCTGCCAGCTCTACCTATCTGGATGATCTCACCAGTTAACCGCTCGTCCGCTCGTAACACCGGCCAGCTGGAGCCATCTGCTTTCGCCAGCGTAAGCTCCAGCTTCGTTCCCATGATCTTGAACGTACTCTGTTCTGGATCGATAGGCGCATAGAGTGGCACATTCTGCAGGTAGCGCTTGTTGTCCGACGTTCTGAGGTCCAGATCGATGGTTGAGGATGACGCGAACTTGACAGTCGACTTTTCCTTATCGATCTTCTTTAGGAACAGCGACGCGATGACAGAGGAGGGTGTCTGGTAAAAGTCGTGGCTACACGTAGTCAGTGACCATGTCGCGCTGTACGGTGCACGTGACGTCTCATACCGCACGCTGTCCAGATTCTCCTCGCCGCGCTTCTTCCCACTGCCAACGAAGAGATGTCGGTCATTCGTCTTGCATCCCTCGATCTTCATGAACTCCTCAAACTCCAGCACGCGTCTCTTGCAGCACGTCCAGCCTTTGCTGCCTTCGTGAAAAAGCGCTTGTCCAGGATGATGTATGCACTTCTCGTCCTCCCTGCTCGTACCCGGCACGTATTCCGCCTTGCAGCCGCGCCTTCTACATGTTTGGCCTGCTGGTATGGGGAGCGAAGGGTCGTCCGATTCGTCCTCCGGGGGTGCGGGAGAAGCGGATTGAGGTGTCTGCGTTGCTTGTGCCCGCGGTAACCGCGGCGTGGGGGCAGGCAACGGTGCTTCCGCGCTGAGAGGCTTCGATTCAAGCTCCGGCTGCTTGTTCTGGACAGGCTCCGGCGCAGGAGTATCGTCCACTGTGGAGTGCTTGCCGGTTGTGCATGGCGGGATGGCAAGGAATTCCTCGAAGGTCAGGACTCGCGGTTTGCAGCATTTCCAGCCTGGTGCATCTCAGTATCTACCGTCCGGCGTGTGTGCTTCTGATTTCGGTCTGCACAGGACGGCGTACCTTTCTGGCCTTCGTGGAACTCTGGCGGGCCAGGATGGTAGTTGCAGTCTTCATTGTCGTCGGTGTAGGTCTTGCCGCACCCTTTGTGTACGCACTTCTTAGACTCAGTCATGGCCGTTCACTGGGAGTCTGAAAATGTACTTTGACTTGTCCTGGAAGCAAGTGGTGGGCGCCGAAGAAGTTGTCTGGTTGGCGAAGTGTCAACCGCCGACGTAAAGCCACTTCTTCAGCCCTATGAGAAATCCGACAGGAACGCCCAGAAACCCATGCGGTTCCATTTCCCATCTGTCCGTTCCCCCTATCAGTCTTGACTTCCTCCAGCCTCCTCTACAGCACCTAGCCCTGACTTCAACTCGTCCGGATGTTTCCCTCTCGTGCACTGCTGCAGCGTGTCTGCCGCCTCACCTTGTTTACCCGTGCCAATTGCTCGCTATGCGATGACGCCAAGACCGTACTGTCTCATGTATGGGACAAGCGGCCTTTTGAGTACACTGAGATAGATGTCATGTCTCCAGGGCAGGGACAATGGAAGAATAGATATGAGTTTGACACTCCTGTAGTACGCTGGTTGCTTCAGTGGATTGACCCGACCGTACTGACTGGCAGCTAGCTACACGTAGAGAAGGCGCCGGGAAAGGACAACCACCCAACCTCGGCGGAGGCACGGAAGCTCATGCACCGCTTCAAGGAAGCAGACGTCGAGCGCCTCATGGACGAGGCTGGGAAGGATGCCACACCTTCCAGTTGAGCCTCATCTTCCCGTTCGGGACAATCGCTGCCGAATGTGACGATGTTGCAAGCTTCGGCGGGGCACTGCATGTTGTGGAGGGGTAGCGGTTGTTCACGGGGTTCTCGCCGCACGCTTCTCTAATTAAGGCTTCTTCGAAGTCGCGACTGGAGGCAATCTTTCAGTTGAACTTCAGACACGCAAAGAGCGAGGACTATGAAGATGCAAGCTGCAAACAGACTCCAGAAGGCCCTCAAGAAGGGTGGAGCTACCTTTGGAGCATGGCAGGTCAGTATTCCTAGCAATCCAACTCCTTCTTTGTGACCTCTGCTGATGAGTACAGATGCTACCCGGGACGAACCACTCCAGGGCTATTGCACGAAGCGGCGTCGACTGGATATGCGTGGATGGTGAACATGGCAACATCGACGGTGAGCGATTGGGCTCCCAATTGGTACCGCGACAATTGACTGATCTTACCTTCTGAATGGTAGATGGTCAAATGCACGAGGCTGTTGCTGCTATTGCCGCTTGTGGTGTAAGCCCGATAGTCAGAATCGCCGCGAACGAGGGCTGGATGGTCAAGAGTGAAGCCCACACTTCAAGTTGAACGGCTCATGGCTGACCCTATCAGGAGCCTTGGACGCCGGCGCGCACGGCGTTGTCGTCCCTTTGATGTACACTGCAGACGACGCTCGACAACTCGTGAAGACAGCCAAGTTCCCTCCTCTCGGTGTCCGCGGATTCGGATCACCGTATGCGCCGCCGGTCTTCGATGTCACTTCTACAGAATATTTACAGCAAGCCAACGACAGCCTGGTTACTATCGTGCAGATCGAGACGAAGGAGGCGTTGCAAAACGTCGACGAGATCGCCAAAGTACCCGGCGTTGACGTGCTCCTTATCGGTCCGTTCGATCTCGGAAACAACATCGGTCATCCCATTCTCGACGGAACAATGCACCAAGAGCTGAAAGACGCTATTATGCACATACACGAGGCGGCTGAGAAGAACGGCAAGCGAACGGGAATCTACTGCACGACTGGGGAGCAATCAAGGGAGTATGCGGACAAGGGTTTCAACATGGTCAGCACTACCTCTGCAGACTCTGCTATGGCACAACGAGCTGACAGTCCGAACGCAGATTTCAATCGCCGCAGACATGATAGCCATTCCCACTTACTTTGCCCAGACCCTGGCAACTGCGAAGGGCAGCCTGGCGCATTCAGCAGTTCAGTTCGCCAAAGGTGGAATAGCGAAGATGACCGGCCCGTACGGTCGGTAACATAGATTCGCAAACTTTCCGTTGGGATTGAGGGCAGTGCCCCGACAGGCAGCTTGTAAGGCTGCCGCTCAGACCGACATCTAGAAGGTGGCAGCGGAGGACAACATCCAGCACATCATCGCATCCGATGCTTCAGTACTCCGAAAGCTCGTCACACTTCGCAAGCCTACGAGAATAGTTTAGCTCAGAATGCTTAACACGTGATGAGGCTCATAGTCAGAGCTGAGGTTTCAGTTTCCGCTTATTGTTGTTCAGCTAGAGAATAGCGTACGAGTCATTCTCTTAAGCAATGTGCACTACTTCTCTCGTTCCATGCGGCGTCCAGTGTTCTTGTGAGGAAAGTACGCGCAACGTAATGCCTACGGTAACTGACACAATCTTTTGTGGGAGTTGATCGTGAGCGAACGCGTCCAATGCGCCCGACGCTCGGTCCCTTCGTCTATTGCCTATTGTCGGATTTCCAAGATATGTCCTGGCAACAAGACCGCTTCTGTCAACACGTTCCGTCGGCAACCCATGCCGTACTGTACATGACCATACCCAATGCGCCATACATGTAATGCAACATTCCATTATCGATCCCCTCATCATCGGCTTCCTGTAGTACGGCGGTTCTCTCTCCCGCTGCCGGCGCTACTCCTGCTCTCTGCTTTCCCACCACTGCCATTACTCCTTCGCTCCTCCCTTCCACTGCCGCCACTCCTTCTGGATTCCCGTCCCGCGCTACCGCCGCTAGTCCTCTGCTCTTTGCTGTTTGCCACACTGCCTCCGCTCTCCCTCCGATTCCCACCACTCCCCACCCTCCTCTCCCTCTCCGCACTACTCCTCCTCACCTCCCCCGTCGGCAGCGGCGGCACCGCCTCCCCATTCCTCCGTCCCGCCGGCACCGCCCCTCCACCCACGCCCTCACTACTCGTCCCCGACCCCGCCGCCTGCGCCCCGACCCCAACCCTCGGCGTCCCCTCCCAGCTCCGCCTCTTCATCATCTTCCCCAGCACCCCGACCAACTCCGCGGCGTCGTCGAACTCGGCATCCGTAATCCCCTCGCTGGCCCGATACACCTCGCGGATCGCCTGCCGCGCCAGCCGCCGGCTCTCCGCGTGCGCGGCCACCACGTCCCACAGGAAGGCTGCGTGCTCGACCGCGATGGAAAGGCGGAGCGGGTGCGAGCCTGCGAGGTGGCGCGCGCCGAGGGCGCCGGCTTCGGCGAAGGCGGCCAGGGTTTGCGGGATGTAGTTCACGGCTGGGAGGAGGAAGGAGGGGGAGAGGGAGCGGTGGGGCGCGTGGCGCGGTTGTTGCGGGGAGAAGCCGGGCGGGGGGTGCGAGGTTGCGATGCCCGGGTTGGTGCTGGAGGGGGGGACGACGAAGTCGGGCCAGGTTGGGGGATTAGGGTCGAGGCCGGGCGGGCGGGAGGTTGGAAGTGGTGGGGGTACGGCTGATGAAGGGGGGATGCCGCGCGCGTCTTGGGGATAGGGGTTTGTGACGAAGGAGGAGTCGGAGAGAATCGAGGTCACTGGATCCCGGAGGGCGGGCTCGCGGAGGGCGCCGTTGCCGTTGCCGTTGCTGCTGCCGTTTCGGTAGGGCGGTTTTGTGGCCGATGGCGGAGAAGTCCGTCGTACGGTGGAAGTGCCTGAGGTTGGAGAGGTGGTTGTGGCGTTGATAACTTGGCCCACTGGCGGATAGTTGTGGAACAGGCAGAATATGTGCAGGAAGGAGGCGCGCAGCTTTGCGGCCATGACGATGCATTCCCGTGCGTGCGGTCCGAAGAGTTCTTGGTTGTCGCCAAATTTCATCCATGGAATTACCCAGTCCTCGAGCATCGTGAGGCCTTCTCGAGATAGCCAGACGATGTGGTGGTAGAGGCCAAGTGATTTGGTTTCCCTGGATGTGTCCAATTTGCGCAGCTTGCGCGCGCGGTAGAGTTTGCGCGAGAGCATGACCGAAAGACCCAGTATTTTGTAGAACGCTTTCGAGATCATAGGGTTCACGATCTCGGTGGACTTGGCGAGCATGGCGACGATCTTCTGGTCCACGTCCGAGGACGCCATCTTTTCTTCAGCTGTGATCATTCTTGGTCAGCGAAACGTTCCCGCTGCAGCCGTCATAGAACTGTCTTCCGGTGTGCCACCTGCAGGCTCAGCGTTGCGCCGCGGACGGCTTTGTCAAATCGGGTTGTACAAGAGAGGATGAAAAGGGGATGCTCACTGCTGCTAGCCGGGCGTGGCAACCATACGTCGTGCAACGGCGCAAATCCAGACCTGTTTGAAGCCTGTGGATGAGGGAAGCGGATCGCGCCCAGCGGTACAATGAATCGCTGGAGATCAAGGAAGCTCGGTTAAAGGGATGGTGCGTTCCTTTCAGAGGTTGGACGACTGCGTGTTTTTCGTCTGGCACGAGCTCTCGGAAGTTGTATGTATAAGAGTTCGTGACCGAAGGTTGTAAGTTACTTTCAGGATGTTGAGGGACGTATTAGGCGGACTATGATACAGCGATTTTGGGGAATTCCGACGTCGAGACGGTGTTGTACAGGTGGTATCTTGGAAAATTATGGACAACGCAGAACGCCAGCTCTGTTCGTATCAAACCTGGCCATACTGTCAGTAGGGGCCACACACGTAACTACAAACAAAAGGATGGATCAGAGATATGAGGCTTGGAGTACCTGGAGGCGTAGAGTACAACGCAAGACGGATATACTAGTACTTTTACAGGTGACCTCCCATTCGCTCGAGAAGGACCAATAGAGACGTTAAAGTGCTCACAGAGCTTGGACAGCCTTTTTCACCCAACAACAGCAGACGTCACTCATGAGGCGTAAATCGTAAGGCAGAGGGAGGCTGGGCAGGATCCGCGACCTTTTGACAACGCATTGCGCTTGCTGGCCGGCCCTCTACCACAACGCAATTGACAACGAGGTGCGTGTTTCTTATAAGTCGCTCACCGCCTGGCTGTGGTCAATGCACCAGAATCGACTGAATTTAGAGCAATGGAGCGCCCAAGGCTTGTCCGGAACCCAAAACCAGGGTTGGCAGGGCTGATGAAGCTTTTCTCGAAGTGCGGTTTCGTGAGTTTTCCACACAACTCGCGCCGGGACCAGAGTTTTGCAACGCAAGGGCGACAACTGCGATAGCAACGATGAAGCCCACAGCAAACGTGGAATATACACAGAGGAGCAAAGAGAAGGAGTTTTGTAGCACGAGCCCCGATGCTGCACCCTCTGCACCGGCGCGCCCATGCTGCAGGGCCCTGGCGCTTCACCTCATGCAGGCCGTTGCTACGTGTCAAACTAGGTCGAAACAGCGCAGGCTCGACATCTGGTAGTTCCCGCTGTCTGAGCTGCCAGGCCAGATCAACCGTGGAGAGACGCCGCCGTCATGGTCGGCGCTGCCAGCTGGCATTGTGGCTGAACTCGGATGCGGCGGATCAACTTTGGCGAACCTCGCGGTGGTCTGCACTGAAGCTTCTTCTCTCGGAGATGCATCGTCGCCGCGCCTCAACAACACAGCATCGCAGTCCCGTGCAAACGCATCAGGCACGCCGCACGATCGGGCAGAGCTTCCCGCTGCGGTGGCACGCTTCCTGCATTGTGCGCCTCGCTGAGACGTGGATTCAGTTGGCCCTCGCAACTCATCCGGCAGCCCAGGAAGATCCACGCCTGGCTCGCGCATTGCGTAACCGCATCATGTCCCAGGATTCGGAGCTGCTCAAGCTTCCTGTTCGGCGGTGACTGTGGATAGTCAATCGCTACCCAAGGTTTATCCAAGGAACTTAGCAAGGCGCCAGGCACGGGCTTGCAACCAGCGGTGAAGGTCATGTCTCATTGGTGGGCAGCCGCCATATACGGTAAGTATTTTATGCATTCTCCCGGCGGCCTCGTGTGCGAACACTTGGCCCGTGGGTCTGGCTGTTGTTAAATACTTGGCCCGTCAAAGGCACGACGTGACGGAGTGCGGTGCGGTGCTTCTTGCATCGGAGGAAGGACGGCGGGTCACATGATTCCGCATCAGTGAGTCGGACGAGTGTTCTCTAACGGATGTTTATTACCGTAGACAAAGAGACCGCGTCCATCTGACAGTCCCTTCCATTGTCTTCTCAGTCTTGTTTGTTCTGCGAGGCTTCCGACGGATGGGACTCTCCGGCGTAGCAGTGTCACGTTCTGAAGCCTAGCCAGAGTCAAGCACCGTTGCTCAGAAACGCTCCTGTCAAACTGCTTTCGAGTTTGTCCGCAGTCATCGTCTATATTGCTCCGTTGCCTCATTGTCTGTGTAGTTGTAGTCAACCCTTGGCATCCTGTCACTCCTGCCAGTACCCGGCGCCCGTGCGGCCATGTTCCTCTTATTTCATTAGATCTCTCAAATAGTGCATCGGTCTTCCGGAAGCAAGAGTCCGCCAACTTTGAGCCGCTGCCGCCTTCCCCGTGGCGCAGGGCTGACCGCACAGATGGACCCTGGGGTGCTTCAGTAGGCTGATACATCAATCGGAGAGGGCCCCAGAAAGCGTTACGGCTCGCCTTACCTTAGGCATACATCATGTGTGCGCGGGACGGCTCGTCGACTGCATCATCTTACATCGGGGAATTCGCGCCAACTCCGGCCATGAAGGTCCTTCCTCGCATCGGGCATACCAGCGCGCAAGGAGATGGGCGTTCTGATAGCTGTCAGTTTGATCCCAAACGGGCCCAGAATCCCCAACAGAGTCACACCGAGAAGCCTCACCCGGCTATCACTTTGACACCCCAGCATCACTGTAAGGAACCGCAGCATACACGGCGGCAACGCCTTGATCAACGAGGCGGCAGGAAGTAACAATCACCCAAGAGCTACTAGCTGGTCGCCCAACGCTACGCATCGGAGCACCATGATGAATCGGCGCAGATGTATAAAGAGCTGTGACACAGCACCTCCTCACTCTTTCATCCCTACGCCATCTTGTACGATCAGCACTCTCGCACAACATACAGTCATACGGACAAAGGACGCTCAGATCAGGCATTATCAAATCTTCACCTCGGTCCCTAACACGCGACTGTATTGTCTCTATTGACCGAAAAGGGGTCTCCGAGGACACACGCATCAACACACACACACGCACGCACGTGAGTCTCCCACCAAAGCAACCACGCAAGACCCCCCCTGTCCTACTCCACCAGCAATCCCTCTCATACCACCCCACCCCCCCGCGCCCAGCTCCCCCCAAGTCACCTGAACCCGCCTACTGACGAAGCCCAGCTCCCCCACCAGCTCCCCCGCTCCCCAAAGAGCAATCAGCCATGTGCCGCTACTACGCCCACACCTACGCCTGCGGCCACACGCTGACCGTCTTCGCCGCCTACTGCGCGCCCGCGGCCCTGATCCAGCGCGCCTGCGGCGGCGGCGAGATCTGGCAGAGCGTCCGCATGGACCACCCGTGCGCGAGCTGCCCTGCCGCTGGGGCCGACACGAGCTCCTCGGCGGGTTCGAGCGGCGGGATGGCGGGGAAGGGGAGGGCGAAGGGCAGGAAGGTTGGGGGGAGGCGTTAGGGGGTATGAGGATGGTGGGATGGGGGGCAGGCGCATCTAGAAACCGTGTTCGAGGGACGGATGTAGAGTGTGTGAGGGAGGGCACTTGGGTCGTGGCTGGAGCTTCTAAGGCTTTTGAGTTGGATGTCGGGCGTGCTCGTGGAAGGAGCTCTCGGGTTTCACGTGACTCACGTACCGCAAATCTATGGTCTCTCAAACGCATCGATGTGATCTTCGCTGTTTATTTCAGAGAGAATTCCTATGCTATGACCACAACGTAGGTAGTCCCAATGCGCCCAGCTGATGCAGAGAGCGCTAACAAGAAGGATTCCCGTCCCATGCCCCCTCAGCCAGTACGAGGACCTCAGCGGGGGCGGCGCGGGCAAAGCGCGCCACAGAAGCCCCCACAGAAGCGATGCAGAAACGAACAGCAGAACCGTAGCACGCCGCCCAATGATCGTCATGAATAACCTTGTTTGCCCCGTAACCATCTTCCGACAAACGCATCAGAAGCGGACAGACCAAAGCCCCCCAGACACCGTGCTATGCAAATAGAAAAAAACAGCAATAAAAGGACTAAACGCCCTTACGTCCCATATGCAGAGTCCCCCCCCTCACACCGGAGAACAATAAAACGCCTCTAAGTATTTTGCGTGCCCTTCAAGAGGGATGGGTAGCAGAAACATTGGTATGATGCAAAGCCCTTACGCCTTGACCCGTGCCTTCTCCCCGTTGACCTGTTGGCCGTTGGTCCTCGCCGATGAGTCCTTGTTGCCGGACGAGGCGGTGGTTGTAGTCTCCTTCTGGAGAAGCTTGCGATACATCTGGCTCAGCTGGCTGCCCGTGGCGTCCTTCTTGGGCCAGTACTTGCTGCTGACGTGGTTCCTTTGAAATGGTTAGCCCGGCTGTTCGGCGACGGAATCAAGTGGGACTAGAATGACTTACCAGAGCTGATCTTCAGACCCCCCCTCCCTCACCTCTTTCCTGATGAAGTTGCCGATCTTGATAAGCTCGACCTTGTACACCTTCAGCCGCGCATTGGAGTCCGGCATCAGCGCTGGCTTGGCATTGCGCACGCGCTCGAGGTTCGACTGGATAGGTCTGAAGACCCGAGTAAGCCGATCGTCGTGTGCAGGCGGGGATGCGCCGTTGGGAATGCTGTCTGTGGAGCGATGAGACTGGTGCTTTGGCCGCTCGTTCGCCTTGCGCTGCTTGTGCTTGTCATCCGCCTCGGTGGGCTTGCGGCGCACATCCGGGGTACCATTGCGCTCGTCCTGGGGCGAGCGGCGGTCAGCACTTCGGCGATGCTCACTCTGGCTCTGGGCACGGTTGCGCGACTTTTCTGACGCGCGCTCCCGGGTAACCTTGCGGACATTGCTGGACACGCTGCCGGGAGCTGGGCTCTGAGACACGCTTCCCGACTTGTCGGGGCCCCGCTGGCTCATGGCGTACTTCTTGTTGTTGCGGTGATGATTCTCGATTGCCCGCTTGGCAGCAATGTTGGTGCCGTTGCTGGTCTTGTCCTTGAGGACGCTCAGCAGGTAGTTGGCTCGGCGGACCAAGTGAACAGCGCCCGGTGACTTTGCGTTCTTGTCTTCAGCTTTGCTCCGCTCTTCCTTCTTGTCAACTCGATGCTCTTCCAGAAAGAACTTGTCAGTCATGCCGAGCTCTGGGTCGTCCCGAATGGCAGGCCATGCGCCAAAACCGTGCCTGGCGAGACCAACACATAGCATGCCGTCCTCGCGGGCTCCCCACTCACAGGTATAGTGCGCAGCTTTTGATGCTTCGGGAACGCGGAAGTTTGACCAGTCGCCAGCAGCTGATGTGGCATCCTGGAGCATGCGCATTTCGACGGGTCGTTCCAGAAGGGTTTCGGCATTCAAGCGCTTTACGCCCTTGTAATCGAAGAGAATGGCCTTTTTGTCCTTCTTGGTTAAAGACTTGCTTGCCTCTCGTACCATCGCATCGACCTTATCCTGGTCCTCCTTCAAGAGCCTCCGTGCCGTATCAAGCACATCGTCAAGCGTTGCTTTCAGGATGTCCGGATCACGGCCAACCAACCTCGCATCCCGGATCATCTCCTCACCACGCGTCTCAAGTGAGCCATATCGTTCATGTGCTTTGATGAGGTTGCGGATCTCCTTCTCGTTCAGCGGCCGTTTGGGATCGTTGTCTGTGGAGTCCTCGTCGTCATCGTTGGCAATCGCTTCGGCTGCAGCCTCTCGAGCCCGCTTCTTCGCAGCCCGCTGCTCCCGATCATCCGGCGCTCCCTTGCGCTTTCGAGGTTGGTTCTGCTCGATAACAGATGCAAGATACTTCTCATCTTCCTTCTTCTTCTCTTCAGCTTTAATTGCATCAAGTTGATCCTTTGGAATGATATCGTCCCAGTCGAGATCAATCTTGACGTCGGTATATTCGAAACTCTTGAGAAAGTCTTCGCCACCGTCAGCAGTAAGGCCTTCAGGCTGTTCGGTCTTGTGCTCCTCGGCGCTTTCAAGCACCGCATCGATGTCGAGCTCCTCTAGCTTCTTCTGGTTACCAGATTGTTCGAACATCTTCTGGCCGCGACGCTTTAGAATTTGCGAGATGTCATCACTGTTGGTAGGTTCGGCAACGCCATGGCCAGCACGGGCAATCTTCTCTGAGAACTCCTTCGCATCCTTGTCCGTGACACCACGCTGAATGGTGATGAACTCTAGTATGAGCTTGTTTCGGGCGCGCTCAAGCACTTCTTCTTCTACGGTGTCTTTCGAGACGAGCCGGTAAATTGTTACCGGGTTCTTCTGACCGATACGGTGAGCGCGAGCCATGGCTTGCAGATCGGCTTGAGGATTCCAGTCGGAGTCGAAGATGATGACAGTGTCTGCGGTCATGAGATTGATACCAAGACCACCAGCCCGAGTGGAGAGGAGGAAGCAGAAATCATTACTGTCGGGAGCGTTGAAGTGATCGATAGCCATGCGACGGGGGCCAGCGGCAACTGTGCCGTCCAGCCGCTGGAACTGATAACCGCGGTAGTGGAGGTAGTCTCCCAGAATATCCAGCATCTTCACCATCTGGCTGAAAATGAGCACGCGATGGTTGTCCTTCCTCAGCTTCGTAAGAAGTCGATCGAGTAGCATCATCTTGCCGCTGCTCGTGATCAACGCTTTCAGTATGTCTTCCCGACGCTCGCTGCCGGCCAGTATTCGCCCCTCGGCGTTCGGAAACATGAATGGATGATTGGAAGCTTTCTTCAGTTCCATCATGATGTTCAAAAGTGACTGCTTATGACCTTTTGCTCCCGCGTTTAGCGCGGCATAATTCCTGGTGAGGATATTCTTGTAGTACTCCAGCTGTACATCAGACAGTTCGACTCGGATAATCTTCTCAGTCTTAGGCGGCAGATCATTTTCCACTTTCTGCTTCGTTCGACGGATCATGTAGGGCTGGATCGCTTTCGTGAGCTCGTCGAGCTTCAGACCGGCATTCTCCGATTGTAGGTCGATATTCTCGTCTAATGTCACCTTTCCTGGCATCAGGAAATCCATGAGAGCTGACAGTTCGCCAAGGGTGTTCTGTATTGGAGTGCCAGTAATGAGCAACCTGCTCGGAGCGCCAAACTCCATCAGCTTAGCGTAGAGCTGTGACTCGCGGTTCTTCAGACGATGCGCCTCGTCCACAGCCATGAATTGCCACTTGATCTGCGAGAGGAAGGCCGAGTCTTGCAGTATGAACTCGTAGGTCGTGAGGAGAGCGTTGAACTTAACCCTCTTAACGTTGCCGTCAACGAGCATCTCATGCTCTCTGATAATCTTCCGCGCGGTCTCGTTGCCGTTGTATACAACGTAATTGAGATCAGGCGTCCAGTTGTTGAAGGTATCAGCCCACGCCGGCATTGTCGATAGAGGAACTATGACGATGAAAGGTCCTTGTTGGCCTCTCTCATGACGAAGCCAATTCATAAAGGAGACGGTCTGGACGGTCTTGCCAAGACCCATTTCATCTGCGAGAATGACATTATCTCCCTTGCACCAATGGTATGCCAGGAAGTTGACACCGCGGACCTGAAATTCCCGGAGCTGACCATGTTTGATGTATGAAGGCTGTTCGGCGATCTTCTGATATGGACGACGTGTGTTGGGATTCGACTCGGCTTTGTTGGATACCGGCAGCTTGGAAGACCTGTCTAGGTATCTATCAATTTCGGTCTGCGCAAGTTCGCTCACGAGAGCTGCGTCTTCCCAGGTGCTCGAGTCGTAATTGAGGCCCTTCCCTGTTCCGTGTCAGTGCCCTGCGGCCAACAAGGATGACGGTGACCCACATTTGACGAAGTACTCAGTGCCATCATCACCCTCCCGCGTCCCGATAATACGTTCCACTTGTTGATGCTCAAGCAGGGCATCGGCTTCTCGTTCGCGGTCCAGAGCCCACTTCTCCCGCTCCTCCGGCGGTACGTCAGGATCCGTTGTTATGTAAATCTCTTCCGCGACTACTTTGCGGAAGTAGTTTTCAAGGCGCCGAAAGCCGCGGTAGGAGGTTAAGTTTGCCCATTCATCCCAGGTGGCATGGTAATGTGCTTTGCCTTGCCATTTGATCTAGGGAAAGGCATTAGCAGGTAGCCGGCTTGCATTGACGGTAAGAACAACATACAAAGTACTCGAAGTCGTTCTTTTCAGTATCTGGGCCTGGACCTTGCCTGTCGTTAGCAGCGGAGCAGGAGACGAGTTGATTAAACACACTTATGTCGTCTTTTAGACGATGAGCCAGGACTACATCTATGGCTGGTGCATCACTATCCGCACCAGCGGCCCAATAGTTAGGTGTCATGAGCTCTGACTCTTCCTCGCTGAAAGAGTCCTTGTCATCCTCGTTGTAGTTTGTAACTTTCGCAGCCTGTCGCGTGGAGAATCGAACTTCGTTACGGGAAGGGGGTGCCTTGCCAGCTGCAACCAGCAATTGCCGTCGCCGTTGTTTCTTGGTCAGAGCGTTACGGCGGGCGCCAACGTAGACATCGGACTCGGACCCCGACCCAGTACTTGACAGTTCCGAAGGTGTAGGCTGCTTCGACACTGTGCACACTTCTGTAAGCGTGGAAGACAATAAGGGTCGATATGCAGCATACCTTTCGATGGGGCGGTTGACCTCCGCTTCTTGCGGGCCCGCACGCCTACAGCATCAGAGCCAGAATCGTCGTTCTCGGAACTGCTGTCTACCTAGTCTCATTGTAAGACTTGGTGGCAACATGACAAGTTTTCTCTCTTACCACACGACGGTTTGGTCGAGCACGGCCCTGTTGGAGCTGATCAGCCGTGTGCTTTTGTACGGAATGTAAGGCGAACGTACACTTCTTCGCAGGCCGTACAGTTCCGGGTTGTTCATCATGTAATCATCGTCCTCTGCGCTCGCCGGGCGCTTGAGCGACCGCCGGGGTTCTTCCTCCGACGAGCTCTCGGCCTCCTGGGCATTGGACTCGGCCGGCGGAGCGGTTTCGAACTCGTAATCAGCATCCGCTTCACCTTCGGCATCCTCATCCTGGGATGATTCCGAAGTGGCCATGTCCGCAACATTGTCGTCTTGTACAGCCCCCTGGCTGTCCAGTCCAGAGGATGGTGGTTCGACAGCAGCATCCTTGGCTTCCGACAATTCGCTTCCGCTGCGGCCAGGCAGCTCGTCCGCATTGGTCACGTTGTGAGCAAGAGGAGATAGGTGTCCGTTCTGGAGGTAGTTCGAAGGGTTCGAACGGGGAAGGGAGGGCGTGAGGATGGACCCGGCTACGAGAGGCAGAAGTCAGTATGGTTCCGGCCAGTGCGGCAGTCGCGCAGCCTCAGAGCAAGTGCAGAGTGATCAGTGAGATTACGCGACCCAGAATCATCAAAAAGCGACTCAAACGAATGCGACAATTCAGAGTAAACATGGTCCGACCGTGGAATCATGGTCTGGATGACTTGGAGGTAGAGGAGATGAACGGGCGATGTGACGGTCAATGGCCGAGGAAGCGGCTCTGAGCGGTATCAGAGCATCGAGGAGGACATGGCGATACTGTAATATCCACTGTTCTCGCGTATATAATTACAGCCGACCTTCGGGTGCGGTATAGGATGGTGGTCGATGGACTTTGGCGGAGCGGGAAGAGGGAGCGCGGCAGAGACGTTTCCCGCCGTGACGACAGGAATACGGATACAAAGGCAGAGGGTACTCACAGGCCATGGCTCATGTGCCCTCGAGCGAGTGTATTTTGTGTTTGTCCGTGGTGGGTGGTGAGAGGGTGGCCGTGGAGGTGGTGGTGGATGTGTGGCCGGGCGAGTAGTTGGAGATCAGTGCAGGCTGTTTAGAACGCCCAAATGGAAGCCCGAGCCCTCCTCTTCTGCGCTAAGCCTCGTTCAGCTAGCCAATCGCCGTCCTGCGAAAGCCGATCGTCACTCGCCCGCACCTTTGTGAATGCCACGCAGAAATATTGAGCCCGCTATCGACGTTACTGTGGGTTGACTTGCCGAGTTTGATTCTATGAACCAGAAGCCTAACAGAGGGCAACAGTGACCAGAAGGAAGACTTTTGCGCAAGAACAGCGGAAGAGGCGAGCAATTTACAAGCCCAAGACCTGCTGTTATATCAATACAACTCCCTCTTTAGTATTGTCGCTATTGAGGAGTGTTCACCATGGCGGACAGGTTGACTCGGTGAGTACCGCAACAGCTCTCCTTCGCCCAGCAAGTTTCTAACTGCTCTACAACAGTATTGCTATCGTCAATAGCGACAAGGTGCGCAGCCAATTTGCCCCGCCAGCCCCACCACGGAGAAAACTTTTGGCTTGAAGGGGCTGACATGAAGCTGCCCGGCACAGTGCAAGCCCAAGGTCAGTTCAAGTCACTCGTGTATGCTATACCACTTCTGACCCTCCGCAGAAATGCAGACAGGAATGCAAAAAGTCCTGCCCGGTGGTCCGTACCGGCAAGCTCTGCATCGAGGTCACCCCCGAGTCCAAAATCGCCTTCATATCCGAACGACTATGCATCGGGTGCGGCATCTGCCCCAAGAAGTGCCCCTTCGACGCCATCAACATCATCAATCTGCCGACCAACCTCGAGACTCAGGTGACGCACCGCTACTCCGCGAACAGCTTCAAGCTCCACAGGCTGCCCATGCCACGACCTGGACAAGTCTTGGGACTGGTGGGCACAAACGGTATTGGCAAGAGCACGGCGCTGAAGGTACTGAGCGGCAAGCTCAAGCCGAATTTGGGGAGATATGACAACCCACCTGACTGGGAGGAGATCCTCCGGTACTTCCGCGGCTCTGAGCTCCAGAGTGGGTAATGTCGCAAGACTTGTTATGGTACATGTGTTGATGATAGAGGACAGATTACTTTACCAAGGTTCTCGAAGACAACCTCAAAGCCATCATCAAGCCACAATACGTCGATCAAATTCCTAAAGCTGTCAAGGGGACAGATAAAACGGTCGGCGCCCTTATGAAAGGTCGCTCGCAGATGGACAACATGGACGAGATTCTGGACGTCCTTGGTATGAACGTTCTACGATACGACGAGCAGCACTCGGCTAACGTGACGCAGAGCTGCGACAAGTCCTCGACCGCGACATCAACCTTCTCTCCGGTGGAGAGCTGCAGCGCTTCGCTATCGGCACTACCTGTGTGCAGAAGGCTGATGTCTATATGTTCGACGAACCGTCCTCATTCCTCGATGTCAAGCAGCGATTGAGCGCCGGCAAGATGATCCGAAGCCTGCTTCGACCTGACGACTATGTCATCGTTGTCGAACACGACTTGTCAGTCTTGGACTACTTATCCGACTTCATCTGCGTGCTCTACGGCAAGCCGGCAGTATACGGCGTGGTGACGCTGCCAGCCTCGGTGCGCGAGGGTATCAACATCTTCCTAGACGGCAACATCCCCACGGAGAACCTTCGCTTCCGAGAGGAGTCCCTCCAATTCCGCATCGGAGAGGCCGGTGAAGAGTTCCTGGTCGACAGGTCACGTGGCTACAGCTACCCGAAAATGACCAAAACGCTCGGCGGCTTCCACCTGACCGTTGAAGGCGGAACATTCACGGACTCGGAGATTATCGTCATGATGGGCGAGAACGGGACCGGCAAGACGACGTTCTGCAAGATGCTTGCGGGCGCCGAGAAGCCTGACGGAACGAAGAAGGTGCCTCAGATGAACATCAGCATGAAGCCGCAGAAGATTACGCCCAAGTTCCAGGGCACGGTGAGGCAGCTGTTCTTCAAGAAGATCAAGGCTTCGTTCCTCAGCCCGCAGTTCCAGACGGATGTCTACAAGCCGCTGAAAATGGATGATTTCATCGACCAGGAGGTCCAGAATCTGTCTGGTGGTGAATTGCAGCGTGTCGCCATCGTCTTGGCGTTGGGTATCCCGGCGGACATCTATCTGATCGATGAGCCTAGCGCGTGAGTCATACAGCGAGTCAGAAGCCGACCAAACGTTAACATGTGCTTAGGTACCTCGACTCCGAACAGCGTATCGTAGCTGCCCGCGTCATCAAGCGATTTATCATGCACTCCAAGAAGACCGCCTTCGTCGTCGAGCACGACTTCATCATGGCCACCTACCTGGCCGACCGCGTCATCGTCTTCGACGGCCAGCCGTCCATCAAGTCACGCGCGAACGCACCTGAAAGCCTCCTGACAGGCTGCAACAAGTTCCTCAAGAGCCTCGACGTCACGTTCCGCAGGGACCCGAACTCGTTCCGGCCGCGCATCAACAAGTACCAGTCACAGCTGGACCAGGAGCAGAAGTTGAACGGCAACTACGTAAGTGAATCGCATCCAGTTTTCTAGCACCAGTACTTACATACTGTAGTTCTTCCTGGAAGAAGAGGCTTGAAGGGCGTCCCAAAGAGGAACATCCCACCGTATCGCAAGACTCCATTGGGTAAAGGCGTTTTAGGGTCATTGGGTAGCGGCAGGAGAAAGAGCATCAAGCGGCGCAAGGTTGGCCTTCCGGATGAGGAGGCCTCTGACGAAGATGACGACGAGGACGACATTCACCGGCGACAGCGGTGTACCTCCTGTTCACAGTTCCCTTGCTTCCTGCGCACACGTGGCGAGGCGGTAACGCAGCTGAACGGGTCAAGTTAGGTGACTGCTGTCTAGAAACCATGTAGCAAAGTTCGAACATACGTGGGGGTTTAGCTAGAGGCGGTCTGAGAAACGGGCTATGGAAAGTCGGGCATGGAACGAGTAGTAGTCAAACCCGTAGCACAATCAGGAGAGAAATTTAAAAGAAGGAACAAGAAACGAGCCTCTGCACTGCTGCCAGGCCAATCCCTAAATGTGTGATAAGTCGTGCAAACCCGCAACAACATACCGCAACCCGTTCCATCCCATTCTACACGGGCAGCCTCCACTCAATCCTCCTCGATCTCTCCCTCCTCGCTGCCGGACCGGAGGCCCCGGTCCTCCTCCTTCGGCGGCTCAGTCTTGATAATCGGTGTCCTGGATCTATGACGGCGCGGGGAGAAGGTACGCTCACGAGACGCGACATCCCTCCTAGTCCTCTTGACATCTCTCCTGCTGCCCGGGCTGTTTTCACCCTCGCTATCCCTGCGCCTCCTCATGCTGCCCGCCCTGCTGTCGCCGTAGTCGAGCTCGCTGCCCTTGTCGCGCGGGTCGGCACGGCTAATATAGGTCCGCTCGCGCTCGGCCTCGCGCTCGCGCCGCTCGCGGTCATAGTGGCTGAGACTGACCTGCCTACTTCCTCTGTCGTACCTGTCGCGCTCGTCTCGCTCGTACCGAGACGGCGGCGGGGGCGAGAGCCCCGTCGTGCCGGATTTGCGATACTGGCGCTCGCGGTCTGCCTGTGCCTTCTTGCGGTCCGCTTCGTACGCATCCGGCTCCGGGGTTCGCGTGTGGGGGCGGCGAGCCGCGTGGCCGTTGCGGAAGTCCCTGTCTCTGTCTCTATCGCGCTCCCGGTCCCGGTCTCGCTCTCTGTCCCGCTGCTCGCGTCTGCTGCGTTCCTTCTCGAGATCTTCCTCCTTTTCCTTGAGGCGGCGCATGTGTTTGTCAAACGCCGCGTGGCGCGCCTCGTCCGAGTCGAGCGCACGGAATTCCTCAAACTTCTCGATGCGGGCACGTACCTGCTCCCATGTGTCTCCGACCAGGACTGGCGGCTCGAGATGCTTGATCTTCGAGCGCAGCGCGTCGGTTGCGCGGCGCTGGTGCCGCTCGGCGTGATGCTTGTCTTCCTCGTTGCGGCGGAGGACCTTTTCGCGCAGCCGCTCGTAGATTAGTGAGAGCGAGTCGCGATCGAGGGATGCTGTACGGCGATCAGTGTGCATCACAGAGAGAAACTCTTCGAAGGTGGTCTTCTGTGTAAGCTCATAGCGCTTGTCCTGTGAGTTTGTCAGCCTTCTGGTATTTCCGACACCAGCGGCGGATTGCTCTCACATCCAACACATCCAGTACGTCGTTCCTCATTGCGCGCAGCGCCCGCTCTTCCTCCTCAACCATGTCCCAGAACAGATCCAGTGGCGTAGAGCCGGACTGACCCAGCATAGCAACATACCGAGGGTCGTCCTCAATCAGCGGCTCAATCTGCATCCATTTTGTGCCAGCCTTAATTTTGCCGGCAGCTTTGAGGTCTTTCAGGAGGTTAAGAAATCCATCACGGTTCTGACGTTCTCGCCTGGCCTTGAGGTTCTTCTCCTTCTGGCGGGCATCGTTGAAGCTACGCTCAAGCGACTTGATATGGTTCTCAAAAGCTTTTAGAATGTCTAGCTTGGTCAAAGACTGGAACTTTTCGTCACCTTGGAAGGCTTCGCTCGCTTTGATCATGCCCTGCGCTTCGGACCACCGCGTGTAAGGCTCCAAGTCAAGAGCACTCAGCAGAGTTGTGAGCTGGTCCAGAGCCTGCGTGCGGTTCGCAGTGTCTCGCTCCTTGTGTGCTTTCTTCAGCTCGATGATGTACTCCTCAAACAGCTGGCGCCTCTCATCGTCGCTCCTGGCCGACCGGTAGATAGTCTCTCTCTCGATGATAGGCTGCGCGGTCTTCCACCGAGTGTAGTGCTTGATCTCTGGATGACTTCTTAGCATCGAAGTAAAGTCGGCGCGGACTTTGGCGAGCCTTTCCTTCTCCTTGTCCTTTTCCTGCAATCGAACCTCTTGGACGTATTTCTCGAACGCAGTCTTGCGGTCCTTAGGGTCTTTCAGCGCTCGGTACTGCGGGTCCTTGATCGTCGCGCGCATTGTCTGCTCCCAGGTCCAGTCTGGCTGAACATTGCATCGCCTCAGCAACTTCATGAATGCGGATTCGGCTTCTTCGTAAGTCGAAAAGTCTGGTTCGTTCTGGGAGGGCAAAGCAGCACTGCGCATGGAATCCATCGGCGCATAACCTCCCTGCCTGTCTTGCCTGTCTTGTCTGTCCTGCCTGTCATCTCTGTCCCGCCTGTCCTGCCTATCCTGGAATGGACGATCTGGCAAACTGTGGTCATCGCGATCCCTGCGTTGTGAGAATTCGGGGAAGTTCGACGTGCTTCCTGCGACAAATGTTTGAGGTCTGACCCTGAATTAGCGCGCGTTGAGATGCTAAGGATCGGGAGAGAAGGCTCACGGTGCCGCAGGACGCGGTGGAGGCTGCGTTTGCGCAAGCGCGTTCTTGTAAACTTCTGGCATCTCCCACGAGCTCTGCTTCGTCTCCGTGTTGTACCAGTATTTCCGCCCGCCCTCCGCCGTGTACTCTTTCCACGGCTGATTGGCAAGAGCGCGCTGTTCGAGGTGGTCAGTACGGCGCCCTTCATGTTTCGTGGTCGGAATCTTACCTCCGCCGGCGTCATGAGCTCTTCTGGCTTTGTCCATTGCGTAGCCTTCGTCTGCGTGTTGTAGTAGTAAACACGGCCGTCTGTATGGCGGGCCTCCTGCCACTGGCCGGGAGCCGGAGCAATTCCGTTCATTGCAACAACGGTGTGCGTCGATCCACGGTGTAGCGGCGATGTTCAATGGGTGTCGAGGGCTCAAAGATGGCGTCGAGGTGAGCTGAAGCCAGATCGCGTATGCCGTGGTGAAGAAACGGGCTCAAATTGGAAATCTGATACCCCGGTTCGGTAAAACCGCGGCGGATGCTTGACAGCTATGTCACGTGCTTGTTCGAATAACCATTCGATAGGGCAGGCGTGTTGTAACTAGCATTTTGCTTCAGTCCCCGCAAGCTGTACAAGAAGATCCAGAGTTGAGGATGCTATTGGTAGCAGCACACTTAGGTCGGACAGTCACGCTCTCAGTCTGGCATTCAGCGCTGCACATTCTTCTATCATCAGCGAGATTTGAAGTTTACCCCTTGATATCAACTGGTTAAACTAGACAGCAGCATTGTTTCAACTTTGGTCATCAGAGTCTTCCTCGACAAGAAGTATTTCGACGCCGTCGGCGCACTATAATGCAGTCGAGTAATTCCCCAAAACAGTTGAGCGCTGAATTCAGCGAGCAGTCGATTGTGGAGGCCATCGTGCCTTCAGATCCGTCTATTGACCTCAAATCTGCACTGGACTCATGGGATGGATCAGCGTCTGACCGTCTCCCGACGTTCCTACCTACCATCCAGCAAAGGCAGTTCCTGTTCTTCGGTATGTCACGTCTGCAGGTCTATATCACCGAAGCAGCCGTCTTACTCATTCATAGGCATATAGATGAGCATGTCCAAGTATATGCTGTGTTGAGGGCTCCTTGCGTTGAGCAAGGCGTCTTGGGCTCTTATCTCTCTCGATTGTCTATCACTCTACAAGCATATGCTTCAGGCAATGTAGTTCCAGTACAGGCGGAGACGGGCGAAAGTCGACCTGCGCAAGCTCATCAGAGCAAAGAGCTCCTATGCGCGGAGAAGATTGAAGATGTGACCAATCCGCTCTTCATTACCCAGTGCTCTTCAGAAGGGAAGTCCACATACGTCGTCTGGAGGGCTAGCGTTCATGTCGGTGAGTTCTGGTGTTGGGTTGGTAGCACAAAAATCGTACTGAAAAACGTCGAAAGGGCGCCCGCAAGCGAAGCTACAGAAGCCAGTAATATATTTTGCAATCACGGCTACACTACGACCAGACGAAGCCGAAGTAAATGCGGCTCAAGACGACTATCTCCCCAGCCACACTCCGATGCCAATCAACCTGCTCCAGGCATTTGCGAGTGATCCTGAGCTTAGGGATGTCCGGCCACACTTGTCTGCTTCCAGAGTTACCAAGGTTATTCCAGTCGGCCATGGCACAAGCACATCAGTGCGCACTCTCCAGGCCAGTCCGCGGCGGCAGTTCAGAATCTTTCCAGCCATCTATTGGAGGATCCGCTACTCGAGACTGCACTCGGGAGCTAGGGAGGTCACGGTTCTTGCATCTCTAGACCTAGAGGTCACATCATACGCAGACTGCGATGTCTCAATCGATGATGTCCGCCTTACGCTCCACCATGGGGAGGTCGTGCCTCATGGTGGCAGCTGGGGCTCAAGATTACCTGGACGATGTCGAGCTGGCGACCTACTAAGTAGAGTATATAAGCTCCGACCGGCTATGGACTACGGAAGTTCGTCTCGAAGTGCTCCGACGGCTTATACACTTGAGCTGGGCGTTAAGGCAACAGCGTTTGTATCAGACGGGTGTCGCCCAACTCTCGAGGTAAACTGGAGTACGAGCGTGGACACCGCCCTCTTCCGGCCGGAGCCCACCAAAACGGGTTCGCTGCGTGATGGTACTCGAAGCCAAGATGCAGTTGCTGAAAATCGTGGGCACGCACCAGCAGACAGAGCTCAGCCACCATTGTCAGCTACAAACGATCCGCCCAGCTTCGACCTGACATTTACAATATCGGGACCGGATCAGGTCTACGTCGGCGAGATCTTCCAGTGGAACCTCTTGGTTGTGAACCGGTCAGACAAAGCTCGAAGCCTAGCGATGCTGGTGGTTCCGAAGCGGAGAAGAGCAGATGTCAAGCAGCACCAGTCGAGGGTTTCCTCATCGTCTGTGGGAGTAGCTAAAGAGAGCCAAGAGGAAGTCCTTGCGGAAGCTGTGTTGGACGACAACTTGGTGTATGTCACGCAAAAGAGCGGATTCTCGGAACCGGCAGAGCTTGTGAGCCTGAGCCCTGACATACGGATTGGGTAAGTCACCCCTCAAAGTCATATTGGTGCATCTGGCTAACGGTCCATGGAGCCCACTTGCATCAGGCGCGTGTTACACAACGGACATGAAGTTCCTCGCTCTCGCTGCTGGCGTCCTGCACGTCGACAGCCTGCGTGTGATTGATCTCGCAACAAAGGAGACAACAGACATTCGGGACTTGCCAGATATCGTAGCGACAGAGCGGGATGTTGCCATATGAAGCTACGTGCGGCTTAGCTGATACATCTCACTTATTCGTATGGTTCATGCCTGTGATTTAGATGACGCTTGGTGGTTGAGTATCGCAGAAGAGAATGCCTTCGTCGATCAGTTTTGAGGCCTGTCCAGACGGTTAGGATAGGGACAAAGGATAGGGATATTATTTTGGGTCCCTTGAAGCCCAACAAACCTTCGAGTGCGTTGTGAACAAGATAGCCCGGGACAGATGCCAGGCCACTGTATTTCTCTTGCGGATGGTTTCCAAGGTTCACGTGTCTGCCCAGGTGATCAGGGCGACCGTCGCCGATCTTGATGTGCGATGTGCGACTGTGCTCCTGCGGCAAGCCTAGACTAGCCCACCGTCTCCGCTCCGTCTTCCCAAGGCGACCCTTTACTCCTCTCGCAGTTGTAGAGCAGTAATACCTTACCTATCTTTATCCTCGGCTGCTCAGAACCGCTGGCGGCCTCTAAACTGCTCGGAACTCCTCTTCGCTGGAAGCCTCTTCGCGACGAACTGAGGCCTGTGCACGACCGTTGAACCCTTCGTTATCGTCTATCGTCATTACCTCACTTGCACTCGCAGCTATGATCACCTCCGTAGAGGGTCAACGCAGGAGACTCCTACGAGCGTTGAACAGTCGATACATTTACGGCCAGATTGTATGTACTCGAGAGATACTTCACTTCACTGGTAGCCGAGATGAGCGCGTGATAGATGGACGATACGTCGCTAACACTGAGCTCCGAACAGCCTCTCCTACACGCCATCATCTTCCTCCTCGAGATGGCCGCCGTATCGATCCTCACGCGCAAATTCAACTCCTACTATGCCAGCAGACCAGGTATGAGATGCTACAACGATTCGTCCGTGGATCACGGCTAACATCCTACCGCCAGTGCTCACGACGATGATCACCAATGCCGTACGTCCTCCCTGCTGCAGCTGCTCCGTTCTCCCACCTCCATCTCGCGATTGCAGTGACCCTCAACTCACAAGTGCCCGACAGGTCCTCGGAGGCATAGCAGACACCGTCGCGCAGTCCATCACCGCCATACGCCAAGTCGCCGTTCGCAAGCCCGGCGGAGCGAGCAAAGACGACTTCCTCGCGATCGAGATCAGCGCGCTTGACAGGAAGAACCCATGGCCTCCGGGGGAGATCATCCCAGACTCCAAGAACCTTCCTCCGCCCTTCGACTTCGAGCGGCTGGTCCGATTCATGTCTTACGGCTTTATGATGGCGCCGGTCCAGCACAAATGGTTCGGCTTCTTGGCCAAGACGTTCCCGGTTACCAAGCTTGCGGGTACTCTGCCGGCCCTTAAGAGAGTCGCCTTCGATCAGTTCCTGTTTGCGCCAATCGGTACGCAGCACACCTCCGAGCCGCGTGGGGCGTCAATGCGCTGGGTACTGACATTGACCAGGTCTTGCGTGCTTCTTCACCTTCATGACTGTTGCCGAGGGCGGCGGGAAGCGTGCCGTCCAACGCAAGTTCCAGGACGTGTATGTGCCTGCGTTGAAGGCGAACTACCTGGTGTGGCCGGCTGTGCAGATCCTCAACTTCAGGGTGATGCCCATCCAGTTTCAGATTGTATGTTCACCGTTTGCTTCTTTCGCTACTGTGACTGACCGCTTGCTGCAGCCCTTCGTCTCGACTGTCGGTATAGCATGGACCGCTTACCTGTCGCTCACCAACTCTTCGGAGGAATCGTAGTCATGATACGATACGTCTCCATAGTAGCTTTCTCTCCCGTTTCTCGAACGTAGATCGGAGCCCGGCTTATGGTATGTTTGTGTAAGGAGGCCGGCGCACTTGCAGGTTCCGTTCTCTTCGGATGATGCATTGTATCGGCGTTTTGGAGCCTTTTGGTCGTTTTTGGGAAACGCAATCTAGCAACATCTCGTACATAGGTATCTGACAGCCAACACAGCTTGACCTGAATGTATACCAACGACTCGGTCAATAACGTCGTGAAACCGCCATTGAAGCCGTTTGTACTATGTATTTGAGCACAATCATAGGTTCAGGAAAGACAGAGAGTGGAAAGGCATGAATGGAGAGGCATGCCCGGTTCCATTGGTCCAGGCTTTGTCCGGTGTTGTGCATTCGGGACGGGATGAGTGTTGGGTCAACGTGCGTGGTGGGGTGTCCGATGTCTGCCCCGCAGCATGATGAAACTGTCAACCCACCTGCCAGAGCTCTTAAAAGCAAGTTGAGATAGCCTGCTACAAAAACTCAAGCATCGGAAACAATTGCTGTCTCCCTGTAAATATACGTTTTTCCAACCATCGCCGCACCAAGTTAGCACCATGTCACTCAGCAACAAGCTCAGCATCGAAGACGTCGACCTCAAGGACAAGCGTGTCCTGATCCGGGTATGCCGTCTTCCCCTTCACTACCGTTTCGAGACTGATTTAAGGGAATTTTTCAGGTCGACTTCAACGTCCCGCTCGCCGACGGCAAAGTCACCAACCCGCAACGCATCGTCGGCGCCATCCCCACCATCAAATACGCCATCGACCATGGCGCCAAAGCCGTAGTGCTCATGTCCCACCTGGGCCGCCCCGACGGCAAGCGAAACCCCAAGTACAGCCTCAAGCCCGTCGTGCCGGTCCTCTCCGAGCAGCTGGGCAAAGACGTGACGTTCACGGACGACTGCGTGGGCAAAGAGGTCGAGGATACAGTCAACAAGGCGTCGGGCGGGCAGGTGATCCTGCTCGAGAACCTGCGCTTCCACGCCGAGGAGGAGGGCAGCAGCAAGGACGAGCAGGGGAAGAAGGTCAAGGCGGACAAGAAGGCGGTTGAGGAGTTCAGGAAGGGGTTGACGGCGCTGGGGGATGTGTATATCAGTAAGCCGAAAACCGTGATACCTCATGGGAGTGTAAAGGGAACAGTGCTGACACGCAACACCCCCAGACGACGCATTCGGCACGGCCCACCGCGCGCACAGCTCCATGGTCGGCGTCGACCTCCCCCAGAAAGCGGCCGGGTACCTCATGAAGAAAGAGCTCGACTACTTCGCGCAAGCGCTCGAGAACCCCAAGCGGCCCTTCCTCGCCATCCTGGGCGGCGCCAAAGTCTCCGACAAGATCCAGCTGATCGACAACCTGTTGGGCAAAGTGAACAGCCTGGTCATCTGCGGCGGCATGGCCTTCACCTTCAAGAAGACGCTCGAGGGCGTCGGCATCGGCAACAGCCTGTTCGACGAGGCGGGCGCCAAGACGGTCGGCGACCTCGTCGAGAAGGCCAAGAAGAACAACGTCAAGATCGTGCTGCCGAACGACTACGTCACGGCGGATAAGTTCGACAAGGACGCCAAGACGGGCTATGCGACGGATGAGGACGGCATTCCGGATGGCTGGATGGGACTCGATTGCGGGGAGAAGAGCATCAAGCTGTACAAGGAGGCTATTGACGAGGCGAACACGATTCTCTGGAACGGGCCGCCGGGCGTCTTCGAATTCGAGGCGTTCGCGAATGGCACCAAGCAGACTATGGACGCGGCGGTTGAGGCGGCGCAGAAGGGCAAGATTGTCATCATTGGAGGCGGTGATACGGCGACTGTCGCGGCGAAGTATGGCGTCGAGGATAAGCTGAGCCATGTCTCGACGGGCGGCGGTGCGTCGCTGGAGTTGCTCGAGGGCAAGGATCTGCCGGGTGTTTCGGCGCTGTCGAACAAGCAGTAGGCAGTGTCTGTGGAGCGGCGATTGCAAGAACTGACGGTGGGAAGGACGAAATCGAGCCTGTAAGCAGAGTGCTATAATCTATACTGTATAGCAAACCCGGAGTGCATTTCAATGACAAATCTGGGTACCACGTCGTAAATCGGACGCCTGTGCAATACGCCGTGTCCTCGCAATGAGAAGATCCAGCTTTCCCGGCTTACAGATAGGAGGGCATGCCTTGTGGACCATGATGGCGCTTCCGTCTCCTATTTTCTTGGACGATGAAACCGGGCTCCAGGGTCCTAGCGCTGTGTACCCACCACATGCATCCCCTACTGTCTCGTACTCCGTATCGCCGCCCATAGGGTCCCTTTCGCATGCCCACATCATCCTCGCTTCGCACTATCAGCTTTCCTCAGCTCCTCCCTATGCGGCGAGACCCTCGTTAGCCAGCCGTTGTTTGCAATAACGGCCAGGACATGGGGCCTTACCTTAGCTGCGCCGAAAAATCCCCATTCGTATCATCGTCGTCCCAGCTCTCTTCCCACAAGTGTGTGTTTCCACCCGGTATCTCCGTGTCTTCTTGTTGCCAGTCTGTTCCAGCGCACCCAAGATGTCAGCAAACAACCCCAACAGATTCGCTTCGGGACAGGAGAGGCGAGCCGGTGAGGGTGGGGGGTGGTGCTGGTGGTTCCTTTGTTCAGGAAGGGGAAGGGCGGAAGCGACAGGGGAGGTATATGTTACCTTCGGCGGGGAAGTCCTCGAACTCGTCGTCCTCTTCTAGCGTCGCCGCCGGCTTCTGTTGATCTTTGAGGGACGAGGACGTGTCTTTTGTGTCGCTCACGACCGCTTTCGTGGTGTCGGGGCCTGAGATCGGGGCGGTGTTGCCGGCGCCGGACATGTTGGAGCTGGAGGGAATGGGGTGTAGGGTCTCTTCTGAGGTTTAGGTAAGGGTGGGTCGGTGGTTCGTATGGGCGTTGCTAGATTCAGATGCTTTGATGCTTTTGTGCTTTGGTGCTTTGCTTCCACAAAGCATCACTGGCTGGGGGAGCTGTCGCCGGAGCTTCGGCCAAAAAGTTGACCCGGCGGCTGTTCAATGACGCGCGCGGCCGCGGGAGAGACAGCGCGGCCGCTGCAGACACTCCGTCAGCATTCGTAGAGCTTTAGACTCTTACTGCAATATAGAACCCAAGAGAACTTCAGTTGTCCTCTAGATGACCATGACTGCTGTTTTCTACTCAACTCTACGCCCTCCATTCTCAGTTTTTTACATCTACAGATAATACTGTACTACAGCACGCGACAACGAACTTAGGTTGTAGCTTACGGTTTGCACATGAGTTTCATGGTTCAGAAGGAGGAGATCATTGATTCAGTTCCATTGCTGTATGAGTCTGACTTCCATCTTTTGTACTGAGCCTCAGGATACACGAAAGAGCCTTGAACTACTACAGTAGTACCTATATCATTTGGGGAAGCGATTGCAAGTACAGTTCCACTCAGGGTCTGGTCTCCGATCTCTCGTACGCTCTGAAACTGCCTCTCACTACGAGTCACGATGTCACGGCTAGCAGGATGGATAGGCTCCAAGGCGAAGCCCCACGGCTCGAGCCAGTCTCTCAATGCGCTCGAGGAGCCCTCGCAGATCGAGCATGCCATGCGCGGTATCTATACCAGGAATCAGCCATTTCCGCAAGCGGGGCTGTTGCTGATTCGTCACAGCTGCAACGCACATCATGAACGACGACGTCGAGACCGCCGAAGCCGAGCTCAGCAAAGGCAGCTCGCCCGTACACAAGCTCTGCCAAGGCGTGGTAATCTTCATGCGCGCGACCCTCGGGTTCGAACAAGACGTGATGCGGGAAGCTTCTGAGCGACTCGCTGATGCGGAGGCCGCGGCTTCGGATCATTACAAAAGGGCGCAGCGGCATCCGAATGCCTTCCATTCGGCGATATACCCGGCGGGATCGGAGTTCGCACTTTGTTTGGCGGAGGCGCAGCTCATGAGTGCGGTGGTAGCCGTGTTGAATGAGAGCTTGACGGAGAGCATAAAGGGGTTCTATAAGCTACGCAAGGCGTATCAGACACTGGATGCTTTGGCGGAGGCGGAGAAGAGATTCGTGCAGGGTCGGAGTAGCAGCAGTGTGAACAGCGCATCAAGAGCTTCGACGGAGTCACTGGGTAGCTCGAGCGCAAGTCGAGCTTCACAAGCGTCTGCTGCTCCTCAAGCCGTCGCAACAAGCATAGTAGAGCCGCTGCGCGACGACGATGGAGACGAGTTCTTCGATGCTGACGAAACGCCTGACGGAGTAACCGAGATAACGACATATCTGGGCGAACTGGAGATCAACGGAAGGATCAAGCGTGCCGAGAAACCATCATCCTTTGAGCAAGCGGGTCCAAACGGCGAAGTCCCTCAACAGCAACCGTCCTTCCAGCGATCTAGTTCCATTGTACAGCAAGGTCCAGACATGGACCTTTTCGGTGACCATCCAGTTGACACGTTCATCCACTCAGGCTCCAACCTTTGTTTCGGCATCCTACAACTTATGATCTCTCTAATCCCACCCGCCTTCGCCATGCTCCTAAAAATCGTCGGTTTCCGAGGCGACCGCGAGCGCGGCATCCAGATGCTCTGGCAAGCGAGCCGCTTCAACAACATCAACGGTGCCATGGCCGGCCTCATCATCCTAGGCTATTACAACGGCATCGTCGGCTTCTGCGACATCCTGCCGCCGCGCGGACCGGGCGCGTACCCCCGCGAACGCTGCAGAGCGCTGCTAGCAGACATGCGCGAGCGGTATCCCCGGAGCCACCTGTGGCTGCTGGAGGAAGCCAGAGTAGTAGCCGGCGACCGGCAGCTCGAAAGAGCCGTAGAGATCCTAAACAAGTCGAGCGCGAGCCCGCTCAAGCAGGTCGAGGCCCTCACGTGGTTCGAGCGCAGCTTGGACAGCATGTACGCGCACAACTACGCCGATTGCTCAGCATCTTTCCAGAAATGCGTCACGCTTAACAACTGGAGCCACGGGCTGTATTACTACATCGCGGGCGCATGCCACGTGGAGTTATACCGGCTGCACAAGACGTCAGACCCGCGGCTGGCGAGGGAGCATGCGGCGAAGGCGGAAGAGCTACTCAGGCTCGTGCCGAAGCAGACGGGCAGGAAGAGATTCATGGCGCGCCAGCTACCCTTCGACGTGTTTGTGAACCGCAAGGTCCAGAAATGGGAGCACCGCGCCGCCGAATGGGGCGTCGAGTTCGTGGACGCGGTCGGCGTTTCCCCGATCGAGGAGATGATATACTTCTGGAACGGGTACAGACGCATGCGGCCGGAGCACTTGCAGGTCTCGCTGCAGCGACTCGCGTGGTCGACTGCAGGAGAGAATGGCAATTGGGAGCGCGAGGCGCTGGATGAGCATGCGGTGCTGGCGCTGTTGAGAGCGGCCACGCTGCGGAATCTCAAGCGGTTCGACGATGCGAAGGAAGTTCTGCAGACGGAGATCCTGAGCCATGAGTGGGTGGAGTTCAAGGGCCATCTGAGAGACAGTTGGACGGATCCGTGCGCGCACTATGAGATGGCGGCGAATCTGTGGAATGAGCAGGTGCAGGATGGGAATCTGCCGAGTGACATGCAGAAGCTGAAAGAGTGCTCCACGTGGTTGGAGAAGGTGGCGGGCTGGGAGAGTTATGATTTGGATGCACGGTGAGTGTCCCCTCCTGATCTTTTCCGCGCTGGTACGGAAGCCTTGTTGCTGACTTTCGGCAGCATCGGACTGAAGATTACGACAGCAAGGGATACGCTCAAAAGGTGCGATGTTGGCGCAACTGCATGACCGGACGTGTACGCTTGGAGTCACGAAGATCTGTCGGATAGATCATGTATAGAGACCCCCGTTCCAAATCTCCAGAGTTCGTTTTTGGCCCGTGTGCTGATGGCCTTGTCGGATTGTTCAGGGCAATAAGCTTAAGAGAGGGCTTACTCAAGCAACCATGAACCCAGCATAGATAGCACATAGCATGAACGTCCGGTCCACCCGGCCCATCGCGCCGTCCATGCTCCGCTGCCAAACTTTCACAGCATTATGAGCGTGGACGGGCTGTGAGGCAGCTCGATGGTCGTGCCGTGAAGTATTCTTCGCTAGTCGGGCGCGCCCGCGAGATTTCTGGCGTAAATATCTATGGAAACTGTACATCCTGACGTTGCTTCCTGTCGATACGTAGCTGCTACGTCCCAGACAGGTATGAGAGGTCCCTCCGAGCAGCAATACTATCATTAGCCAGTCTGGGACGCACATCCACTGGCCTGTCTTAGGGTCTTGATATTCGACCGTCTCGTAGAAGATGTCATGCTATGGATTTCTCCCATTCTAATCGTTTGCGGCCAGTGGACCGAATCAGAGCCATGGACTGCACTCGCGGATCTCTGACGACGCCCTTCAAGCAGGTGAGTATAGCCGGCTTTACTAGTTTCGAATGGAACTGGCGTGCTGCCTTGCCGCTTGATTCGAAGCCCCGTAACCTTGCAGGACTGTATAGGATGCGGTACTGCTTCTAGAAGATCCTTGTTGGAAAGCATCCCCCTTGGAGATCGGTTCTCGTCTTCGTTCGAAGCCCAAAGTATTCAAGACTGAGATATCAAGAGTGGAGATATGCTGTTCTTGCAAGCCGCCGAGCACGCGAATCGGTCAGCAATTTCCAGTCGAGCATAGGAGAGGATGTGTATTGGGGACCTAGACGACGACCAGCCAAGTCTGTGACGCGCCTCTTACAGAACACTGGACGCAAAGTGCAGATACTCGGGTTCTCGCCGTTCACCGCTGGAGTAAAAACTCCCTGTGGTGGTTATCGGCGAATGCTATATAGAGAATAGGACTGACGGTGAAGCACCCCTCTTGCAATTGATGAAAAACTCCAGCAAAAAGATTACCGCATCACCAGTTAGTGATGAGTATAGAGTACATCCAGTAGATGACTGGCCGTGTATTTTCGCTACAAGCTCACCTACTTCAAGGCTCACGCTCAGTTCAGGACTCCTGGAACACCAACACTGATGCGGTGTCGCAGCTGTAGCTGCTTCCAACCCTCATTCAAGATCCAACTATTGTGTGGACTTAGACAATCTCTTTATGGTCAGGCTGCGGAGGAGTGTCATGTAGCTGCCGGTCAGCCAGAGGGGGGTACTTTCACGTGTGCTCAATGCTCTACCGCCCATCCTGGCTGGGCTGGAGTCGTTACTGACGATCAACTAACTGTGCTTTGGAGTGAGGCTAATCAACTATGGAAGGATCTAAGATTAGTTGCCTGGATTACCTAGGTAGTTACTCTGCAACAAGGCAAGATTGAAAGCTGCCGTGCACGCTCACATTTGCTAACCTGAGATAGCTAGTTGCCAAGACAGTCCACAGAAGGAAGGTGCGCCATTGCACCCGCATCTCAACATCGTGAACACCCGAAGACGGCAGTAAGGAGTCATGACGTGTTGCTTTGCAGAGGCTCTGGGCAGAGCTTGTTCAAGGCTCTCCTGCGCGGGCTTCCCTGACAAAGATGGCTGATAGGCTCTGAGCCTGGTTGGTCCAACCACGGATAATTTCCCACCTGACAGCCCCCGGTAGATAATGTACTTGGATCGTCCCTGAGCTCGTGGTGTTCGCAAAGGTCCCTAAACGCCATTCACTAACAACGACGCAGGAATTCGGTCTAGAATTTCATCCTGTTGCACCTCCATGCAGGACACAGCACCTTAATCAAGGTGTTTTGGCAGCGATGATCGTTACAGATCGCTTCGTGAAACTGACACTTCAGCACGAGGCGCAAATGGCGCACATGGCGCAACGCACTTGCATCTGGGGTCGGCTCGTGCATCGTGAACGCAACGCTCCGATCTTCAGCGCCATGGATTCGTTCCTGGTGGAATCGCAAGTCTAAAGCTCCGACCCTCGTTCTTGGTGCCTGTTGCGACAGCTGTCACTGGTCCGGTCAGATGTCCTCCCTGCACCATGTTTATCCACCAGACGCTCGGCTCCTCAGCCGCCCATGCCAGAGTACGAGCAGCAGGGCAGCAATATGTGGCCGGGCCATCCTCTTGTATCACCAATTCTACGCGGCGGTGCAGCAGATGAGTGCGACGAGCCATCATGGGGAAGGCTGGGCGGTCGTGCTTCAAGACCTGGCTGTCGTCTCGTCCTTCTCGTAACCCCCAGCCTCCGTTTACGTTCGTTCGTTCATTCATTCATTCTGCACCGTTGGGCGCACCCCGTGCATCGCGCGGGTCCCGTTCCACTCTTTGACACCGTCCCTGTACCTCTCCCGCGGCACTACGATCCTTGGATCCCCGCGGTGCCGTGGTAGCCGTTACGCATAATGTCTGGTGCCCCGTGGGGTCCTAACGATACCTTCAAACTCAGAGCCAGAAAGAGCAGTCCTACAATGTCTTCCTTTACGCACCTGAACCTCGTACCGGAGAACTTTCCGCGGCTGGACCCAGAACCCGGAGAAGCTCCGTACGGGAATGGCGTAGGTATGTCTTATTCACCATCCGTAAGCTCCAGAGGGGCGCCGTCTATATTCGACCGAGAGGACATCGCCGAAGAGTATGCAGAAAAGCGATCCGCCGAGATTACCCAGGCAACCTCGCAACAAGCCTCGTCGCCGGATGAACCTAGCTCATACGATCTGAAGCCTCCACCGCCATCCGTGTCTCACGCCAATGGCGAACGGCTCGCCGAACGACTGTTCTCCATTGATCATCTCGACCTGATACTGCGCGACCACACACTTTCCCGCAACTTCACCACGTTCCTGAATCGATACCGCCCACTGTCGTCGCCAGTACTCGTCCGTTATCTAGAAGCGAAGAAGGCCACGGCGGCCGTCGAGTATGCCAACGCCGTAGCTGCTGGCTCGCTTTCGTTTGGTAGTTCGCCGGCGACTGCGGCCGCAACAGTGGACAGCCGCTTTGAGTCCCGAGCACGTCGCGCCGTCGATGAACTCACGAGCGATGCGTTGCCGGCCTATATTACCCACCAGCTGGTCAAAATCGTTACCGAATGTCTAGTCAAGGAGATAACAGGGAGCAATGCGCCTGTGATGAGAGAGCTCGTCCAAGGGGTTGCGGAGGTGTACTGTTTGTCAGATCCTTCCTTACCGGACAATCCACTTGTTTACGCGTCAGAAGGTCAGTGATTACCCCACTTATACGCCAGCGGTGCGTACTGTTCCAATGTGGTGTGGACAAGCGCACCACTGTGGAAGATCTGCGGGCTCGTTAGCTTTGGGAAATCAAAAGAATGCGATACTTCGAAAGGAGTCCGAAACGCAGGATACCTCTGAGCAGGACTGACCTTGACCCGGCGCAGAATTCTACAGGACCACACAATATGGCAGGGAGTACGTGATCGGAAAGAATTGCAGATTTCTGCAGGGCCCCAAGACATCCCCATCAACGGTTTCTCGCTTCGCAGAAGCGCTGGCACAAGGTGAAGAAATATGCGAGACGCTTCTCAACTAGTAAGTGTACACCTCCTGTGTTCTTAGGTGTTTCAATTGTCCTGACGCCCCATAGCCGGAGAGACGGATCGCCGTTCCTCAATCTTTGCTTGATCGCACCCCTGTACGACAACAAAGGCAAGGTTCGCTACTTTCTCGGCTGCCAAGTCGATGTAACGAATCTCATCGACGGCGGTCGGGGCATGGAGTCTTTCCAGCGGCTCCTGGCAGAGGATCGGGGAAGAAGTCGAGCTGCAATCACTCCAAAAAGCTCGCTGAAGGCCCTCAGTGAACTCGGCGAGATGCTCACCAACGACGAGATGGACGTGATACAGAACCGAGGCCGGGCTGGCAGCGCGCACTCAGGTGCGAGTACTCCGGTTCATCCTGCTACGCGCCCAAGTCGCCGAATATTAGGCATGGAGGACCAGATAGACACGGAGCTGTGGCCGGCGGCACATCACGGTCCATCAGGCCGGTTACCTGGTGTATACCAAAACGTGAGTCTTTTAACCACATCTGCCACTGAATGAAAGTCGGCTACTCACAACGGTGCCTCAGTTCCTCCTCGTCCGACCTTATCCCTCACTCCGCATCACTTTCACCTCCGCCGCCCTACGCATACCCGGTCTTCTCCAATCCCGGTTCCTGGACCGCATCGGAGGGCCCACATCTCTCCGCGAAGGCATCGCCGAGGCCTTCGCGAGCGGCGTCAGCGTGACTGCCAAGATCTCCTGGCTCACGAACGTGAATCCTGGAGACGCCACTCAAAGCAATGTCGAGGGCCGACCTCGCTGGATACACTGCACACCCATGATGGGCTCTGACGAAAAGGTCGGAGTATGGATGGTCGTGATGGTGGAGAGGGAGGACATCACCGGCTCCATCAACGCGCACGTCCGGAATCTGAGCATCAGCCAACCCACGGTTGGCGCGGGGAGCAAGAAATTTACGGGGAATAAGCTGTATGCGCAGTACCTACGTCGAGAGGGCCAGGGCACTGACAACGACTCCATGATGTCTGGCAGAGTTGGCTCGGGGAGAGCTTCTGCGTCGCCCAGGCATCAGAGGCCGAGGGGCATGGACGACCACTTTCGTGATTTCTGAGCGCGTTCGAAACGGCTGTTTTTGGGAGCCGCCTGTATAGTTACTTGGAGTACGTGTATTTGGTCAATGTTGATATGGCGCTGATGAAAGGCTTATATAAATGTAGATATCCATGTGAATAATCAATTGTTTTAACCGCCGCTTAGATGCTCGGTGGGACTGTCGTTACGTTACTGAAACCTCGGTTTTTGGAACCCAAATCTGATAGTGTCGTTGGTATGCTCAATCTCTGTTATGCTCTGATCGTGCAGCAAATTGAAACAGGAAATTAGAATGACACAATAAAGCAAGGCAGCGACAACCTGGTGTGAGGCTTATACATAAGTAGACATTGGAGAGGCAGAGAGGGGGTTACTGATATATTATGTTCAAAAAATGCTGTTTTGATATATATGATACTCGTGGTCCACCTTACACGTAAACTCTTCGATGCTTATGAGATAGACAGGTCCTTGGGCTGAACCTCAAAGTTACTGAGACACCTTCTGCTTCCTTCTCAACCGGACAATCTAAAACGAACAGAGAGGGTTGCAAACTTTAGGCAGGTTGGTTTTGCATTCAGAGGTTTTCGACTCCAAAGTTCGTGGTTCTTGGCACCAAAGCCCCGAACTTCCAAGGCTCGGTACACTTAGTCATTGCCGCATCCTTACCTACTAAAATGCGGCAGAGATGCCGCAACGTCTAAGTGCACTGAGCCTTGTTCTGACGTAGCCAGCCATGCACCCCGTGCTCTGTTTTGCTTCTGATCCCTACATCGTGGGACTAACATACTGCATGTTTAAGAGCCTCATACTGTTCCTACACAGTATCTATTAGGCGCTCAGGCCCGTGCATCAATCTATACATAACCTCCACGTACTGGGCCGGCGGTATGTGGTCTCTTCGGCTTCTCCTGCTCCTAGGCGCATGCAATGCGCTCCCGCAACAGAGCGCTGGAGAGGCTGAACGAGGGAGCCTCACACCGTCGGGCTCGGGGCGAAAGCTTCATGGGAGATTTTTACACGTTACCGGTATGTATAGGGGTTGCTATCGGCGGCATCTTTAAGGCTAGGGGCCGCTGACAACCCCTGTGCGCAAGACTTCCACCCCGACCCATATTACGAAACCTACTCCTCTACCGAGAAAGACATCGCGTGCCACCGTGGAGACGGCCCCGCTGGGCTGTATGGCGCAGAAACATCAGACTGCGACAGCCCGCTCTCCCTTGTCAATGCGACCTTTAAGTGGATCGACGAGAACATCAAGGACACTGTAGACTTTGTAATCTGGACTGGAGACTCTGCACGGCACGACAATGACGAGGAGCTACCGCGAAGTGAACACCAGATCATTGAGCAAAATGAGCTTCTCGTGAGCAAATTCGTAGAAGTGTTTGGTCACGACGAGAATGCCAATGATACGGATCCCACGAACGATTTCATCGTGCCAATTGTACCAACGTTTGGCAACAATGACATGATGCCACACAACATCTTTCTCGAGGGACCGAACCGATGGACAATGAAGTATCTGGACGTCTGGCGGCAGTTTATCCCGGAAGAGCAGCGGCATCAGTTTCAAAGAGGCGGATGGTACTACACGGAGGTTATACCCAACAAGTTGGCTGTTTTTAGCTTGAACACAATGTGAGATGAGTGCCATGTTCACCTTACGGACCTGCGCTTATGTAGTTGCACAGGTATTTCTTTGATTCCAACTCCGCCGTAGATGGCTGCGCTGCAAGAACCGAGCCGGGCTACGAACACTTCGAATGGCTACGAATCCAACTGCAATTCATGCGCATGCGAGGCATGAAAGCAATGATGATCGGGCATGTGCCACCAGCGCGAACGGATGCTAAGAAGAGCTGGGATGAGACCTGCTGGCAGAAGTACACGCTTTGGATGCGGCAATATCGTGACGTTATCGTTGGATCATTCTTCGGGCACATGAATATTGACCACTTTATGTTGCAAGACTTTGACGACATTGACCTCAACCAGCTCTCGGGCGACGTTGCTATGTCTGACGTGCGTACTGCCCTGGACGACAATGGGGAAATCTCAACCGCGTCAGCCAGCGACTATTTGATTGACCTCAGACACATCTGGGCGAAGATACCGCGCGTGTCAAGCCTGGACGAGTCAGAAGCTGACTCGGAAGAGTTCGCCGGTGATACAGACTACTCGTCGTTTTGGGATAGAGTATGGCAGTCAGTAGCACACAAGAAGAAGCAGAAGAAGCACAAGGGCGGCAAGAAGAAGAAGAAACACCCACACGACAATGTTGGTGGACCGTGGGGGGAGCGTTACAGCGTGTCGCATGTCGCAGCAAGTGTAGTACCGAACTACTTTCCGACCTTGAGGATCTTCGAATACAACGTCACAGGCCTCGAGAACATGTTCGACCCGGCGCCCGTTGAATACTCTGTTACGAATACAGCAACACAGGTCTCGATGCGAGACGAGACTCCCAAAAGGTTCGAACAGAGTCCGGAACTAGAGTCGGAGGAGACCGAAAGGTACGAGGATGCCAAAAATTCGCACACGAAACACCATTTCATCATGCCAGATGGTCCCTCGAAATCCTCGCCTCCAGGGCCAGCCTATTCGCCTCAAACTCTCGCGTTACTGGGATACACTCAATACTACGCGAATCTGACTTACATAAACAACGATTTCGAAGACGAGGGGTTCTCCAGCCTCGATTTGCCATCCGAAGATGACGCCGAACACGCGAAATGGAAGGAGGGCAAGTTCAAGGGCAAGCGGCCTCGTGACAGCGAAAATCCACAGCCACGTCCCAGGAAGTTCAAGTTCCAGGTCGAGTATGATACTATGAGCGACAAGATCTACGGCCTCAAAGATCTGACCGTCAAGAACTACATCAATCTAGCCCGGCGAATCGGCAACTTTAAGGTTGAGGACGCCGGTATCTCAGAGCGCGTTCACTCGGCACAACAGCCATCGGATGAGCAGCCTCCTCTGGAGGTGGAGAAAGACAAACACAAGAAGGATAAGGGCAAGAAGGATAAGGGCAAGAAGGACAAGCATAAAAAACATAAGATTGATCATGTTTGGTTCACGTTTGTAAGGCGCGCTTTCGTCGACACCATGGACCTCCAAGACGTCGAGGAGCAGTTTGGACATCGGGCGGTTCCGAAGCAGAGGGCCGATGATGAGGGTACTGGCGAGCTGTGAGCTCAGCTATGCATTATACCATTCGGAGCGTTCTATGCATCACATGGCGTTTAGCTGGCGTTCGATCTGAGCTGGTTGTTCTTGTATACGAATGGTTGTAGTGTGTGACCTGAGGAGAGCCCAATAGCTTCATTACGTTTATCACTTCTCAGAGCAAGTTGTAGTTAGCACTGTTGGCAATTTTGGAATGCAGCGCAAGGCGAAATCACCACACTTCGCTCATCAAGGATGGAGAAAGACGAGCATTATGGAAATCCACATATGCGTGTTAACTTACCTGTCAGCCTCATCTGAATGCTGCAATGTTCACACTTACTGCTGATGTTACCCGTTGCGATCAAGGAGATGTGTTCCAACACGGATGCACGTGACCTCGGTTTCTCGTGATGTCTCAAACAGCGGCCAAGAAGCTTCCCCCGAGCATCATTGAATCTTTTTACCGACACTCACTTGCGAGTACAGCTCGTACTCCGAGTCTCTGCAATCGTTACCATGCTCCAACCCCGAATAGCGCTTCGCCCAGCGGCACAATCCTGCAATTGCCTCCTCTCCTCGCTCCGCAGCTATGCCACCGCGACCACCCATACACCGACAACCCCAGCACAGCCGGTAGCCACGACCCCAAGCATCGGCTTCGCACCCCCCTCAATGGCACCCCGGGCAAAGACGACCTTCCAGATGAAAACCTACAAGCCACGGACGCCTGGTGTGCGACATCTCCGGCGGACAATCAACGAGCACCTCTGGAAAGGCGGGCCACACAAGCCCCTCACGTTCGCCAAAGTCGGGCAAGGCAAGGGCGGGAGGAACCACACAGGCCGCGTCACCGTCAGGCACCGCGGCGGTGGCCACAGGCGCAGGATACGGACCGTAGACTTTGTGCGCATGGCGCCGGGGAAGCACACCGTGGACCGCATCGAGTACGACCCGAATCGCAGCGCGCATATTGCGCTCGTCACGAACGAGGCGACGAAGGCGAAGAGCTACATCATTGCTGCGGAGGGCATGCGCGCGGGGGACGCGATTCAGAGTTACAGGGCGGGCATACCGAAGGATTTGCTGGATAGTATGGGCGGGGTTATTGATCCGGGTATGCTGGCGGCGAAGACGGCGTTCCGTGGGAACTGTCTCCCGATACATATGATTCCGCTTGGCACGCAGGTTTATAATGTTGGCTCGACAGCGGGTAGGGGAGGGGTGTTTTGTCGGAGTGCGGGCACGTTTGCGACAGTCATTGCGAAGGAGGAGGTCGGGAAGAAGATCAAGGATGTTGTTGTGAGGTTGCAGAGTGGAGAGGTGAGGAAGGTTAGCAAGGACGCTTGTGCCACGGTTGGTGTGGCCAGCAATCCGCTCTACCATTTCCAGCAGCTGGGAAAGGCTGGGCGGTCGAGGTGGTTGAATATCAGGCCGACTGTGAGAGGTGTTGCAATGAACGCTGGTATGTCAACCCCTATCGTGTCACTGCATATCGGTTCAGGTCTCTTATGGTTACACTTGTATACTGACAAGGTCACTAGTCGACCATCCCCACGGTGGTGGTAGAGGTAAATCCAAGGGCAACGTGCATCCCGTCAGTCCCTGGGGCGTGCCAGCCAAGGGAGGCTACAAGACTCGCAAGAAGAGCAACACCAACATCTACGTTGTGCAAGCGCGCGTCCGGAATATGGGAAAACGCAGAAAGACGAAGACTTAAGGGGGGAGTGTATCCTTTGTGTATCATCAACGAGACGAGTGGCCTCGCTGAGGCCTCGCCTGCTGTATCATATCCATTGCCGTCTCATAGCGAGCGAGTGGCGTTGGTGCCGGCCTCGAGTTGTGTATATATCGAGCATAGACGGAGTAGCATTGCAATCATGCACGCAGAAGACCTGAAAGCCACAGGAATTCCGTTTCACTAGTCTAGGGTAAACCACTCATCCACGTTCCTAGAACTCTCTTTGAACGCCTTGCCACACATTAGTCCATGAGTATATATTTCATCGATGAACTCATGACCATCGCGGCCTGCAGCTCGTGATCTAACAATGTACGGTGTGTGTCCGCCATAGAAGATGCATATCTGATCTGCTGATCGGACGTGTGGAGGCCCTAGGCCAATTCTGCCTCCTTCTGTCGTAAAGAAACAATGACCCTCGCAGGCTCCGGTGACAGCAGCCGAGTACCTTACCAACATTTTGAGCTCGGACTCAGGCACGTCGACGGGAAAGTCTTCTGTTGCTGACATGAAATCGAGGCCAGCAAGTATATGGCCAAGGTCCATCGATATCCCTGCAAGATGTCGTTTGAACAAATCGTATTGTTGGGCACCGAGGTATGCTTCTCTTTATACATTATATCTCCAACCATCGTCCGCCAGTGTGCTTCTGGTAGGGTACATGAGACCCCGTATATTTTCCGAGAGAGCTCTAGGCAGGAGAGCTCCCAATCAAGGGCCTGGATCGCAGTAGATTTACTCCACTTTTGTACCGACGAGTGTCCGCGTGAGGGCCATGAAGGCGGTATCACCTCTACAACTTCGTCGACACGGAAGCCTTTCACTTTAATCCTATCGGAATCATCATCGGTAAGAATTTGACAGCTCTTGGCTTCGCCGTCCTGGATACCTGCACAGTATTTTCTCCCTAGGTCAAGCCTGAGTAGCTCGGACGCTGTTGCAGTGTTGCTGGCAAGTTGAAATTCAGGCACCATGAGAGTAGGTTGGGAATGGGGACACTGCAAGATACCATATTCAGAAGCCACAGAGTAGGCTCATCGGCCAACCTTTGTCTAGCGAAGTCGGTATATACCTCAATACAGCTCCTCGAGTAGTCTGCGCGTACTCGCTGATGTGAGTCGACCAGACCCATCAGCCCGTAGATCTTATCGGCTGGATTTGATGCCAACCAGGTTCTTGACATGAGGAGTAAGAGTTGCAGGCGATCAATCTGAGGAAAGCGTGGCTCTTGGGAAACCCTGGCCAGTGCGATCCGTGAAAATCTTCTCGAGGGCTGCACTACTTTTTGATAATGAATGCGATACGACAACAGCTTCGCACGTAGGATCTAGGGACAGTAATAAACCGGATGAACCGGTAGACAGCTTTCAGAATGCGTCAAGCGTCTCAAATACAAAGATGGCGTCTCCACACTGCAACTTGACTGTGCTGGGAAGTACAGCCTCCTGAAACGTCCAAAGCCGCTGGAACCATGGATTGGTAAGTAGCTTCCGCATACTGCACCAAAATGGCGATGTGGCCACTGGAACGCCATCCGCGATTAGAGCGGACCCGTTACAGGGCAGATTGGCAATATGGGATTCGAGTATCGGAATGACAGCCGGAATCTGTTCGATCGCGTTCCTCGTCGCCTCGTCGCCCTTACCAAGCCATATTGGACTGAAGGCTGCGTGGGCGTAGATTTCAGCCATGAACGGGACTTGAAGGCTCCTTTCTTTCACATCGTCTTAATTGATGCAAACTCCATCTATCCAAAGACAGTAATCTTCAGTGTTCCGAACCAAATAAGGCAGCATAGTGTGGACGTTCCTGATAACTTCGAGAACAGAGTTGTTGACGAAGAGGGTTTGATCTCGTGGCTGGTCGTCCCAAGTGTACGACAGTGCGATGAACGGCGGTGTTTTGTCCAATGGTACGCTGAACAGGTCGTAAACACACTCTGTTCCAGATCTAAGGACGCTCAGGAGGCGGATATACCCCGATTTCAAGGACTGATAGGAATACTTTTGAGGCTCTGAAGGCGTCGCCATCTTCGTCTCATGAGAAGCGAGTGCAAGAATGAAGGCTGCACATGAAGAGATGATCGAATCGAGCTTTAAAGATGCGAAGCAAAGTTGGTGTTGCTGCACCAGCAGCAAGGCTGACTCTGGGATGAAGTGTGCCTTTACAAGTGTCTATGACCGTGGCACGATCTCAGTGGCTCCCTTAGGGTCAAATTCACTGCACACTTGAGGCGAGTTACTACGGGAAAGCAAAATCTGGAGAAGCAGTGTAGATCTGAACAGGTATGCTCCATCGGACAATTTCGCTGCTTATCCGTCGATATTGAGTCGCTCTGTCCTATTACATACTGACCGCTTTCTAAAGCTGCTGATACGCGCATCTCTACTCCGTATGCAGTTGTTCATATCCAACGGGCGGTTGGGGCGGCTAGATGTAACCATAGGTACAGAGCGTTGAGTCCACCAAGGGCCTCGCAACTTCGGAAGGCATCCAGCCCTCGCAAACCTATCCAGTCTAAGTACTCTGGATGATAGAGGCGTCACATAGTCTTCCAAGGGGTGGCTTCCTTCGCGCGGCACAACGGTGCTTACCAACGCCGACGGGACGCCTTTTTATCATCTTGGCCAATGTTCAGCTCCTGATCCAGATGCAGGCCTGCAGCTGCCAGTACGGCCGCAGCAACTCTGTGGCCAGGATCAAGCCGCCCACGTGCTTACCTACTCAACGCAATGTAGATGCCTAAAGGGCGGTTCATAGTGTCATGTAATTGCTATTGTCTACGTGTCTTTGCTGAAGCCGCACGGGTAGATAGGATCAATTCAAATTACCGTTCTTACTACTCCTCCAGGCACGCATCCTATCGGGCATACCTCCCGTCTTACTGCGGAACAGAACTGACAGCAGCGGTGCAACTTGCACTCCGCCTTATGCGCTTATCTCCAGCATCCTCTCCATGCTCTAAACCATGACCGTAGCAGAGCCAGATTCGCCTAGCGACACGTTCTTCAACGACCTCAGCCAGTCGTACGATTACCAGAATGCCGACTCGGGACCTCCGAACGGGCGGACTAGAAGTACAGAGAACGTCAGAGAGGGGGACGGAGCTTCCAAGATCAAGCGCATAGCATGCGTGCTGTGTCGGAAACGGAAGCTCAAATGCGACGGCAACAGGCCCACGTGCGGGACATGCAAGAGGCTATCACACGATTGCGCTTACGATGAAGTGCGGAGGAAGAGTGGGCCTAAACGGGGATATGTAAAGGCACTGGAAGCTCGACTGCGTGTGTATATACTGGCGTCAACGGATTTCAGGCACTATGGGTTCAGAGCTGTCGGCTGATTTGATGCCAGACCAGGTCGAAACGCTCCTCAAAACGCAAGATTCGACTGCCGAGCCAGCCAACAACGGACGCGACGCCGTTAACCAGACCTTCCCGATGGGCGCGCTCCCTCAGCACATACGAGGGGCTGGCGCGGAAGCGTCGAACGCGAACCTTATGAACGACGACGACGTTGCTCAAATGTTCGACACGAGCAATCTTACACCCCCCGACTCGTTTCCGATGCTGCAGAACAATAGCTTGGGGGACGCAGCTACTTCGAATGAGGAGCAATTCTCGTGGGAGATGATAGGGCTGGGGTTGGACGAGCCGTTGCCGAATCAAGACGTTATCAACGAACTGTAAGCTGGATGATTGTTTCGCCCCGTTCTACTGATGGCCGGAATGGCATCTCTACGATGGGACAAAAGCAACTTCGTACATGCCGGGGGCCCGCTGAGGACTTCAACAGTGCATTAGCTAGCAAGTCCAGATCCGCTAACATCGACTTCTGCAGACATCAGATATTCTTCGACAAGCTACACCCATCTGTATCCATGATACACAAGCCGCGATACTTGGCTGCAATGAATCTTGCCCCTCATATGCGGCCTCCAGTCTGCCTGCGCTATATAATGTGGTGTTGGGCGGCATCCGTGACAGAAAAGTACGACGCGCTCCAGGAGCACTTCTACATGCGAGCACGCAAATACGCGCAAATGGACGAGATGAAGGGCCACGGCGAGGCTACAATCACGCTTGCGCACACACAAGCATGGGCCCTGATTGCGAGCTACGAATTCAAGCTCATGTACTTCCCAAGAGCATGGTTGAGCGTCGGTCGAGCCGTGAGGCTATCACAGATGATGCAGCTGCACCGCATGGATGGAGTAGGACTGGACGTCAAGCAATGCCTACAACCTCCCCGAGACTGGACAGAACGGGAAGAAAGGAGGAGAACGTTTTGGATGTGCTTCTGCATAGACCGATATGCGAGCATCGGTACGGGATGGCCTATGACGATTGATGAGAGAGATGTGAGTTCAGTTTCTTTCCGTGTTCTATCACGCTCTACTAACCGATAGCCAGATCTTGAGCAATCTCCCAGCTACGGATGACGCCTTTGACAGGAGCAGGCCCATGACGAGTATAACGCTTGAGGAAGCCCTGAGCCCTTCAGGCGCGGCGTCGCTAAGCCCTTTCGCCGGAGTTGCGGTCATGGCATGTCTTTTCGGACGGAACCTTACGCATTTACATCGACCTTCGCCGAACGACAATGACGCAGATCTCAACGGCGAATACTGGAGACGGCACCGAGCCATGGAGAACTACTTACTCAATACCGCCATGGCCTTGCCCGATCAGTTACGTTTACCTGCAAATCTTTCCAACGCGAACGTGGTCTTCCTCAACATGTGCATCCACACATCCGCAATATGTCTGCACCAGGCTGCTATCTTCAAAGCCGACAAGTTCAATCTACCACCAAACATAGCCACAGAAAGCAAAATAAGATGCGTAACAGCTGCCGCTGAGATTGCAAGCATCATGCGCATGATCTGTCATTTGGACCTCTCCACTGTGAGTGCTTGTGCTATACAGCTAGTTTACTACGATGCTAATCAGTTGGCTAGATGAGTCCCTTCATCTCTTTTAGCGTCTATGTCGCAGCACGCGTCTTCGTGCAGTATCTCCGGACCAAACCAAAAGACCAGAATATCAGCTCGTCTCTGCAGTTCCTCCTCCAAGCCATGCAGGCCCTCAAGCGCAAAAACCCCCTCACGGAATCGTTCCTCGCTCAGCTTGACCTCGATCTTCAAAGTGCTGGTTTACCACCTTCTCAGCCTCGAAACGAGTTTTATCAGCCAGGAGCAGCGGTAAGCCTGAATGGATCTATGCTTTGCTAGTGATCTGGCATTGTACATGTTTTGAAGCTATCACAATCTGACTTACGCTGCCCACAGCCCGAGATCCCACGCAACACCGACTCTGTAGGCTGCGTCGCGCTCTACGAGATTCGCGAGTCGCAGCTACCGCCACAGCAACGGACTCGGCCAACCTTCGGCGACCACGGCCTCAGCGCCCATACGAACCCAAATCGAAGTCCGGAGGGCGAATCACCCGGGCCCCCCTTTCATGTCGCGCAATCGGTCAGTCTGGACGTTCCACCCGCACCGCCCTTCGGCTACGATCCCCGGCAAGACTCCCGCAAGCCTGTATCGAACTTCGGATTCTTACCGCAAAGCGGGACTGTGATACCACAGGTCGGCGTCGACGCCCGAGTGCACACCTTGGCGGACCAGCTGCTGAACACCAACTCTGGAGGTGACACGGACATGGACGCCTCGCCCGATGTCAGCGGCGACCAAGCCACGCCGTCTGCAAGCTCGCGCCACGGATCCTCAGCAACGAACTCGTACACGTCGCCGCAGGAGCACAGTGCTCGCCACGCGTCGTCGCCGCCTCAAAACACCAACCGTCCGGGCTTCGGCAGCACGGGAGGGGCCAGCCAGCCGTTCTTTTCCAACGTGCCAGTGGCCGACGACTTTGCGGCTATGGCGGCCGGGTTTCCGGACCCGCCCGAGGCTTTCCCGTGGGATATTGGTGGTGGCGGCACGGGGTTCTCGCCGCTGCCGGATGGGAGCTGGGATCAGGTGCTTGGGGATATTGGGGGCTCGTGGAATGGGCTGCTTGCGCAGACTGGTGATGGGTATATGGGGAAACGGACTTGATGTAGCTGTGTTTCGCCGCTAGTTGGATGAGCTGAAACGGGTTTCAGGATTTTGGGTAGGTAGGGCGTACGGAGGCATCATTTGATTGGACATGGGATGTGCTTGATGGGTTGCACATCTCTGGAACAGGAGCATGCAACGTCATTCGTTATATACCTCCCCTTCCTTTTGGGGGTGTTCTAGAGATTGTTTACGCACCGTAGCGGAGGACGGAGTATGATGTTACCTTCACGATTTGTATTGATAGTTTGTACTCCACTCGAAAGGAAGTTCAATCATCCGAAGAACAGCGTTGTGTTGATAAGAGGAGTCACTCAACAATTTTCACTGTGCTCTCGAGACTTTTGTGTCTTCGCGAGTTCACGAATACCAACGCGGAGAGTCGAAGCTGTCTACACCATGACAAACAGCTTCTTCGAGAAAGAGTACTATCTATTCCGACTCGCGGACTCTCCCTAGTGGACTTCAGCTCAACCGCTCTATCCTCCTTCGGTGTTCTTCCAACAACTCCTCTACTACCAGCCCATCCCGCAACCCCAGTCAAAGATTGTAATGAGAATCCCAAACAAAAAGTGTTTCCAAGCAGGATTCGAACAGTGCCATTCGAGACACCGCTGCCTCGAATGTACGGCCGGTGCAAAAGCTGAGGAAACTCACCGCCGAGGTAATCCGGTTTGGACTTCATGGACAATGGTTTGATTGCAGCCACTCGGCTGAGAGATGTTCATGGTTTTATAACAAATATACTCGGCAAAAAGTCCCGATCAGATTCACAGTCAAGAACCTCCTCCAGGATCGAACGAAGGGGGCTAGGAATAGATGGACTAGTGACATGGTATTGAACCTCTGCACAATATTATCCTGCTTAATCATTTGTTAAGAAGCGCTCAGCCCGTTGTAGAGAGCAGTCCCTCGGACGTAGTTCTAGCTGTCCAAAAGGATATTCCAGTCTTGGGGCAAGAGCTTGAAGACGATTACATTGGTACGATGGGTGAGTAAAAATTAGCGGTAGAGTGAGCAGGTGTTAGCAAGCTCTGGGCGACTGACGCTGCATCCTTACTGATTGCTGGTGTGCTTTCTTGAGAGCTTGAATTCGATCAGGGCACGAAGAAAAACCTTGATCTTGACCGGAACCTAGTCCACACACCTGAACGTGCCCAGCTACCGGCGGATTCTTGTACACATCTTGATACAACAATTGTACAAACGGACAACCCCACCCCCATCCCACCTACGCCCCCTCCTTCGCCTCCGCCCCTTCCTCCTTCGGCTTCCCCTCCCCCGCAAGATCCATCCGTCTGCTCTCCATCGTAAAATACAAGCTCCTGCCCGCCCCCTCCAGCGCAGTGGTAACCCCGGCCCCCATCCCCTGCAGCATCGCCACCAGCTGTCCCCTCAACCCTCCAAGACCTCCCTGGATTCCACCAACCCACCTCGCGCCCTCCATATCGAACACCCGGCCCTCGACCCGCGCGCCCAGCAGCATCAGCTTCGCGAGCCCGGCTTGCACGGCTGGCTCGTGGTACGATGGCACGGCTCTTCGCCTCGGCGCGGGGAAGGCAGGGTTTGGCGCCAGGGTTCGGAGCACGGCGGCGAGGTGCTGCGGCGTTACAGTCGGGAAGGTCACGGCCATTAGGGGGCCGGAGAGGAGTGGCTCGAGTCCATGGCGCAGCTTGCGGTCGGCAGCCGCGCGGTGGGCTGCCTCGGAGAGGGAGTGTGTGTGGCGCGGGTCAGCTGGGCTTGGATGCGTGTCCGGTATGCGGGCGCTGGTAGGCGTAGCTGGGTCTGAGGGATGAGGCGTCCGTGGCTCCTGATCTTGAGCCGGGTGGTAAAACTCCACGACCTTGAGCGCGGAGGCGAAGATGCCGGTCTGGAGGATCTGCGCCTTGACGCTGTCGGCGACGGCGGCGTTAGATTCAGCGCTTCCGCCGGCTGCGGCGAGCTCGGCGTCCACTTTGCGGAGCGCGGTCACGAGCTCTCGCCGTATGGCCATCCATTCTACAGAGCGGAGGTTGTTGTGTTGGAAGAGGAGCATGAGGGGCGTAGAGCGCAGGAGCGAGGCATATTGGCGGTGGAGCTGAGATTTGCGGAATTGGGGCGGCTTGTAGGAGGGCGGTTGGGTGGTAGGGTATCGTAGCACGGGAGGGACGGAGCGGATGGTTTGGTCTATTGGCGGTGCGGGTGTTGTTGCTGTTGCTACCGAAGCGTAGCAGCATTGCTGTGAGGCATGGTTTGCGGAGGATATACGGACGCGGAGGTGTCGTGGCTCGAGGCGTAATCGGGGTGGCATATTCGGTGGAGATGTGTAGATGCCTTGGATACCATCCAAGAGGCTCAGGAACTGGAGGCTGGCCTCGTGCTAGGCGCGCCGGCTTGCAATATCACGTCGATATTAAAATTGAATGCTTCCATACGCTCAAGGGTCATCAAGAGCTCGCCCCGGTGAAACTCCGGCACCAGTTTCGACTTCTCTCCAGCTCTGTCCGTCAATGATGAGCATAGCTACGAACTCCTTCTATTATTAGGATTGGCTTCCATGAACGCGATTCCGTGTAATGTACTCCGGTGTAATATATGCCACTGAAATTTACTTTTGATAAGTGCTCTAAGAAGCCCATTATCCTCAAGCTGCTCCAAGCAGCCTCTTCCGCGATATCAGAATAGGCTGGCCGGCGAAAACGCCATTGTGGAGTAGAAAACTCGCTGGGCACTAACCTTTAGCTGGCTGGCAAAATGCTCTCTATCTACTGTCTCGGCGGTGCCTCTGTCTCTTTTTGCTAGCATCCTCTAAGCCCCTATTTTGGCGCAAAGCATTTCTGTACAGACCACCGCTCGAAGCGAAGAGAGAGATTTGCTAAGCTCTGAACACACCCCGTTCTTTTCCGGCGGAACCGAAAGAGATACTGAGCAGCGCAGGGTTTTCGTGTTGGGACTTTGTGGGAGTGAGGCAAATAGATAAGTACAATTACTTCCCATGGTAGCTCCGATGAGAACCACGGAAAATCTTGATAAGAACCATGTTGAGTGTCGATAAATGCTTCTCGACAAGTATATAAATTTCTCGAAGGTCACTCAGGCTACGCTAGTCATCTATACCTTCATACACAACCAACTCTCGTGCTCTTGCTCGCTTCTGCAATACTGCGGACGTCCTCAAGTACCCCCCACGTCCTCAATTGGGACCATTCGACAGTCACCACAACGAAGTGGACGCAGCACAGCAGCTCCAATCTACCACCCCACAGACCCACCAGTCGGAAGGTAATGGCCGGAACACCGTTTCAGCCAGTTCGGAAGAACCGCTGTCCCGATTCCTTCCAGAGCCTTCGGGCCCAGTTACAGACCCATTCGAGCATCTCGACCAGCCCGACCAGCTCAGCGATTTCATGTCTCGGCATGCGCGGTCGGACGAATTCCCGACCGCCGTCCGGTTCACCAACATGGAGAACAACATCGCCATAATACGCCGGTACATCGCGATCCTCCAAGAGCGGAAGGCGCATGATCCGGAGCGCGGCCTCAAGCGCGCTACCGAGTCCGTCGAGCGATTGGGAATGGAGTTTAGGATGCTCGCATTCAGAACAAGCCGGCTCGACACGTTGTACAATGACGCCAAGCACGAGAACAAGGCCAAGGACGAGCGTGTGTCGCAAGGCTGACAGAACGCGTCCGCGTGTTGGGGACGGAGAGGGCCGTGGACGGACAACGCATCCAATTGGCCCTTGCAGAGAATTCGGCTCTACAACAAGCACAATGCGACGAAGTAACGAGGCACTTACAGGAAACAGAAGACCGCTACAACAGGATGTATCTCATGACTCGGAGGAGGGATGATGAGTTGTGAGGGTTATCAAAGAAGCAAAGAAACCCGGCCTAGAGTATTTCCCTAGGACGCTGCGGTTATGCTTCATGATACCAAGAGCTCTCCTCTGCGGATCTCGGCCGGACTAGATATATGCGTGAATAGTCTAGCTTAGCGCAGACCCAGAAAGTGGTACCGTACATTTACTTTCCGTCATACTGTGATAGCGTCAGGGTCTTTGCGGTGAGTCGTGAAGCTGTTGAAGACCCGGCTTGGGTCGTATGATCAGTGTGATGATTAAATCGTTCATGCTCTATGTTGTCGAAGGCTCTGTAGCGTAACCCTCAGTTGGGCTGAAACATAGACAAGTCCGCAGTTTAGGTCAAGGAAAGAAGTAATCGTCGTGCAAGTTTCTCATGAAATACTGGAGCGGATTTGACGTCATTGCACAAAATCAACCACAAGGAGTTAATGGGAGCAGAATTATGCTTCAATTACTACCTACGGATAGCGAGGCATTAGCCAAGGTCGCCATCATCATCCCAGCCCAACGCATCGTAGATACTCTCCTCCGCAACCGTCTCAACGGCGTCAAGCTTGTTCGACGTGGGCGTTGCAGCAACGATGCCATACGGAGCGGCAAGAGGCTTGACGGGCGTAGAGAACACAGCCGCCGTTTTTTGGTTCCTCGATGGTGTTTGCGGTATCGGATCAGTAAAGAACGACACTGTCTTCGCTGGTCCACGAGATGGCGTTTCGGCGACAGTCGTGTGAAGCCCTGTCCTCGATTCGCGCCGCTCGGTTCCAGGGAAAAGGAATGACGCGGCTGGTCGGACAGTAGAGGATGGGATGCAGGCTCCGCTCGATCGGGGCGCTGGCCCATCAGCCGTGTTTGGCGGTGGAGAACGGAGAGCCGGTTTGGACTGCGTGATGTTCTTCGTCTTGCTGGCTCGCTTTGGAGTTGCCGTAACTTGCACGCCGCTCTGCTGCCGCCTCTGATCCGCAGAGTCGACGAGCTCTTTGACCGCCAGTCCACGATTTGGTTTCTTCAGCGCTGATATGGCGGTTTTGAGCTCGTTCTCTACAGCTGCTTTCTTCCGCTGTTTAGCTTCGTTGGCTGCGGTCATAGCGGTCAGGTCGATTTCCCGTTGCCTGAAGCGCTTGATGTCTGCCAAAGAACCTCCCCTACGGATTTGACTTTCTTGGCGTGGGATAGCCAAAAGTGGAATCTCGCTCCCCTCGCGTTTCAGGCCCGGAACGATGCCTGAGTCGGTGGCTGAACGCGCTAATGAAGGCGGCCGTCGACTCGTTGGGTTGACCTCCGAAGACACTTTCTGTAATGGCCGACGTATCTTCTTGGGTGGCGGTTGCCGGACTTCGGGTTCTCCAGGCTTGCGGAGAGTAGCAGTCGTCGAAGTACTCTGGATTGCTGTGGGTTTGGCTGGCGATGGGGCACCTGGCCCCCCGAGCTTGCGATTGATGGACGCGGCCTTGTCAGGTATCCGGTTCATGTAGCTACACACGTTAGTCGGCTTGCATGGAACAGCGAGTAGGGTGCCTTACAATGGTATGATGACTTCAAGGCAGAAGTCTTTCAGTATGTCGCTGTTCGACGCCCCGCCAGCGGTGATGTGCGTGTTCTCGCTGGCTTGATTACGACTCGGTAGCTTTGCGCTGGATTCTTCCTGTTCCACCGACTGCCAGATGCACAACCTTTCAACTAGGACGTCCATAATGGAGCTCATGTCCTGCTGCTTCCTAGACTTTCGCTTCTTCTGTGACACCGCGTCGGTAGTCCGTGGGGTCTGACTCTCAACGCCACCTGGATCATCAACCATTTGTGGTAGCTGGCACGCTGGTAGCGATTCAAGCGCCATGACTTCCATGGCAACAATCAGCTGTGCCAAAGTCTCTCTGACTTTCAGATTCGCGGTCCTCTTTCTCGCCACGTCATCTGCACTCCCGAAGTCTCGCTGACTAGTGATTGCCCAATCCGACAGCCACCATTTCCTGACGTACTCTGTTTCATCAGAGTACATGCCGTCCTTGCTTGGCTTGAGTTTCCGTGTCGTAGTCTTCTTCCTTCGAACAGTTGCTGACGTCATAGGTTCCTCGTCGGAGCAGAAGGCCATCGGCATCCCTTTGATGAGCTCTGGCAGCTTTTCCTTGTACTTCTTGTCTATGGAAGTTGTGCTATGCAGTATCGACCTGTAGAAGATGGCAAGTTCGGACAGCTGGAAGGAGCCATCTTGACTGCCAGCGAACGAAGCGCGAACTCGTGAGATCGGGCCCTTGGCGAAATAAGCGAGGGAAGCTTTGGATAGGTAGAGAGCTTCGAGATACTGAGATATGAAGTTCTCGAACAGCTCCGCAGCAGGAAGCCGAGGCAGCCCTTGCTCAGCGACCGGCTCAGTTGGTGTACGAGAGCGTTGCTGAACGGCGGAGCTTGCAGAGGGATGTACGATGGCGGTTTGAGACACTGGCTTTGGGTCGACCGCCGCCGCTGGGCGCGCCATTGAGATGCGTGGGAGCTCGCCATGGCTTCTGATCGGGTTGGACGGAGGCAGGATCCCTAAGGAAGCCCGCTGCCAGTATTCATGTCCTGTGCCGCGAACAGGCGCAACCTTGTGAAGGCAGTACGAGTCGTGCTGCGGCAGAGACACTAGGTCTTGCACGACTTCGACAGTCACCCAGTTCGCAAGCTTACAGAGCGCATAGACTCCATCCTGCACTCGCTCCACAGCAAACAAAGTGTTGGGGCTGGATGTTGCCGCTATGAGTACCACTGGTGCATCTGGGTCTCCCTCTCCTTCAAGTGCCGCAATGTGAGCTGAGAAGAGACGGTTGCATATCAAGTCGGACAAGCTGGTAGTGGGGTCCAGCAACGACAGCGGTAGTTTCGAGCGCGGCAAGAGTTGAATTGGCGTGAAGGTGTGCGGCTTGTCGTAAGCAGAAGACGGGTAGGGCTAGAACTCAATTGTCAGGTCTTGTGCTTCAAAGCCAGGATGAGTGCTCACTCGGATGGTGAATTGCCTGTGGAGGGCATCGTGGCTGATCTCCTGTCTTTTACGCTTTTTTGGATTGGTGGTTGTAGCATGGGGAAGAATGGACATAGTACATAATAAAGCAATAATTCGTAGAGATGTTGCAGCTTCGGTGGACGCGAGATTTGTCCGTGTTGTCGACGCGTTAGAGTACCCGCCAAGCAATGATATAAGAATCCAGTTGCCGATCCGTGCGTTCACGGGCCGTGCGCGAACAAGCCACAGATCTCTTTAGCGTTCGTTGGACATGGAGAGAGTAATGTCCACTTCAATCGAACTTCCCTTAGCACGATTTTGCAACTACACTCTTACCGCAAAGGTTCCCGCTATCGCGGGGCCGCCCACATTATTAATAAGAAACTACCACTAGTTATGGTATGGATACCTCTACAACTATATGCTGTATAATCTAAAGAATAATAAAGCCATTAAGATTGCTTGAATATCTATGTACTTCAAAAATATAGTATCTTGATACCGTATCTACTAGCTATAAGCTTTAACTACTACTACTATCCATAGTCATCAGCAAAGAATTTTGGTGGCTCAGAGCGGCTCGGAGCGCTCAGAGACACCATCAAAGGGATAGATTTTGTCCCCGTGTGCCTACTCACGTTTTGGTATCACATCGGCATTTGCTGTTCAATGTTGCATTGTGTCACATTAGTTAGTCGAGTTTCTTACGAACCACGTTGAGCTTTTCGCCGGTGCTGCAATACTGATTCACTACTAGAATGTCACTTTTTTTTTTCAGTGAGCCGTGAATTTGCTTCACTTCCAATTCGAAAAGTTCTTCTCCCACTTTCACTCACGGCTATAGAGTTTTCACAGCCGCTGCTACTACAAATCACTACCACAACTCTCTCTTATATCTCCAACCGCGGTCGAAATCATACAATCGCACTAACTCCAGCCTCGATTGTCAACATACAAAAGCTATCAAGCCTTCCATAGCCCTAGTATCCTCCCTCGTTGAATGCTCAATAGCAGGCAGCATGGCGCAAACCCCCAATAGAGACCTTCGAGCATCTCGTTCCTGTCCGCCAGGGCTCTGCGTCCACATTCTCCGCTGCGGCCACATGGTTTGGACGGCTGCGCTCGAGCCCTGCTGTATCAACTGCGCATCTCCAGAATCCTTCCTTCCACCATGGCTGTTCGTGTGCGAGAAGTGTATTAACGATGAGGATAACTAAAGACATGTCAAACCAACGCAGTTCATCCGCGTAATGCTCGACCCAATATCCGATGAGGCGTTTGAGCGGGAAGAATACCATAACCAGCAGTTACATTGGCGCAAAGCGCTGGAGTTTCAGCGCGAGCTTGCTCAGCGGCTGGCGGTGCCCTGCAAGGAAACAAAGTACTGCGGCGTGCTGCCAATTCTCGAGGAGCTCAAGCGAGGGGAATTGATAAAAGAGAGTAAAATTGGCCGCGATGAACTCGCGACGCTGATGGAATGACTATATATTTGTGTCTATGAGGCTGATAAGTAGACGGAAGCAGTACTTGGCGGCTTTCGCAAGCTGAATATGGGCTTGGAGGACCAGAAGGGGGGCCCGGCTTGAGCGGCATTCCTTCAGCTTCGCGGCGTTCATACTCTAGCTTCTTAACACAATGCAAGCACTCTTTTCCCAAATGCTTCGTGCTCTCCCTCTGTGATCCTTATCTTGTCCAACTCCCAACCTCCTCATTGCGCCCTCACCTCCCCTCACCCCATACCCCTCGACGCCAATCCAACAGCCCTCCAACCTACCCCTCAACCCCTTTCTCCACTCATAGCTTGACCCCACCCCCTACAGCCACCTTCCCATGCTCACAAACATATGCCACCCTCCCCGTCCCCCTCTCCCTCATGACCCCCTTAACCAACCCCATCCTCTTCCCTAAACCCACAACCTCGCTTTCAACCAGGACCTCCTCACCCTCATTCACCGGCCGCAGATACGTCACATTCAGCGTCCTGCTCACATGGCCTGTATCCCAGAAACCTTCCCGCGCGGCGGGCTCGATGGTCAGGCTAGTGCAGAGATCGAAGATGGTGGCGACGGCGCCGCCGTGCAAGGCACCGGTGGCGTTGCAGAGCGCGCGGGGGACGCGTAGAGAGTAGGTGGTTGTTGTGTGGTGTGGGTTTGAGGGGGTGGGGGAGTGAGAGGCGCTTAGGAGGGTGAGGGCGCCGGCGAGGGGTTTTTCGTAGTACTACTAGTGAGAGATGATCAGAGGGCTGCGAAGGGGAGTGGAGAGGAATCGAGGAGGGAGGGAAGGCACACGTCGTAGTCGGGATGGGAGAGTAGCTTGAGGAAGGCATTGGCGCGGTCGAAGGGCGTAGCTGCGAGGTCGGAGGCGAAGCCCATTTTCGAGGGGTGAGGTGATGAAACCTGTAGGGAACGAAGAGAGAACAGACTCTAGATCTATCTATAGCTGTATCATCTCATTTTTCAGCTATTGTCGACTGTGGTGGTTGAGCGATGAGCCTCTGGAGCTGAGGTGAGCGTTACGATTCTCGAACCTCGGCAAGTTGGAAATAATGCTGGTAAATCCGATCTCCTGTTGAAGAGTTACTCGAGTATTCGAAGTATTTATCTGATACGAAGATCTACAGGGTCTATACTTGGACAATGAAGAGGATTAAGCATGTTGCCACACTGGTCCTGATTCGAAGAGAAGAATGAATAATTAGTTAAAAGCGTCCCCGCTATCCATGCGTGCGTAGCGCCCAGACGCCATGCGGATCTACGTCTATATATTTATATGCTATTCATGCAAAAAATGATGCTCTACGCTGTACTCTCTAAACACGCTCTACCACTCTAAGCAGTGATAAAAATCCTGCCCTCCCACGGCTTCAGCGGCCCTTCCTTAACATTTAAGCTACTGATCAGCAAATCCAGCTTCCCGGTAACTTATTGGGACCTGGTAGTCCTAATCGTGGTCTGTAAAGTTTAGGACAGTTAGTACCTTCTTGCCTTAATGCGACTTGCTGAAAATATATGTTAGAGTTCTCGAAATTATAAACATTGTAGCTATTAAAGATAAATATGTCCGAGTACTCTTTCCTTACCGTAAGTATCTTCTTCTAAAACGCCAACACGCTGCTATCGTCGTCCTGCTACTGCGTAATATCAATCTTGTAATAGCTATTATTAATACGCATTTAGGGTTTCTTGCCGCCCTTTGTAAACCCCCTATACGGCGAGGTCGTCCCACTATATCAGCGTCCTCGCGTTGTCGCGGTCGAGGTAGTTTATATTATAAACCGCGAAGTAATGACGCGGGTTAAGACCTCTGCAGGAGGCTCGCTATGTAGTCAGCAATCTCATCCGCGCCCGCGTCCCGATAAGCCCTTTGCGCTTCCTGCATTCCTTCAACAGCAGGTAGGTTCCCCACTGCGAAATCAGGCAGATGGTACCCAGCCCGTAGCACGCTCGCGCATCTCTCGGTAAATGTTTCGGTCCACCGCTCGTAGAATTCCAATCTGTGATGGATCCAGTTCCATTTTTCGAGCTCACCGGACTGTTCCGTACCCTCGTCGACGCAGAGCGAGTTAAGAGCAAGCTCAGCAGTGATGATTTTATCGATACAACGCTGGCAGAGAAACACTCGCGGGAACCGACCACATGAGCCCGATATGATGCAGTTCGAAGCGCATAGGCCCGGATACCGCGTCCGTACCTCATGGCCGCAGTAAAGAGAATGACTGAGGACAGTCACATAGCTGGAGGACGGCCGGCCATGTTGCCTCCTTGTACGTTGTTGACTAAATCAAGCTTTCTTGGGAAGCAAGAAGAATACCTGTACAGAAACGGATGAGGGGGCAACAAAGTAGCTTGGGACGGTGTCAGATTGGCGAGCAGTTCCGGTGAAAATATGCCTTACTATTTTCGGGTCACTCAAATTGACGAGTACTCTCTATTTGTGACATTGTAGGCGCTTTCACTTTACAGTGTCCGCCTCTTTCCGATTCCGTAATTTTTGGGCCAGTGGTCATCCTCTCATGGCTAGTATTGCGAGCGTCATAACGGCAACGGCTAGGAGCTAATACTTTTCATTGACTAACAAAGAAACCAGGCGGCGAGGTACTGGCCTCGAGGAATGGAAGAGAATGGGATTACGCTTACTCGAGAAAAGCTTCTCCCTGAAATCGACGGTCAAATATTTATGCAGTCTTTCAGTTGCAGGGGACCTCTCAAATGCCCCTCAAGAGAACGCGGATGCTCGATGAAGTTGTATACTCACACGTAATAAGTCTGAGTCCTGACTCAAGCGGCGGCAGGACCGGACTAGGTGAGTCCATTGAATTACTGCGTATGAGAGCAACAAGACTCCATCAATGGCATTCGAGTATATAGTCATAACAGGGGAAGCCCTGCCAGCAAAATGCTAAGCAAGTTTAGCGCGGTACGCTCTTATAGGACCTTATCAGGATAGTCTTGATAATTGAATGGATCCTGTCGACATCGACCTAATGATACATGACCAAAGACTCCCAGGGAGCAGAGCGAGGTAAAAGGCGGCCGTTAAGAGACGGGAGACCACCTCTCTTGCCACCGGCCTTTCCATCGAAGCGCTGGCGACAGCTGCCAACCGTCGAATGCTGCGTCTAAATCTGAAATTCGCAACGCTAGGAACGTGGAATCCGCGCTCATGACGCTTACATAAGCAGTAAAGTTGTACGTCACCTTCCGCGAAGACTCCCTCCAACGTTACCCTGCTAAAGCGTCTCTGCATTCATTGGTATGACTCTTGACCACGGCTCTCTGCCCGAAACACGTTTCAAGGTGTTGAGACAGCGCAATGTGGACAGGCGTTTGTGTCGAACCCAGTCATCGTCGAAAAGTTTACAAGCCTTTGACAGCGACAGACGATACCGCCTTTGTTCTCTCTTGAGGGGATAAAAGGAAGACGTCGTGCAGCTCCCGGATACTATATGTGCCCTCAGAACGCTGACCAGACCTGCTATTTTTCGTAATTAGGGATCCTTCTGAACGGCTCTCAGTGACACCTCAACATTCGTGTCTCGATCTTCGGGAAGGCCCTTTCGTGATGCTTTGAGCGGGAGAAATCACAAAGCAGGTGGTCTAATGGCCTATTGGCTCTCTTTGTTCCGGCATGAGAAGCAACAAAACAGTCACATTCGCAACAAGCAACCCACAACGGCTCATTGACCCACGCACGAAGCGCCTTTGTCAGGCTGTCGACTGACAATTAGTCCTTAGTGTAAGTCCGGTGAGACCCATTATACTCTGTTAGGACCAGACATACTAGCAGAAACCTTAGTGTCGTATTTCTTTGCTTCTCACCTCTCCGCTCACAATCATCAAACCACGAAGATCAGCTCTGTTCTCTTAGTCATGGGCCTTGCAATTATGGCCAGTGCTGCCCCGGCCGCCGTCCCCGCTGAACCGGCCCCTTCGCTCTCGCCTGAGGCATTCCGAAATCTCGCTAATGCGCTCAGGAACAGACTGCCCAAACTCAGTCTACCACCCTGAAGTGTTATTGGAAGCTCTGATGAACCTGTCTCCCACCTGGAAGCTGACGAATACACCGGCGAGGAAGCCGAAGAACTCCAATACATCTAAGTTGATGAGAAGGAGGCAGAACCGCGGCGCTTGTGGTCGGGAAATTTTGAAGGACCTCGCAAAAATCGCCCAGCGGTTGTCCGCCCCTCTAAGCGCGAGGATGGCGAGGAGCTCGAAGAGCCCGAAGATCTAGACAATGAGAATGTCGAGATCGAGGAGCGCGCCACCGCTCCCGGCATGTTCCTTTGCGAGAAAGAAAACTGGGAGACATGCTATCACATCGACCTCAAAGACGCCGTCTGCACCAATATGCCCGCTCACCTGAACGACAAGGCGAGTAGCTTTCTGCTAGAAGACTTAAGTATCGCCCAGGATAAGGCGTGGGTCTGTGAGACATACACTGAAACGGACTGCAAGGGCACCAGGGAACTCACTGCCTATCCAGGCTTCGGGAGACTGCACGCTCAGGTCAGCGATTACATCAGGAGCATAAGATGTTCTTACAACAATGTCCTCTTGACTGCTCCGCTTCCGGGGTCGAGGACAGTCTAATAGACCTCTTTTCGTTTTGTACATATCTTTTACTTTCTCAGCATAAGGCAGCGTAACAGAGTCGTAAATCCAAAGGAGATACTGAACTCATTCAGATGCGCTATGATACCGTAAACGGCCACAACTTGATCCTGAAGGAGAGACTTGAGCGCAGCGAGAATCCTTGCCCGCAACCATCCGCGACTTCAAATTTGAAGCTTAACTTATCAAACGATCCAGAACATTTTACACTTAGCTTCGTCAAACGCTCCGCCGTACATGACACCATGGACATAGCTGTCACCGACAAGTCGCCATTTCTCCCCTACGGCCCTCACAACGAAAGGTCTCTTGCCGCCCTTGAAAATAGTAATTCGATCACCGACTTTGGACCCAGCAGGAACCATACCGATCAGACCCGTTGCTGTTCTGCCGATTACTTTTTCTGCCTGACTACTGCCGTCCAAAGCTCCAGGCCGATCCGGATTGAAAGACACCAGCCCACCGATAGCAATGGCGATAACACAGACAACGGCGAACCAAGAAAATGCGATGAGACACACAAAGAGCCAGTGAGCTCTTCTGAGGCCTTTGAGCTCCATCCAGGTCCACCATTGAATCAAATTGTCGAACGCGCGGAGAGAGTGTCTCCATTTCTTAGCCGCGGCGTCGTTGGTTGTGGGGTCTAGTGTTAGAAACGAGACTTGCCAGAAGACGTCGCGGTATGTTTCCCCTGTCGGATACCGTGCGCTGATCTCGTCTGTCGTTTCGCCAGGAGATGCCACGGTCTTCCAGTCCCGGATCACGTCCAATCCGTGGAGGATAACCTCGTACGCGCTAATCTTTGGAATCCAGCGACCTTTTGGCCAGTACTTACTGGTGGGATCTTCTGACATTGACAGTCGGCGCCCCAGCAGGGTGATTGTGTCAACGATCAATCCGTCGACTTGCAGGCAGCAATTCCCAGAGCTAAAACGCGCGTGCGTCGCCATCCCCAAACTCGCGCTGAACGGATCTTGTGCAAAAACAGTATTGAGGGCGTGACTGCGGATTTCGTCGGAGGCGCTCCAGTCTGGCACCCAGGACGGCAATCCCGGCAGCCGGGGGCCGGTTGTGATTGGATGGCAGTCCAGGAGAAGGTCCAGATTGCGAGAGTCCTTTATGATAGTTGCGGCGGCATTCTGATAAACGCGCCGGACGGGAGTGTCGTAGTCAACGACGACGCTCTCAGGGTGAGCCAGTAGAGCACGGAGACCAAATATTTTGTCAACGGGCTTAGTCGCCTCAAAGGGCTGAAAGCGCCTCAATGCATCGCGCAAGCTGAGGAAATCACCTTTCCTAATTTGCTCTCGGGAGGCGGAGATAAGTTGGAGATGGTAGGAAAGTGCTACCGGCATGACCTCCTGGAAGTTCTCGCCCATCAACATGCCTTTGAGCTCTATCGCAGCGACGAACTGATCCCACTCCAGAGATTGGTTGCCGCATATCACGCTTACACTTGGTGCCACGGCAACTTCCTGGACTATCCATGTCCGTCTAAACCACGGCCGGCGAAGCAAAGCATCCGTCGCCTGATACGATTTCCAAGTCTCGTATGACCGATCCTCTTCTACCAGACCTCTTTTCAAGCCCGTCAGATAGAGCGAGATTTGAGGTGTGCTGGTGCCTTTGAGCTTCTCGATGCCCTTGAAGTTGCTTCGCCTCTCCTCAGCGTACTTCATCGCCAGCTTTCGCATAAAATTCATGGCCCTGTCACTCACTGCATCGGCCTCTCCGAGCCAGACCACCACGCCTGTGCTGCTTGCATAGATTTGCCGCATCAGAGGGACCTGGACCGCCTTCTCCGCAATGTTGGTCTGATCGATGCAAATAGCATCTGCCCATACCGTGCGAGGCTCATCCGCTAGCCGCAGCGCCCGCAGAGCACTGGCAAGATTTGCCGTTATGCGAAGTGATGCTCCATTAACACAGATCTCCTCTGTGATGGTGGGATCTCCCCAGCAGTAGGAGAGTGCCTCATATTCTGGTTTCTTTTCTAGATTGGCGAAGCGGACGGTGCATTTGACGGATTTACGGGTTACGGGACTAGGATGGATGGTGACCAGGCGGACTGACACGCCATCTGCGGGAAGAGGAAGATATATGGAGTGATCCTTAAGAGGAGCTTCAGGCATAGCAGGTCGCATGTCCTGGAAGAGAGCACATGCGAGAGAGACTCAGCTCACTCGTATGAGGCCGGGTAGGTATATACAGCCTCGTGCTCAATTGCTCAGCCGCACGAAGCCCCAGCGGGATTCTTGTAAAAACATCTCGACCACCACAGCGAGCCCTACTTCAACTAACAACTTATTGTTCTGTTCTTCGGGTAATGCAGATTTGCATGCACGTAGATCTTGAGTGACGATGAGTCGGAGCGCTAATATACGTGACCGTAATCGATCATCGGTTGGACGAAGCTCGAAGTCCATCAAGGTTTGTCGGCCTTGGAGCCTGATATGTCACGTACCTGCTTAGTAATCGCCCCTAGATAGCCGTTTCCGCACTAGGGTTTTACCCAACATTATCAACATTCGAGCTGTATCACCACAGCTTCAGATGCAGGCCGGCACGTGGTTTGTCTGGTATCTCCAAGTCAACCGGCGCTAAGCTCTCTCGCCGTCAGGGAGGCGTTCCGAACCACCACCGCCATCAGTGACCTGTCACGCTGGCACTCGCCGTCTACACTCCATCTTAGCTAACCAACTAAGGGTTCCGCTAAGTAACTATAAGGATTCTTGCATTAGCGCCATTATGTGACTTGATCACCCGAACTTTTAGCCTGGTCCAGGTGAATTGTGTCCTGGCGCTGCTCAGGCGCTACTCGGGCGAGCTCACCCTTGGCTGAGGCTAAAGCGGCGATTGCTCAGGTCCAAAGACGGAAACAGACTTTGGTGAGGTCCAGTTCTGTGGCAGACTATAGAAGTATGTGGTGGACATGACACCGACATCAACTCAAGGCGTCTAAACCCGACGGTACAACAAGCTTGAGACTGTTGAAGTATCACTAAACTCGCCAATGCTTTCATCCCAGCGAATTGGAAGATCAAGGTCGACGGAATTAGCATCAATCGATTACAGCAACTGTGGTTGCACTACTATCTAACGCTTTTCCGTAATGATATTCCTTCATCTACAGACACGCGATATCCCACGTCGTGGGAGTGCACCTCGTCGAAGACATGATGGAGCAGTCGACTTCTTGTCAGCCACAATGGATCTACATTTTCAGCGACCATGATGCCTGCTTTCATGAGGCCCAGGGGAGAACGTGCTATAGTTCATAAGGGCGCTATCAACCTCCTAAACCTTCAAATTTTCATGGTTCAGAAGCATGGCTACTTGGCTCACATCTAAATGCAACGAAGCTACTCGCGATCCGTGGCCGTCTGTAGGGCGTGACACTGTCTGCAAACGCACGATTAATTGCGCAATCTCCCAAGTCAGTGAAAGAATTAGATCTCTGCAATTCCTTCATATGCAGCTCTAACGTCATCGTCACTCAGTCCTATGCCAGCCCACGTGGTCTATAAATCTTGCATCCTCCAAGTTCACAGTCTCCTTCACACTCCAGTGCACTTCGATCCAACACGCGGCTAGGCTACCGGTTGGCGCGTAACAATGTCGAACGTCAGCTTGTCCACGCTCTCTCGCGATACGATCTCAAATCTATCCTCTCTTTTCACCGAACTGCAAGCCGCCATCAATCACCTGGGAGTACACCTAGGCGAGCACCACGACAATCTAGCAGCACTACAAACTTCCATCAACCAACTTGAGCGTCGATTGGATGACGGCTTCCCCTCCGAGAACGCCGTCAAGGCTGTGCAGCTTCAGGTTGAAAGCTACGTCGAGGCATTTCAAAAGGCTAGGACGGATCTCACCAGTCTGAGTACCTCGATGAATCACCAGCTCAATCGGTCTCACAGCCTGAAAGAAGAAGTGGAAGGCCTGAAGTCGGCCATTCGTACTGCTGGCTCCAACTACGACGACAAGTTTGACGACGCGATTGGTCGCATCGCGAAGCTAGAACAGGTGAGTCTATTTCGACACCATGAAACATTCCCCTTTCCCCCGGTGCTGACTCGAGTAGAGCCTCAGCACTGTGCAAGCGAACGGCGAAGAGTTTCGAAAGCATCTCAGCACGCAGCAGCTCGCATCGCAAGAGCTTCTTCCAAAGGCAGCAGTCGCCTTCGACAAGCTCAGCGCCTTGTCAAAGCGCGTCGACGCCCAAGACATCCTCCTGCAGTACACGCAGAAGAAGCAGGAGTCCCAAGAGAAGGAGATCAGCAGCATCTTGGAGCAACAGGACGACAGTAAGGAGCGGCTTGCCCGCCACAAGAAGCACATAACGGAGCTTCAGCACGGCAACGGATGGCTGAAGGACCGCGTCAGGAAGCTGGAGGCTCCGGCCAGCAAGAAGGACACCAGCACCAGCCCTACCAAGCGGGCAGCCAGTCCCAAACCCACCACGCCAGAGAAGCGCCGCGATCTGGGCGAAACCAACCATGCCGCGACATCTGCGTCACCCGCACAGCCCGCGCCCCCAGCAGCCTCCACTCCCACCAAGCCTCCGCGCCAACAGCCCGAAGCCGCCGCTCCGCCCACCGCGCAAACCCACAACCAGGTGCCAACGCCGCAGAAAGCCACGACCGACACGCGCACCCCTCCCAAGCAACCGCCCCCACACCCCGCAGCACCACTCGAGCCAGCCGCGCATTCCTACGGCCAAGCGCCAACGCCAGAGAAGCACCCAAGGCCAACGGACAGCAGCACCTGGTACCGAGCGCAAAGCGTGCAGCCCCAGCTACAGCGGTCGCTTGCGGACAACTACACCGCTTCGCCAGCGTCGCGGCGCGGTTCGTTCTCTGACCACGCGGCGGGAGGGCGGCCGTTTGAGAACGGACGGGGTTTCCGGCCTGCGCATCAGAGCCAGGATCCAAGGCTGCAGGGTCGACTGGGATACAAGCGGAAGAGCGAGGCTGATGATGGGGATGGTGTGTTTGTGGAGCGGAAGAGGGAGAGGCCTGACCCTTTCGGGAGGAGATGAAGTGTTGTTGTACGGTCAGTGCCAGCAATGAAGCAATTGTCGACGTAATGGTGCAATCCTCGATGTGGGACATCCACTCGGCTGGGACGATTGCTCTCTAGATAGGTCCTCCTTAGCTTCTCGCTTCGCTCTGGCTTCAGCATGTATGCAGTTGGCGCAGACTTCGCTGTAAGATACCTGGATGGCTGGCCTGCCATCACATAGCTGAAACAGCATTGGAGACAATGTTCGTTCTTTCGTGATATCGTAGCCGATTGGGCCTATCGCAGATACATACTTCGCAGGGGAATAAACCACGCCATCGACCCCACCCAACCGCCCGCCCATCCATCCATGCAGTTCGTACAACCATTACTCATGTCGTGAACTCCCTCCCGAAGTGTCAAAAGGGGGGATGATGAGGGACTTTAGCCAACGAAAGTAAACCAAAAGGATTCGTGAATTGTGAAAGGGGGGCGCCAAAAGAAACCCACGCCGCCAAAGCCAAAGTCTCTAAGAAAAGGGGGGGTAATCTCCAGCTCGCCTCTCGGCCTCCAAGATCCACCCAAGTCATCTCATCCATCCTGATGATTCTACGAAAAAGTTCGTCGGCTCGTCAGCCACCACCTCAGTATCTCGCCGGCGGCGCACCCATGGGCGGCGGCGGCAGGTTGCCCGCAGAGTACGGATTGGCATCCGCATAAGCCGGGCCGCCATAGCCGCCATATCCTGGCGCACCATAAGGGTTAGCCTGGTTCTGGTTCTGGTTCTGGAACCCCATGCCCGTGCGCTGCTGCCTCTCTCTGCGCTCTCGCTGCTTCCTCTTCTTGCGCCGCTTGGCCTCGAGCTCCTGGATCTCGTGCCTCTGCTCGTTCATCTCCTTCCACTCGCTGAAGGCGCTCTTGATGCCCAGCGCCGCAATGCCCACGGCCGCGGCGTCCTGCAGCGCGTTCTTGCTCTTGCGCTTCCGAGCCTCCTCCGCCGACAACTTGCCCTCCGCCACGAGCTTGCGCCTGTTTTCGCTCGCCACCATGCTCGAATACACGCCGTGCGCCGCGTGGATCGTCGCCACCGTCGCGACACCTGCTGTAAGGAATTCCTTACCTCGCATGCGCTTGCGCTTCTGCTCCATGTCCGTCGTGCTCTCCGAGCTCGAACTAGTGCCTCGGCGGGCGTTATCTCGCTGTCTCATCTGACGCATCTCGGGGTTCTCGCGGGAGGCTAACATTCCTGCGCCCGGATGCGCGCCTGTTCCTTCGTATCCGTCATCCGAGCGCCCGGAGCGCTTGTTGTTGCTCTTATAGCGTCGCCCGCGCGAGGGGACGTAGCTGTCTGCACTGGAGCTGCGGGAGCGGCGCCGGGATTTGGAGCGCACGCGGTTGTAGAGCGCCTTGCCGGCGGCTGCGACGGCGCCGGCTGCTGCGAGAGCGCCCGCAGTGGCAGCGCCGCCGGCTCCGCCATCGCTTCCACGGCCGCGGGATTGGGAGCGCCCTCGCGAGCGGCTGCGGCTGAATGGGTTGCGAGAGCGGGAGCGCGACCGTGATCGTCCGCCGGGTGAGCCGGAGCCATCACGATCTCTAGCTCCGTTGGCGACGCGGTTGACGGCGAGACCGCCAATAGCCGAGCCGATGACATTTCGCGTGGAATGCTCGTCGCCGCCGCCACCGACTAGCTTGTCGATGCCGGCAGCACCGAGCGCGGCTGTCGCGATGCGTTGACCCTTTTCGCCAGTCCACGAACCGGGCTCCTTCCGGCTGCGGAACGCTTCGACGGCGGCGGCGACGGCGGCTGCCTTGGCGGCCTGCTGCCACCTATCGTTTCCGCCTCCGCCGCGATGCCGACTTCGGCTGCGGGAGGAATCGCTGTAGCGACTGCGCCGGTCGTCGTACCGTCGGTCGTCGTGGCGTCGGTCATCGTACCTGTCATCGCGGCGATGTCGGCTCCTGCTTCTCTCACGCTGGCCCGTCACGGCGCCGACGACACCACCCAGCCCGGCGGCCTTGGCAGCTTCCTTCAGCGCGTCGCCGACGGACGGCCTGCGACGGTTGCGCGGCCGGTCGGAGAGGTACCCATCGTCGTCGTCGTAGCGGGAGCGAGGACCGCGGCCGCCGCCTCGCGCGTAGCCGCCAGCGCCGTAGTCATTGTAGTACGGGTCGTCGTATTCGCGGCGGCCGACGGAGCGGGCGCGCTGTGGTGGGTGGCCGTAGTCGTCGCGGTATCTAGGTCTGCGTTGCTCAGCGCCTGGTGGCGGGAAGTTGCGAGGGATGTCTTCGATGCTGTCGTCGCGCGGGCGGAGAACTAACTCTTGGGGTGCTCTTCCTGGGGCGTGACGGATGTAGGTCTCTTCGACGTACTGCGGCTGCGTACGATGCGACCGACGCGGACGGTCGTCGTACATGTAGTCGGACATGGTGAGGGGTTCTTGGGGGCCTGTCAGTCGTGCTGCGGGTGGTGCGCTGGAGGTAGGTGGCTGGCGACCTTGGTGTCGTCTTTTCTTAGACTGTCGAAGGTAACAGCTGTTAGCTCGTCTAAGGTTCAAGAGGTGGAAATTTCAACGTCGGCGCACCTTTTCCTGGTGGTTTGGTGAAGAGAGCAGGAAGGTGGTGTTGCAACAAACGGAGTAGGTGCCGCAAAGCCAAGTAAGCAAGTCGGCGGGTTAAGTTTGACACGGGAAAGCGCAGGGCTGGGGTGGGTATTTATTTGCAAGGCGAGAGGGTCTGTCCCGGTGAGCGTTGGCTGCGGCAGGCTTGGGGGGGGATGGGGCGAGTGTTCTTGGTGCGAGGGTGGGCTGAAAGGGCTCTCGGTGGGGGTCGAGGTGGGAGAACTTTGAATCCGGCCGAGGGCGAAGACAGCCAGGGCTCAGGTGGGCTCAGGTGGGCTCAGGCAGTGTGTGACCGCTGTGCTGGCCGTGATGTCATCGCACTTGACAACTTCAACCTCTTGGCAACTTCCGCTGGTCGAGGGGTCGAGGGGTCGAGGGGTCGAGGGGCAGCCCCGGTATTGGCACCTGGGCAGCCAGACAGCCGCTCGAAATGGCGCAGAATCACTCGATACCGCGCTCGTAGCAGAGAGAAGTCCCCTTTACAGACCACTCCAGCAGAGCACCTGAGGTCCATCACCGGTGTGCTACCAGATTGTTCACCGGTCGACTTCACTGAGCCTCACGCGCTGATGCGCCCGCGAGTAACCTTACCGCCGGACTGCGCCCCTTAAGTGCCCTGCAGCGCTAAAGCCTCATCTTGCGACAGGCAACTGTCAAAGGAGACGTCAACGTCTGCCATGTGCTTGTTCCATGGGTTTTCCATGGTCGTTCTACGCTCCTTCTACGCTCAACCGAACAATCTAGGTATCCGACTGCTTCCGCTTGGCCTCAATCGTACTTCTATCGCGCAATCTACGTACCAAGCTTGATGCTGCTCCAGGCCCTTCGCTACGCTGAAGGCAACTACCGTTACGGTGTCTGAGAAGAGATTGGGGATACCGCGTCCCCGGCCAAGGGCGAGGCGCTGTTGCTGGACGTTGCTGGTGGGACACAGGTAAGCTGGTCACGTGTTGATCTGTGCAGAATCTCGCAGCTCCGGTAGTCTGGAGAACGGTTAGTCGGAGTTGCCGGGTAAGTCCTGACCAGTCGTTCTTCTACTGTTTTGTACTGCCGCAAGTAGAACTGGGATGCCAAATCCGCCGTTGACCCTCGGCAACCTGTGTGGTGGTGGTGGTCATGAGCATGAGGTGTCTCGGCGTCATGCAAGATAAAGTCCGACCTCTATCAAAAAATCAGATAGCAGCCCTTCGATTACCTCGTACCACCTCCACCCCCTAAGTGCACCCTATGTCTGGAAACACCAACACAGACATATTGCTTGTAAGTCTGCCATTGCGATTTGCGGTACGTGCTCGTTTAACAACATCTCCAAGGCTGGAGCATTTGCAGCATTCACCGTCGACCTGCTGGTCTACCCACTCGACACCCTCAAAACCCGCTTCCAGTCCCCCGACTACGCGCGCCTCTATCTCAATGCCTCGAAGACGGCAATCAACAAGCCGGCACTGTTCCGAGGCCTATACCAAGGCGTCGGCAGTGTCATAATAGCCACACTACCCTCATGTACGCCCGACTCCAGCTCCGACCGGAGCAGGTCTGATTGACCCCAGCAGGAGCATTCTTCACCACCTACGAAGGCGTCAAAGCAATCCTCTCCTCGCACAACCCCACCCTCTCCTCAACCTCCCACCCGCTCCTCCCCCAACCCGTGATCCACTCCCTGGCCTCCTCAATCGGCGAGCTCGTCTCCTGCGCCATCCTCACCCCGGCCGAAGTCATAAAGCAGAACGCGCAAATGGTCGACGCGAGCAAGAAAGGCGGGCCGAACGCCACGATCCAGACGCTGCGCCGCTTCCGCTCGAATCCGCTCGCGCTATGGCGAGGCTATACCGCGCTTGCGGGAAGGAATCTGCCGTTCACGGCGCTGCAGTTCCCGATGTTCGAGAGGCTCAAAGAAGGCATCAAGAACCATCGCGTTAGGAAGGGCACACGCACCGGTACGCTGGCGGAAAGTGGCCTCATCACTGCCATCAGCGCCGGCACGGCGGGGAGCATAGCAGCCGTTGTGACGACGCCAATCGATGTTGTCAAGACGCGCATCATGCTTGCCGCCGGAGACGGCGAGCCAGAGAAGCAGGGGAAGGGCCAGAAAGGCGGTGCGCAGCCCCTGAAGGCTGCTGGTAACGGCCTGGTGGACGCGATGGGCAAAGCTACACAGTCTGGGAAAGACAGCCTGGCCGACGCGATAAAGCACCCTGTGCGGACCATGACGAAGAAGAAGGATCCGAGGAAGAGCGGCATCACTATCGGCAGGGAGATTCTGAGGAAGGAGGGCGTGAAGGGGCTGTGGAGGGGTGGCGCGCTGAGAGCTGTGTGGACGATGATAGGTAGTGGGTTGTATTTGGGGGTGTATGAGAGTGGGCGGATATACCTGGCTAAGAGAAGGGGCGAGGACGTCAAAGAGGAGGACCTTTTCTGAACTTAGTACGCAGTGATGTATGCCGCTCCGCACCATAGATGTATAGAGATCTCGACATTGCAGTACGCTTCAAACCTTCGACCAATCATACCGACGCGAGATCTACGTCGTCCCCTCTGTTGCCGAGTCCGGCCAGACCCCTTTCTTGTTCTGATGGTTTACGAACTAATCTTACTTCAGACATACCGTGTCAACATGAGAGCATACTAAAGAGATTCATTGAAGGTATAGAACTCCAAGAGCCTAATAAGACTATCCAACAGTACGCAGTAACCCAACACGCCATCCCGCCATTCTCCGATACGCGAACGTCCTTCCAAGACACCATGCTCGAACCCGCAATCTTTCGCCATGCAATGCTGTCACAGGCCAATCTCATAAACCACGCCACGCTATGCATCAAGTCAACAACGCTGTCAGTTCCACCCAGACTCCCATGACCGAATAAGCACCCTACAACCGCTTCAACCCCGTTCTCGGGCCCCAGAGACCGCGATTGTGTTTCTGGACGCTGTATCCAGCGGCCTTGAACCTCCTCCGCTCAGCCTTCTCGCGCTTCAGCGACTCTGGAGATCGTGAGGATTTGAGGTGCGTGGCTATGTGGTGGTGGAGCCAGCTTGGCTCTGGGAGGTCGGATGCTGCTGATTGTAAGGTGGTGAAGGAGGATGGAGGCTCGGTTGTGGTCGTTGAGAGGGTGAAGATGGATGTGGACGTGCAGAGTGGTTCGGAAGAATGGCGGTGCGGCGTCGCTGGATTGCTTGCGTCCAGGGAGGTTGTGGCGGAGCTGCCGCTCGAGAGGGAGGGCATGCTTTCGGCTGCGGATCCGTCTGTGTCCTTCTCGGCAGCCCCAGGGCCCAGCGCACTCAGCTTGATGCCGAATGCATTATCTCTGCCCGTCCCGAAGGCGCCAGCGAGTGACGGGTTCCTCGGTATCCAGTCCTCGTCGTCCGACAACGCCTCCCTTTGGGCATTCTCTTCGGCCTCTTTGTCCGCAACCACCGCCTTGCCTCTCCCCTTCCTTCTCCCCGTATTGACCTTACTACTCTCCACCCCCATCCCCACCTCCCCCTTCTCTTCCCACCCCACCACCACCTCCTCTTTCTCCTCCCCCCTCGTCCTCGCCTCCTCAACCGCCGCCCGCATCTCCCCAGGCACCCCCGCATGAATCCCCGTCATCAGCCTCGCCCTCCTCTCAAACGCCGCCCAGTCCTCACTGCACGTCTTCCCCGCCGCCTCATTCAGCGCGCTCGCCGCATTCGGCACAACCAGCAGACACCCAATCACGACCAGCACATCTCGGAGCCGCATCCCCGCTTTTCCCTCCCCTTGCCATCCGCTCTTCAGCGCGTCCACGCACACGCTCCCCGTCGCCTCGTCCACGTTCGGGTGCCAGATGCGCGTCGCGAAGCGCGCCGTCGGCGGCGCGGCGGGGTAGGTCGGCGGCATGCTCAGCGTCAGCGTGAAGAGGCCGCTGCTGTAGGGCGTGCCGCTTGGCCCGGCGAGATGCAGCGTTAGGTGCGTGAGGTCGTCGCAGCAGGTGCTGAGGGCGGAGGAGGGCGGCCAGAGGTAGTTGGGCGGGAGGTCGTGCGTGTGCAGGTCTGCGTGGTCGGAGGCGAGGCGGCGGAGGGATTTGGAGTTCTGGGGGTGGTGGTTAGTCGGGTGGGTCGTTGGTAATATCAGGCCTTTCAGAGAAGTACCATTGTTGGTTGCGGGTGTTTGGTGGAGCGGAGAAGCGGGACGTGTATCAAGGTGTGCTTGTTCGACAGATCTCAGGGCTAGAACAGAGAGTGAAGGATGGCTATAGAATTTGCGTGGAGAGAAGGTATCAAGTAGAAAACGCAGGTAAGACTAAGGCAAGACTGAAGTGTTTAGTGGTTTGTTTATGAAGTCAGTCACGTTCGCGCCGCGGGTGTGGCGCTCCACTTTGGCGTTTAATGGGCTTGGCGGACACGACCTCTCTAAATACATTGACTGGCAAACTTCAGCCCTTCAAACCTCGTAATCGCACTGGGGAATTGGCCGGGGTGATTCCTCAAGCTCCGAAGACACGTCGATAGTGGCTTTCTAACCAGCTTGTAGCGCCCTGTGATGTCTCAATACAGATCAGCTGCCGCTGTTCGATTCTTTAGCGTTGAAGTATAGGCGGCCCTCCATGTAATGCGAAGGAGTACCAATCTGCTAGCCCTAGACGCCCTTGTAAATGCCAAAGATTAATCTCCCGAGCTTACAGCCTTTCGCAGAAGCCTTTCTAAACGCCACTCAACTCCTCGCTATACCCAGAAGCCACCCTCTTCCAAAATCTAAAACACATCCATCTCATCCGCCTCCCCAAACGCAAACCTCCCCGCCCCAACCATCGCCACCCGATCCAGCTCCTCCTGGTATTCCCTCCGCACATCCTCAAGACTAACCACCTTCCTCCTCGGCCCCAGCTCCACCTTCTTCTGCGCACCCCCAGCCCCCTTACCCTTCCTCCTCGCCTCCTCAACCCGCGCCTCCCTCTCCTCCTCCGTTTGCTCCGCCAGTATCCACGCGTTCTCTTTCTCCACGCAACTTAGCACGTTCATCAACGCAAGTAGGTTCTTCTGGAGCCGCTCGTCGCCAGGGTCGAAGACGCTGCTGGTAGCGCCCCAGCGGAGCCGCTCGAGCCGCTCGTGAAGGACGAGGGCGGCGCCGCGGAAATCGTGGCGCTGGAGTCTGAAGGCGGCGAGGAGGTTGTGGTAGGGCGGCCCCTTGAGGATGGACTGGGGCTTTTGGGACAGGGAGGTGAGGATCGCGTCAACGTCTTTGGAGAGGGTGGCGAAGGGGAGGGTGAGGAGGAGGGGGGATTGAGAGTGCGTTGTTAGGGCTGTGATGAGGGTTGTGAGGTTGGCTTTGCGGCTGTGATGATTAGGTTAGTTGCTGCGCTGTTTGTGGGTGATGGATGGGTATTGACATACAGTATTGGGTTGGTGTGGCGTGTCAGGGTGGCGTAAGCCTCCTCGAAATGGGATGTTTGGATCAGGGCGTTGAAAAGGCGGGATAGGAGTTCGGTTTTTAGATCGAGTGTCTGGGCATGATTAGCCACGCTTTGCGGCGGTCAGGTATGAAAAACCTACGTCTTCCCGACCGAGACTGAGAACTTGCACGCCCATCTCGGCAAATTCGGCCACGTATGAGTGGGCCTTAACTTTCTCGAATAAACTGAGGACATGCTGATAGTACTTCGGTATGCCTTCCGAGAAGTAATCTTGCTCATCAAGGCTGAGCAAGCCGGAAGAGTCATTTCGCCTCACGTCAAAATGGCTCAGAGCTGGAACTGTATCAGTCAAGATCTGGAATTTCGAAACGTGATGACTTACCAAGGCCCACTGTAGCCCTCTTGAAATATACAGCAGCCATAGTATATTCTTCCAGCCTAAGATGGAGTCGGGCTCTTAAATAAGTAGCCCACGGCGTACCCGGCAAGAAGCGAAGGAAATCGGAAGCCAATTCAGTGTTGTCGCGCTTCAGTAGATCCCCCATAATGTTAGCGGTGATGAAGTCGTACTGTTGCCCCAGCTGTGACCCGAAAGTCCACGCTCGGATCCAATACCTGAGACGCATGCACTGCGAGCCTTCTGGGAACAGCATGCCAGACCAGTCGCCCACGAAGAGGCTCTCCATGATCGTCATGGTCTGGGCAGCCGGATCGCTTTGCCCTTGGGACTGGCTCAGGCTCCCGACACTGGTCCTCCGACGCCTTCGACCTGATGATTCGTGTCGTGATTTAGTCGTGAGCCAGGTCAAGACAGCATGCTCCTTCAGCTTGGGAATAAGTTCAACGTAGATGTCAGCCGCATCGAAGTGCGGCGACATCTCTTCGGGCTTGAACTCGAAAGCGCAGAAGACCACAAGAACAAGGAGGTCTAGTAGGATTTCAGTCCCATACGCAACCGTGTCCTGGGCGCCTCTTAGAAGCGCTCTTACGCCAAACTTGGTTACCTCGTTCCGCTCGTGGTGCCCTCGAGGCTTCTCGTCAAGCCGCTCCAGAGCTGCGAGAAAGTTACTCGTTGTAAGTTCGCTGAACCCGCCGAGTTCGTCCATGGCATCATGAAGCCTATCGACGTCCTCATCAGTGACCTGGGACTCAAGATCGCAGCGCGCATAGAATGACTTGATTCGATCAGTGACCGAAGTTGACGGCTCTTGCAGGATCTCAGCCGCGACAGCTAGCTGCAGAGGTTGGTGGAAACTTGACGTGAGACTTTGGCGGAATACTCGGGCAGCACTCAGAAGCCTCGCGACATCGATAGATCCCTCGCCGTCTAACGCACGGTATAGTGGATCGTTGGTAGCTATATGATCAGGTAGTGTCTCTGCGTTGGCTCGCATGACCTCGACTTCTGAGAGCTCCCGGATCGGACAGACGTAATCCGTAAGCAGCAGCCACGGCAAGTCCTCCACGGAATCGTACACAAGGCGCAACGACTCGCTCCTTCGCTTGTGCAAGTCCCGCACCAATCCGTAAAAGACTTGCCATTGAGATCCAATGTCGACCTCGTAGCGATCGTAGTCAATCTCACCCGCATGCGTCCTTTCCAGTGCAACGTTCGATGCGATGGCAGTGCAGAGCCGTTCTTTAAGAGGCTGATTGTTCGATGGCTTTGCTGCGAGGCTCTTTGCTGGGGAGCGCTTCGGCGCAAATCCTCGACGGTAGACCAGGAGAGCCGTTTCGAGGGTCGGCGTGGTGAATCGGCCAGGTACAAACAGGAAGTCCAACCAACGCTCCGTAATCGAAAGGCTGTGCAACGAAGGATCCGGCACGCTGGAGTCGCCTGGATAATCCGGGTTGATCCTCAACGCCTCGACAGTAAGTGGACCGGGGGACACGCAGATCCACTCGTGCTTCCATACGTGCTCCAGGTCCGACTGCAAATCCAGAAGGTTGAATTTGATGATGTACACCCTGCTGTTCGGGCCGGACCTTGCTCTTATCCACAGCTGCGTGCTGGCCCAGGATGGCGCAGCCTTAACGTGGAATTCTTCCAGGTTCCAGACCGTCGTGTTCATCATCTCATCCACCGGCGGCACAAAACTCATCTCGGGTTTGGCATCCCTTATGCCATTGGCCGGACTGTCTGCATCCGCAACGGCCCAGAACTTGAACTGGTGTTGCTTGGGAGAGTAGGTGACGACGTAGTATGGGTTTGTAGTATAAACTCCCTTCGCCTGAACAATCTGCATAACCTGAGGCTGTGCTGCGCCGATGTAGTATTGAGATGCCTTTTGAGGTTCCCGATTGTTGTCGCCAAGGAGGTCCATTTGTACTCCGATCTTGCCAGTCTTTACACTGCGAGCCCTTAGAGTGTGGTCGAGTGACACGGTCCATATGTGCGCTTCGTCCGGGGATAACGCGATCGATACAGCGGCAGTAGGTTCGATATCAGCGTTGTTCCAGCGAGTGGTGTTGTGACTCTTCCACGACACCATGCCGCGCAGGCTGCTCCAGCCGCTATGGCTAAAGTAGATTTCGCTCCACGCTGAACCTACCCCACCGCGTCAGCTTTTTTTTTGGTAGCAGCGATCCGATTGCGTTACCGTCATCACCTGGCTGTCTGGTCAGACGCAGCAAGTTCCCATTCCGAGTAGATATCAGTAGCTCGTGCGCATTGCGAGCTACGAGTCGGTATGGGATATGTGCGCCGAAGGTAGGGGGATAGCACGTCTTGCACCAGTCGCTGACGTCAACCTCCGTAGCCGCTGGCCGGATGAAGAAGTCGATTTTGAGGTTCAAGGTGTAGAGCTCGCCCGCTGTTGTGATGACGAACGCTTCCAGCGCATCTCGCTCGTCCGAGTCTGCGAATGCTACACCGAACGGCCTGATCGGATTCGGAAAGCTGAGCGATAAGGCCAAGATAGCTTCGCCCTTCGTATGTCCTTCCTGGCTTAGGTCCACAGACTGAATCTCCAACACCTTCCTGTCGTCGAGAATCCTCCAAAGAAAGCACCGCGGGTACTTGCTTGCGCGGCGGAAGAAGATGGAGGCATCACTGGCGAGGTGTCTCTTTGCAAAGTCGTTCTCGTCTTGGTCGACATACAGGTCGGTTGCGATGGTTCGTTTGGACTGATGCCGCGATCCGAATGCAGAGATGCCATGAGCTGGGAGTGATATTGCGATGGTCGATCCGTTGAATGCGGGCTCAAGACTCAATTGCGTCTCGGCGTAGAGAGCTGGGACAGGTGGGGCTGCCATGACAGATCCATATAGGTGGCAGGTAGCTTGGGGGGTTGCGGGAGCTTCTGTGAGCTCTTGGTTGCGATGCGCTTGTTGCAGGTCGACGTGAACGCGTACAGGCAAATTCTGGGAGCTTGAGCTTCCGCAGCTTGACGCGAGCAGAGCATGCACGTGACCTCGCATTCTCAACGCGGAGCCCTCATGTGTGTGTAGCATTATCTCGAAAGTAACGGCGTGAGGGATTGCTTTGATAGGTCAGGTCAAGTCGCGTGGTCATGACAGTCTCGGTCTCTCTGCAGGTATCTATATACACTCATTTACTAGCGGAAAGCCGTTGAAACCCGTGGTCATAGTGATATCAAACGCCGTACTCTGCAAATGCGTCCGACCTTATAACCTCATATGCAACCGCCCCACCATGTCCACCAAGCGCCGTAGCATGGTCAGTCGTAATATCGCCATCCACACATGCTTAATCTTTCTCCAGATCCTTCGGGTTCGGATCGCCAATCCCATCCTCGTTGATCGCAAACAAGCAATCACTCTCCGGCAAACAAGGACTATCGTAAATCTTGCATATCCTCGTCTCGCCTCTGCCTTTCTTGAGACTCAATCGCGTCGTGCTGGCATGCGCGATGATGTTTCCACCAATGGGCTTCTTGGGGTCCGGATTGAACATTGCTGATGGGCCTCCGTCAACTTGTGCTACCACTTGGTTCGTGATGACGACTGCGATGCCGAACTCGTCGGCCAGCCGTTGCAGCGTCCGCAGGAACTTTGCAAGATGAATCTGTCTTGCTGAGAGCTCACCCCTACCCATGAAATCGGTGCGGTAAAGCGAGGTAGCGGAGTCGACGATAAGGAGGGAAAACCGGGTTTCCGTCATCATTGTTGCGGCCTGGTTGAGGAGTTGGAGCTGATGATCGGAGTTGTAGGCGCGGGCGTAGGCGACGTTGTCCAAGACTTCTTCTCCGGACAGACCGTACCGGTTTGCTACGGCCAGTAAACGGACGGGCCGGAAGGTGCCTTCAGTGTCGATGTATAGACACTTGCCCTCGCCACCGCCCATGTCGAAGGGTAGTTGACATGTCACGGCGAGTGTGTGGCATATCTGGCTCTTTCCTGTCCTGAACTCCCCGAAGATCTCTGTGATAGATCCGGTCTCGATACCGCCTGCTAGTAATGTGTCGAGTTGTTTCGAGCCGGTCGTGATAGATATCAGTTCGCTGCGTCGTTGGTGCATCTCCGTTGCGGTGGTAAACCCCATCGGTACGAGTTTGGATGCTTCGAGCTGATCAGCGGCGGTGTTCGCGGTTGGAGGAGATCGACTTACCCTCCGCTAGTATCTTCGAAGCCTTCTGTTCCGAAATGCCTTTGATCTGCTCTAGTGCTTTTCTCGGCCTGCCAGGTGTAAGTTGAGACCGATCTCTACGGTGGAAAGTGGTAGACTAACGTATATGCCACCGACTCTACTGTGTTGTATCCACCTTCGATGATGAGCTTGATATCGCGCGCGGTCAAGCCATTAACACCCTATGCATGTCAGGCGGTTGTCCGAGAGATCTCCCTCGGGCAGCTTACCTCCAGTGCTGAGAGTGGCGTGGGTGCGCCAGGTCCTCCTGCGCTGCCTTCCTCGTACCCGGACTGCGATTGTTCGTCTTCGGCGCTCATCTTGGTCTGGCTTGTGCAGTGTGCTGGGTGGCGAGAAGTCAAGAAGGAATTGTATGGTCGAGGGTGTGGTGTTTGAGAGTGGACGAAGAGGTTCGCGGTCAAGCAGATCTACGCGACTCGGCTTTAGGCAGCGCGTTCGGCCACCTTCGCCACCGCCGCGATATCACGTGCGTCATTCGATGTCTGGAACAATTTTCCTCGGAACCTTTAGCTTTCAATCCGCACGGCATAGAAGTACATTCCGGCACAACTCGGCAGGTATCTGGGCAGCAAAAATCAATGAGGAAATTCCTGGTTCTGTATGTTGAAACAAATCCCTCTCGTGATTAGTCGTTAAGCTAGAAGCTTTCATGTCGGCTTGGTGAGCCTATGTACAGCGACCTATGTATGCCTCCATTACGTTTTAAGAATAGAGTTCAGGATAAGGGGAAGGGAAAATCAAGTGGATTCGCTTGCACAACCCCGAAACAGCCGCCGCCTTCTAAGTATAATATCCGATAGTCCTATCCTATGCCAAACTCCTGTACGCCGCCCATGCATAGGTCTTCTGAAGAACGCTCAGTGTAGAGCGCTAGTATCGATGAAAAGCCAGTCAGATCCGGTCGTGCTAGAGAAGCGGTCGAGGCTCGCGCAAAGGGGTGAATCGATCTGATCGCAATCGTTAGACGACTGCTTAGCTCCTCTCGGCAGCGATGAACGACTTGTGGTCCGAGGACGTCCTCCGCTTCTTCTGCAGACGTCTTTGCTGACGCTTTTCTCCAGCCTCAAGATCGACGTCGAGGGACATGTCCACTGGATTAGGTCCTAGAGTGCCTGGTCGGAGAATCTCGAACCCAGAGTTCACTTTGCGGAGGACCTGAGACATCCTTTGATTCTGTGCGGTTTGCACAGGAAGGGAAGTGTCTGCCATGTCCTCCTCGTACGAGAAATGCAGGGGTGCATATGGCGATGGCTGTGTGGGCGTAGATGAAGAAGGCGAGGAAGGCGGTGTTGAGACAGAGTGATCCAGTGTGCTTTTCGCAGAGGTCTCCGAGCTTGAGGAACCATTCCGTTTGGGCCATGTGTGGTCAACCGCATCAGGCTTGACAGCATTAACCTTTGTAGTGTCTACAGCGCTACCAGAGCCACCTTCAGAACCATGCGTAGGAGTAAGTCCGGAGCCAGGTCGAGGGTGCCGAACACGGGGTGTAAGCTGCCCAGTTTCGGCAACGTGTGATAGACGATGGCTTTGCAGTAGGTCGAGGCTGAGACCCCTGTCGCCGGGACGGATTTGTGAACTGACAGAGGCGGGGTCTGATGAATCCAGGGTCGGGCTCTCTTTGGTGAACTGGAAAGCAGGTATATGCTCATAGTCGCTGGCGCTGCTTGATGTCCGCAAGGATTCGGACTTCCTCTTCGATGTGCCGCCCTCATCAGAAACTAGAGATGCCAGTCAGTAAACGAGATAAGACGGTGCGAACGTTGTGTATGTTAGTGCAGTTCTACCTCTTCTAGGGTCAGTTGATGGCCCTGCGACGCCCTCTAAAGCATCCAGAGTGGATGAATTCCGTAGGGGACCATAGTTACTGTACCTGGCATACGAAGATGGAGGACGCCTATGCTGCCGGGCAGGTGGCGCAGCAGATGAAGAATGTGTGGGTGAAGATGCCCTACTGCTTGATGCTGAGCCTTGTCCAGCGGCAGCAGGTTCGGGAAAGCTCGGTTCCTTCGAGCGCGAGCGGCTTGGCCGAGATAACGACGGATGTAGGAGCTGTGACGCCGCTGGTTGGGGAAGTCCGGTGCCGGAGGCTGTTCGGTTATGAGTGTGGCTCCTGTCTGACCATTTCTCTGATATCGAACTCGCAGCACTGCTCGGAGCCGGAGTATTCGTCCTCGATATCCAAACTCCTTCGACCTCAATTCCGCTTTCAATAGCCCGGATGCCAAAAGGTATCGCCTTCTCCTCGTCTTCGTTGGTCTGCCTCTCCACGGTTTGCGGTGCTAAATGAGCTTGCTCCTGCTTCTGAGCTGCTACAGCGATGTAGTGCTTGTTCTTGTGGTTGATCCATGCCAGTTTCAGGCAACCAGCAAGGATAGTGGCGACCTGATGAGTCAGCGATGGTTGTGCGGTGACATAGATTCGTAGAGGCCTACAATGAGACAAGCAAGGACCTGTGTTCGGAGCGGAAATAAGCTGTCTGCCTTTGTGAATGGGCTACGCCGGGACTTACAAAGGTCATCTTCTGCCACAGCGCCCAGCTGTTGAAGAACTCGCCGGCCATCGCGTCTTGAATGAAGGTGGAAAGGGAAAGAAGTTATTAATATTCGATATTCGCAACCATGAAGAAAGCAAGGACAGCGATTGCTTGGTTCAGCGGCGAAGCGGTTGTACTGGTATTGCGAGGTGACGTTAGAGGATCAAACAGTGGGAGGGCCTTAGGTTGGGCGGTATGGTACAGAGACATACTCAGGTGAAGGTGAAAGCTCAGCGGGTGAGCGAGCGAGTGCAATAGCTTTACGCCAAGACGACAAGAGATCTACTCTGCCATGCAGTCGTCGGCAGCAGAGTTCCGCCGCGGAGCAAGGTGTTGGAACTGCTTGTCAGGCACGAGTGGAAAGAGCGACGGAGGCAGGAGCCGAGGTTGAAGAGGGTTGTTTCTGTTGTTAGAAGGAGTGTTTCGATGACGCACGGAACGGCACCGTATTATGACAATCCCAACCCAGCGGCGCGCTTCACGGGCAGGCACTAATGTTTTTTAAAAAGAAGAGTTGCACAAACGAGAGGTATTGCCGGCGAGAAGCGTGGCTCGGTCGGTTACATGCAGTGAATGGCTGTCCGTACCCGACGCTGGAAAACGGTTGCGAACAGAAGGGACAGTGGCAAGGTTTGGACTCAGAGAATTCACGGTTGGCGTGCAAAAGGTAGGGAAGAGGAGCAGATGCGTTCAAGCGGCGAATATTATGGGGAAAGCCTCGAGAAGGGCGGATTGATGAGAAGCATATGAACGGCTGGCAATTGACTAGGGACCGCAAGCCAGGGCAGAATTGATCTCATAGCGCCATCTCCATATCCGCAGGGTTACGTCGGCGCAGCTAGAAAACCTTTGTTCGAGAAGGGCATTATCACCGGCCTTCCACATGAGCCTGTCCCCGGCGAGCGAGGGATAGAGCTAGGTATCTCTACCAGAGCACGAATGCGATTCTATAACGTCTCTTGCTCGGCTTTATCTGCTTATCAGTACCAGGACGCTGGAGCTGGCATTGATACAGGCCCCGCGGCCGTCGATGGCTCACGGCTGCTGCCACGGAGTTTGCGCCAGGAAGCGGAAGCGGAACCAGGCACAGGGTTTGCTGGCACCCTTGGCTTTGTGAAACAGTTGATGTGCGGCTTGGATGCGGGTGATGCGGCTCCCGGGCCCTCTCCTCGGGAGAACGTTCCTTTCGCGTCAACGCTAACAAGCCACTCGCGCGCGCACAGGGTGATCTTGACCAACGTTAACTGCCCCTGCAGCAGCACAGCAGGCTGTTTCGACGACTCCTTGCCGCACGACGTCCTTTAATATCAGACCCCGGACAAAAGGCCGTGCTTTGTGCGAAATTCTGCACGACATCGTGTTGCAAAGCGGCCGCCGTCTGAATCGCCGAGGACGTCATGAATCTCCTCGTGCCGCTAGGAATCACAAACAAACACCCAGATGATTCCCTCCAACGATGGACGCATGCTCTCGTTGTGCGCTCACACCCCCTTTCCCGCTTCACAGGACGTTCTTGTACTTCCTATTTGCTGCTCGTACGCAATTGTGGCTTCTGCGATAGGACAACGCCATCGCAATGCAAAAGCAATGTTGGGTGTGTTACGCTGCCGTTCCCCCTCAATGGACGTTCTAGAAAGATCTGCTGTGGTAAGCCGCGAGTAGCGACTCGCATTATTGAGGTCTTAGCCGGAAGCTGCGGTGGTGTAACACGGTCATCCAGAATCCTGTATTAGCCTTGCAGGAGGCTTCCCATGCGGTATTGAAGGTTCTGCGGTTCACGTTCGCTCGCATCTCAAGATGACGCCGAATGCTGTTGCGTACCGAAGACTGACTGAAAGTCGCCCACCAGCTGTCGAGGTAACTAGAAGGTCTGTCTCGGCGGGAGTCTCTTGGTCGATATACCGCCGCAAAACCGGTGTGATCCTTGTTCAACCACAGCAATGCCATTATTCGAGCCGGATTGACTGCTGTGCGATCTGTTGGAGACGTGTGCAGAAAGTACATTGACAGGATTCTACAATTGGAAGGCAAGGCCGCAAATGGATTGACACATACTCCGTAGACAGGAGCGCACACCAGTATCCTTGCAGGAAACTGTCTTTGAGTACCCTACTGCAAAGAATACTGCGCCGTATTTAGGCGCTTGTGGTAGACACACCATGCTGCCATGACTAGGGACACTCTCATGTTCTCAGCGGAAATCTGAAAGCTCCGCGCATAGACTAAGATCAGCTTACGATATCTCGTACTTCGGTAGGTACATAGTTTGCGCTGGGCCGTTCCGCCGTACATTCAAAGCTTAGAGAGAAGCTTCACTAAACAGCTCAGCTCCCTTCATTCTGCTGTATCTCATGTCGGAGCATGGTCAGCGAGTCCGGCGACTGTAGTTGACGGTCGGCTTCACGGTCTGTAGGTTGCTCCGCGGTCGGTCGACCCTGACCCTGCTCCAACTCTCGGCAAGTTCGGGAACGGCAGGCCCGTTCAACGAAAGCTGGGCAAGCGTCAGCACTTCTGTCTTGGTGCACTGCCTTCAAAGATTCAATCTCTCTGCTTACGCTTCAGGAGCATACATTTACCGCCGGAGTAGCTGTTACTTGAGATCAATTGACTAGCCGCACGCACCATGCCTATCATCCGAAACCCATTCAGAAAGAGCGGCGTCGAGCCGCAAGGCGAGAACCGACCGCCTTTGCAGGGTGGGGCAGATCGAGGGTTTCAGCAGACAAAAGTTGTCGGCGCGAAGCCAGTGGATATCAAAGAGCCGACCGAATACAAACTTAGCGGTATGTTGCCGTCGCTGTCGCGCTTGTGACTCAATTGCAATCCGCGATCCGCCGACAGTGTGGAGTTCCTGCGCTGACGCCGTACAGAGATCAACGATAGCGGCGTTTACCTTCCGGTACGAACAATTGCGCAATGCGCATTGACCGCGCAGTCGCCTTACACTTGCCCTGGTCAATTGCACCGCGAAGCTGACATGTGGACTCATAGCCGTCGCCGACAGAGAAGAAGAGCTTCTGGTCAAGCCGGTCCAACACGTCGACGAACTCCTCCAACCATCGCAGCGTCTTAAGCGAAAATGAGCCATTCAGCATCTCCCGGGAGTCCTTCGACTCGTACCGCAGGTCCTTTGTACGTCTTGTAGAATATGGCGCCTCATGGTGCTCTCCGTAGCTGCTGAGCTTATGCTATACGACAGGACATCTCCGCTCGATCACCCATCCCCGACATGGACAGCTTCCCTCGACAAAGCCTCGACTCTCGACGAGCCCGCATGCCCAACGAGCGAATGCCCAGTGACCGTCTACCCCGCTCATCTCTCAGTATAGACAGAGTAGAACCCACGCCAGAAGAAGGGTTCGAGGAGGTTGGCCTCAACGACGAGGTCAAACCCAAAAGGCGCGGCCTGTTTTCGCGATTCGGCGACTCCTCAGAAGCAAACTCGAGCCCTGACACCAAGCCTGTCTCGAGCCACCACAGCTTCCATTTCACAGGCAGAAAGCGGGCCCAGAGCGGAGCGGGAGCTGAACTGAAGAGCATGCCCAAGCCGGCGGGCAGTCATGCTGTGGAGGTGCCGGTAGAGGCGAAATAGACACTGTATGGGACAATGGGTGGGGGCGTATACTTTAATGGATCTGGGGGCATTGGGCAAGGTTATCGGTAATTAGGTACGGCTTTAGCTGGCGTTGGTCTTTATCCGGCGCAGGGCCTTAATGGAACGCCTCTCGGGGGCGTCACACTCGCTCGGCAGCGTTGGGTGTGGACTTTGGCTTCTATGCACATACATTTACTTAGAACTTAGGCAAGTTACGATTTCTCTGAGTCTCTGGCCACAAATCTGCACGTGATGTGTGCCTGAATTTGTCGTTGCCCCTCGGGCCCGTGCGACTCCCGAACTCCGCGATGGCAGAAAGCTTACCGCCCAAGATGTCGAAAAAATTCCCGTAGAGCTTGCAAGTGCTGTCAAAACACATTGATCGGAGCTCCGAACGATTACAACAGCGAAGTCCGTAAAACCTCACGCGATGGCTGGAATTAAGCGAAAGCAGCCATCGGGATCTACGAAACACAGTGATGCGACCAAAAGCAAGAAGTTGAAATCTACGCCGCATGCCGCATCCAAGGCCCCGAAAGCCGCGAAAAAGACTGCCCAGAACAAACCCGCTCCAGATTCGGACGATATCGTCGAGTCTGATACTACGGAGAGTGAGAATGGATTCTATGGATTCTCCGCAAAAGATGGCGAAGACGGGAGTAGCCCGAGCATTGCAGGCGAAGAGAGCGACGTCGAGGATGAGCAGATGGAAGTCGAGGTTGAGAAAAGCCAGGTCAACTCAGAAAGGCAGAAGGCGATGAACGGCGGTACGACCAACGCCCCATCCGTACGGGAAGACGAGACTACGGGATTAATGTGCCATAGGAACTTCCTCGAAAGAAGCCCATGCGAAGCAGAAAGCTTTAGCGAAGGAGCGCAAAGCTGCGAAACCAAACGCCGACTCGATCATCCGCTCAAAGAAGATATGGGAGCGCCTGCGAAGGAAGTCACACGTGCCGAAGGATGAGCGCAAGCAGCTGGTAACGGAGCTCTACGAGATCGTTACTGGCAGGGTTAAGGAATTTGTCTTCAAACACGACTCTGTCCGAGTCATTCAGTGTGCGCTCAAGTACGCCAACCTGGAACAGCGGAAGATGATCGCCAGGGAGCTGAAGGGCGAATATCGGAGTCTGGCTGAGAGCCGATACGCGAAGTTCTTAATAGGCAAGATGCTCGTAGAAGGGTAAGGTTATCTATCCCGCTTCGCCGTATAGTAGCTAACCACCTTTTGGCAGGGATGCTGAAGTCCGGGACCTGATTATCCCCGAATTTTACGGTCATGTTCGACGCTTGATCAACCACCCAGAAGCATCCTGGATCCTGGACGACATCTACCGGGGCATCGCTACGCCGCAGCAGAAGGCCATTCTTCTGCGTGAGTGGTACGGCCCTGAGTTTGCTATCTTCAAGACCGCGAACAAAGACAATGCTACAGCAGACCTATCCACGATTCTCGAAGAGACTCCGGAGAAGCGCAAACCCATCATGTCTTACCTGTACGGTTTGATAAATCAGCTCATCCAGAAGAAGCTGACCGGCTTCACGATGCTCCACGATGCAATGCTCCAGTATTTCCTCAATACGAAGCCGGGCAGCGAAGAGGCCACCGAGTTTCTTGAGCTACTTAAGGGCGATGAGGAAGGCGATCTCCTCAAGAATCTCGCTTTTACCAAGTCTGGCAGCCGCGTCGTCTGTCTCGCCCTCGCCTACGGCGGTGCTAAAGACCGCAAAAACATCCTCAAGGTCTACAAGGACACCATCGAGACGCTAGGTTACGATACCAACGGCCACAAGGTTCTGTTAGCGGCCTTCGATGTCATCGATGACACAGTCCTCACATCGAAATCTATCTTCCCCGAGCTTCTGGGCAAGGACGCAGCGGCTCAGCCCGAGAAGATTCTAGCGCTAGCAAACCATCTGGTTGGCCGTATTCCGCTACTCTACCCTCTCATTGGGCCTGCGAAATCGCTGTTTACAGACAATGCAGAGCTCAAGCTTCTCAATGAGATCTACGAGGTCCGGACAACGACCTCGAAGAAGGAACCGGAGATCCGCCGCAAAGAGCTAGTCCGCTCGCTATCAGGACCTCTACTCACCACCATCGCCGCCGAAGCTGCACAACTTGCGCAGACATCCTTTGGATGCCAGCTCATCACCGAAGCACTGCTGGGTTGTGAGGGCGACAAGGAGGCCGCTGTGAGTGCTACTGCTGATGTAGCAGCCGGCGATCCTAACGCCGAGGACCACATCGCGCGGTCCCCGCATGGTGGCCGGATGCTGAAAACTCTAGTGTTGGGTGGACACTATGATCCGAAAACAAAAAAAGTCACACTCGTTGACCCGCCACTAAACTTTCATGATGCGCTGTACGAGCGCATCAGAGAGCACATCCTGGACTGGGCGACAGGCTCGAGCTCCTTCGTTGTCGTCAATCTGTTGGAGGCGGAGGGGTTCAGCCACAAGGAAGAGCTGGTTAAGACACTTAAAAAGAACAGGAAGAGGCTGGAGAACGCGGCGAAGGAAGAGACGAAGGGACAGAAGGCCAGGGGGGAAAGCGAGCTCGGCGGAGACCAGCCCGTGGGTGAGAAGAAGAAGGGGAAGAAGAAGACTGTGGCTCCCGCCGTGGGTAACGCTGGCGCGAAGCTGTTGCTCCAAAAGCTGGCCTAAGCTTTCCACGTAATTCATCATTGTTGGCTAAAGTTTCATCCAGAGGTTTCACAGTCTTGCGGAGTCCTCACATTGGATTCTAGCGGCGGTCAAAGCCTCGAAGAGTCTCTATACTAGTAATGAACGTTCCTTACAACGTTTGCATGACGTAACCCCAAAGATAGCCGGCCGCCCTGCCAGAGCAGCTCGTCGATGTATCCAACTCCCGGATTCGCTTGAGTATTGATAAAATTCCGCGTTCCAACCGTGCCATCCGCCTGATGAGTTCTGCGCCTAAACTCCTTCCGGCTGTCAATACGTTCCAGACACCGGAGCGAGAGTTGCTTTCCATGCCCGGACTGAAAAAGGTCCTTGTCAGGGAACCTACCCAAAGTCGGGTGGTAGAGAGTCAATACGAACGCAGTTCCATAGATGTCATTGAGCCTCGTGGTTCGGGTATGCAGCGTAATCTCCACGTATATCAGGCCCCGTATCGCCCTCTCAGTTGCCAAGTACTTGGCGGAGGCTCGCCAATGCTCCGTGATTTCCTCCAGTGTCATTGAAACTGGCTTTTACCAGAAAATCAGTCATGGTTTCTTCCCTGAACTTCGGCGGTGATCCAGTAAGAGCCACTCACCCCTGGTTGTGGTCTGGAAGGATCCGGAGGAAAGGAATAGTTGACGCGAAGCCAGTGGAAGTCTTGTTGGTGCGCTTGCAGGCCAAACAGCCACCGCACAATGTCCCGGAAGAGGTGGCCGCATTACAGTGCCTCTAGATGCTTCGCTGAAAGTGCGATGAAGGATCGTGGCGCGTCTTGAAACTGGGACCATCTGCTCCACAGGCGCATGCCGTTAGCGGTTTTCCAGCATATGAACGTGCGGAGCCAGGGGGCTCTGGGGTTGGAAGGAACAGTTCCAGATCATGGTGTGGGATCGAGGTGTGGTCCGTTGACGGGGACGAAGGTTGCTGGATTGGCGCTGGAGCGAACATTGAGAGACGACCGTTGAGAGGATCCGTATCTGATGGAAGTTTCTTGATATCGCTGTGGGGGGCTGATGATGCTCCATTGGATTTCAACAGAATAAGACATGGTTGAATAAAGTGGACTGAAGCGCGTAAAAGCTATCTGACGTGGACTGAGATGAAGATGTTGCGGTGGACAAGTCCGGTAGTTACCAAGGCGCGTCTGACGGACATGGCTTCCTCCCCGTTCTGGAAGGCGCTTCCTGTCTCCGCTCCATTGAGTGACCCATAAGAGATTCAGAGTGCTCCCTTTGCGGCATTCTGTCTCTGGATTTGCAGGTGGTATTGGGAAGGAAGAGGATGCGGCTTTGGAGGCGTTACTTACATCTCCCGGCTTGACTCACCTTGCAGGCTATCGCGCGAGTAACGCATCTATGCTTCTTTGTGAAGGTTTAGAAAACCGAGGAAGGCTTGTTGAGCCTTATGCCTGAGCTTCGAACTAAGAGGAGTAGCGTGCCTTAAGTAGCGCTGCCGGGATTCTCGGCATTATTTGTGTTCCGTTGACTCTGGTGAGGAAAGACTTAAGATTGAAAGTACGAGCATGGTGGCTTGATGCGACATCAATTTACTTTTTCGTTTTCTCTACATAGTGGGGGATGGTCTTTCGTGCCAACATCACTGGCCGCTATGTACGCAGCCGCATCTTGAGCAAAACATTACATGAAGATAACAGCCAAAAAACGTTCCAGTAGGTATTCGCTAGTCGTCACCCACCTGACTACTAATCTACCGATTCAAAGCTTATATGGTGCACGGGATACCCAATTTCCTTTGATCTATGGCCGTGTGTAGAAGAAAAGTTTGAGCTGTTGTGCTTACATAAATACGTTCCTTTGTTGGATCTCCGTCAGAAGTCCCACTCCGTCCGAAGGGCACGGGCATCTTAGCATCAAGAGTTCAGCATTTGAGAAACATAACAACCAACACCACGGCGAAAGATAAAGAGGCAAGCGTCACGAACAAGGCTTTGGGTGGTTGTCTCTGGGCGCTCGAAGACAGAAATGACACGAAACCCCAAAGGACAGGTCCCTATGGAACGGATCCGAGAAGCTAAACATAGCCTCGCGGCTGTCGCCTGGATCGAACTTCGCATATAGCTGGCGTAATCCATGCATCACTGAGCGCTCTTCAGTAATTACCCTTATCATTGTTTAGGAGCGTCTCCTCCATCAGCTTCTGCTTGTATCCACTCATACTTAGGTCTGGACTGTTCGTCTCCTCTCGGCCATTGGAAGCACTCACGAAGTTGGGAGAAGATGCCCTTATCTATCCCATCATTTGGCCTTTCCACAGCCTCGCGGGCCCTCGGATTTACCCTCTTCTTAAAGTTACTGGACTCTGGAAACCCATTTCTAGCCCGTGGGCCGCAAGTCGAGCGCAAGAAAGTTGCTCTGTGTCAAAACCGCTGGACTGCCACGGCACGCTGCCTGATTCACGTCGTGCCTAGCGTTCTTTCCCTAACAATCGTGATCCTGAATCTAAAAGGATACTACATCGGCGACGAACTCGCAGGACCCTCCGGTCACGACTCGCAAAAGCTCGGCGCGCTTCAGTTCGCAGCCAAGCTGCATGAGTTGACCATCCACGCTTCCATTGCGGCCATGGTCCTGTCGTACCTAAGGTATGAGCTGGCTCTGGGAAAGGGCCTGCCTTTCGGAGCGGTGCTCGCTGGTAATCAGTTTAGGGATCTGAGCTTCCTCTGGTCCATCGAGCTTTGGGGAGCTCTGTCCTCATGGAGAGTGCCACACACATGGATCCGAAGGACTGTAATGGCGGTTATCCTGATCCTGGCCACACTAATAGCAGCCGCCGCCGGGCCAGTAAGCGCTATTGCAATCATCCCACGACTGGGGCTGTGGCCAGCTTGCGGAACGCGGTTCTGGCTCAACTCGTCCAACGATGCTCTCTGGCCGGCTGAAGTGAATGCATCACACTTTGATTCCGCTCAGTGCTCTCAGGCAGATACTGAGCCCGACTTCGGCTGTCCCGATGGCGGTTTACAATCTATCAAAGCTTTCAGCACCACGCTCCGCAGACGAGGCTGGGATTGGGTTCCCGCGCGAAGCCTTACAGTCTATGGACGTCATGGGACACGAAGCATGAACATCACGCTGAAGCTAGGACGTAATACTGATCGTGTCACTACCGCTTTTGTACCACCCCTTGCCGCCGTCGATGCATTCACAGAGGCCAGTACTTGGTGGCCATCAGCGGCTCAATACGCCTTTAAAAGAGGTGGACCACGATACTGGCTGGCTCGAAAAGCGTACATTGAAGCGAGCGCTACTGCGCCGGTAACACGAGTGCGGTGTTCATCCCTTATGTCCACTACGGGTGGTTCGGGACAGAGCATTTACTTCCCGTTGCTCAATCCTTTGGAGGATGTGCTTACTAGCACGAGCTATACGGATGACCAGATTTGGAATGATGCAGCTATGGAGATTTCGAGTGGCCGTGAGCTGAGCAAGGTGTTTTGGACGCCCTTGCCAAACACTGATTTCAAAAACTCTACTATGGGAGCGGTTGTTGTTCTGCCTTTTGAGCCGAATGCTTCCGCGATTACCTATACGACTTGCAACGTCGACGCTCGATGGGCTGCCACCCGTATCTGGACTTTCAACTTCGAGAACACGTTCGGCTTACCTGAGGGGCTCCCAGACGTAAGGAATCCGCTTGGTCGCTATGATGTTGACTGGTCGTGGCCGCACATCTCGGTTGATGTAGAGTGGGTCAACTACATGTCCCGAAAGATGTCACAGGCCAATGAGACAGTCGACGCATTTGCAGCCATTGCAGCTGATGCAGGCATCACCGACACGCCGGATCCCACCCATCCTTGGGCGATTGAATCCATTCTGGCCATGATGTTTACGGATGCACTGGCTCGCGTGGGAAGTAACGCAACGCTTCAAGGGGAGCTCAAAGGACGCGGAAAACCCCGACTGGCTGACTGGGAAGACGGTCCTTGGGTTGACGAGTTCATGCACTTTGGCGATGCATACGCCATCGATGCTCCGGCGAATGCCGAGTGGTATAGCTCACGACTCTCCGTCTCGGTGGTGGGATACGCCTACTCGTCGGACGGAGCAACCAGCAAACTCGCCTGCAGTATCCTCTTATTCCATGTTCTGCTCGCGTTCATCCACACAATCTACTCTCTGAATTCTGGGCTCAGCTCCTCGAGCTGGGATTCGGTCGCGGAACTTGTAGCGCTGGCTATGAATTCCACTCCTTCGGATGCTTTGAGGAACACTTGCGCGGGGATAGAGCTGCCATCAACTATGGGACTGCCGGTAAAGATTGTCGAATCAGCGCAAGCAGAAGAGCATCTTGAGATGCTTGTGGAGGTTCCGCGAGACGAGGAAACAGATACCCTTGAGCTACTCAATACCGGAAAGGTGGTGCACCGCTCTGTAACAGTAAATAAGGAATACGGTGTTCCTAAGGATCTGTACACACATTGAAGAGATATCTCAGGGCAGAATATTGTATGTAGCTTTTGGAGCAAGTCGTATCTATTCTAGATCGAAATTTATCGTCATTTACCAATTCATAATTTTTGAATCTAACTTGTATCGTTGTAAGCCTTCTTCATCTGCTGGAGCAGATCGTCCATGCGATACGGCTTCGTGGTAACAGCATCCATGCCGGCGTCCATCGCAGCGCTGACATGTTCGTCGCGCACGTTCGCAGTAACAGCTACAACCGCTCGACGGCCGTCGAGCAACCCTCTCGCTTCCAGGCTCCTGATCCGACGAACGCATGTTAAACCATCCATGTGCGGCATTTCTACATCCATGAGTATCATATCGAATGTGGGTTCGGTACCGCCATGTTTATACGATGCGGTCTTGTAAAGACTTGCGAGAGCTTCGGCCCCGTTGTTCGCAACGGAGACTTTGTAGCCGCGGGTGCTTAGCTGTTTGCTTAGAACCTTTTGGTTTACAAGGTTGTCTTCAACGATGAGTATGTTTGATGGCTCAAGGCTTTCCGCAGCAGGTGGATTTGCTTTGAATTCTGCTTCACGAAGAGGTAGTGGAGCTGCAAGCTCAGCATCTACTGCAACAAGAACCGGTTTCGCTGTGGATGGCAAGAGTACACTCGTTTCGCCGTCAGCCCCGTCTTTCGGTTTCGCGGCGTGCTGAGTCTTGATGAAGAAGAAGAAAGTGCTACCTTTGCCCTCCTCTGACGCAACGCCGATTTCTCCGCCCATCATTTCCGTGATTTGGCGTGAAATAAAGAGGCCAAGACCGCTGCCGCCGTACTCGGCATGCGTCTTCGTTGACCCCTGGGCAAAGCGCTGAAACAGGCGAGTTTTCTCTTTAGTGCTGAGTCCTTTGCCAGTGTCCGTGACGGCCAAGGAAAGGTAAATGTCATCTCCTCGGCGTTCATCGTTTTTGGAGATAGTGCTGTCCCTCCGTCTGGCTTCCGTGACCCGTTCGGGAAAGTACTCAACGCTGGTTGATGTCCTTGTTGGCCTTTCCGATGAGGCAGAGATCTTCACGCTGATCTGCCTTCTCGCACGATTACGAGTGAATTTGATGGCGTTCGTAACGAGATTGATCAGAACCTGGACGAGCCTGCTCGGGTCTAGCAGAACCCAGTCCACGTTCAGATCGTGCAAAGGCTGGTCATCCTCGACCTGTAATTCCATGTCTGCGGCTTTGAGTTCTCCTTCGAAGAGCTTAAGTGCTTCGCGAACAATTTTGCACGGTTGGACAACAGTTGGAGAGATGGTCAGCAGTTTGGAGTCGAGCTTGGAAAGAGTTAAAACGTCATCGACAATCCCTTTCTAAGAATCAAATCAGCTACCGTACGATGTTGGCTCGTCCTGGTTGGATTACCTGGTGTTGTACGCAATATCTGCGCTGGAGTCAGTGATTGGTTGACTAGTAAACCGGAGCCGGGCTTCTGGCTAGGGGGCATGCTTACGCTATTGTCTTCGCGTCATCAGCGGCATTTTTCAAGGTATCGCTGAGTTTTGACTGCTGGAAATTCTGAGTGGACTTCGACGCTGGTATGGCCATAGCGGATATAGCTTCATTGAGAGACGATTCTATCGCCTCTGCACAATGCAGCACCGCTGATAGAGGATTTCGAATTTCGTGCGATATCGTCTGGTAGATGTCAGCACGGCCACGATATAAGTTCCACGTGATGGAGCCATACATCAATGAAGTTTTCTTGCTGCCTCTTCCGCTCAAGTGCCTCATCCATTTTGATTTGAAGTACTTTCGCTGCGGCCTTTTGGGCGGAGATATCAGTAATCCAGCAGACCACATTCTTCAATGTGCCGTCTGAGTTGACTTCAGCATAACCAGATGCCAGGATCCATGCCTGATCGAGCTCCACGTCTTGGCTGTTGATACTTCGCGACCTCTTCAACCGAGCCTCGACTGTGAGAGGGCCTTTGCAAGCAACTAGGTCGTCGAAAAACGCTTTGGTCTTGTCGAAGTCATCAGGATGAACGGTGTTCAGCCAAGGTCTTGCGTTGTGATAATCGCGTGGTTGATCCGTAATAGCAAACCTTCGGATGATCAGCGTTTGTGGAGATAGTATTGTGTTGCCTTGCAGACTTACCACGCCTCGTTCATATACTCCACAAAGCCACCCGCGTTGATCAATCCTACCCCAATGGGCGCGTGGTCGGCAAAGTTCTTGTACTTGAGCTCGCTTTGCTCCAGTTCGCGCGACCGCAGCCGGACTTGGTCCTCATTCCATTTCAGTTCGCTGATGTCCATGATGAGGGCCGTAGTACTTATGAGCTTTCCTTGGTCGTCGAGCTCAGGATACGCAGCGCATAACCCAGTTGTATAAGGCAAGTTCATGTAACCGTGCCTCTCACTGTAAGCCTTGAAAGGCTTCTTGAATCGCAGCTGAAACGTATCCGAGGGCTTTCCGGCCAGTACCCTTGACCACTCTTCACTAACTAGGAGCTTGTCATCTGTAACGATTGTGTCGAGGTCAAGGATGGACAGAACCTTCGTTTTATCCGGTTGCATTTGATTGATTCCATACCATGCGGAATTGGCGTAAGTGAGACGCGCCTCCGAATCCGTCGTGGCAACGCAGACGTTAGCGAGGTCAGCAAAGCGAGCAAAGCGGTGCTCGCTCTGCTCGTACTCCTTTGTCCGCTGTCGAAGCTGGCTTGACAATTCGGCGCGTTGGAGCGCCGCAGACTTGGCTTTATCTTCGCCTTGCCTGATTTCCTCAGCAAGTAGAATGGCAGACACGTAAGGCGTCGTAATCTGCTTCGTGATGAGGTCGATAAAGGTCTGGTAATCGGAATCAAACTTCCTCCGTGGGTTGAGTCCCATGACCATGAACCCAACAAGTCTCCCGCTGCTTGTTCTGATTGGGTTGATGATTATTTCTTCGCTTGGAACTCCGAAGCCACGCCATTCAACACCCTCGAATATGCCGCTCGGTAGACTGGCATCCTCGTTTCCCAGGAGCAGTGGGCCGGTCATGATGAGTGATCTTTTCAACGCTGTTGCGAAACCAGGAGGATCCTCACATGCAAGGTCGATTCGGGACGGTGCCGATGCATGACCTTCAGAGATGCCCATACACCCTTCAAGCACACATTCCACTCGCTCAGATCTGGGTGGTGATGCCTCACCGCTGGTATCCTTCTCTACGGAGTACAGCATAACGAGTGGTAGATCTTTGTCGTTGGACTCCAGCCCTTTTTGGAGATGCGCCCAGAAACCCTTCATGTCTTTCGCAGCTTCCAGCTGCAAGCTCATATGTTGCAATGAAGCCATGCGACGATTCCCAATCATCTCTTTGGTGACCTCCACAACAGTGGCATAGGATGCGACCACGTAGCCTTCGTCCCCAATCATTGGCACAAACTTCCAGCTGTAGTACGTCTCCTCCAGAAATCCATACCGGTGAAGAAGCAGCATTTGCCTCTCTCCAATATGTGTCTCTCCCGTTTCTTGTCCATCCCTTATAATCTTGTCGAACATAGGCCATATCTCCGCAAATCCGATCTTGGGGTCTTGCCCTTGCAGGCCCGGGTGCTTTTGACCGATGAGCGGCGTGTACCTGCGCTCAAGTCAGTGGTGATCTGAGCCGGCTTCACACCTAGGAGACAGGCTTACGCTTCGTTGTAAACGATTGTCATCTCATCGCCCCAGTAGACAACGGCTGGACTAGGGTCTGCCATGATGAGGAGCACCATCTGGCGGAGCTGGGACGGCCATGTTGCCATGGGCCCCAACGGAGATTTCTCCCAGTCAACATTGCGCGTGAATGTTTGGAATGGTGTGAGGTTTCGAGGCGGAGGATCGCGGGTCCAGTCGAGGAGGCGACGGCACGACGAGACGTTGTCCATGGGTGTGAGCCCGACAGCGCAACGCTACATAGGCGGGTGGCTGACGACTCTGCTTAAGCTGGTTTGCCTATTTTATGCTGCTCTGTGGACAGAGCCGCGCACGATCGGGCCTGCTTAGGGGGTCGTAATAAGCCATAGAGGGATGCGCTGAGGGTTGAGTATGGGTTGTGTGGACCTTGATCGTGGCTGCCGCACGGAAGAAAGATGGCGTACAAGTACAGTAGAACCTCCCTATAGGGATCTTCCGAATAACGATACCTTGCCATAACGGTACTCTTCCGAATCCCACCTATTTTTTGTATGAGTATAGCGATATCCTCGCTATTACGGCTTATCGTTAAATTTCACTAACTATTGTTATATAAAAGTAGTATTTTACTATAAAAATAGCACTTCTAGAGTATTTTACTAGTTAAAATTTTTTTTTTATAGATAGATGCTTAGTAGTAGTTTTAAAAGGCCTAGTATCTAGTCTACTTACTTAAATATAGTAATTAGATAGTATTCTTAATCACGTGCTCTATTATAAGACACGTGATTAAGGAGCTAAAGGTATTTTTTATGTTCTTTACTAGAATTTACCCTCTATTCCCCCTACCACTCTTACGTCAGCTATCACTATATAACAATACCTCGACACAAAGAACCTAAAGGGTTGGTTTGCCAAGATCGCTATAGGGAGGTTCTACTGTATCTGCCCAAGGACCCCCTGCCCGTACCTGCCACGGCCCGATTCGGTACCGGAAGCTAGCAGGGGAGCCTGGCAGCCAGCTCATGCACCGTCCTTGTAATGCGGGGCGGCCCGACCTGACGGGGGAGCGTTCTGTGTCACACTCGTCGCACGGCTCTTCCTCCCGTCGAACATCGAGAGATCTCACGGAGAGCGACGCTTAGGACATTCGGCCCGCCTGAAGCTCCTCCGATATTGAACGACAGTATTAACAGTACACAGAGTGAGGCTAATGACGCTGTTGCTGTGTGTGTATGTACCGACTCCTTGACATAGTGTGTCAAGAGCGCTCCCGCGAAACGTGGCAAAGTCTGTTACATAAGTATATCTCGATCTTGTTATCACGATCTTGATCAATCTTAGTGTTAATAAGGCTCAAATAAAGCGTAAGTCATCTAACTAGAGTGTCCAATACTTGGTATATCTACCCTTAGCCTGGATTATAGCCTCCACCATCTACGAAGCGGTGGTAGAGAGAGATAAAAGATGGGAGCGCGCGAGGCTTGGATAGCTTCATATTGCATCACCGCTAGGCTAAGCTAAATACCGTTAGTTGAAAGACTTAGTTCGATTAGTCTACATAGACTATGTCAACCCCTCGGTACAGCAAGAACGCCGCTGTGACGACTGTGGCGGTAAATCATTCGAGCTTTCAAGCTCAGTTGTCCCCGCTATCTAGCTTCTAGAGAAGTCTCCGTGTATTTCGAAATCTTCAATCTCCGGCAATCTGTCATCGTCGTAAAATCCACCTGTCGCAAGGCCTTAAAACCCCGATATGGTGATGCCAAGCTTCCTCTCTATTCTCCCCCACTTCTCACCGAGTGTTTTGCTCTCAACACTCCTTGCAGCATACTGGCTTCTGTGGATTTTCTATGCTAGATACTTGCATCCGCTTGCGAAGCATCCAGGCCCATTCTGGGCTTCGGTCTCCCGATCATGGCTTGTAGTCCAGATTTTGCGTGAAAACGCCGAGAAGACACAACGAGAGCTGCATAAGCGATATGGTATGCAATTCTGGCGAGAGCTGGAAAAGCTATACAGAGAGGCTTGGTAACTGAATCAGGTCCCATCATTCGCATTGCACCGAACGAAGTTGCAATTGCGGACCCGGAGGCGATCAAGACGATCTACTCCGTCAAGTCCGGGTTCACGAAGGTTGTCTCTGCATCCTGTACTCTGTAACCAAATAGTGCGATTGCCCAGCTGAGTCGAGTGGACAGACCGACTTCTACCCTCCTTGGAGACCCACGTTCAGTACGTAAAGCCTCACCGTTGGCACACTTGCGGAGCTGGCAGGCTTATTTAACCTGTAGCCAAATATCCCGATCACTTTACCTCCCTTGACGAGAAGGTTCACGCCGACCGCCGAAAGATCGTGAACAATCTATATTCTATGTCAAGCGTATTGCGCTCGGAGGAATGCATTGATATTTGCTCAGAGTTGTTCATGACGCGGATGGGAGAGTTCGCCGACGATGGAGCTATCATTGATTTGGCAAAATGAGTTCAAATGTCTGCAACAACCGCCCTTGGATGACGCGAGCATGACGCGGTGAATGTTTGCTGATTCAGACGCCAGGTACGCCTTTGATGTCGTTGGAGAACTTTACTTCAGCCGTATGTTTGGGTTCATGAAAGACAAGCACGATTATCGCGGTTACATCGCTTCGCTCGACATCCTGCTGCCTGTCATGACTGCTGCTTGTGTTATGCCAACGTATGTCCGCCCTGTATTCTTGCTAGGCGGTGCGGTGGTTCCGGGGGTGTGGGATGGGCTGAAAAAGCTACGTGACATTGAGCAAGCGGCGGAGTCTTGCGTGCATGAGCGGCTACGGTTGCTTGAGGAAGGAAACGAGTTCAAGCGGAAAGACATCGTGGCGAGCCCGTTCGAGATACAGCAGGAGAAAGGCGCCAAAGTGGATTTTGGGATTGTGGATGTCAAGTTGGAAATTTACATCGCGCTGTAAGTGGGCGGCTATGTTGTTCGGCGGTTGAGAGAGGCAGAGGCTGACACAACATAGCCTGGCTGGCAGTGATACCACAGCAGCGGCGATCACTTCCGTGCTGTACCATCTTATGAAAACCCCCTCAGCCTACAGGAGACTGGTCGAGGAAATCGACAGCGCAACCGAGTCTGGCCAACCCAGCCGCCCTAACATCCGCTACAACGAAGCTGTCAAGCTGCCGTTCTTGGATGCTTGCTGTAAGGAGGGAATGAGGGTCCATCCGAGCGTTGGTCTGACCTTGCCACGCCATGTCCCTCCTGGCGGATGCAGCATCTCCGGACAATGGTTCGATGCGGGCACTCGGGTGGGCGTCAATGCCGCTGTAATCCACTTTGACAAATCGGTGTTTGGCGACGATGCCGATGAGTCCAAACCGGAGAGGTGGTTCCGAGAGGATGCAACGAACATGGATAGATATATGTTTCAGGCAAGAACACGTGCCCCCCTCTATCCTCATTGTGTGCAAGCTGACGATGATCTGTAGTTTGGCGCTGGTGCTAGAACATGTATCGGGAAGAACGTAAGTAGGAGCGACTCGAGTGAGGCAGCCACCTCAGATAGGTCGAAATTAATTCGTGAGTTTAGATCTCATTGTGCGCGATGTACAAGGTAGTCCCTCAGCTCCTCCGGTCGTATCATCTGGAATTGGCCGAACCTCGAGTGCTGTGGGAGACCCACAACTACTGGTTCAACAAGCCGAGCAACGTACAGACAAGACTTCGGCGGAGATGACGGGACTGGAAGACGCTGGTCGCGTAAGTGGATGAAATTGCAATGCGCAAAAGAACGAGACTTCCATCATGCCCAAGCTCGGAAATTTTCAAGCAAGTCATTGGCCTACTCATAGAATTGCCGTCGAGAATCTGCCGTTTCATCACTGAACTTTTCAGCCTCCCCGTTTGACTCGCACCACGCAGTTCCGGATAGCTCCTTTGCACGTCAGTGACGTCATCGAGCCCAAAATCCGCGTGCGTGGCGAAGAACAGGAAAATACCTCGTCTTAACCCTTCGAGTTCTCTGCAGTGCGCCCCTTTCTGCTGCCACAATCTCTTCCCGGATATTAGTATCCTCAGTTCTCGCAGTTCCATAAGCGGGCAGGGCGAGCGGATTTGGGTTTGATCTTCATTCGAACTCTTCTCGCCCTGACCGGAAGAGCCTCGTGCGGCACGTCATCTCTGGGATATTGTTGTCTTGTGCCAGAAGTGAGTGCGGACTGTGAAAAGAAGATGGTGCGGTTCGGGTTGAAGGTTCATTTGACGTAACAAAGGCCGACCCCTCGGGTCCAAGGTGATCGCCTTTGCAAGTGTATCGTACGAACTACTCTGGTACCGTAGCTTGGAATGGATTTCCATAATCCAGGTTTTTGGAGTTCGAAGGCTAAGATTAGACCCGCTACGTCGGCGCAGCGATCTTTGCTGCAAGCCTACAAACGGCGCACGGAATGCGATGGCACATCTAGCTAGAGACAGGCTCGGAACAATCCAATCAGGCTAATCATGCGGCGGTGAGCACAGTGAGCGATGTGAGGGAATTGTGAAGAAATGTCCCTCATCTCTGTTGCTACTCGCGCGAAAATCCCTCACACCCTCATTAGGCAGGCCACGGCATAATTGACGCAAGCGCAGTGTATCGACTGGCTGACATGACACTTGGGATAACCGAAGGAATGCATCTGCCTAAGAGAGAGCGAGCGATACTTATTTAGAGGTACCTCCTTACTCTGGATTAGCACACGGGGATGTGAGCATGGACTGCCAGCAACGCTGGACCTAGAGGTTCGCGAGCCAGGGTGCTTAGTCAGACCGGCTTGGCTCCCGTCCACCCACGCGAAGCCTCGAAAGCTGCGGACTCAGCCACAACGTCGACCTCACGCCCCATCTAGACTTCAAGCTCCAACGATCCGTGACCCTTCAATGTCGCTGCTTGCAGCAACTATACCCTCACACGTGCATCCCACGAGAGGAGCGCAGCGATCGGCCGGCTGAATGCAGCAAGCAAGACCTTTCTGCGTTCGCGCTGGGGGCGCTACATCACGACCGATCGTGATCCTCCGCTGATTTTATGTCGGTCCAGAACCAGAAGCGCTGATATTACCGTTACTGAGTAAGGTAGGATCGTGTGGTGAGGTATTTATCGCTTCGATGGTGGCTGCGGGATTTCTGCTGCTGTCACAGCGACCCATTGATAGCTATACTGCGCCAAAGGTGACGGAGCATAAACCCAGCAGTTGCAGCCAGCAAGGTAAAGCTTTCACTCGTCTTCGAAGCGTTGTTCTACTCGCACTCCTCCTGCATCGGCGGCGAGTGGTGTCTTCTTTGTAATCCCCAACTCTTGCTCCTTTTCCTCTCCTGATATCGAACCAAAGCTCCTGAGATGACACTCATAAACTCGGTTAAGTCGCTATCCAACAACACAGAACTAGACGACATTGAAACTGCAAAGCCTCGCCCTCAGCAGCGTATCACTTTCCAGCCGGATGGACATCCCGACCGCAGAGGACGTGGGACGAGCAGTCGGCGCCGTTCCGCGAGCCGCGACTCGATTTCCAGTGTGCGGAGTCGTACCCAGTCTGTCTCCGGCGTTCCAATAGAGTTTCGTACGCTCTCGTTTCACATATCCGAGTCACAGGGCATCCAGGACATCGACAAGAGCACCCCACGTCGAGAGGGCAAGGGCGAAGCAAAGGACGACAAAGACTATTTTGAAAAACTCGACTTCCATCTCTTAGACGCCAATACCGCCTGCAGTGAGCTGAGGGTCACGCAGCACCAGGGTCTCAGCGCTGCTGAGGCTGCATCACGGCTTTCTCAAGATGGCCAAAATTCGCTCCCTCGCAAACGCGAGAACTACCTGAAGAAGCTGTTCATGTACGTCTTTGGCGGCTTCTGCTCGGTCCTATGGATCGGTGTTGTCGTCTTCTTCATCTGCTGGCGGCCATTAGGTGAACCTAATCCGGCTCCCTATAATCTCGGTTTAGCAATCCTCATCCTCATCGTCATATTTCTGCAAGCCTCCTTCTCCGCTTTTCAGGACTGGTCTACCGCACGGACAATGGATTCAATCCTGAACCTACTGCCTGCGGAGGCTCTAGCAGTCCGCGATGGCAACGCGGCAAGAGTCCCGTCTGCCGATCTTGTTGTTGGAGACATCGTCAAGATCAGCATCGGGAACAAAGTACCCGCGGACATCCGTCTCCTTAGCACCTCTGGAGATGTCCGTTTCGACCGCTCAATGCTCACCGGCGAGGCCGATGAGATCGAAGGAGCCACTGAGATAACGGACCGGAACTTTCTAGAGACGCGCAACATCGCATTGATGGGTACAATGGTAACGAATGGAAGCGCAACGGGCCTCGTCGTTCTCACCGGACAGGACACGGTAATGGGTCGCATCGCCAAGGCCGCCATTGGTGTCAAAGACGAACCTACCCTTATCCAGCGCGAGATCACCCGCTTTGTCACCATCATCGTAATGCTCACGGTCGTTCTCGCCTCTACTATCCTCTTTACCTGGGTTGGTTGGCTACGTGTAGACCACTTCGCCTTCATGAACGTTGTCGCCATGCTGAACGTTATCATGGGCTGTGTGGTTGCTTTCATCCCCGAGGGTATACCTGTCGGGGTTGCGCTTACTCTCTTGATGATTGCACGTCGAATGAAGGCCAAGAACGTCCTACCGAAAGGCTTGTCTACTGTCGAAACGCTCGGTTGTGTCAATGTTATATGCTCTGACAAGACTGGCACCCTGACCGAGAACAAGATGAAGGTGACCACGGTCGGCTTCGTAGACCAACGTATGAACGTTCAAGAGGCATTCGCCGCAATCTCGGAGGGCAACTCGATGCCGCTGAATGGGCTTCATCGCGCTTCAGTACTCTGCAACGACGCGAGCTTTGATGTTCTCTCCATGGACCGGCCGATTATGAATCGGGAGATCCAAGGCAATGCCACCGATGGCGCTGTTCTAAAATTTGCAGAAGCCACGCAGGAGGGGATCGGCCGCAAGATTCGTGATGCGCATCCCAGGGTTTTCCAAATACCTTTCAATTCCAAGAACAAGTGGATGCTCACCCTGCATAAAGCTACGGAGGACACTTCCAGGTCAGCTGCCGATAAACCGCGCTTTCTTATGCTGATCAAAGGTGCTCCTGATGTGCTCCTCCCACACTGCAATACATACTGGTCCTGCCAAACTAACACTATCGAACCCTTGGTCTTTGCTGCGAAAGCTCAGTTCTATGCACTTCAGGAGCAGTTGTCACGGAATGCCGAGCGGGTGATATTGATTTGTGAACGCTACGTAACGCCGAGCGAGGCTCTGGGCTCTAACGCTTTCGCGGACGAGATTCAGAACGACTTCGTGGCTAATTTAACCATCGTTGGCTTGCTCGGTATCACGGATCCACCTCGTGGAGAGACTGCCGCTACTGTAGCGGCCTGTCGCCGCGCTGGCATCCGCTTCTTTATGGTCACCGGTGATTTCGGGCTTACTGGCGCCGCTATTGCCCGCGACGTCGGTATCTTTACCAACACATCGGACCCGGATACATTTGACGCAATAGTAGGACCTGGCGGCTCCGTACCTCCCACGCAGATGGCGACGAGTCTTGATTATACACATACCAGTCTATTGCTTGAGGGACCCTCGATTTCAAAGCTCTGCGACGATGACTGGGACCTCGTTTGCCGTTACGAGGAGATCGTTTTCGCTCGCACTACCCCGGAGCAGAAGCTCCGTATCGTGAAGGAGCTCAAAGCCCGGGGGAACTGTGTGGCGGTCACGGGCGATGGCGTGAACGATGCGCCAGCTCTTCGTGCTGCAGATGTTGGCATCGCAGTTATCACAGGCAGCGACGTTGCTCTGGAGGCCGCTGATCTCGTCCTTCTTGATAAGTTTGACTCCATTGTGGACGCCATCCGACTCGGACGTCTGGTTTTCCAGAATCTACAAAAGGTCATCGCTTACTTGCTTCCCGCCGGCTCATGGTCTGAGATCTGGCCGGTTCTAATGAACGTCTACTTTGGAGTTCCGCTTCCGCTTTCCTCCTTCTACATGATCATCATCTGCGTCTTTACCGATCTATTCCTCTCGCTTTCGCTCATCATGGAGAAAGAAGAATTCGACCTACTCGAACTCCCTCCTCGCAATCACAAGAAGGACCACTTGATAAACCTGAAGGTCTATGGGCAGAGTTACCTGTTTATCGGCGTGATGGAGACCATATGCGCGCATGCCATGTTCTTTTTCTACATGCAAAAACACGCCGGCATCCCATTCCACGCTCTCATCTTCGCTTTCGAGAAGTATTCGGACGGCTTCTACGGGTATACCCAGGCGGAACTCGTCTACTTCAACACGGTGGGGCAGAGTGTCTACTTCGTTACGCTCGTGATACTGCAGTTGGGCAACATCCTCAGCATGCGCAACAAGCGGCAATCGATTCTCCAAGCCGACCCCATCCGGAAGAAGCGAAGAAATCCTTGGCTGCTGGCCGGCGCGGCGATGAGCGTGGCCATCGCGGTGTTCGTAACGGAGGAGTCGGGCATACAGTCAATCTTTGGGACCGCGAGTGTGCCATGGGAGTTCTGGCTTATTCCTGTGCCTTTAGCATTCGGAATACTCTTGATGGACGAGATGCGGAAGTTGGTTGTGAGGTTGTGGCCGAAGGGCCCAGTGGCGCGAGTCGCATGGTAGGAGGGACATGATGGGCTGCTCGGACGTATAACAGAGTAACGTTAGGTTGCAGATGAGCGGAGGTTGTGTGTGTATGGTGGCGAGTATGATAGACTGACTCCGTAGACCATCACTCTTAGCGGTCGACGCTATTGTGCATAACTTACCTCTTGGACTCTGCGTAAATAGATCTGACGCCCGAACTGCTGCCTTGCGTTTGATCCAAAAACATGATCTGGAACTTGACATTCCGCAACCTTGCTTGTCCTCTACTCACTCTCAAACATGTTAGAGAGGGCAATGGGTCATACTGCGTCCCTCCAGTAGACCAAGAACGGAAGTTGGAAATACCTCATGGGAAAGCTGGACGCGCCCCCACACAAAAGCCATCTCGCGTCCCCCGCACCCAATCATACCTCCCAATTGCTGCCCCCGACATCATCCTCCCAACTCGTCACTCGCCTGGCTTCGCGGCTGGCCTCACGCATCAGATTATGGTCAGTAACCTTAGCTTCCTTTCCTCGCTGTTCCGCTCTTCTCCTTCAATTCCACCGGCAGTCACAATGTCGGCTCCTCTCACCGTCCGCAATCTGTCGTCCACCCCAATTGAACTCAAGCTGATTGAGCGGTTTGGACCCCCAGGCGGCGAGGAGGAGCATGGCATCGGCCACATCAAGAAGTTCGGAGCCCTCGCGAAGAACGTCACGAGTGTCTTCAGCGATACCGAGTCTTCACCGCCGAAGCTCGCAGACGACGCTCAGAGCTTCGCTCGTCAAGACGTCAACATACGCATCGAGCCATGGACGACGCAGCATACGGACATCGCTGCTTCGGAGAGAGGGCCAGGGGAGGTGCTGCGGCTGACTTTTGAAGCTGAGGGACAGCCATACCGTATAGACACGCCGACGCCGAACCCTCGATCTCAGGTCCTTGTACCTCTTGTGCCGGACCCTCGACATCAGTATACTGGCGTCTTCATTCCCAGCGAGACATATCTAACGCTATACTCCTCGATGAACTTGAACTGCTGGATGAGAGAGTTCAAGGACGAGACACCGCTGTCCGGGCTCTCAATACCCGGCACCCACAACTCGCCGACTCATCACCGCGCTTTGCCTTCCGTACGATGCCAAGCCGTATCACCCCGCGAGCAGCTCGAAAACGGCGTGCGTTTCTTCGACATCCGCGTCCAGCCCGGCGACCCAGAAGACCCCACGAAAGACACCCTCATCCTCGTCCACGGCGTCTTCCCCATCTCGCTCTCCGGCAACAAATACTTCCGCGACCTCGCCAACGACACGCTCGAGTTCCTCGACCGCAACCCGTCCGAGACGGTGATCATGTCCATCAAGCGCGAGGGCCCAGGCGAGCACACAGACCAGCAGCTCTCCATGATCATGCACGACCACTACTCCATGGACGGCTCGCGCTGGCACACGGCACCCTGGATCCCGACGCTGGGTAATGCGCGCAACAAGATCGTCCTGATGCGGCGCTTCGCGCTCGACGACCGGCTGAAAGGGGAGTACGGCGGGCGCGGCTGGAACATCGATGCCGAGAATTGGGCGTACAACACGCCCAACGACACGCACGGCGATGTCTGCGTTCAGGACTTCTGCGAGGTCCTCGAGACTGAGAATATCGATATCAAGATCAAGTACTCCGCCGAACATCTCGAGCGCGCGGCTCAGATGACGTGTCCTATCCCGGGCATCACGACTGATGCTGTGAATCCTGTCCCGCCTGGGCCGTTTTACCTGAACTTTTTGAGCGCGAGCAATTTCTGGAAGGTTGGCTGTTGGCCGGAGAAGATCGCACAGAAGCTGAATCCGACCATTGTTGAGTTTCTGTGCACGAAGCATGCGGAGGGTGTGGATGGGGACGGCTCCACGGGGATCGTGGTCTGCGATTGGGTTGGTGCCAACGGTGATTGGGATCTCGTGAGGTGTATTGTCGGGATGAACTCGAGGTTGTTGATGAAAGAGATGGGACAGTAGACACCTAGTTGTCGATAGGCAAGACCGTACATAGTGGGACATAAAGGCTTGGATAGAAGCGGACCGCAGAGCCGCGTGTAGCTGTTCTTATTCCTCATTTGCTACCTGGCCTCGCTCTGATATCGTGACTCAGAGCGCCTCACACTGTCCCATTTCCACACTCTCTACCGGCTTCCGGTCTTCCAAATACTCCACCGCTTATTTGAGCGGCTGGCGAGGCTGAGGCTGTAAGTGACCTTGTTCTAGTTGGAGCATGATCTCTTTAGCCTTGCACTATGCAAACCTTACACACCTGCAGCAGTACGCGTACAAGGACCGCTAAGCCCACATGTTGGGAATCCATCGGGCACTAATATTGCTACTTTCGGAGAACATCTTTCTCGATATCATGACAATATGCAAGCCTCCTGAGCTTGGAACAGACGAACTTCAAGCCTTGAGGTTCGCAGAGGTAAGAAACCATTGCGAGTGGGACACCACCATCACAGGTCCAGCATGCACCGGGCGGGGAACCGCCACAGCCTCAAGAGGCGTACTTTAATTCACTTCATTGGACAACTTTCATGCGGGATGACTCCGCTGGAATTATGTATGTATAAGGCTCTGCATCCACATTTGCGAGAGCAGTGAATCTTCCAAACCTCGCATGCTTGCTATCAAGAAGAATCTCCGCAAGCCGCCCTTTGTGTTACAAGATCGTGGCGCTTGGTGGCAACTACCAGCTTGTCTTCAGAAGAAGTCGTCTATGTATTCATCATTAATATGTATCACTCGAGACCTGACTGAAAAATAACAACGCCGTCGACTCCGTCGCATGCATAGCCATTTGCATCACAGACCGAACTTAAGAAAGCAGCACTAGCATCGTTGGCCACCATGTCATTGGGATCCGGTAACCCAGTGGAAGAACTCAATTCACTCTTATCCCAAGCTTCTGTAACCTTCACAGCGACCCGCTTCGAAGAGTCCCGCCCCGCCGAAATTGCCGCCTCGGTATCGTCTACCGTGCTCTCCTCGATCGAAGCAGCGCCTTCGATAGTAACCGTTACCTCCTCCGGTCCCGTGGTGACATCAGCAGCAACAGTAACCCTATCTGCGCCAACCTACACACCTTTTGCACCACTAACGACCGTATTCACGCCACCGTCTTCATGTACGACCCGTTATACCTTCCTAGGCCCAGGCATGCGGGGGTGCGTCTTTGGGAACGGTCATGGTGATCTTCTGGCTACAAAGGCGGCATGCTACAGCATGGTGATGCAGAATGCGTAGGAACCTGACTTCTCTTGCTTCCCTTCCGGCTTCACGCAATCTGGCATAGGGAACAGCCAGATCATGTCCCCTGGAATATGCCCATTCGGCTATCGTACCATGGCTCTGACAGCGGTGTTAACACTGGGCGATACAACGGCACCGGTCGCTACGACCGCTACCTGCTGTCCAAGGCAAGTGATTTTGATCGATCAATTTTTAAATCGCACAAGCTTACCTCGCCTTGTTCCAATAGAGGTTTCTTCTATAGCAACTTGACATTGCCGGACAGCAACACGATCACCTTTTCGCCGTCGATTGTCAGTGGATGTTGGAGCGTGTATTTTGACCAAACGATGAATGTTCTTGCTACCGGTAGGTCCGGTAACATACCCTCCACGATATCGAATCCCGACAGCGCTATATTGATGGTCGGACAGCCCTTCACTGTGGCTTATCAAGCGGCGGACGCATCGAAATTCGTGACAGCAGTGCTAACAGAAGCCGGTCTTTCCTCAGGTACTAAAGTAGGCATTGGCGTTGGCGCGGCGATCGGGTTCATAGCGTTGTGCGCCTTGGGTTCTCTTCTTTTCTGGCGCCGCCTGAAGAGAAAACGGCAGCGAGAGGGTCTGCCGGAACGAGAGAAAATGATGGCGGAGTTGCATGGAGACACTACGAAAGCGAGAGAGCTGCATGGGGAACATAGCGGTACGAAGGACAGGTCAGAGATGGATGCGAGAGAGATACGGGAACTGGAGGGAAATAAAACAAGGTCACCGGTGGAACTTGAAGCATGATTCTTGTAAAGTATGAGAACACGCTGCTGATTGCACGCAGGAACACTAGTTTGCATTTGGAAGAGTGAGTTGATGCGGGATTGACGGAGACCTTACGATCATCAAGACTTACTCTGCCTCACAGCGCTTAGCTCGGCCTGGCAGGCACACGCTGAATGGTGTCTCCTTGCAGCGGTAACGGCTGCGGCAGCCCAAGGATAGAACGAAAGCATTTGGGTGTTGTGACGCCGGACTGGAGCCAAAGAAGCAGCAGTGCCACCACACCTTCCTGGTTTCTGCACTAGATAAGACGTCTTGCGATGCATAGAAGAGTGTCGTATATGAAAATACGGTCCGCTATGCCTGAGGTAAAGCTGGATGCATGATACAGAAGAGCAGTCTGCGGCTCCATGAGACCTTGAGTTGCGTACAGTCTTCTGTTCGCCGGCGTGTTAGAACCAGTAACCGGAGACTCCATGGCGTATTCTTGGTCTGAGATGCCCTCAGAACAGCGCAAGCAATGCTTCGAAGAGCGGCAGCTGGCTAGACTGAGAGCAAACAAGCTCTATTAATACCGTTGAGAATCCCAGAAGCGCAGTTGGTCCTTGCCTTTTCACAGAGGGACACAAGCCGTGATGCACCTGCAGGTAAGGCACCCCTTACGGAGCCGTCCCGCATCTCGTGCATCCCGAGTTGGAGCCTGGAGAATATTCGTTCGCCGAAGCAGGGCAGGGCAGCGATCCACTATGAGTCCCAAGGTAATTTACGAGGGCTTCGAAGTCGGAGGACAAACGGAAGGCTTGCGTACATAAGGGCTGCAAGGCTAATCTAGCGCACCAAAACTCGCCGAAATCCCGAAACTGAGGTCGCGGGTCACTCGATGACAATTGATAGTAGGCCTTGTCAAACCAGCTGAGCTGAAGGGGTAAGTGTGACTGGTAACAGCTCGGCCATGGTGGAGGCTGCAGCAGACGTGGTTAATCTTGTAAGGCGTGGTGATTCTGGAGTGGTGCGATTTCTGTGACCTTAGAACAGAGCCAAAGCAGACAGAGATAAGGCACCGCTAGGCAACGGAGCAGCGACCGGCGTTCGCGCGTTTGCCCGGCTGCTGCTGCTGGAGCGCTGCATGAAGCTGTGCGGGGTGAGCCTGTAGTAAGGCTCAGACCGACATCTGGCTGGCAGGTGTGGGATGTGGCAGCAAACAGAACCGCCATGTCTCACGTCTCACGTCTCACGACCCACGTCTCCCGTCTCCCGTCTCCCAATCTGTGAGCGTCCCACAGAACGGAAAGTTGCTTATCGGCCCACGAGGGTGGTTCAGGCCAAGAGCGTGCATTGGACGCTGCTACTGGCCGTTTGCTGTGCGTAGCGCATACTTTAATTCTGGCTAGGGCCCCCACAGCCGGGAAGAGCAGCATACCTAGAGCTTCTGTGGAAACCAGACTCTGGAATGCTGAGACTTCTGCACCGACACTCCAACGGCCAATATCAGTAGACTGCCGGCCGCAAAACTCCAGCGCCCGGTGAACAGCGATCACATCTTCACTGTCCGCCGTATTGACTTTGCGCTGCCAGACAATTCGCTCTTCGACAGCCTTGCGGCCCGCTCGTGGGGGGACACGCCGACTTTACCACCTCTAATCTCCGTTCCTTTGTCCGTGGCGGCCGTCTGAAAGGGCTCTTATCGCTTTCATGCGGTAGAGTACTCGACACTGCACTTCACTTGTTTCACCAACCGTTCGCTTTCTACACCTTCAGCCTTGCCGCGCCGCCCGCTGAAGGTCTGTCACCGTCCCTCATTGTCCACTCCGGAGCCCTCGCCTCGTCTCGCGCGTTTCTCTATACACACCTGATATTCGACATCGCCATCGAACACAATGGCCGCCCAAGGCTCAGATAGCCCGACTACTTCGTTACCTTATGTTCCGCTGAACTCGTACTCGACCGCTGCGCCGGCCACCGGAGGCGACTCGCTCACCGAGGACCTCAACGTATACTACCAGAGCGGCGATATCGCCTTCATCATCATCTGCACCGCGCTTGTGATGCTCATGATCCCCGGAGTCGGATTCTTCTACTCTGGCCTGGCGCGCAGGAAGTCCGCTCTGTCCCTACTATGGCTCTCTGTCATGGCGGCGGCCGTCGTGTCCTTCCAGTGGTTCCTCTGGGGATACTCTCTGGCCTTTTCTCATAATGCCGGCAGGTTCATTGGCACTTTGGACAACTTTGGGTTCAGGAATGTACTGGGTGCACCGTCGGTCGGCAGCGCGAAGATTCCCGACCTGCTCTATGCGGTCTACCAAGGCATGTTCGCGGCCATCACGTCAGTCGAGTCCTCCTCTACATGATTCTTCCGACGTCGCTGACTTCTGTGGCACACAGTGTTGCCCTCGCAGTCGGCGCCGTAGCAGAGCGCGGCCGTATGCTTCCTTGTATCATCTATATGTTCATTTGGACTACCATCATCTACGACCCGATCGCCTGCTGGACGTGGAACCCAAGGGGATGGGCCTTCATCATGGGTGGTTATGACTTTGCCGGCGGTACCCCAGTCCACATCGCCTCTGGCTGCGCAGCGCTGGCCTACTCGTACATGCTCGGCAAGCGGCGCGGACATGGCACCCAGGAGCTCAACTATCGCCCGCACAACGTTACGCACATCGTCATCGGCACCGTCTTCCTTTGGGTAGGCTGGTTTGGCTTCAATGCCGGCAGTGCCCTGTCCGCCAATTTGAGGGCCGTCATGGCCGCGTTCGTTACCAACCTTTCGGCTTGCGTGGGCGGCATCACGTGGTGCTTGGTCGACTACAGACTCGAGCGCAAGTGGTCAACGGTCGGGTTCTGCTCTGGCGTCATCGCAGGACTGGTCGCAATCACCCCCGGTTCTGGTTTCGTGCCTGCTTGGGCGGCGGTCGTCTTCGGTGTCGTCGGCGGTATCGCTTGCAACTACGCCACAAAGCTCAAGTACTTCCTTCGCTGCGATGATGCGCTTGACATATTCGCTGTTCACGGGATTGGGGGACTTGTTGGCAATATCCTCACAGCCATATTCGCCGCGTAAGTTACCCGAAGTGATCCATCGCACAGCACGTACTAATGCTTATCTGCAGCAACTACATCGCTCATCTCGATGGCACTACACAGATCGTTGGCGGCTGGCTCAATGGAAATTACGTGCAAATCGGCTACCAGATTGCGGACTCTCTGTCTGGCGGTGCCTACTCGTTCGTTGGAACTTGCCTCATCCTCGCTATTCTAGATTACATTGGCAAGTTCTTGCCAATCTTCAGGCTCCGCACAAGCGAAGAGGACGAGGTTCTGGGTATTGATGATGCGGAGATCGGCGAGTTTGCTGTAAGTTTGGCTTGTCAGAACCTAACATCAATACAAAGGCTAACGACGTTTACAGTACGACTACGTCGAGCTCACTCGCGAAGTCGCCATGCCGGTGGACGAGGATGACGTGTCCCGCCGTTCCATCCCCAACGAAGGCAGCTCTGTACAGGTGAACCCGCACGAAAAGGACTTCCCGCAAAACAGCTTTCCGCAGAGCTTCTCGCATGCGCACTGACTACACGGCCTGAAGCGCCTCTCTTCTTCGCACGTCCGCCAACAACACAGCCGGCAGACGTCGGATGATATCTTGCTTCAGGATTTGCAGCGACCACATGCTCGATGAACATGTGCTCGACGATTGTTGGATGACGGAAATGAAAGGGTTAGATGGATGGCAGGCTTTACGGGCGTTTACGGGTGGGACTGAATGTCACAGCGGGGAGTAATAGGTCCGGCTTCTCGACATCTGGACTGTACGCACTGTACGCTGCGCCAGGGTGTCGACGCAGCACGCCTTGTCAGGGACATGATCTCGTTTTGCTTCGTCCATCGCCGTCAGCTTCTTCCGGCGGCGATTGGCTTTCGTTTGCTGTACTTCAACTTGCGCTCGATACCCAATGTCAAGATTTATCCTCTTAATGGGCCCATAGCATCCCTTGGACGGTTCAACTGTTGTGACAAATCTGGGACAGTGGTACGAGGACGACTACTCCTAGAAACCTAAGAAACTCACGAAACTCCACGCCACGCGTGCGCGCGAAGTTCCATGCTTGGCGCGCCGCTGGCGGAAATGTTCGTCATCCGAGCTCAAGCTTCAAGGCAGCCTGACACCCTGACAACCACCCACATTAAACAGCAGCAGCCGCTACACCATCGCCTTTTGCTACTCGCATATCATTGCGCTGATTAGTTACGGACTCGGCGACTCCACGACGGAGCCAAACGGACACAGCCAGCGAAAACGGCGTCAGAGGCTCACAGCAATCTCAGCTGAGAAGAGCTCTGCCGTCTCGCGCCCACCTACCACATCGACGTCCTTTCTGCATCTCCGCGGCACGCAAGCCATGGCGGACCCGACAAACACCCTCTCAACAGAATCAGAAGTCCTATCCGCCAACAACGACCTTCTTCTCAACGACGCCCTCTCCGCCGCACGCACCGCCTTCCCCCAAACCCCCGAAGACTTCGAGTCCGACTCGCGCGTCAGCTACTCGCAGCTCGAGCAAAAGTGGCTCCTCGAAGACGATGACGGCTCGGAATGGGAGTTCAACGAATCTCTCGCAAAATGGGTCCCTGCAACCGACGAAGCGCTGCTGGAGCAACAGCGCGCCGCGTACGCCGTCGCGGGAGTCAACGAGGCCGAGCCAGCCCAGAACCACCAATCCAAGAAGCGCAAAAAACCAAACTACACTGGCGATACGACTGAGGATGCCGAGGCCAATGGCTCTAAGAAGCGGTCCAAGTCCAACGACAACCCTAAACCCGAGCGCAAGAATACGGCAGTCTACGTTACGAATCTTCCGCCGGACGTGACAGTCGACGAGGTTAAAGATGTATTCAGCCGGTGCGGCGTCATCGCCGAAGCGATCGACACAGGTGGGGCGCGCATAAAGTTGTACACGAATGACTCCGGGGACTTCAAAGGCGATGCGCTGGTGCTCTACTTCCGCCCAGAGTCAGTAAGCCTCGCGATACAGATGCTGGACGACACGCAGTTCCGGCTGGGGGAGGGGGGCAACATGACTGTGCGGGAGGCGGACTTCAGCTACAAGAAGCAGCAGGAGCGGCCGGCGAAGAGCAATGCCGCGGAGAAGAAGAAGATTATCAAGAAGACGCAGAAGCTGAATAGCAAGCTGGCGGATTGGGACGACGATGATCCGAGCGTGTTGCAGGATACGAGCAGTCGATTTGACAAGGTGGTGATTTTGAAGCATATGTTTACGCTGGCGGAGTTGGAGGTGCGTCAGCTCCTTTCCACGGAAAGCGTACAGTTCAAGAGCTGACGCTTGCGCAGGAGGACCCGGCAAGCATACTCGACATCAAAGAGGACATCCGAGAGGAGTGCTCAAAGCTAGGCGAAGTGACGAACGTCGTCCTCTTCGACAAAGAGCCAGAAGGCGTAGCAAGCGTCCGCTTCGCCAACACCGTAGCCGCAGAAGCCTGCGTGCGGGTAAGTCATGCATCCGCGCCCCGCGCCCCCTCCCCCCCTAACCCAAGACAGCAACCTCCAGCTAACAAGAACCTCCCCAGCTCATGCACGGCCGCCATTTCGCCGGCCAGCAGGTACAAGCCTACATCGCCACCGGCAGCGAGCGCTTCAAGAAGACTTCCGAAAAGAAGCAGGACTTTGATGACGAGGACGACGAAGGCGATGGCACGGAAAGCCAGCGGCTGGATGAGTTCGGCGAGTGGCTTGAGCGAGAGGGCAGGAACGGCGAGGGAAGGGGCGAGGGGGTCGCGGGGGAGAGGTTACCCGCTGCGGCGGGGGCTGGGGAGGCGCGGTAGCAGGACGGGTACACTGGGCTGTGGATCAGGCGTTTGATATCCGATCACCTAGTGCGTCTATGGGCTTTGGTCGGACTTTTGAGCATAGGAACGGAAAGGTGGAGAAGGTCTACCTCGAAGCGTGAAAGCTCGTGTGAGGATAGATTCCGCGATCATTTGCTGGGTCACAGCATTGATCTTCGAGTCTGTATAGCGACTGCACTGGATACATCGGCGCTACCAGTAAAACTCTTCCCATTATGTACATCGTAGCTATCCTGAAACACTCGAGACCAAACACCAGGCATCACTATCTGACTCTTCCTCTCTCTTCAACCGCCCACCTAGACAGTGCTTGCACGTCCCATGCCCCAGTCTCTCTAAGCCCTGCCTAAGCAGGAAACAGTCCGCTGTCCCTCAACGAAGCCAGTCTCCTCATATCCTCCTTCTTTAGCCCTTTTAGGCTACCTACGTCCGTCTCCTGAACCTCCATACTGATGGGATAGTATCTCCCACCACCCTTACCGCCGCTCTTGCGCGTTCCAATTGAGGGAGTCAACAAGGAGGTGGCTGGCGTATTCCGCAGATGGCGCGTCACCGTCACCGCCGAGGCTTCCGAGCCGTTGGCCTCGGCGACTAGCCGGTCCACGTCCTCACTATCGAGACCGCTTCCGCTGTTGCTACTGCCGCTACTGCTTCTGCTTCTATTTTCACCCCAGCGCTCCTCCTGCACCGTCCTCGCAGGTACCGGCAGGATATCCAGCGGAAGGAGCCGCTGCGTGCTTGACGACCGCCGTCGCTCGCTTCTAGGCAAGGTCTCCGGTTCAGGCACACAAATTCTCAGGTCGCTCGCGCTGTGGCTCCGCTCCCTGCCAGGGGGGCTGAACATGTCGGGACTGCTTCTCGCCTTCTCAGCTGCGGTTTCCGTGTCGGGATTCTGGCGCGTGAGGTCGGGGTGCAGCAGCGCGGAGGTCTGGCGGTTGGGAGGTGCGCGTGGGTTGCGCTTCCCTGGCTGGCATATCTCGGCCTGGGCGGGCGGGTGTCGGGCGCGGCGGCGGAGATATGCTATCACACCGGCGGCGAGTACGATAACAACAAATATGGTGAAGACTACGATGAGGGCTGTGGCGGTTGGGTCGGTGGGGATGGGAGGGGCGTCGGCGCCGAGGTTTTTGCGTGCGAAGAGGGTGGGAGACATGCTGGAAGGAGTGGATCGACTGTGGTGTTACGCGAAACGCTGGACATTAAGACCGGAGGCTATGGGATAAGAATGGAACAGACAGTACAGAGGCTGGAGATTGTAGCTTCAGAGTATGAAGTCGTGATGTAAAGGGTACGGCTTGATGGCTGAGGAGGGAGCAACACCAAGGGTTGAACTGTTGCAACCTTGCAAAAGCCAAAGGGATCGCAAATGGTGGATGTCACGACTTAGAAGTACCTCGTCGGGCAACGAACCGCTGGAGGTTATCCAACTCATCGCTGCCTCAAAAAGGTTTCCTGGCGTCCGCAGCAGAAAGCCTCTCCTGCCGCAGCAACGCTCTGATCACCGCCATTCCCGAATAAGTAAGCTGAAAGTGGAGTGGTAAAAGTCGTGGCTTGGATTCGGAAAGAAAGCAAAAGACAGACGCATTGCGAGAGAGCTATGAGAGATGAAGACTATGCTATGGCGGTGGCAGAGTCAGCCCATCCCCGAATGAGGCGTAGCGCCGTGTTCCTGCAGCAGGCTCTATCACTATGGGCTGTTTGATGGGAAATTAGCTTCACGTTTTCCTCGAAGGATTCCTGGCGGCTAGAGGAGCTTAGAATAGTAAGCTGACCTAGCGGAGGCTGTGTTGTCTCCATAGTGCCGCACGTGGTCGCAATCCATGCACCGGTCGTCATTCATGCGACGGTTGCAGTCCATGTACTTGTTGTAATGTGGGCTGAATGCATTGATTGTAAGTGTTTAGAAACGTGTTATGCAGTTTAACATTCTTACAGGAATGGCCTCCCATGCTACGGCGGGTACAAGTAGAAACCTTATTCTGTATAGGGATGGGCACCGGTTTCCCAAAACCATAGAACCAGCATCCATAGTGCGGCCTATCCTCGACCCGTCCCCTCTCGTCATTCTAGGCACCTGCTACTGCCTGCACAACCTCCGAAGCCGTATCAATTTCGGCTTTCGCCAATGCCTTTGCTGCCGTTCCTGAGAGTACCACCAGTTCGACAAAAAAGTCATCGCATGGAACCAGAATCTCCAATTTCTTTTCGCCCGATCCAGGAAATCCGGCCGACTTGAACTGCGCCAACATGTCGCCGGAGCTATCACGAAGTTCCAGCGGACTGCCCGTCAGTTTGTTGACGTGCCATTTCATTCTTCCCATTGGCGGACAATCAACAGTGAAGTTGCCAGACAGCTGGCTCATCTTCATACGTATGGGTTGCCCATGCAGCGACATATTGGTAGTCGATGATAGTGAAGGGAAACGAGCGTCGCCGATCGTGCTGCTGGGATCGGGGCCGCCTCGGAAGAACAAAATGTTTGGCTTTGTGACCTGCGAGGTTACGACCGAGTATAACGGAGGCGCGTCTGCAGGATATCCGGCAGGATGTATGACCGTAAGGCCCGCATCTCTCGGCGATGGGCGAAGAGAAAGAACGCGGGAAGGAGGAATGGCCCCCTGTGGGTTTGAAGAAAAACTCGAAAAGAGCCGAGAAATGAGATCACTCATTCTTGATAGAATTTCCGAGAGACTGGAATACGTGTTGCAAACGAAAGATGGAATATGGTGTTGCTCTCGAAATACCTGTCACTTCTTGATATATATACATCTGCTCGCAGGCTGACCGAGCCTTTCGCAACGGATTGCCCATGACGTATCTATGCTTCCCCGGGTCCTTGTCAAGCTCATAGGTCTCTACTATGTCCGGTGTGTTTTGCCTGCGTCTGGTCTTACTGCGCCATGTAGTAAGTCCAGCTCGAGAAGACGCTTAACCCAACAGGCAACGTCAGCACTAGCCGTTGCCTATTCTAATCAGTCTCTCGTGCGCCAGCGGACTATTCCATATTAGGCCCTATACACCGCTCGGCTACTACCGTGGTGGGTCTCGCTGGAGGCGCTGTCCTCTGTCCGATCGGCGACTTCGGTGGTGCCGTAAGTTCACGGCCTTGTTTGCCAAACATATCAAGCCCAGCTCGACGACAAGCTTAAAGTTTGTCAGCAAAAGTTTAAGCCACCCCGCAGCTCTAATTTCTCAGCAAATTGGTATGAACACTAACTTACCGAACTTTACACAGACTCTACACCACTAAAAACCAAAATACAGAAAAGTAATACATCGAAAAAAGCGTATAAGATTGTGAACTTAACATGTATAAAAGCTATAATCTAAAGGTTCACACCAAGGCGTTGATATTTGACTGCCAAACGAACGAGTTTTGGTGAGAGTTCGCAAAATGAGCCAGAGTTTTGCTGACAAACTGATGTAATCCAACAGGCAACGTCAGCACTAGCCGTTGCCTAGCTCATCAGTCTCTCCTGCGTCGTCTTAAAGTGCGGGGCCGCCTTGCTACAACCGGTTCCTCTCGACTTGCACGTGTCATGTCAATCAGTTGAACGCCGTCGTCCCGTTCGGGTGAACACCGCAGCGCTGCATAATGCCTGGAGTTCCGTCTGGCCGCGGTTGTGAAGCATGTCAGAAACAGAAGAAGAAGGTTCGATTCAACCTACCTTACCAGACCAAAAACACCTCACTAAGCAAAGGAAGTGTGACCTATTGAAACCATCGTGCTCCAGATGCACACGCCTCCAGATCGCCTGTATAGGATGCGGCCAGCGGCGATACAAATTCAGCAATCAGACGGTCGTCTCAAGATCGATCAAGGTTCAGGCGGCGAGGGAACCCGTCTCCACCGTTAGTAGAGGGCTTTCACGACCTCTAAGCAATGAGACGACGATCATGGCCAATGCCTTCGTCTCCGCGCTTGAAGTGACGGACCTGAGGTATAACCTGGCCTATTACGGGGGATTTCTCAAAGACATTCCAAGGCGTCTTGGCACGAATGATGTCCTGGATGCGTCTGTAGGCGCCCTGACAAGCGCTCTTTCGTCTCTCTACACACGTCGGCAGTCTCCGGAGACGCTTGCTAGATACGTACATGCCTTGAGGACTCTAAGAATCAGTCTGGACGATTCTACCAAGACCGGATCAGCTAATACTCTGTGCGCCATGTACCTGATAATGATTTGCCAGGTCAGCGCAGTATTCGATTAATCTAACAAAGTCAAGTCTGACACGGTCTACAGGGCTGGATAGGGAGGCACGACGATCAGATTTTGGGTCACGGAGAAGCAGTGGCATACCTATTGAACGCTGCAGCTTTCCAAAACTGGCGGGGGAGCTTCGAGTCTGAATTACTCATCACACTGTGCGTGCCTGTGGTATGGCATCAATGAAGGAACTGCTATAACCGCATGGACGCTCGACTGACACAAGATGGCAGATTCTCGAGAGTGTCGTCAACCCTAAGATTCACTTGAATCCCTGGCTCGGGAAGCTGACCGAGACTTACGGACCACGCAGACCTTTCAAACGCGGCGAAGGCATCTCCATTCACAGCATACAATTGCAGAGCCTCGCCAGAATCCCGGATTTCATTCGAGATCCCGAAATGCATCTCTTCGAAATAAAATCCGCTTACCAGCAAATGCGAGCCGACGCCCCGAAGTTACGCCAGCGTCTGGCTCAATTGACTGAGCTAACTTCTTCCGGCGCAGTTCGACCTCTCTCACCCCGTACCCCCATAATGGGACTACATACTCGCTACCAAGGAGCGTATGGTATTCTGCTTGCCCTGACCTTGACCCTTAACGGCATACTTCGCGCATTTGACCCCGACGACATGACTATGGTTGAAGAATCCGCGAGCTTTTCCATCGACATCATGACTGTCGCGGCGCACGCGTCACAATACAGACCTCTCGGGGCCAGCTATGTGCCTCTGTGCCTCATTGCCGCATGGGCAGTGACCGAAGACCCACCCAAGCAGGCCGAAGTCGAGAAAATGCTGGCAGAGTACCAGAGGGACTTTGTGGAAGCGAGATGGATGCACTGTGCGATCTGGCTGAAGAACAGGTTTGAGAGCCTGCGTCGCAAAGTGTCGACGTCGCATCTCGAGAATCCCCATGACAGCGGATGCACAGCAGCGAGTGCTCCTGGCGGTGATCTGGCAGAGGAAATGGGAGCTGGTGCATCATGTTGTATCCTGTAAGTCGAGGGCGTTATTTCGAGCCCAGGGTTTGGCACGCTGTGCCTACCCTACCGCGCCACGAGACAGAAGCAAGCTACGGTCGCGACGATCTGGCCACATAACAGCCAGCTGTGCTGGGAATATCCTAGTGAGCGCGTTCAGCCAGCCGTAGCGCCGTCGCTTGGACCTGCTCAATCAGGCTGGGGAGACAGGCTGCGTGGCCCAGATGGCCAAGCAGATGCGGAGGGCACCTTGTTGTTGAAATGTTGACAGGCTTAGAGATGGCACGTGTACAAATGGTAAATGCAGTTCAAAGGCCATGTACTTGCATGAAGCGCGTCTCCATCACTGGTCAAGGCGACATAAGAGGGTTATACAGGCCCCCTGGCACCATTTTAACTTTCGGAACATGATAAGAGGCGGTCTAAGGATCAGTGTACCAAGTGAGAAGAACTGGAAAAGACGGAAACGAAAGGTCTCTGACACTCTGGGCGCGTGTCTCTTGGCAAGGTCATCCCGAATGATTGAGGACAGATCTACTTGTTCTGATTCCCAAATGTGACACTCTTGAGCACTTGGTACTCTTCCAGGCCATATGAGCTGCCTTCACGTCCATAGCCGCTTTCCTTGACGCCTCCAAACGGGGCTTCTGCGGCAGAGATCTTGCCCGTATTCACGCCGACCATGCCGACTTGAAGTTTTTGCGCTACCCGCATGCATCGGCCCATATCCCGGCTGAAAAAATATCCAGCAAGGCCAAATTCAGTCTTGTTGGCAAGATGCACAGCATCAGCCTCTGTGTCGAATTCAAAGATGGGTGCCAAAGGGCCGAAGGTCTCCTCGTTTGCCACGATCATGTCGGAGGTAGCACTAGACAGGACGGTCGGTGCAAAGAGGAAACCCTTGCCAGGAACCGCGTCGCCGCCGACTTCTATCTTAGCCCCCTTGGAGATGGCATCCTCGATATGAGCTTTGACCTTTTCTACTCCAGCCCGATTGACTAAAGGCCCTTGTGTCGTGGAAGGGTCAAGACTTGGACCCGTCTTCAGCTGGGACACCTTTTCGACAAGCTTGCGTGTAAACTCTTTGGCGACACCTTTTTGTACCATGAGGCGATTCGCACTGTGGGTAATACATCAGCGAACTTCAGCCCGATCTCGGATGTGGTACTCTGCCCTTACCAGACGCATGTCTGCCCAGAGCATCTAAACTTGCAGAACATTGCTCCCTCAACGGCAAGGTCTAGGTCTGCGTCATCGAAGACAATGAATGGTGCATTGCCTCCGAGCTCCAAACTAACCTTTTTCAGGGTTCCAGCGGCCAACTTTGCCAACATTTTGCCCACGTTGGTCGAGCCTGTGAAGCTGATCTTCCGAACAAGGGGGTTCGTCGCCAGCTCGGTCGCCGCTTGACGGTCCTTGGTAGGGCAAACTTGGATTGTTTTGGGTGGGAGGCCGGCTTCGACGGCGAGCTTTGTAAGAGCTAGTGATGTGAAAGGAGTTTCGCTGGGTGGCTTTATGACCACGGCGCACCCGGCTGCAAGCGCGGGTGCAATCTTGCGTGTGATCATGGCAGCAGGAAAGTTCCATGGTGTAATGATCCCGCAGACCCCTATGGGCTCTTTAACCGTAAGCAAGGTAGTGTGCGGTATCGATGAGGGAATGGTGAGGCCGTATGCTCGAGTGGCCTCTTCGGCAAACCAGGACACGAAACTAGCAGCGTACACAATCTCACCCCTGGCCTCAGCGTAAGTCTTTCCGTTCTCCAGACAGAGGATTGTAGCCACTGTCTACAGTTAGCCTGTACGGAGATAGCTCACGACCTTCTAGAGGAGCACTCACGATCGTCTGTGTTAGCTATGATGAGGTCAAACCATTTACGCAGGAGAGATCCGCGCGTGGTTGCAGTGGTCGCGGCGAAATATTCTTGTTGTGCAGTATATGCACTGTCAATTGCTCTTTGAAAATCTGCAAGATCGCAGTTTGCAACCTTTCCGAGCACGGTCGATGTTGAGGGATCTTCGCCACACAATGCTTCAGTCATTAATCGCTTGGTGCTGCACTTCTCTTTACTGACCTAAGACATCGAAAGTGTTTCCCTTCTTCGACCACTGTCCGTCAATGAAAGCATCGTGAATCAACAGTGAGGGATTCTTTAACTGCAACCCTCATCAGTTTGCCACAGTGGCATGGTACTAAGAAGAACAGATCTTACTTCAGATAATGCTTCTTGATGAGAAGGAATATTGCGGGTGCCATTCTGGACACCATTCATCTGTTGAGATTGCTCCGTAAGAGTTGACATTTTGTGCGCAGAAACCTCAGGCTGTGAATTGGGGAGACGGTTTTCGGGTCAAGTGGATGATGATGGGAGAGAGCTCATGCATTGTTGTAGCACTATAAAGGAGGAAAGCAACTCGACGGTTTCCGTAAACTCGTTCAATGAAATCCGACATTGCAAGTATCCTGCCCAATCTAGCCTTCCTCCACCGAGATTACCGCAGGTCCAGAGGATCATTTCCGTACCAGCCTCGGACGGTTGTAAGCGAAGTAGGGCCACTTCCGATGAGATAAACGGGTCTCGATGGATTGGCTTTGCCCCTCGGTTTCCAAGTTCCGAAACAGGCCAACTCTGCGTCTTCACTCAGACCATCGCCGTAACCAGTAGACTGGGCGCTTGTGTTGCTCTATCATCATGTCGGTATGTTTGTTCTCACATGATCTGAACTGTTTCGTCATAGTAAGCGCAAGAAGACGGGTTATCTGCTTTCTAGAGCAGGTACTTATACTTATCCTCCCACTGACTTCCAACACTTAGAGCCGCGGATATGTTGATTGATGCACTGTATGCATTTGCAAGATTGCCCTACTGCATGCCATTGACATAACCACATGAGCACGTCATGCACTCGAGAATACGAAAGGCCAGGTGAACAAACTAGATCTTTGGCTAGCTAGAGTAACGATGAAACCACCGTGATCCGGATACATACAAATGTCTCGGTGTTTTCTTTTCTTTTTTTGTCGTTCACTTCTGCAGCGCCTAATGCTTCTCACAGCAATCTTCTACAGCATGATCCAATAGAAGTTTCAAATTCATGCACCTTTCTGGTAAGAATCTCAAAGAAGTTTAGTCAAGTAAGAAGAGACAAGAATTCAACTACATGTCTATAGGCGCAACCTTCGCTAAATGTGAAACAACTGAAGAACTACGACTCATACTTCAATGTAGCCATGAAAGCAATGCGTGACCAATATGCCGCAAGTTTGCCAGTATCGTGCTTGAGACAGTGTTAGTATCCATATGTGGTTGGAAAGCTACTCCCGCAATCACAGCAACGGCCGCAAGGCGCGTGATATTAGTGGTGGTCCACAACCATCTTTTGAACGCCATGATGCGCCACATCTTGCTCCCGCCTTCGAAGTTGAACGCTTTCCAGTTCGGGAAATATGTTGCAAACCAGAACGTACGGGCCAAGCCGGGCCATGAAGCGGCGTTTCTGCCAAACTCGCCGATGTACCAATTGGAACAGTCGCCAGAAAATACGCTGGCGGTAAGGTTCTTGTGGATTGCTTGTGTCGACGACTCCTCTGCGCTCCGCTTCACCTCAATGACTTTTGCGCGGCCATCAATGAGAGGAGTGAATAGAGACTTGATGGTATAATCAACTTGGGTCTCGCACGCAAAGAGAGCGGAGTTGTTGGCTGGGAAGGTGTTCGGACCGAACAGGATGGCCAGGTTGGGGAAGTTGTGAACATATGTCCCCAGGTATGCTTGGGCTCCCCTACACTCATTCCATTGGTTCTGCAAAGAAGCCCCATGAGCTCCAATGATCTTCATAGGTGTTAAGAATTTAGCGACCTGGAAGCCGGTGGCGAGGACAATTATGTCGAAATGATCCACATCGCCACCAGAAGAAACTATGCCGGTCTCGGTAATCTCCTCTATCCCGTGATTGAGGAGCTCGACATTCGGCCTGCGCAGCGATTCCAGATAGTCCGGGTCGAAGATGCGTCGTTTGCAGCCAAGCGGAAAATTTGGCACTATGAAGTCCCAGTACTTCTTCGGAGCTTTCGAACGGATGTACTCCGTAGCCTCTTTTTCTGCTACAGCGCGAAGGCGCTTGCCCCTAGCTGTCGGGAAATAGGCAGTGGTTTGCTCGTCAGCTTCGAGAAATATCGACAGCCGCAAGAGACGCTGCCACAGCGGAATCCATTTGAAGGCCCACTTCTCGGCGTTGGTGAATCTGTGATTTGGCCGTGGATGAAACCATTGCCCGCTACGAGCATACTGCTTCACAAAGCCAGCGGTCTCGGCCATGGCGGGGACGACTTGTGCAGCACTGCAACCGTTGCCAATCACTGCGACACGTTTCCCCTTCCAGCTGATTCTGTGGTCCCAACGAGCTGTGTGGAACATTGGACCGTTGAAATTCTCCATCCCTTTGAACTTGACGTCGCGCGGATATGAGATTGCGCCAACCGCTGATACGAAGACCGAAGAGTATCTGTAGTATTCGATGCCCGTCAGGATATCCTTAAGGTGCACTTTCCATTTCGAGAGATCGGAGTGCCACTCTGCTCCAATGCATTCAACCGACGTCTGCACATGCTTGCGGATGTCGAACTTGTCAACGGTATCCTCCATGTCTGTTCAGAAAGCAATATATCAGCTACCATTTCCGCAACATGGCCATTGAGATATGTAACGGAATAGGGGAGCTTTACACTGCAGTATCTCAGGCTGCTCACACAGTTCCTGGGACCAGTCCGGGTTCAGGTTGAAGCTGAAAGAATAGAGATGGGATGGAAGATCGCAACCGCTTTGAAGACAATCTGTTAGCATCTGATTTGCCCCAAAAGAATATCAAGGGTTCGCTACGGCGTACCATCCCGGGTAAGTATTGGTGCGCCAGGTCCCGCCGACACCGTCGAGTTTATCATAAATGGTAAAGTCGTGGAAACCGAGATTGTGCTTCAGCTGGTAGGCCATGGCTATGCCTGCCGGCCCGGCGCCGATGATTATGGCATCAAGAGAGTTTGCGTATTTTGACATGATGGAGGCGGGGGACGAGTGGATGAGTAGCGGAGTACAGAGGCCGCGAGAGAAGATGCCCAGCGGATGCCATGTTATACATGAATTCTCTGCTGTATTTAGCTAACTCGACTCACGCATCGCCACAAGCCTTCACGACCTCGGACGTTCTTCCAATTTCCGTTGTGGAGATCGTCACGGAAAATCGTTTCGGAAGTAGATTCCCTAGCTCCAGAACAAGCCAAGCTTGCCCATGGTTAGAACTGCCTATCGTTCGAGCATGACAAGGGGCACTGCGTGACTTTGTGGGGTCAGGCTGGAATATCATGATCAAAATCGGGTCGCCGAACGGAATTGACAAGGCCGATAGATGGGCACGTTGGGCAGGAAAAAAGCCTTACCGCGAAATTTCGAATTCAGGACTGCATCAATAGCAAAGCTCTCTTTACGATCATTATGATGCTCTATAGCACAGTCTAGATAGCTGACTCAAGGTTTAACGTCCTACCGTTCACCCTCAAAAAACTTATTTCGTCGGCTGAACGTGAATTCGTTTGTGAAGTTGACGGCGAACGAGCTCTGGGCCACCGCTGCGGTGAGGCTTTTTTCCCACCCGACGTGATGGGGACTTCAAAACAGCAACCAAACTGAAGACGGGTTCCGGGCGACGGAGCTGGCATTGGTGATCGTACGTCCTTTTTATGGCCAATTTTCCGGTTGCAATCTGGAAGGTGTATGCGCTTCGTGACAGGATAGATGCTCTCCATGGCTGACACCTCTGTCAAAGTTTCCCACGGCCAGTACCTGCACGCTGCTGCAGATATTCGACCTCACGATTCTCCCTTAACGCCACCCGCTCTAGGAGAAGTGCAGGTCGCCATCCGCTCGACAACTTTGTGTGGGTCAGATCTTCACTATTATGCCCAGGGTCGCAATGGAGCCATTACCATTCGGGAACCGCTCTGCCTGGGCCATGAGGCGGCTGGGGAAATAGTTGCTCTCGGCAGCGATGCAGACTTCAAAGTGGGGGACAGAGTAGCCTTGGAATGCGGCGTGCCCTGCGATGCTTGCGACTTGTGCAAAGAAGGGCGATACAATCTCTGCCCGAAGCTGCGTTTTCGAGGCAGCGGGTCAGCTTGGCCGCATTTTCAGGGCACGATGCAGGAAAGGGTCAACCATCCGGCAAGATGGGTCCATAAGTATGTCTTTCAATTGCCTCGGTTCGCGAAAAGAACAACTCATTGATATGCCATCAGATTGCCATCCTCAGTGACCTACGATGAAGGTGCGCTGCTTGAACCACTCGCCGTTGCCGTACATGCCTGCCGTCGCGCCAATATCAAGCCGGGTTCGAGATGCCTGATCTTGGGCGCAGGCGCGGTTGGACTTCTGTGCGCCGTTGCTGCGCGCATGGAAGGATGCACACGCATCGCAATAGCTGATATTGCTCGCGGTCGTGTCAGTTTTGCACTCGAGGCTGGTTTTGCTGATGTTGGGCACGTCGTGGAGCCGAAACGAGGGAAGACGGTGGAGGAGCAGCTTTCGATTGCGAAAGATTTGGCCAGTTCTGTCGCAAGTCTCCATTGGTCTGATGGGTCGGTTGTCGGTAAGGTCGACTATACTTTTGAATGCACTGGAGTTGAATCATGCGTCCAGGCTTCAATATACGTAAGTCCATCCGACTCACGCCGCTATATGAATGCATGTTTGATAGCTGACTGGGCATAATGGTAGACAACATGCTCTGGCGGTAAAGTACTCCTTGTTGGTATGGGTACACCAAATCCCATCCTCCCGATATCTGAAGCAAGTGCGCGGGAGATTGAGCTGATACCAACATGGCGTTACGCAAACTGCTATCCGCGTGCAATGGAGATTATCGAAGCCATCCATGCCAATATCTCACTACCACAAGTGAGCAAAATGATCACTCATACTTTCAACGGCCTAGAGACTGTACCCGAAGCGCTTCGGACAGCAGGAAAGACGGAGGATGCCGAAGGGAGGCTTGTCATCAAGGCTGTAGTCAACAATTGAAATTATGATAAGCAAGAAGACAACTAAATGCCGTCGAGTTTCAAATCTGGGCTATCTTAGTTGGACATTACCCAATTCAAATATTGAGGGGATGTTTATTCTTGCGACAGTAAGATGTCTTTTTCATACTATGCGAAGCCTTCCGTTGCGAAAAAAACAGGCACATGAAACTTGCATCTGGGTGACAGAAATTGTCGGACTCCGACAAACAGATAGGTCTTCAGTTAGCTTAGGGAGGTCTTGAATAGGCATAATTCCTTAAGTTATACTGCTATTTAAACATTTGTACGTTATCCCTAGAGGTAGGATAGCTAGAGTAAAGATCTTTAGAGACGTGGTGAGTTTAATAGATTTCGGCAATCTGGAGTGAGTTGTAAGTCCGGTAGGTCGCCAGTCCAGTGATTTCTGTCACTCGCGCGACCTGCAAGCTTCATGTCCTTTGCCTCGCTGAACTAGCTTTCACTTATGCATTTTAATCGAAACATGGCCGCTACACATGCCTGAATGCTTGTGGTAGCAGCTGATAGTTAACCTGAAACCCTCACACCACGTTGCAATTAGACACCGGATGCAAATGCCGCTGAATACACCTGTCAAGACGAAACAATTACTACCGGTCAGAGAAATCTATATGAGACCCGCACCGAATCACATTACAGCTGTTTCCAACCGGCCATTCGTGCATTTCCTCCCCGCAACTCCCCCAAGTATTTTCGCACCTTCCGTTCGATACCAGCCGCATCGAGTCCGAATCTGTTGTAGTTGCTTGCATTGGATGCAGAGTAGCCGTAAGATGTCATACCAATACTGGCTGTTGTGTATCGCGCCCATGTAGTCGCCACATATTCTTCCACACTGATGATTGGTTTGCCGTCAATGGGAAAGACCGAGTTCCTGTATTCAAGATCTTGCTTATCAAAGAGGTCGAAACTTGGGCAGCTGATAAGTCGCACTGCGATGCCGTCCCTTCCAAGCGACTTTGCAGCCTTTACCGCATGATGGAGATTCGTGCCACAGCTCGCTAGTGTCAGTTGTGCGTTTCCATCTTCCCAAATAACATATGCACCCTTGAGTGCCTTTTCCCTACTGGTGTTAGGGACATGGCCGACAGGGTCGCGGCCGAGAGAGACGATTGTCGGGCTGTGACGCGCGCTCATAGCGTGCCTCCATGCCGCGACAGTTTCTTCAGCGTCGCACGGGCGGAAATAGGTGAGATTTGGCATTGCGCGGTAAAGGGAGTCCACCTCCACAGGTTGGTGAGTCGGACCGTTCTGGCCTTCCGCAAACGAATCGTGTGTCGCAAAATGAATGGTTTGGAGGTGACTCAGTGCACCCATGCGCACACCAGGCGCTGCCTGCACATCTCATCAGTCAGAATACAAAGTCTTAAAGCCCAGACTGTAGCCACGGCAGGTTGCCATCAAGACGCAAGACAGGTGTGCACTTCGTACTCACATATAGGTAAAACATAAAGAACGTCGCCGTGATGGGCAGAAAGGTGCCGGGGTTGTAGGCAGCAAGACCGTTAGAAATAGCTGCCATCGCATGCTCGCGAATACCATAACGGATATAGCGACCAGAATAACTCGTCAGGGGATGAAACACATCCGACTCAGCGTAGTATATCTTATTGGAATTGACCAGATCGGCACCACCGCCGCAGAGTGCCGGGCATGCCGGCCACATCTTCTCAAGAATCAAGCCATTGACTTCTCTTGTAGCGAGATTGCTCATATCCGCTGTGTCCAGCGAATCAAGGATTTCATGATACCTGGTCCCATAATCACCCTTGCGGCGTTGCTCAAGCTGTGCTGCCAGCTCAGGGTAAGTACTTGTGAATCGGGCTACCAGAGCATCCCAGTCTTGGTTGATGCGGTCGCCATGAGTCTTGCGCTCACGGAAATAGCTCAATGCGTTTTCAGGGATCTGGTGCGACACGGACGGGTCCATTCCGGCGAGAAGCTTTGATTTTGCGACGCTCTCCTTGTCAAAAACGCCATGATGGGCCTTTGCGGTGCCCGCAACGGATGTTCCAAGGCCGATGACCGTCTTTATGTTGATAAAGACAGGCTTGCCGCGAAGTGAATTGGCGTACCGTAAGGCGAGAACGATGCCTTGTACGTCATACGACCCGTCGGGAACTTCGAGAACAGTCCAGCCGCAGGCCCTCATTTTAGCGTTGATGTCCTCAGTGTTGATCCAGTCTAGAGGACCGTCACAAGTGACCTGATTGTTATCGTAGATGAGGACGAGACTGTCGAGTTGGAGATGACCAGCCAGAGCTATAGCCTCGAGTGCAACGCCTTCTATTAAGCATCCATCTCCAGTCATACAATAAACGCGAGATTGGATAACGTCGAAATCTGGTTTGTTGAAACGAGCTGCCAAATTCTTGGACGCTATGGCAAGACCTACGGCATTGGCGACACCCTGGCCTAAGGGGCCTGTAGTCACTTCTACGCCGGGAACCTCAATTTCTGGATGTGCGTGACAAATTGTTGTGTATCCGTTAGTCTTAGCACTGCCATAACCCTTGAGCTCGTCCATCGTCCAATTGTCGAAGCCGGTAAGATGATTTAGCGCGTAAAGAAACATGGCGGTATGGCCTGGCTCATAATCAGATCAACATGCTGCTATTGACCATCTTTTAGTTGCAACGTACCATTTGAAAGGACGAAGCGATCTCTATCAAACCAATCGGGGTTTGAAGGGTTGTACCGCATTACGTATTTGTACAGTGCCACACCGATAGCTGCCATGCCGATTGCTGAGCCACCATGACCGCCGCCGTTCTGGCCGCAGATATCGAAGATGAGATTGCGCAGAGCAAGCACGGCGAGGTCATCCTCACTGCTATGTCGATTGGATACCGCGGAGCTTTTTTCGCTTTCCAAGTGATGGGCTGTCGTCCCGTTGACGGTCTTGGCAATCGTCTTCGGTTCTTGAAGCCCAGTGGGGTGACTATCTTCGACGAGGGGCATGGCTGCACACGTGAAATGGTTGAGGGAAGTCAATTAATGATGAGCGATTGTGTAGATGTCTTTATTATGGAGCGCCTTGAACGTCCTAGATATGAGAACTTTTCTAATGGCCAGTGGGCGTTTCCACAATACGCCGGAGTTAAGTTCCCGACTGTCACGCCTACATCCCGAACTGGGTCCGATGTTGGTCTCTCACGGGGCATCTAGAGTCGCGCCTGCATCCCATGCCTCGGGCTCAAGACGGTGATATTCCCAGAGCTGTGAAAGAGGGCCCGGGGGCAATGGATATCTCTTTCCGGCGCAAATATCCACCCATCTCCGTCTTCTAATTCCTCGCCCCATACATCGTCCTTGCTCTCTCAATTCTCAATCACTTCGTAACTCGCAAATCCTCTGCGCGGATTTCTCTTGTCACTGTACACGCGTATACGATGAATGGTCAACTTGTACAGCCAGAGCAGAAGCTAAAGCGCGACGCTGACGGCTTCCTCCGCCGGACAGTGTGGGACCTCTTCTCTCTGAAAAGCAGAACGATCGTCATCACTGGTGGTGCCAGAGGTATTGGTCTTGCCTTCGCCTTCGCCATAGCTGAGGTTGGAGGAAATGTTGCCATCCTCGATGCTCTAGACGAGCCCCACGAGCACTTTTATGAACTCCAAAACCGATTCAAGGATCTCAAATTCAAGTCGTACAAGTGGGTGCTCCTTTGGCAATCGGTCAATCTGATTGACCTTTCATGAAGCAATTCTTGAGTGTGCGCTCACACCCGCGTTGTGTTTAGGGTGGATGTGACCAAATACGACGTATTGGAGAAGGCCTTTGATCAAGTCGTTAAAGATTTTGGAAGAATTGACGGACTGTAAGTGGCGCAGACCTCTCTTCCTCGTTTTGTTCTAGTCACAATGTACATGAATTGGAACTGAAAGCTAATAACACTCAGGGTTACAGCTGCTGGTATTTGTACAGACGAACCCTTCCTTGAACGCAAGCCCGAATCGGTGGCTCGGTGCATCAACATCAACGTTCTTGGCACGTACTATGCGGCTCAGCTAGCAGCGGCGCAGATGGCTCGGCAGGAACCTACCGACTTCAATCAACGAGGTGGCAGCATGGTGTTCATTGCCTCAATTGCTGCCTATGTCGCTAGCAAAGGCCAAAACACGAGCGATTACTGCGCAAGCAAGGGCGCTGTGGTGTCATTATGCAAGGCCCTCGGCGTTGAGTTGGCTGCCATGGGTATCCGTGTCAACAGCATATCACCAGGGTACGTGTCCAAAATAATTTGGACGGTTTCGTTATCCCCTTGCGTGCCTGGAACCGCTAACTTTTGAGTAGGTATACGATGACGGACATGACACTTGATCTCTGTGATAGAATGCCCCATCTCGCGCACATTATGACCACTGAGCCGCCAATGCGCCGCATGGCAGACCGCACTGACTTGAAGGGTCTTGTTGTCTACCTGCTCTCTGAAGCAAGCGCCTACCAGACCTCGGAGGACATTCTTGTGACCGGTGGCATTCATGCGGGCAGACTTTTATGAGCCGTTAGTGAGAGCTCGGAAATAGATCCGATATCGTGGGCGGATAACATCTGGCGGCAAGGCTGTCGCGTTTATGCAGAAGGCAGGAAATTTAGATCGTGCAGCTTCTAGCTAGAGGCTTCTCTAAAGACCCTAAAGATATACCATCGAAGGCATGTCCGAAAAGGAAGGAAGACCAGTGGTGAAAAATTATTATTTGGCACTCCGCCTTCTGAAACCCGAAGAGATAGAGAAACAAGGTAGCAGGAACGCTTGAAAGACCAGAGATTAGTCTGCAGTTTGTTCGCTAAATGGAGCAATCTCTTCTGTAAAATTCATGCGGAATGCTATTCTCTCCGTTGATGGGATAGCTTGTTTAGCAGTTCCACAAGGTGGACATGGCGCATCTGACGCTACTTCAAATCAGTTCATGGTCAATTTCGTGAAAGAGGGCCAGAAGCAGCCTCAGGAACGATGTGGGAACCCATCTTCCGAACAGCTCGGACTGGATTGGTGTGGGAGGCGAGCTCCGGTCCAATCACAGACTAGGCACCGATCCGCACCAGGGATGTCAAAACACACACAAACACTGAATCAACATGTTGATTCAAGAATCCATATTGAATTACGGTCCTGTATCAGTGTGATTCCATGTATAAACAGGATTCGATATAGAGACACGCCATAGCCGCCGCGGCGTGACATCCTCGCGCTCAAGATGTATATCAGTAGGACGGCACTGCTGCCATAGGATTCTCGCTGCCTTAGAGGCTGATCCTTGCCAGTCCGGATACTCGTTCCAGTTGTAAGTGAGATAGGACCTCAGTAGCGCTGGATGAAGTAAAATAGATACTGCGTCAGCAGGACTTTGGTCAGTAAGCTTATAGTACTTATCATACGAATACTCCAAGCTAGGACGTGGCCGAGGATAGTTAGATCTGCCTTGTAGCGGAGCTTCGCTTCTTGAAGGTGAGAAGTTGAAGAGTCTATAGAGATGAGCACTTGGTCAAGCGTTGGTTTCGTTACTCTCAGTTTCCTTAGTGACCTCCTAGGACGGCTTAAGAAACTTGTAATACTTGAGTAGTATTGAAGCTTTTGAGTTACTACTCTTTGGCTTGGCACGGCCACGTGAACGAAAACCCCGCACCGAAGTGGCGAGGTGGTGAATATGTATGAGCGACCCTCCTACCTGCAGTCGAAACTGGCAACAAATGCATGCACGCTATTGATAGAGCCTTGCGACAACCTGCGAATGGCATGAATAGGGACGACCAGTGTGTACCGGACGACTTCCATTCCGACATCATGGCTTCGAGCCAGACTGCTAGGGCGTCTCGGAAGAACGTGACTACAGCTTGTAAGGCTTGCAGGGATAGCAAGGTAAAGGTAAGAATAGGGCACGAAAGTTGAGAGAATGAATATGTTGACGCAGCAAGTGCGATGGCGTGATGCCTGAATGTGGTAACTGCACAAGAAAGGGCAGAGAGTGCTATTATGAGCTTGGTGACGACAAAAGGAGGTATGTATCAATTGATCCTGAAGTCAGTTTTCAAAGTTGCGTTGGTGCGTCCGGTACAGAGCTTGAGCGAAAATGCTAACGGAATGTTCAGAGTCTCCTTACGCTCTGCTGTCGAAATACTCTCCCATAGAGTCGAACAGCTACATGACACTCTCACCTTGATTGGATGTGCCATTCCGGAAATGAACGCGGATGAGGAAAATTTGGTCAACAGAGCTCTCGAGACTCTTGGTCTGCCGAAGTTACCGAAATACGTAGCGCCAGAACAGCCTCACCATGCGGATGCCTCCCAGAATGGCCAGCGTGTGGCAGCCGACGCAGACACTGAAGCTCAGTCCGCACTTGGGCTTCAGGATCAGCTGATGTTATTAGACTCAGCTATCATTCCGTCCAATGATCTCGAGGTGATGGCTGATGTGTATGCACAAACTTTGCCTACTACGGAGCAGTTCAACCTGGAGCTGTGGGATAACTGCTCCCCGGAATGGCCCTGGTTACACATAGACGGAAATCTAGGTCCGGAGCTATTAGTAGAACCTGATCTAATCGGGAATGCGTCTCTCTTTGCGCCTGTCGTAAGAGATGCAGAGGTGTGGAATCTTACCCAAGCGCTACACAATGGAAGCGACATGAATCCTGAAGATGAAGAAGAATCGGATCTCGTAAAGCAGCTTTCGGAGCGGTTGGGTTCCTTACGTCTGGCACCGGACGGCAAGCTCAGATATTTTGGAACAGCATGTAATGTTCATCTCTTGGACAGCAAAAGATATCGCGACGAGCTTTCGAACATCAGATCCACGAGACATAACGGCAAGCGCCTTCTTAAGAACGCCGAGGTCGATCAGTTCGTCGAGCCAGCATTTGAGGATCACCTGTTGGAGCTTTTCTTTACATGGCACAATTCGTGCTATCCCATCGTTGACAAGGACATGTACTACGCTGCGCGAAAAGCCTGGCTCAACGGCGACGATCATAATAGCTACTATTCCGAAGTGCTGACGAATGCAATGTGAGCAAAACCAGAAACTTTTGATGATAAAGGAGAGGTCCTAAGATGATGTAGGTGTGCTATCGGGGCTGCTTTCGAAGCGCGCTATCACTCGACACTCGTCACTTTCCCTAAACCTCTTAATGAGTTCTTCGCAGACCGAGCAAAGGTATTGCTGGAGATTGAGCTAGACAGTCCGTGCGTCGCAACCGTCCAAGCTCTATTGTTGCTGAGCAGCCATGAAGTCAGCTTCAGGAGGGTGGCACGTTCATGGCTGTATAGTGGTAAAGCCTCGTTCTCGACGTTGATACAGAATGCGTTACTAATGGGACGAACCACGTCGCTTAGGCATGGCTATGAGGCTTTGTTTTGATCTTGGGTTGCACGTCTGTACAGACGCTTATGTGAACCAAGGCATTATGACAGCTCTCGAAGCCCAAACGCGGCAAACGGCATTTTGGGGGGCGTTTGTCGTCAATTAGTGAGTTGATGTGACTTTGTACTTGGGAGCGAATCGCTAAACATCACTGTCCTGGACCAGTCTTGCAAGTTTCCATCTTGGACGCCCGTTTCGACTAGACAACTCCGAGATCACTGTTGCAAAACCATCTGGGGGAATCAAACCTTCTCAGGGCCTTTGGCATCCATACCCACCGACAGCGATCCTGCACTCTTCTGATATCTTATCGCAGCCTAAGGAGCAACCTGACCTCATTCCTCTGATATCTGAACAAAGAGTATTTCTTTGCGATACAGTGGCACCCATTGCAAGAGCACTGTTCGTACTGACAAACCCTGTGTTTATGACGCTAACCCGTAGGCAGGTATGGCTATATCGACATTTCGAGGAGCTCGCTTCAAGAGCTGTCTGAGAAGGCAACCAATGCACTCTTTGCCTGGAAAGCGAATCTGCCTGAGGGATTGCAAGTCCATGAGCAACGTCCTTCTCATTCATATGTTCCTCAACTGCTTGCGATGCAGTAAGTTCAATCTTTTGAACATCAACCCTTGGATGAACGGTGCTCGTAATGACCCAACTGCAGTCTGGAGTATCATCATCTCCAAATCCTCGTCCATCGCCCGTGGACTTCACAGCGCTCACAGCCTGTTCCAGCACAAGGTCGAGGATCTCGCCACGCCCGGCAAGTCTGCATCGACTCTTCACAGCAAACAGCAAAACTCCTTCGTATTTTCGAGTTGCAGTATACATTCCGCCGCATGAATGTTGAGACAGCCCAGAGCTTATCATCTTCAGCACTGATCTTAATCTTTGCTACTGTATGTGCTTCGCCACGACAGGGGAGCGAAGAGTTCCGCGGGCACCTAAACACGCTGTTCCGGGCCTTGAATGAATTGAGCATTGTCTTCGACAGTATCAAAGCGACACTTGATAGTTTGCTAGTCATTGAACGGCGCTGGAATGACATGTATAGCACACCGCGAAGCCTGAAAAGGTGCGAGGACAGTCAAGAGAACGTGGACCAAGATCGGCAACAGCATAAAAAATCAAGAAGTCGGGACTGGCAAAGCAATCCGGATCAAGCTTCAGAGCATGGCTGGACGGAGTCTGTAATGGGTGAGCTAGGATCCACTCAGAATCCAACAGAGCGATTTGGTGGCTAAGCGTGGTTGGGTAAATGCACAGAATCATCCAGGTGTTAAGGAAGGTTTTGTCCGGGTTTTCCGAAGGTTGGCAGCCTGGCGAAGGCCATGGCCTACGCTGTATGCTCTAGCCGTTTCGATAACGCTTGTTACGCTTCGCTCGGAGTTTGAGACAGTACAACCTCCGCCGTAACCTTCCTTCACAGCGTGTTCTTAGCACCATGCAGTGATGCCAAAAGTTCAATTGAATCTAGAGTTAAGCCACCCGATCTAAGCCAGATCAAGTGAGCTTGCTTTATCCGGGGCGTTCAACTTAGATTCGGAGCTTCTAAACCGCGGTCCGCAGTTCCCGATATCCTGGTGTGATCTTAGTACGGGAGGCTCCGGAAGTCTTAACCCCTGTATTCTCACCTTTCTGCCCGCATCAAGACCAAGATGTATTTAGCTATAAACGGCTAGCTGTACACTACCAGATAAGCGTGGAGTAATCGAGACTCCAGCTAGACGGTTGATTCAGGGTCAGATTGAGTCTAACCGAACTTTTGGTATCACTGGAACCATGCCGATCATCGGAAACCTGTTTCCTTACCTAAGCGCTTCTGAATCATTGGTCGCCTCCTCCATGCTCCCCATGACTTCCTCAGCCAAGCCTTAATCTTGCCCTCCTGTACAACTAAGTATATAAAGCTATCTCCCTAGACCCCAGATTCTTCCCCAGACTTTCCTCCCCACACTGTTTCACCCAAGTCCACTTGCTCTAGTCAACGCTCACAAGCTTATCCTTACCGGTCGACTCGCAAAGATCCACCATGGATGTCAATGACAACAAACATGGCGCTTCATACCTTGAGGACTCCGCCGATGCAGTGCGGCCAAGGACCGGGTCCGTCACGAATATTGCCCACACTGAGAAGCCCGTATGGGAGCAGAGAGAGACATATGGCCCCCCAGGTGATTACATTGTTATCTGCCGTATGAGAGCCATGCGCTAACCTCACAAGGCATACGGGGAATTTTCACCTCCAAATATGTATTCATGGCTGCAGCGTTTGCGACTCTAGGCGGTACTCTGTTTGGTTATGAGTAAGTCATCACTGTTCTTGGACAATGGGATGGGGCAAGTCACCTTGAATGCTAACTCATGACAAAACAGCCAAGGTGTTGTCTCTATTACTCTGGTCATGCCGCAATTTCTCAACCGGTTTCCCGAAGTCAATCCCGTCTCGACGCGCGCCAGCTTCATGAAAGGTTTGATGACAGCCATGATCGAACTGGGCGCTTTCCTCGGTATGTTCCTCTTTTCGTGGTCACTTCCGCTTCCGCCCTCTTTAACACAGGCGACAGGCGCCATGAACCAGGGCTGGATCGCCGACAAGATTTCGCGCAAGTGGTCGATCTTCCTTGCATCTTGCATCTTCCTGGTCGGATCTGCTCTCCAGACTGGCGCGGTCAACTTCGCAATGCTGACCGCCGCACGATTTGTTGGAGGCATCGGTGTTGGCATGTGAGTCCGCAGTAGCTTCTTCGGTGCAGTCCAGGCGACTGACAGTTTTATCAGGTTTGCCATGGTCACCCCTTTGTACATCTCAGAAATCTCTCCGCCCGAGATCCGTGGCACGCTTCTGGTGTTGCAAGAGCTTAGCATAGTCACGGGAATAGTCGTCGCCTTCTACATCACATATGGAACTCGATACATGGCTTCTGACTGGAGCTGGCGTCTTCCGTTCCTGATCCAAATGCTACCGGCCATTGTTCTAGGAGCTGGAGTTCCGTTCATGCCTTATAGTCCTCGCTGGCTATGTCAAGAGGGCCGTGACGATGAATCGCTGAAAACGCTAGCAATGCTCAGGCAGCTGTCGGAGGAGGATCCTAGAGTCCAACAAGAATGGTACGAAATCCGTTCGGAGATTACCTACAGACGCGAAATCGAACGCGAGAAGTACCCCACTCTCCAAGATGGCTCTGTAGCATCCCGCTTGCGCCTACAAATGAACAACTGGGCGGACTGCTGGAGACACAGAGGATGGCGCAGGACACAAGTTGGCGTGGGACTTATGTTCTTTCAACAGGTACGTTCACCATAAGACTGTCTTCGCATGGCATCTACGGCCATCTGACGCAGCTTAGTTTGTCGGCATCAACGCTCTCATCTACTACTCTCCGACGCTTTTCGCCACCATGGGTCTTGACTACGAGATGCAGCTGACCATGTCCGGTGTCCTCAACGTCTGTCAGGTAGTTGCGTGTTTGTGGAGTCTTTGGGGTATGGATAAGTTTGGACGTAGAAAGCTCCTCCTTGGCGGAGGGGTTTGTATGTTCATATCCCACTTCATCATCGCAGTGTTGGTCGGGCTTTACAATGGCAAGTGGCCAGAACATACCGCCGCGGCCTGGACTTCCGTGGCCTTCCTCCTTTTTTTCATGCTGACTTTTGGAGCCACATGGTAAGATTTGCACTCGGTCTCCGGACGAAGAATATGCTGATAGCGATAGGGGTCCGATTCCGTGGGCGATGCCAGCTGAGATCTTCCCATCTACCATCCGTGCCAAAGGCTGCGCGCAAGCCACCATGTCAAATTGGGGGAACAACTTTATTATCGTATGTCCGACAAATTTCCCAGTCAAGACTTGAGGGACATAAGCTGACACAGACTGCAGGGCCTCATCACCCCGCCTATGATTGTAGGTATCGGCTTTGGGACATACGTGTTCTTCGCCACGTTCTGCTTGCTTGCTCTTATCTGGGTCTGGTTCCTCGTTCCGGAGACAATGGGCCGAACCCTAGAGCAAATGGACTATGTGTTCAAAGACAATCAATCTGCAGACGAACTGGCGCGTCGCGCGAGGATCGAAGCCGAACTTGTCGCGCATGTCGACGCGGTCACTTCTCGCGTTCACGGACAGAAGCCTTGAGATCACGGTAGTCAATGACGAGGCAGGAGGATGGGTGGATTCGAATGTGGGAGAATCAAGAGTAGGCCGAGGTGTCATGCTCTGAATGTCATTCGTTTTGCTTGGAGCTGGCATTGATACGAAATAGTTATCTAAGTTACAGGCTTTGCACAATTCGGCGCCTAGTCCGCTCGTTCGTTGAACGTTTTTCTATGCGCGGATGTATCAAGAAACGTGACGCTGAGGTGAAATGCGGAGGTGACATTTCCGCCTTACCCTCTATGCCGCTACTATCGCTTGCAAAAAGCGCGGCCGTTTGGAAGTGAACTTCATCTACCTTCCCCCTCGATTGTTAAAGGCTAAAATTATGTCTTATATAGTAACCTAATACTTAGAATATAAGTAGATAGCATTAAAAGACTTAGCGTAGCTACAGCTATTTAATAGTTAATAGATTAATTAGCTATATCGTGCTACTACTCTTCTTAGTTCTTAAAATATATAGTTTTATAGTATACTTAATTTTCTATAAAAGCCCGCATGTACTAACTACCTATATACGTGCTTTTAAGGAAAATTAAGTATACTACTATATATTTCTTAAGATAAATCTAGATAAAAACTAATATAAATAGATCTAGCTATAAGAAATATATTTAAATATATTTAACTAAAATAAGATATACCTATTTTATACTAAAATAGTTTCGAGAGTTTATAGAAAAATACTTTTTAAGGTAGACTTAAGCTATAGATCTTTTATAATAGAAAGAAGAAAGTAATATAAGCTACTATAAGTATAAAGAAAATATTCTTATAAAGTAAAGTCTAAAATAGATTTAAACTATAGATCTTATATATAATACTATAAATATTATATATAATACAATTCTCTTATATATTACGCCTATATATTATAGATTAGCTAACCGAGAGCCTAAGTAGAAGTAATTAGTACTAAGTATTATATAATAACTAATTACCTCTAGTTAGCTAAAACCGTAATTAGTGTAATTAGTATAATTAGAACTAATTATACTAATTAGACTAAGTAAAGTATAGAGATACCTACTTATAGCTATAATATATAGGTGTATAATATTTCTCTTATAGAGACCTTATACTTAACTTAATATAGAAATCTTATATTCTTTTAATAAATACTAGTTATTACTCTATAATATTAATCTATTATTATTATATCTTATACTATCCTCTAATATCTTAACTAGTATTATACTATACTCTAGTACTAGGCTATTATTATCTAGAGATAGTAGCCCTATTATACTTTAAGTACTAATCTTTAAAGAGATACTTAAGTATAGTATATTAATATATCTACTATAGAATTAGTTACTAGTTAATAGAGGAGCTAGACTATAAGGACTACTCCTAAAAGTAAGCCTATTAAGGTTAAGATACTAGATAAATACTATAGAGCTAGAAAAGAATTAGAATTTCTCTTACTCTAGTATAACCTATATATCTAGTATAATTAAGTTTAGTTCTAGACTAAAAGTAAAGTTATATTTATATTTATCTACTTTAGAGGTAGAGTATTTAAATAAATCTAACTATATTTTAAGAACTTCTTAAAGAACTTAGACTTAGATTAATAGGTTAAAATAAGAGCTACCTTTATAAATATAAAATCTTTTAAAGAAAAGATTCGCTAGATCTTTAAAGATATTAATATAGAATATACTATAGAAAAAGAACTAATAGGCCTAGTTTAAAAAGACTTTATCGTAGCTTATACTACCTAGTTCTAGCTACCCCTTATCTTTCGCAAGAAGTGCACCGCACTTCTAGTTCCTAGCGGGTTAATTGGCTGCACCACCTCTACCTACAGGTACGTATAGGCCCAGGTAAGCGCAATTAAATTACCGCAATTCCATCTATCTTAATATAGTAAAAGGAGGTCTTTTCTTTTTTTTTTTTACATAGTCTAGACTAGAAGGAATATTATAAGACTCCTATATATTAACTATATATATTTTTATCGATAGAATAGAGGCTTTTATATATAATCCTAAATAGCGGGTGCTTATCTACATAGAGTGTAGGTTCTATTTACTACCGAAATAAGACCTCTAGAAGCGACACCTTAGAAACTAACTGCAATAAATATTTAGATAATAGCTGAAATCTTTAATTAAACATTTCTCCACTTACAGGCTACTCGCGCTAGATAATATCTACTATCTAGCTAAAAAGGTTATCTAGACGATTAATAGGCTTAAGTAGTATAATAGCTTCTATTACTACCTCTACTCTAAGGGGCTTATATAAAGCCTCAAAACTATTAAGAATCACGTGTTATAGGTGTATAGCTAGAAGCCTTTAGAGTATAATAAGCTAACCTTATTATAGGCTAAGTATAAGCTCTAGACCTTCTTTATAGAGACGTAGCACGTTAGATATTTTATAGTAGAGGAAGGGGCTATAAAGCCTACTAACTTAAGGTCTACGACGCTAGTAATAGAAGAGGAGGAGTTTTTCTGCTAGTAGGATAAGAATCTAAAGTAAATAGAGCGCGATGTAGCCGAGAAGGCTAATAAGATACACAGCTTTAATAGCTATAAGTTAGTAGTTATACCTTAGCTAAGGAGAACCGGTATTATAAAGTATATTTAAGACCTAAAGAAAGACGAAATTTAGGCCTTAATTACTCTACCTAAGGATAGTAACTAGGAGCCGGAGTTAGCCGCTATACTAGAAGGAATAGAGGCTATTCTATAAGAGGCTTATAGCTAGTGCTTCGACAGGCTAGACTATATATTAATCTAGCCTTAATAGGTTATTCTAAACCGCTTCTAGTCCTCTAAGGTAGAGCTACTAGGGAAGACTCAGGCCTTTAATCCGGATAAAGAAGCTAGTATACTAGTAGCTTACTTCAGCTTATAGAAGCAACTCTTAGCCTATATGTACCGCGTGGTCGACCGCAATTACTTTATAATAGAAGGAAGCTAAAAGTAGCAGCATTATTAGAAGCAAAGTAAGCTAGAGGATATAATTCGTCTTAGTAGCGAGTAGTAGGACGCGTGGGAAGGGACGCTATAGGGGGTGGGGGTTAGGGTTGGGGTTAGGGTTAGGGTTAGGGTTAGGGTTAGGGTTAGGGTTAGGGTTAGGGTTAGGGTTAGGGTTAGGGTTAGGGTTAGGGTTAGGGTTAGGGT